TAACACCAAAAGATCATCAGAAGACTTTGGCCAACTACCGAGGTGGTCTACGGGTCTTGAACGGCACATTGCCGTGATCGACAACTCGGACAATCGAGCCGTCAAGGTCCATACAGTAGCGTGACCGCTCTAAGGTCAAGACACAAAAGGCTAGCCAGGGGATGAGAGTTCATAATCGTACGAACATGGCGGAACTCAACCCGTCCCCAGACCAACCTTGTACCGCATCATTGCGACTGCAAGCCAGCTCTTCTCTGGTGCCTGAAAACTTCCCGAAATAAGACGGCTTGTCTTGTAGTTGTCTGAGGAGAGCCAATCTCTTTCAGGAATGACCTGAGCACGTTAAAACTAAAGTTGAACCTCATCTCATAATGGGGTGATTTTGTGATATAATGAATCCCCAATAACGCTTTGAACTTTTCTGACCAGTCACGACTACTCATGAAACGCGATAACATGTTTATCGAAGAGTATACGAGCCTAGAATTTGCTTCTTCTTGATTCCCGCGCGCATCCGCTATACGCGGCTTTGATATACTTTACGAGCTCCAACTCTCGGTTATGAGACCTTGCAAGGCCTATCGAGATTCGAGAGCAACACACCATCGTCAATGACACTTAATTGATTCTCTCGATGCTCTATCGCTGCTGACAAATTGTTAAACAGGAGCAATCCAGTGTTTGGACTGGCAGATAACTACCCTAGAGAGCTTTTTATCCTTCCAGCCAACGTTGGTGGAAATTTCCGTATTGGGCTACACACAAGAGACAACGGCGTTTTGGTTTGGTATGTGTTGCACAACCGAAGTATTGAGGGAGTTCCGGACACTGCTCGCCATGTCATGGAACTGACTGAACTTGATGCCGGTAAGTGGCTGCGTTTGGGTTCAGATCGACCCTAATCGTTACAATTATATCATAATGTATTAGGTCCGATTGGCGACAAGTGTTAATATGCGGGACTTATAGAGCACTGCAATGCATTTGGTTGTGTTGTTGACCTAGTTTCTCAGGAAACACACCACACACCATTTCCTACCCAGGCTACCAGGACCGGGGTCTAGTGGAAGAAGCACCGGCGTAATTACTCCAATACAACGTCGCACAGGAAGCCCAAGCCAGGTCAAGCCAGGCGATATCCATGCCCATGTGCGAAGGAGCATGGATCGTTTTCCGACTGACCGTTGCGTCTCCACGTGGGGTATCACGACCAACACGCAAGGGAGACGCGCGGACCGGCCTGCTATCAAGACGTTCAACGGTCTCGCATTCGGGCGCTAGGTAGCTACCATTTATGCGGATATGTATGACGGAACGACGCCGATGATATAGAGGAAGAGAGAGAGCCTGCTTGTGAATACAGTGCACAGGCGCGTCAGGCGCGTTTCTTCTTGGACAAGGCGAGACATCTTTTTTGTTGTTGCCCTGAGCAAACAATCCCATTGGTGCATGCTTGGTCGGGTTCCTGCATTGATGTGAAAATGCAGAATGTTAATGCAGGGGAGTTGTCACTCTCCAGATGTCAGATGTCACCCTGCAAGCCGCATTTGGAGGTATGATTGATCGACAGAAAAGAGGGATTAACGAGGCAAGGGCCAAAGAAGCAGTGCAGAACGAGGTGGCATTTTCTCCATACGAAGTGGAATGGCATGAGCAACAGCATGGGGGATGGTATGGCCTCACTTCACCTACAGGGCATGCGGAGCAGGAGTACGAAGCATCCGTAAGATCTTCATACATCGCATCGCGTCATATTGAATCGAATCTTACTCCGTATTCGATGTTCAGCAGTCAGAGCCATGACAGCACGAATCCTTTTTATTGCCGAAAATTCTCACGAGCAGCACGAGTCAGCTTGGCTTGCATCCATCTTGTCTGCCAGGATATCCTGTCCCTTGTTTCGAAGAGCGGCATCACGTCATTTGACATATGCGGAGGTCATGCTATGATGTTGGAGGCATCATCCTTGAAAGGCGAGACGAGTCAAGTTGACGTCAATCAAGACTTACATTAACTATGTTGCAGATACAGCGCTTGATTACCCTTCAACTCGGTGTATTACGTGTGCTCTAAGCCTTCAACAGTGGACGTCTCGCCGGTGTGGAGCTGAGCATATGCACCAGTTTTATCACGATGCGGGTGAGGAGGCAAAAGTGATGAGGCCCTATAGGCTGTACGTCCATCACACTGCACCGCATTCCACGGCGGTGATTGAGTATCCGTATCACATGCACATATCGATTTACTTGCATTTGTGATTATGCTTACTCCAATCAGGCTCACGCATACTCACTCTCAGCGTAGCCCCCAAGATTGGATCTCAAGCCTCCAGCAAAGGAAAGGATGCAGTTTTCATATTAACAGAACTGCACGTGCTTGTCATCTGTCACAATTGATCACCGCATGCTTGCTTAATTTTGCCTCTCAGTGGCTGGGCCCGTGTGGATTTGTCCGTCATCTAAAATCCTCAAAAACTGAGACAGAGACAGAGATGCCGGCGCTAGCAACGCCTCGTCTTCACCGTTGGGAACCACCCCTGACGCGAGCTGGTCCTAGAAAGGATTGGTACAAGACGGTGACACAGCTAAGGCGAGGCGAGACAAGGTGAGAGACAAGGCGAGATGAGACAACAGGAAACAGTCGGTAAGTGATATAGGAAATACGGAGTAGATCGTGACTCAATGGTGTTGAGCTTGAGAGATTGGACTAACTCAATAGTTGTGATAATCAACGTACGCCGCAACAAAGAATTGAGTGAGACGAATGGCGCGTTCCAGGGAGCGTAATAATCATTCAAGATGCAGAAATTGACATCAATTGATGAAAACTCAAGCTCTTATGGATACTTGTCTCCGCTTTACCAACACAAGCTTGGTTGACCCAACGTCAAGACTCATATTCGTAGTCTGATAGTCCATTGCTTTGACTTTGCAATTACCACAATAGGCACCGAGCGAGGCCCGCCATGTCTAGCCTGTCTTTGTTCTGTTCTCTTCTGAATCCCCCCAAATCCTTCATTTGCTTCAGTCTTTTTGCCTTTCTTTGCTTTGTCCGTGTCCTTGTGGGACTGTCAAAATTGACGGGATTCTACCCGTTCAGCCCGGACCATTTGCAGTTGAGGACCGTGCCATCTTGGGGATAGTTTCCTCGGACCTTGAACTATAATCGTCTCTATACCACCGTTACGAGGATTGTTTTGACAGGGTTGAAGATACGGCTATCCACCAAAGCTGTTGCCTGGTAAATTGCTCTACATACCCCGCCAGTTACATAAAGATCGGCCTTCTAACATGCTCGAATTGGGAACCCCAGAAGGTTACAATGGGACAGATTGCTCAAATAGAGCCACTTGGTGATTTACTCCGTACCGCACGACATATTGGGTTCGTTGGGCTCGGGCGAGAAAAGTCCCTGAAGACCCAAAGACCTTTTGCTTTTAGCTTTTTGTCGGCGGTTATGGATAATGAGCCCTTTCTACATATGGACATTATGGATATTGGACGTTTCCACTGAGTAATTACTCCGCACCTTGCTTGCCATTGATGATCCTTCTTGCCCTATGAGGCAGATATGGCATCCTTTACACTGCTCAAACAGCGGGTTAGAAACTGACTCCGGCAAAGTATATGGCCGGCTTCCCAAGAACAAGACTGGTTTCATACCAGCACAAGCTTAGCTCAATGGCAGCCGATCACCAGACGGGATAAGTGGAAATGACCATTCATCACTATCGACCTGAACTTCCCGGTGACTTGGCTTGTGGCTTGTAACCCGAGCAATCAAGCATGGGAGCCTCGTCTCGTCACCGTGTGGTCGGAATCATCAAGCGAAGGGGGAAAGATGAGTTATCACACCCCTCCTCTTCTCCTCTTCTCCTCTTCTCTCACGTCGGTACCGGAACTGGGTCTAAGCCCAAGGATCAACGGTGTCACCGTGATTAAATGCTACGCTGCTAGTCCATGCTATTCACTCTATAACTTTAACATTGCTACTTGGGGTTGCACTGTCGGGTTAATTATCTTCATATAAGCATCACACTCCTCTTTTTCAGTGCCCCGGAGTGTTGCGAAGCGAGCAAGGGACTCTTCGCACATTTCTCCTCTCTTTCCACGTGGTGATATACCCCTGCCGGCTGTCAAAAGGAAAGTCAGTGGAACCTCTCGTCTCGGAACTGTCGAGGTTGTCATACGGGACGGTTCGTTGTTTGGTTCGTGCGATTAGGGATAAACTCTAGGTTTAATAAGCTATGACTCAAACAATGTCTCCGAGAAAGATGAAACCCGTTCTTCTGATCACTCGCAGGTCCGGTTTGACAAGATGTTGCAGATTGATAAGTCTGAGACTACAATGGTTAGATTGCGTACGTCAACAGCTGTACACGTGCCTTCTTTTATCTATCAATCTCCAAGCACGTTTACCAAACTGCTTATCATAATGACTCAAGGCGTTCGAAACTTACGACTTGCTATCCTGAGCGGGCTAGTGAGCGAGCGAGAATGGACTATGTAACTCAAAGGAAACCCACGACGATATGCTAAAGTGGGCAGTTGTTTTACGTTTCATCGACTACCACGCCGCGTGGGGCCAATTTAACGGATCTTCGCAGTTGGGTCATGTGTAAGAACTAGCTTCATGGGACGTTTTGGTGAATCGCTTTACACCGAGATTGTGTTTGTAAAGGATATGAGGATATAGGTTAAGCTTTGATTAGAGAGGGAGATGGTTTGGAAATTGATAGATGGGAGACAAGTCTGGAATATGGCGAGGTGATCATATAGTAATGAGGCTATGACTTGATGGTATATCGATGATTGTTTGACACACTATTGTGTCTAAAAGTCTTGCGAGTGAGCATTACTACCACACAAGAGGTATATGGTTTCACGAAAGCAATTGTAGTATAGCAGTCCCATCACTTGCATCCAGCAATGGGTATCATTCTCATAACCTTGTTTCGAGACTGTCTATCATCATGACATTAGGATACCCAGCTCCTCAATCTACCGCTCAATCATGACACGCACGTCGCCAACTGCTGCCCTAGCTACCTTCTTGAGCAGCGTCCTCTCATCCGCTTCCCGGTACCGCTCCCATGAATCCAGACCTTCCTTGGCCTGGATACTCAACGTCTCGTATCCCTGACGAATTACCTCTGTGACCTCCTGCGTCGTCAAGAGACTGGGTTTCCTGCGACTCACACCGCCCTCCGACAGCATCTGGTTGTAGTGCGCGCTGACATTAATCAGTGTGTCGATGGAGTTGCTGTGGCGGTTAGCCAAGCGGTAATTCTCCTTGAACTTGGTGAGGATCTCGCCGGACTCGACGACTTTGTAGAAGAGATCGTCGTAGTCTGCGGGTGTGGGAAGGAAAGCTTCGCCAGCGGAGAGAGATAGGGCGATGAGGTTGACCACGTGGTCGAGAAGAGTGTCGATGTGTGGTAGGTCCTTCAGATCGGCTGTGTATGTGGCGAAGAAGCGAACGATGGAGAGTAGGGAGCGAAAGAACTCGGGCCAGTGGTACTCGAGACGTGTGCGTGTGCGAGAGAGGTAGGAGACGACGCGGAGCATAATGCCGAAGCAGAGTGTATAGAGACTGACGTCCAGACGACGACGGAGGTTGTGGTTCACACCGTCAATCATGGTGTCGAGGAGAGAGATGGCGAGGACTCGCTCGCCTTTGACGAGAGGGAGATAGGGCTGCCGTTGCCGACACAAACGGACTGCTACGCGGGACTCATCGCTGCAGATACGCTTGCAAATCGTGGGATCTTCGATCAGGAGACGGAATACCATGAGGTTGAGATGGGCATAGTAGGTGGCGCGAGGGGAGAGGTAGGCGTGTTGGAGGAGATAGGATGTAAGGGAGAGATAGCTGGCGATGGGCTGCTCAGCACCGGGTTCTGGTGCCATCGTCACCAGATTAAAGCAGAAGAGCTTGTTAGCATGGGTGAAGTCGTATGTAGCTAGAAGAACAGCAGCTTCCTCCTCAGGCCTGGACATGTGTGAGCTGTGTAGTGTGTATTGTAGAATCCGCTTGACTTACAGTTGAGTAAAGAGAGCCTTGGCAGTCTCGACATCGTATACTGGGTTCTTTACAGGCTTTGGGCCAGGGGCAATTGCGCCGAGTCCGATCATGTTGAGGGTAGCGCTGAATGTCCAGCCTTCGGGCAGATCGTCCTGGATTGTGATATACCGCGATCGAACCGTTTGACAAGCTTGTCCTAGGGCGCCGACAATCTTCTGGATCACGGCTTCGTTGACAAAGTCGTTTAGTCGCTGTTGGTAGGGGTTCTGGAACTCAAATTTGTTGTAGTTGGCGAGGAGGCCTAGTAATGTGAAGGGCAGGAGGACTTGATCTGCTGTGTCTGCGTCTTGGATGAACTGACGTGTCGTTAGTCCAGAACAATTGGTCTCGCAGTATGCTTCCTTACCTTCATGACTGCAGGGAAGAGGTCTCTTTGAATCAGATATGTTAACAACGTTGTTTGGTACGCCCCAGCTGTTACCGCCACCAGCACCTCAATTGCCTTGTATCGAACCTCCACTACTCCATGTCAGCTCGGTCGTCATGCCCCTGGATGCTTAGCCTTACAGTCCTTGCTGTTTCTTATTATAGCCTCCACTGCGCTGACAAATTCGGTAAAGACGGAGTCGATGTGGTCGAGTCCTGCGAGCAGGACCATGATGTCGGAGCTTGGCTGGGGGTATCGTTTCGAGAGGAGGCATGATAGAAAGACACTGAGCGTCTACCGGGTATTAGAACCAATTTGCGTAGTGTACACCAACAGCACGACTCACTTCGAGCGCATGCAGCTGCGCAAGGTTATGCGCGCCCTTAACCGTAGCTATGGCTCTCGCAAAGAGCTCTTGCGTACGCATGTCGAGGGACAAGACATGGCTGGGACTAAGGTCGTTGAGGATACGTCTCAAGGCTGCACGATCAGGTCTAAGGAGGAAAAACTCAGCCCAGAAGCCGTCGGTCTTCTCCTCGTCATCGTATTCATCCTAATTTTCGGAAACAAAGGGCGGATCAGTCGAGGGCGTGGCGCGTGGGAGGTTCTTGGTGCAAGCGGATATCTACCTAGAAGGACACAGCGGATTTAGTTCATGATGGGGCCTGAGAGTCAAGACGCAGAAAGCTTACCTTGAAGAGAGAGTCGTACAGCTGGATGATCTTTGGGGTAAAGACCTCCGGCTGAGGCTGGCGAGTGAGCGGTGACGCTTCCATAGGAGGGGGAGCTGAAAGGTTGCGAGCAGCGATAATGTTAGAGACAGGACGAGTTGCGATAGAGAAATGGGCCATGGTTCGCTTTTATCACGTGCACAGCGAAACTTGGTGTTTTCTATTGACACCCGAAAACCATCGACAATACGCCATTCAACACCAGAAGTAGTTGTTAAATGACCTTTGTTCTTTGTTTGAATTGAATTATAGTGCCACTCAATCCAAAAGTTGTAATTGTTTTCCTCTCTTAAGGTCTCAGGATGATCCTCGCCAGGACAAGTGTTCGTAACTGCGGCTTGCGTAATTGTTGTTTTACAATACTTTAATTAATACATTTGTGAGACGGAGACTATTATGAGGAATGCAACGCTTAACTATATGGCAATATCCGAGGCTGTTATGTGTCAAGCTTGTGGTGTGCAACAAAGAGGTTCATCGCAAGCCTCTTGTCCACACACTAGTCCCAACACTTCTGAGAGCATCTGGCACATACAGCAGTTTTGACACAGGGACTTCATATCAATTTACATCTGATAGTCCGTTCAACTACACGGCTCAGTGGTCCCTCCTGAGCGTTGTCGATAACCGACCATTGACTTGAGTTCGAGGACTATTCCTCAATTGAACAGGGCAGCATGCTGAGACTCAGCAATCTGCTAGAAGTAAGTCCATTTCACACAACCATACACTTGAAGAAATGCTCACTCTAGCATATGAGTTTTGGCCTGATGTCTCTCTTCTGTTAACCCAAGGGGACGTGGTTGCTGCCGTTGATACTCCAACTCAGTGGGATGTAGGGTATGCAGCAATTGATGCATGTACATTACAGCCATATTAACAAAAGAAGAACACTCCGATCTTATGGTATAGGACTGTACAGTATTAGCTACAGATATGTATGAGTGTGTCAGGTAGCCTCAAGCATTCCCATATGATGCGTCACGGCCATAATAAAGAACAAGCCAGTCTAGAGTTGTCGTGCGTCAGTAGTTAGTAGTTGAGTAATGTCAAGCCCACCACAAAAGGCACACGTCAAAAAACAATTCGGCTGTATTATATTTGAAACAACCTCGTTTTAAAATCCATGTTAGTTACCGAAAACACGTTAACTGCCGACCTAATGCGTGCCCCATACCACCAAAGCACCTCAACAACCTGAGATGAAAACACATCGTCGCATCTGATTACACTGGCACTCATATGTCCGCTATCAGAGAGGAATCTTCCTGTGTCATAAGACTGGGTGTATCATAAGTATTTCTCATGGCTCTCGCGGGAGTTACTGTGTGTGAAAGATAACGCTCTATACACTACAATTGACATCCATCACTCATCACGTCACGGACAAACGTTGGCTCAAAATGCAAGTAACTTTCATATCTTTCACGTTTATTACAGGCTTTTGTGTAAGTGAGGTAAGTGGCCAACTCGTTTTCGGCCAACTTTCACATATTCATTAATGGTTCCTATTTCTTCTTACTCTAAACTATTTCCTGGGCTCACCAGCTCTGGTCCTGAGCATATTTGTGGCATAACTAGTGGCTTTAAAGCATTGATCAAATGGAGGAGGAAATCAATGTCGAGCCATTGCTCGATTGACCATGACGAAACCATTAATACCTGAGCATTGTAGGCTCGTGAATGAAATTTGACCCCCATAGGTCCAAACATGCAATAAATGGAGAGATGTACCTATGCATAGCTTTCCTACTATTTTGAGACTGAAGCGGCCGGTCACAATAACCATGAGGGTGCCATTTTCAGTTCTACCGAGTAACCAACAAGGTAGTAAAGAGATCAATTGCACTAATCATGGTTCATAATATGTGAATGAACACATTCAAGGCTACTGATCGTTCAAGATTACGTTGTATTGTAGCATTATCTAACCCTTGCCTAAAGGTAGGTGGGAATATTGTTGTACTTCATTTAAGTACCTGTACGGACTTAACAGGCGCACCTGGTGGTCTTGAGAGGCTACCAAGTAGTCGCTAATAGTCTATTGAGCCTTCCCCTACCCCAAGTTTGATCAAGCCTTCAACGATGTGAAACTCCCTGCTTATCTGGGGCAACTATATGAGTAGATATGGGGTAGGAGGACCGTTTTAGGTCTTTTGGTTATTTACCATCAATAAAGACTAGAATATACTCCACGGTCGTATTCGTACTTATTTCAACTCAAGCTGGGCGAGGCATAAGCTCGAAGTTAGAGTACATTGCACTGACAAGCTAGAGCCTTGCTGTGTAAATGGATATCGTATGAACCGAATTACGGACGTTGCTAAGCTATCTCGTTCCTCAGGCTTTGGGGGTTCTCCAACTGATGATCAGAATATTAGGCTCGATAGTAAACTTATCGTCACTACACGAGCAAAAAAACATGTCAACCCAGAACAGTCCATCAGTCTTCCATGTTAAGTATCACTTGACTCCCCAAAGCACCGGCAGATTTGTGGTGGTGGGTACTACATATCGGCAGTTCAACTAACTAATATTTGTGTTAGTTTTGGTGCTATGACTGGGAAGCGTATTTTAGGCATACTTTGTATGAATAGAGCTACCAATTGAAGAAATCACAGTGATCATGGCGACATGGCTAATAGGTAGTGTATGTGGGTGACTCAGGTAGATTCTCCTCCATGGGCCGTTGTCAGACTGTGGGCGTGAAATATTGATCAAGGGTTCAACTGGAAGGGCTATTACTGTGCTGTAAGGTCCGAGTCTGAAAGGTGCCCAGGATCGAAGGGCCTCTTTGTCTTGGGGGGTTATTGAAGAATGAGAAGAAAGATCACCCAACCGTCATGGCAGTAGCTTAAAGTACATACGTGCACGCTCTCCAAGTTGTCAGTTGTTGCATCAGCCTTCTACATAGGGGGTTTTTGCTTCACAGTTTATTTAAACCACTGGGCCACCATGAGTATGTAAGAACAGTCGAGTTGCCTAGCAAAGCTACTGTTTGATGTACAATACTACATGTTGCAATTGTCACGAGTTTCGCGATATACTTCTCGCCCATGTTTCTATTACATCACAGCTCCATCGTGCCAGCCCTACGAGGAGCCACTTTCTCCAGAATCTCTCTTCCCCCAGAATCTCCCTTAGCGAAAAGATATGCATCAATGTAGATCGCAGAGGCCCACGAGGTTAATTCTCGAGATTGCTGTTGCGTAAGAAGGGGTGGCTCTGGGGTACGTTCGGCATAGCGGCTTGCAGCGGCTGAAGTAGGACCCCATGGGGAGTTATACCTTGTCGACATCAGACCGTTGAGTAATGGGTCATAGATCTCTTCTTTTTATCACGTAATTAAAGATGAGACAGTCTGGGGAAGTGGAGGAACTTGATCTTGCATCGGTACTGGCTCTTGGCATCCAACTGCGGTCTTTTTTTGTTAGAGAATGCAGTATTGGTGTTTCTCTGGAGTAGGTTGAGGCTCTAGAGGCATCGGGAAATAAACTTGAGCCGCTCGAAGTTGAGAAATTGGAGACAAGTACTGAGAACCTAGGCAGATGGGGTAAACACAAATTCCAACAGTACAACACATGATTGCATGTGGGTAAGTCAATGCCCAGCGTTCGACTGCTCGGGATTTGACCGGGAGAGGAACGACTTCACAAGCCAAGAGCTTCGGCCCTGAAACTTGACCAGGCTTTGAGGCAGTGCATCTCCAAATATCTGTACACCGGGGAAGCATGAAGAATACCCAAGTGGAAGGTGTACAATTAATTAATTCCCTTTGCCTTCAACACTGCACACTCCTACTTCTCTCTTCTTACGAGACCCCTCAGGCCACATTCTCCGCACGTCCCCAACAACGATAACAGCCCTGGACCCCGCTCCCCGCATTATCTCCAATTTCCATCATGTAAAAAATACGTACGAGTAACTCTCATCAATGACTTCGCTTGTGATTAACCTTGAATCATGGCCCAACGCTTCCTTTAGCCCCCGTATCTTTATTATCTAGCTTATCCTGTGGAGAACCTCTGCCTCTCCCTGCTATGCTGTTTCTGGGGTGCATGCTCCGGTTACTAAGTACTGTACTTAAGTGACTTGTGTGCGTGTGTCTCAAGGGGAGTGGCATTGGCACGCGAGTGAGACCGCCCGTCGTGCTTTTATTTTATTTTATTTTATTTTAATGTGGCGCTATTTGGAGAAACAAGGCACGGGAATATGAGCCATTTTCAACTCCTATCACTTTTCTTTTTCCGTAATTTTGTCTCGTAACAACCTTGGGTAACCGTGGGCTGACATGGACTGTTCAAGTCGTGGTTGATAGACTCCATCATTACCCCAGGCTCCATGACATCCGCCGTACCCGATCATGTTTCCCCCTTTCCCTTCGAATCTGACTTCGTACGTAAAAAGATCCGCTTCAGCCTGGAGGATGTAATACAAACTGCGTACTCAACCATTGGCCCAGTTCCGAGACAACAAGTATGTAGGGAGTGCTCACATGTCTGCGCAGCTCGGTGGTTGAGTCAACACGACACACATAACGCCAAGTAATGCTGTTGCCTCTTTGTCCCTCCATCCTCTCAACACCAAGGTGCCAAACCGAGCCATCTTACATTTCCATCTTCGTAACCTCCGTAATATAGAGCCATCATTGCAATTGAAGGTCATCACCAAACTTCCTGATACACACGTGACCATCCCCAAATGCAATCCAATCTCCAGGATGACACCATCTGCCCCATGTTGACTCACAGGGCGCAATCATCCCCACTCAATGTCAAAATTGAAATGATCGTAGGGCGCATTTGACTGCATGTTGAAAGTATTTAAAACTACCTCGTAGAACGTAGCTGAATTGTTCCTGTTCTGCTCAACATAACGATCAATTTCCTGATTTGCAGTAAGCGTTAAAGGCAACTAACTACACAAATTCTACTCAGTCGTCACAAGAAAACCGATACATCGCACAGGGCAAAGGTTGTTTAGATTATGCAGAGTGTGATATAATGATATCTAACGATAAAGGGTATACAGGAGATGAGGTATCTATATGCTTCACATATTCAAGTGAATGTGAGAACAAGACTTGAAACAAAAAAGACCACTGCTTTACATGACCTTGTTAAGGAAGCGTCTCCAAGCGGGCCAAGTGGCAACCTTGGCGCGGTAAGCGTTGATCTCCTCCCAGTTGTGCTCACGTCGGCCAGTGTCAACATCGATCTTGTCAATCGACAACCAACCCTCACGCTTCCAGAGGTAGCCAATAGCCCAGAAGACAAGGACAACAGGGAGAGCCAGGTATGAAATAAAGAAGCCCTCGACAGTTCCCATGCCGGATTCGCCAGGAGGGGCGGTAATGGCAACATAAAACTGCATCATTGGTTAGCAAAGCACGCTGATTTAGGGATGGCATAAAACTTGCCTGAGCGATGAGTACGAGACAGATCAGACCGAGACTGAACCAAGAACCGGCAGTACCGAAGGCAGCCTTGAAGGGGATCTCGTCCAGAGTGTGACCTTGTCGGGCCCAGGCCTTGCGGAAGCGAATATGGGCAAGACAGATGGAGCCCCAAGTGAAAAGGGTTGAAAGACCAGAAAGAGCCAGGAGCCAGTCGAAAATCTCTCCACCCTTGGGGTCAAGGTTAACAAAAGCGATAAATCCCATGAGGATATGGACAAAGACGGAGACGAGAGGGCGTCCAGCACGGTCAATGTAGGCAAAGACCTTGGGAGCATAGCCGTTCTGGGCCATTGCAGTCAGGGTACGGGAGCCGCCGTAAACGCAAGAGACACCAAGAGAGAGAACCGACACAAGAATGATGACGTTCATGAAGTGAGCAAGACCCATCATGCCGGAGTACTCGCCAACCAGAACGAAAGGAGAAGCCTTAGCGTTGGAATATCCGGAGATGTTAAGGCGGTCATCAGTGGACTTGATCAGGAGACCGATGAAGAAGAGACCGAGAACGAAGAAGAGGGTGATACGCCAGAAAACCTGCTTAATGGCACCAGGGAGAGCCTTGGTGGGGTTCTCAGATTCGGCAGCAGCGAGACCAACGAGCTCAGTACCGGCAAAAGAGAAAGCGGCAGTGACGAAGACAGAGCAGAACCCCTTGAAGCCGTTCTTGAAAGCACCAGGATCCTCGTTCCAGAGCTTGGTACCCCAGTACTCGTCGTAGCGGCCGTTGGAAGGACCGCCACCACAGACGAGGACAAGAGAGATGATCATGAAGGCGACAGTAGCTCCGAGCTTCAGGCAGGATGACCAAAACTCTTCTTCAGCATAGCCGATACCACCGAAGATGTTGATGAGGATGATGGCAACAAGGAAGATGGCGATGAAGATTCCGGCTGAGAGGTCCTCGTTCCAGTATTGGATACACACGGCACAGATTGTCAGTTCGAGTGGCAAAACAGTGGCCCATTGTGCAACATAGTTCCAGCCCATGGCGAAACCCCACGAAGGATCGATGAAGCGAGACGAGTAGATATAGAAACCACCGGACACGGGGTACATGACGGCGAGTTCACCAAGAGCGAAAACTGTTGGGTATAGCGTGTCAGCCTTGACCATATCAAAGGGTTATTGGGCACGTCAAACTTACCAACGTTGAAGATCATCATACCAATGAGGATGAAGTCGACGAGAACAGATCCGGGACCCTGAAGATACAATATTAGAAACGTTGAAGTGTTGTCGGGTATTGGCATCGACTTACACCAGTATAAAGGGCCTTTCCAGAACCGACGAAGAAACCAGCACCGATAGAGCCACCAATGGCAATCATCTGAAGATGGCGAGGCTTCATACGACGATCGAGCTCGAAGCTGCCGGTGTCGGGACGTCGCTTGAAAGACTCCAAGGTCAGACCGTTTCGTGTCATTGAGCTCTCCTCCCTGAAGGCAAAGCCGGCACCGGTTTGGACATCACCAGACCGTTCAGTGACGGTGGTGCCCTTCTCCTGGCCGACATTGGTCGGGTTGTCGCTGGAACTCTTGGAATCCATTTTGGATGTTTCCCCTTGTGGGTATAACGCTTGTTGAGTTGAAGGGATCAAAGATAGTAAAGGTCGAGAGACCTTGGTCGTTGGAAGAAGAAGAAGCGGTGATGGACGGGAACAAGAGTAATCCAGGAAGGAAACGGCGGCTCTTTAAGTATGAGTCCAGGAAGGCGACGAGAGAGCCTAGGGTCACACACGAGTTGGTGCATGAGAGGCGAGACGGCCGCCATTGTGGAAACGATTCACTCGAGGAGCTTCGAGTGAATGCCAAGTCTGAACTAGCCCCCAGTTTCTCGTCGCCGATCAACAGAGTTGAGAGTACGAAGTACAAAGTCGTTATCCCCCAAGCGCGATGGGGAAGCAGAAACGAGAGGGTCCGAAGTGCCAAGAGCCGCGATACGGAGGAACATGGATGATTGGGGTAGGTCGAAAATGAGAGATGGCGGAGCGGAGTGTATCACCGGCATGGGACCAGGACCACGCGACGGAGAGGAAGGAGCAGCCTGGTTCCGATTCGACAGATTCAACGTCGATGTCGCGGTTATACTCACCCCTTGTTTCGAAGGAAAGAAGATTGGACCCTCGACCTGCAGCTGCAATGAGATTTGGGATTTCGAGTCTTGGACGAGGCAAAAGGACTGGGGAAGCGGGAAGTTGCAGCTGGCGCTCACTAAGACCCATACCCATGCTTGCCGTGCCGTGTCTTTAAAGCGCATGGATGCTGAGCTCTAATTATTACAGTTCACCGGATGATACAAGCTGAGGCTCACCTTCCCATTTCTACCCAGCGGATGCTCAATATTGCTCCTGGTTAAGACTGCGCAGACCATACGTGCCCGTTGCTGCGATATTTCATCTGCACGGTCAAGGAAGCAAGAATGCACAAGCCATGCAGACGATCAACCTAATTCTAAAGTAAAGTGGAGAATTGGAGAGGAACTTCATCCTGGAAACACACTAAGGGTTACTCCACTCTAGAGGGAAGGTACCGGTACATTTGAGAGGTACCTGCCTAAGATAGGTACCTCTACTAACTTAACCTTACCTTAAGGTTCTTGCCCCATCAGCACCTCGACCATGATGCAGGATTGCAGGGCAAGAATGCCCCTCTTTCGATTCTGAATCGTTCTCAGGTTCCTCCCAGACGGGCCGAAATCGACCCATTTCTATCTACCTACCCTTTGTTCAGGAGATATCTGGTTAGGGAGAGCTCTCATATTACCTATCCTAAACATGAGCTTACGTTGATACTGGTGTGATGCCTACTCTGACACCCAACATTGACCCTCAGCTGCCAAGCATTCATTCTCTTGGAGTGAGCGGAGGCACACGTATGCATCGCAAAGAACTTTTGCTGCTCATATCAACTGCGCGAAGGATTGGACCAAGTTGGTGTCCATTACCAACATTAGGTGGCAGACATTGCGGGGACGAAGGAAGAGCAATTATAATTACATCCTCCAATGGCTACTGGGATATTGGGTCTGCATGACAGATAGCAGCTTCACACCGTTTCTGGGGCTTCTGGGTCCCGAAACTATGGCTCGTTTGATACCAAGCAGCTTGGCAATATGTGTCGATGATACCCAGTACCCATCTCTCATCTTGCCTCTGTTACCCCCACCTGCTCCCTCGGACCGTTGGATAACATTGTCTCCGCCGTGGTCTGGTTACTCGGTGGTATGTTGCGCAGCCACTCGTGTGTTCAATTTTTGTTCCTGAATCGGTTCGTGGAGCCACCTGTCCTTTTCCTCGATTGCGATGCTGGATTTACGATGCTCTACCTTTCGCTTGCAGTCGCTTTAGAGTCCGACACCTTAGTTGACGCCTCTTACGGCACCTTGCAGCAGGTGACAGGGGCTACGGGGGAAAAGGCTACCGAAGGAACAACTCTTTCTAGAAGCGTGGCATAGTGAGGCCATGAGCTACCCGGGTTACATCGCTATTATCGGGCTTCCAAATTGGCGCCAATGGAGCTGAAGAGCTTGCAGGCGTCAGCACACGCCTGTCGAATGGGGGACATGTTGAGGGCACAAACTTGGAGCTCAGGTTCGCACCCCGGGCATGTTGCACCGTGGTGCGACAGCAGCTATCTCTGTGGGAGGGACTGCGATAACAACAAGACCCAGTTTACGCTCCAAGACGGGCCTCCCCTGATAGCGGTGCGCGGTTGTTTTTACCGCCGCGGTAGTGGGATTTTCTAGAAATTCCATGACGAACTAACTGAACCATCACGTAGGTCCAGTATATTTCATGTTCCAGATTCCAATATGTTGAGCTCCGCAAGCAAGTCTTCGGCTATGGGGTAATACGTAACAGTTTTCTCTCAACTGCCATTACCCCGTGGGCAAATCGTTGTCAATCTGGGGACGGCTCCATACTGTACAAATTTAGGAGAGATGGTAACGGCCAGCAACTGTCCCTTGAGAAAGTTCCCCAAACGTTTGTACGTAATACAATTCCTTTGGTGAACCTTTTGGTGGTGCTTGTTGTTTGAGGACCCATTGTTTTGGCATCATGCAGCAAGCATGGTCCCGCGAGGCTCGGACATGGCCGACTGGGCACCCTTGCAATCCCCGCAAGAACAGTCAAGACCGTTCAACCGTTATCAAGTGTTGCCCCTGACCTTGCAACCAATTCTCGCATTTGCGGTAGCTGAAGACACGCGACTTGAGTCAAAGCACCTGTGATAGAACAGCCCAGTAACGATATTCAACGGCACGACAACTGAGGAGGATTTGGATTCGATTGAGGTTCGCCACCTGTCCAGGTACAGCAGCTGTTCATTTACCCCCTACCTTATGCGGGCCGGTGAAAGAAGGTTATTATAGTACCTGCGGCGCCTACTTGATTAGGCTGGACAGGCTCGCAGGGTTCCAATTAAGCTCAGTAGGACGGACCACACCAAAATAGAGGCAACCCAAAGCTCGAATGTGAATGAGATTAAGAATTGGGTAGGGCTGGCTGGCTGTAGCAACCAGAAGCAATTTCAAAACGCGATTGGCATGTGCTGAAACTAGCCTCTCAGCGAGAGCCGACACCTCCGAGTCCAGCATACGTCGGCAAGTTACCGAAGCATCAGCTTGTTATTATGAGTGCCAGCTCTTCATCCCAGCCACAGATCACGTTCACAACCGAGGCCAAGAGAGATTCATATTGGCGATACCACCATGGATCGATATTCAGACGATATGCAAATCAACTCTCAGCATCCAGGCATTGTTTAAGAATCGTCGATATTGGATGATGATCCCTAACACTGCGAAGCCTTACTCGATGCCTCATTCGACGCGTATTATGTCTTTCCTAAAAGGGCAGGTTGTAAAGACGAATCTCCGACCTTCTGCTCTGGGAGTGTTTCTGCGCCGCAAGCCTCTAATACGCCGCGTCTTACCACCTTATCACTTGGCAAAGGGCGATAACGAATTGTTACTTGTCGAGCATGGGGCCCTGAGCTGTTGGATATAAAAGGCCCCAGCTCCGCCAAGACTCGGGCCAAGACTGTTGGCAAGATGACCGCTGCATTTCAGGTAATTCATCAGTTTTACCCTATCTTTGGACTTTGGCCCCCCAGTTACGTGCACGACCTTTCCGTCGATCTCGTTGCCCCTATCATCTCTAGGCTCTCGCGACCCTGCAGCTTGTAGCTGTACCTACGCCGCTCGACGCCATTCCGATACTGCCGCAGAAATCCTTTGCAAAACACGTCGTCCCGGATATCAAGTTAGACGCGACCGTGCCTACCGACCTGCCTACCGACCTGCCTGTACAATCATCGACCTTATCTAAACGGCCTTGGCAGGCCCTCTATCATCAAATGGAATGCATCTAGAATAATGTCCCCATCGCCAAGGAAGCCGAGCCAGATGAGTTGAGATAATCGGGACCGTGGGGTTTATACTTGCTTGGCATGCAGGGTTTTTCGACTTGCGGGCGTCGGTTGTGGCACGGTAACGGATTGTGGTCCACATACGGGGAACCCATGATCAAACTCAACCAATTCGTATCTACCGCGCTCAGTATAGGGTAAGCTGGAGTTCGACGGCTCTGTTGACCAGGACAGGACAGGATTTCGATGTTTAACTCCCTTGTGTATTTCGGGACCGGTTTTTTATTCTGGGCTATATCGATATCTTGGCTTCAACGTCCCGCAGGACAATACCAAATTTCGTATTCGAGTCGATCAAGGCTTGGTTTTGCAGGGCAAGTTTTTGGGGCTTGGTTCAAGATCTGGTGCCCAGAATACGATGAGTTGACAGCAGGACGACATCGTTCTATTAGGTATTTCTTGGTTGGGTTTAGAACTCGATTTTTCTATAATGTGGTGAGTGATGCCACAGGAACAGCCTCATGGTGGATACGAAAGCGTCATGCTTTTTGTCACAGGATCTACCTTGCCCACTACTTTGTCAAAATGAGTTGAACGATGCCCAAAAGCATGGCTCTCAGACATGGTTTGAAGCATGAACCTCACATAGCATCTCGCCTTACTGCTTATTTTTGCTGAATCGTTTGACTTTGCTTCGCAACAACTAAACACAGACAATATATTCATGTAGAGATGTGTGTTTTAGGAGCAGGGCCCAAGTATGTTTCTTAACACAGCTTACCGACTACCCTAAACTGTTCGACCGTCATCTGGAGAGATACTACGATGAATTTCATACGCCGTCATAATTGGATCAAGTAGAGCAGTAGCTGGGGCAACTGATCTGTCGTGATATCATATTCAATTCCGTGGCTGTGATACGGCGTAAATGACAGTATCATATTCAGTTAAACCATTGTTCACTTTATCTGCACCTTAAGGTCCGTTTTGAAAGTTTAGGCAATGGTTTCGTTGTCAGACCGCGACCCAGGAGGTGTTTTTGTTTGGAAGTGCTTCTAGGACGTGTCAAATCCCTTCGAAGAATTACATAACAGTACATTTCAAAGCATGTCGAAGCCACTCCATCTTATGATACAACATCTTGATGCGATCTAAATGCGTTTTCCTCTAGCTAGGTAACCAAGAAAATCATAATGGACTTGACACTACCGCACAAGTCTCCTATATCATTAAAAAGAATAGGCATCGTAACTGTTTCAATAGACCAAAAAGTTTCATCACTGTTATATCTTGAACATGTTCCATAAGATGATGCTCGCATCTACTCTTGTAATTTCAAACTCCATCAGTATGAGCGTTTCCATACAATTGCCTAAGATAACAGCATTGTTCTTGATAAAAACTGCCGATTCTGGTTGTCTTTTGGATAAAACCTTCCCCAATATCGAGCATATCGGTAAAGCCTTCCTATACCACTGACGCTTAGTGAAATGACGGCTATCACCTTACATATCTGCCGGTAGTCAGCGTGTCTTTGGAAACCGAAGACCCAGAGGGGCCGTATCAGAGTTCGTTCCAGACCACCGGATCATCCTAGATATGCCACATGACGTACAACCGCCCTCCAATGACATGAAATTCAAATGCTCGAATGTGAGTGTCCATGAGATCAATGCGGGGTATGGCAGTTGCAAGTCCATGTATTTTCTATGAAGTGTTCATGAAGGAGAAGATAACGATAGATTGTATCTTTTGAGTGATCTCTTGTGAGTACTGATAAGAATTAGTCGGGGGAAGATACGAGTTGCGGGCTATCATCTTTATCAGACTATAGATACCAACATAGGTACCTTAGATGTGGTTGTCAACACGTCCCGAATTGCCTCAAGGAGTTAAGCAGCGAGTAAACTCTAACCACTTCGCGGTGCCCTTCCTCATTCAAGACAGTGTGGCTTATCGCCCGCGCTGTCCAAACGGCCAACTTATCAGCTCAAGCCACTCACCAGAAAAGGACAGACAGGGCCTACTACGTACTATGATAAGAGCAAGACGATACAGTGCACAACGTGATACACGGAACCACTACCGTAGCGCTATCAATAGTGCAGATAAACTCAAGTTTACCACATGCAACCTTGCGTATCCAATGGTTCGCAGCTGGTAAAGAGTCTCGACGCGATAGAACGTGGATAGCTAGCTACTTGCAGCCTAGCAGAAGCTGGGGTAGAAACTGGGGTCAACATACGCTTTGAGTAGGTGTCGAAAAATACCGGTCAACCTTCATACCATTTTTGTGCTGGACTTATTCTTTCAGCCTCCAAACTTAAAGCTTGATATCGAAGATAAGTGATTCCAGCTTCGCGGATACTTTCCCGTAGAAACCAATCAAGATACGATCGTCACGATCGCCAATTTCCCCAGGTTTCGCCTCCGGGAAGAGTAGAGTCGTTCTGAGTGAACAGAGTATAAAGACTTGGGATCGTCGTCGTGCAGAAACCAAATCCTAGTAGAAGCAAGCTCTTCCACTTCAGAGCCCTCAGCTCTAAATCCAACTTGCATATTGATCAATTTTATCTATTATCTTCCTCCATCATGCGTCGGGAAAGCATTCATGATGTCCATACTCCAGGTGGAATGATGGAGAAGCCACGGGGCTCAGTCTCTAAAGAAGATGGCCTTGCCCTTGAGCCTACGCGAAGCATAGAGGAGGTTCAGGCTATAGAGATGCAGGAGGGCAAGCATGGCCAGTTTCATCGATCTTTCACCCCTAGACAAGTCCATGTGAGTAAAGCAATTCAAGTTCAACCCGGGACCACTAACACAGCTCTTTCAAGATCATTGCTCTAGGTTCCAACATCGGTTCCGGTGTCTTCATCGCCACTGGCAAAGCTCTAGCTACTGGTGGCCCAGGAAACATGGTCATCGCCTATTTCATGGTCTGCACCTGTGTCTGGGCTGTTCTACAATCCCTTTCCGAGATGACGATCGCCTTTCCTGTCTCGGGCAACTATATCGATTATGCGGACCGTTGGGTAGATCCTGCTTTGGCATTCGGAGCTGGTTTCGCTGAGTGGCTTGGTAAGTATTCATATATTTGATTAATGGTTATGTGCCCTGACTGCTACCAGGCTGGACTGCGATTGTGTCTGCCGAAGCTGGTTTCTTCCACATTCTGGTAGGATATTGGTCTAATGGTTCCTTTCCTTTGGCCGCATCCCGTAAGTCATGACTCTTATATCCCTTGTTTGAAAATCACATAAACCTAACTCTTCCATAGTCAGCATCTTCATGTTCGCTTGCCTCGTTATCTTCCTCCTCCCAAACACGGTCTTCGCCTGGTTCGAATATGTAACATCTCTGATCAAGATCTTCCTCTTCTTGATTATCATTACGCTTTCCTTGGCGTTGGTCCTTGGAGCTGGCCCTAATGGCTCTGTTCACCATGGAGAGACATGGACTGAACTACCAGCATTCCTGAATGGCTTCTCGGTACGTCTTAATATACATTCTTCAGGAAGTAAATTCACTTACACTCCCATAGGGATTCGCCAACTGTGCCCTGCTTGCAACCTGGGCAGTCGGTGATCAAGTCTTCATCGGTATCATGGGTGGCGAGGCAGAGAGTCCACGCTTCTCCCTTGCACATGCTACCAAGCTGGTTCCCTTCCGAGTCAACTTCATCTACATGATCAGCGTCGTTTTCATCACCATTCTGGTGCCCTCCAACGATGAGCGTCTCCTTGGCGGAGGCGGTGTTGCTGCATCGCCTTTCGTTGTCGCGGTCCAAGACTCTGGAATTCCTGCTATTGCTTCTATCCTCAACGCTGGAATGATTTGTGGTGTCCTTGCCATCGCCGCCGAGTCTGTGTATCTCTCGTCAAGAGTGCTGAGGACAATGTCTCACCAGGGTCTGATCTCAACACGTCTTGCTAAGGTTGATGACAAGGGACGACCTAGACTTGCTTTGATCATCACCTCAGTGGTGGCTGTTGTACTTGGATACATTCAACTGTCCGGTAAGTCTCAACCCTCTATTAACTTAAAATCATGAGCTTACACCATGCTAGCTGGTGGACTTACTGTCCTGAACTGGCTAATCTCCATTACAAGTGCATCCTTCTTCAGCAACTGGATCATCATTTCCTTTACCAACTACAGATTCCATTGTGCTCTCAAGGCTCAAAACGACCAGCTCTTCTCCGAGACATACGCCTGGAAGTCCGATGCTTGGCCCCTAGCACCAGCTTGGTTGATGCTTATCTCTGTCATGTTGCTGGTCTGCTGTATCTACTCTGGTATCAACCCGGTTGTAAGTAAACCCACCTCTCATTCTTTTCACAGACGCAACCTAGAATTGAACTACACATTGGATCATACGAAGCACAAGTTAACATCATTCACAGGGCAGCGCTGGCTTCACCGCCGAGAACTTCTTCCAGTACATGATCGGAGTTTTGGTCATCTTCGGCTTCACTCTTGGATACAAGCTTATCTACAGGACACCCTGGAGAGACCCTGCTACTGCTGACTGTCTCACTGGCCGACGACATCTCAGTGTTGATGAGATCAAGCAACTTGATGAATACTATTCCAAGCCCAAGTGGAGACGCTTCCTCACTTATGTCCAGCTGTGGTAAACGCAGCGGTTTGAAAGCTCGATGATGGTAGAGAGGGCTTGAGTACGGGCGTATTCTATAGGCTACTGTAAGCTATTGTCAATGTAATTATTGTTTCATCAAATTAGTGTTGGTCTTATCAATAAGTGAACGGCTATTTGTGACGCCTCTACAACAAACCGGTAGAATTACGAACCTGATGGAATATGAAGAACAGACCAAGAAGAGTTAATAGCTAAATGACTAGACAGCCTATACCCCCATAGGCATGACTCAGTATGAAGAGTTCATTATTGTAGAACTGCATGGCTCATTTGTAGCTGTTGGTCAACGAGATCAATGAGACCAGAAACCCGTCGGATAACTCACGGCTCCGTGCAAAATATCAACAATTAGGATGAAGTAAGCTTCTCTAGAACAATCATGCGACTGTAACTTGGCGATAAAATGTAGACTATCTTGGTGTATACAAAGCCCCTATGTGCCCTCAACCATCGGATCCTCCGGCCAAGGCCACGTCAAGCTATCTATATCCAGCGAGTTTGCAATATTCAAGAGCTGCTCTGCACTGAGCTCATAATTCAACCCCAGTCCAAACTCATCTTCGGAATCAAGGTTGAATGGTTCAGCATATCCAGTGATGGGCTCCGTAATAGGCTCCATATCTTCTACCAGCACTTCCCTTGGCGTACTGTTTTCTTGTGTCGCGATTAAAGATCTTGCTTCGTTGTTGAGCAAAAATCCTCGAAGCAGTCCTTCCAGCTGCTTCAATTCAGATGCTACCATGGGGGCGACCAGATTGCCGCGAGAACCCATCTCATCGAGAATTGCGTAGGCCCTTTGTGTCCAGGGAGAGTGATCGGGTAATAAGGACGAGTCAATTGCAGAAGCCATAAGAAGTGCGATTGTTGCGGTAAGTGTTGCATCTTGGTCGAAACGTAGGAAGGTCTCTGGTGAAGGTGTCAGTGTCATGTAGTCCTTGACTGTTGAAATACGAATTACTTGCCTAAAAGTCCTTGCTCAGAGAGACTTGAGAGAATTCTTAGGATCTGTTGTGCGGACTCTGTGCACATTTGAACCAGACCTTTAACACTTTCTGATTGCAACCAATGCATCAGAGCTACTTCTAGATGCCCAAGTCTTGAGAGCAGAAACGTATAGAGGAGGGGCCTGGTGGTTAAAATAATGCACTTGATGAGTTAGATCATGCTAAACGAGTTTAGATCAGCAGCACTCACTTGATGTTGCAAGACATGTAGATGCGCCGATATCCGAGATATACCAGCCATGCCTTCGCTTGTCTGGACCTCAAATGATTTGTTGAGTCTCTCAGTCACAGTCGCAATGCTTTTGAGCACTTCTTGAGTGGCGCCGAGATATCTACTGTCGAGTTTTCCTTCAAGTCCGTATACAGCTGCAAGACGTCAGCAAGCCACCTTACCCAAACAGACGGCATATACGTACTCTGATCTATCTTTGCAAGCACTCGGCAGAAATCAACATGTATCTTCAAAGCCTCTAATTTCTGTGGCTGTCCTGGAAATACAGGGAAGCGTGCGCTTATAACCTCGTCGGATATGCCTAACGGAAGTCCCTGAAGAGAGCCCATCTGGCGTTCGAGAATGTAAATTGTCCAGAACATGTGGCGACATCTCTGTACATATGCTTCGTCAAGAACACTGGGTTGCATTTCTGTGTGTATACCGTATTCTAACCCATGACGAAGAGCCGAGCAAACCTGGATCGTTAGCTATAGTATGTATCTATAGGACACGTTTGCCTACCAGACGATAGGCCTCTTGGATACGATCCACGCATTGTAGATAGAGGGCAGCGCAACACAGAACTTGCATCTCGTCTATGATATCGCACTCAAAAAAGTTGAAGTCTGGCATAAGCTTCATGGCCTGCACAAAAAAGTCACTGCCAGGAGGTCTTCTAGATTTGGTTGACTGCACGACAAAAGCTTTCCCAAGAGCCAACACCAAAAGGTAATGAACAAACCACAAGGGCTCTTCTCGTATATGCTCAGCACGGTTTTTGTGAAAGCGATGGAATCGCTTCATAAAGACATCCTCGTCGAATAAGTTGTACAGCCAGCTGCAGTGAAACTTGACCGAGTTGATAAGATAGAGGGCGAAATCCTTGGTAGGTAGCGTGGACATGTCTGGTATATCCTGGGTCGTAGATCTCCTTGTGCCATCCCATCTCAGATCGAATACCTTCCCTTCGAGGCCAGCAAAGTGCAGGTTGTGAGTTGGCAATGGAGTACCTGTGAGACGTTCGTGTGTCATGGTCAGGACCCTCTTGTTGAAGGACCAATTCGATGATGTTCCCATGAATACTGGGTTAAAGTTAATTCTGCTATATATACAGAAGGCGAAGGAACTTACAAAGTTGGCCTGTAATCCCCGGGACAAAGTCGTATGTGTGAAAGGCTAGCGGATTGATAAGGGGGGCTTTTGCTTCACTACCAGTTTGTTGATGTTGTGTTTCTGCTGGACCATAAGGCGATATAGACGCCGAGGGTTTTATTGTCAGTCCTGAAATATCATGGTTATCACCAGATAATGCGATACGTTCTGACTCTTGTTAACATTATATGTCAACATTCGATAAGAGTTGTGAAAACTTACCAAATTCAGGACTCTCCGACTGTCCAGCAGTAGCATCGATAAGGGTCTGTTGGTTAGCCTTATTTTCAAGAGATGCCAACTTCTCTTGAAGTCTGTTGATATATCTGCAGGGAATGAGTGAGTAAAGCCTTGTAAACGGACTTGTCACTTGGCTTACCCTCTCGAAACCACTACTTTACGAGACTCATCATCAAATCGACATGTCAATCCTCTCTTATCGCATTGTTGACACGGCTGAGAGCCTGAGCATCTAATCTTCTGATCACGACATCTTACACAACTAAGGATCCCGTCAGTTATGATACTGGACTTTTAATAAAATAAGAACATACGCTTTTGGGACACGCTTTCGGGCATTGTTAGGTCTTGCAGAACTAGCCCTCGTTGACGCTGACATCACAAAGACACACAGAAGTAATTGGAACAGCAGTAATCAAGAGTAATGATATTGTTGTTTGAATAAGACAATGCCATCTCTACAGTTCCCCAGCCCCAGGTTGTTTCAACAGGCAAGCTTCCGCCTAGAGAGCGGGGTAGATTAAGGGCCGTTGATAGGGTTCCAAAGCCGATAGAATGGAAGAATGGAAGCGCTTTAGAAGATGTGGGTATCTATGATTTAGTAAGGCGATTGGCCTCGATCTTGATGGCGGAGTTTGATCGTCTACGAGACCCAATTGCGTTTAGAGCCTTTGGTTTGTCACTAAGAATAGAGGAGCATATCCTACCCAAAACTGAGAATAAGACTGATTCTCATACTTACAAGATGAGGCACCCGATCAAACCCGTATAGAGTTACTTTTTAAAGAGAGTAGTACACCGCTAGCTGCAACGTTGAAAACAGGAAAAGTTAGTAATACACCTGTGGTGCAAAGCAGACTGTTGACTAACAACGTCTGTACTCATGATATCGGATTCGTTCCTTGTCATGGTCTCACCTAGTTATGACCTAGAAGCATAAAACAGCAATTCATTCGAGTAGACACCCTAATTGTTCCGATGGCCATGGATACAGCCGCCTTGTACAAAGTCCAAGCTAACGAGCGGCTGAAGCTGAAGCTTATGGTTGTTGGTGGCTTGCAGGCTGAGGGTCTTGTGCAACCGACAAATACGACTTTTCGATGCAGAACATTAGTAGTTAAGCTTGTATAAGAGGGAGTAACACCCACCTACTTACTCATCTACTTTTATGACCAACAATATCCGCTTCACATACTCCTACCTTGTCATCAATGCCAGGTTTCAATCTCAGCTACCAGTGGCTGCACTATACCCGACCCTCAGGGCCACCATCTCCAGCTCCTGAGGGTCTCGAGCGTCACTGGCTAAAAACACCCCAAGGCCGGATCGAAGTCCTCTCCAACACACCGTCCATCACCAGTGAGTCCAATGGCCCTCCCATAGTATTCTGCCACGGCGGAATGGGCTGTGCCTGGGTTTGGACGGAGTACATGCAGTATCTCGCTGCACGCGGCGTTCAATGCTACGCTGTTTCGTTGCGCGGCCACGGAGAGTCATGGCATCCATCTTACTTCCGCATGGTCTTTGCGACGCCCAGGAGCGCTCTGGCTTCTGATCTTGTTGCGGCGATAGAGTGGGTGCAGACGCGTGAGGAGAGCGAAGTGATGCTCGTTGGACATTCCAGTGGCGGCGGTTTGAGCCAGGGCGTTCTCAGTGATGGGCTGGCCAATGTTAAAGCGCTTGCGTTGTTGGGAGCTGTTCCAGGATTTGGATCGTAAGTCGTGATGCAACTCATACCTTAACCTCCAATCGAGATGCTAACACAGCTTTACAGAATGGGCGTGTACTTGAATTGGTGGAAAATGGATCCATGGTTCACCATTCGAATGATATTCCATCTGTGGCACTCCAACTCACCTCTTTCACACCCAAAGCTCACCCAACGCGCTTTCTTTGGCGACAAATTCCTGCTCTCCGCTGTCATCCCCTTCCAGCGCCATATGAATCGCTACGAGAGCTATCTATGGCCCTTCAGCATGATGTACAGCTTCGCATCTGCATCAAGTATCCTTAGACACATCCGCAACGAGGGCGCTAGCGGCGAAAAGGTTCTTGTGATGGCTGGGACACAAGATAAACTGATGACAGCACCAGTGACGGAAAACACTGCGACGTTTTATCGCGAGGCGGGAGTTGAGGCGCGAGACGGTGTGAGATTGCGTTTCGTTGAGGGCGCGGGACACCATTTACAGAATGATGTTCAGTGGAAAGACGGCGCAGAGAAGTTGTTTGAGTTTTATAAAGGCATTGCTTGAGGAGGAATCTCTTCCCTCTGGTTAGTCCTTGTCCTTGTCGGGGCGGATGTCCAGTTGGTTTGATGATACTTGTATAACACATCTCTATAGCGCTCGCTCGCAACTCCACGATATTACTCATAGTCAAACATAGACCTATGTCCATTGAAACAGCGGCAACGCTAACCAGACATAAAATGTTCGGTTCGATTACCCGTTAGCATTTACCGCTTTTTGAGGCATGTCGTGGATCGGTTCAATATGCCGAGACGCGACCGAATCAACGTGCCACTCTATTCTCGACTCCCGGTCCGGTAGCGGCCTGGAAAAGGCACTGAAGGAACTCCGTCGCTGTACTGAAAGAAGAAAAAAGAGGGGACGGATGACAAGGGAGTCCGGGGCTAGAGCATCTTCCTACAGCGCGTTGCCTAGGCGAAGTTCCCTTTTCTTTCCCCTGAGGCAATTCGTATCACTTCAATTCATCATCATCAAGCACGTCCATCTTCGGTGTCAAAAAAGCGTCTTTTGTTGAATCTTCAGCTTTCGGCACTTCAAAGCCCCGAAAACTCCGGCATCTACATCCCGGATTCGGAAGCCTACCGACCTTTTCGTGCCTCACAGAAACCTCTCGGGCTTCTTCCGTCGCATCGCCCTGCTCCAGTGAAAGGACCAGCGCAACAAGCAACCTAACCTACCTACACGCCAACCTTTTCGCCAGGGGCCTCAGGCAGTCAACCTGGCGCGCATTCAGCGGTTGTCAGCGGGGGTAGGTGCGGCCAGTCGTTCGCTCTTGCCAAGATCGGCATTCGTTATGGAGGGGAGAAAGGTGACGGTGCCCCGCGCTCCGGAGCTGTCCGCCGAGAGCCCCTCTTCGGCGGGCTTCAAGACATATTCGGCCGCTGGGTCGGCCGATAGGATCTCTCTCGTCTCAGGTCATTTGTCGCATCAGTCTTCTTCTTATAACACAGCTTCTCCTACTCAAGTTCCCTCGTCCATTCAAGCTCGTCGTCTCTCTACAACCACAGCCACAATGTCTTCTCAACCTGCACACGCTACTCTGCTCATTCCCGGGCCCATTGAGTTCGACGATGAGGTCCTCAAGTCCATGGGTCACTACAGGTACGACTTGGACCAAGTTTGCCTATTAATAATAATACCTCGCTTGCTAATACTTGTTCCGCAGTGAGAGCCACGTCGGACCCGGCTTTGTCAACACCTTCGGCGAGACCCTCACCCTGACCCGCAAGCTCTTCCAATCGACCGACCCCTCCGCTCAACCTTACGTTATCTCCGGTTCCGGCACCCTGGGATGGGACATTGTTGCTGCCAACCTTGTCGAGGCTGGTGAGGACGCCCTGGTTCTTAGCACCGGATACTTTGGCGATGGCTTCGCCGACTGCCTCCGCGCCTACGGTGCCAACGTTACCAAGCTCGACGGCGAGGTTGGTGGCCGACCTCAGCTCGCCGAGATCGAGAAGACCCTTTCCGAGAAGAAGTTCAAGATCCTCACAGTCACCCACGTCGACACATCAACCGGTGTCCTGAGCGAGCTCAAGGACCTTACCGCTCTTGTGCACCGTGTCTCCCCCGAGACTCTCGTTATCGTCGATGGCGTCTGTAGTGTTGCATGTGAGGAGATTGCTTTCGATGAGTGGGGTCTTGATGGTGTTGTTACTGCCAGCCAGAAGGCCATTGGCGTGCCTGCTGGTCTTTCTATCTCTTTCTTCAGCGGCCGAGCTGTCGCCGCTGCTCTTGAGAAGCGCAAGACTCCTATTCCCGCCTACTTTGCTTCTCTGAAGAACTGGACTCCCAGTAAGTGACGCAGCTTCGCAAATGCCTTTTCTCCCCTGCTAACGATTCAAAGTCATGAAGAACTATGAAGCCAAGAAGCCTTCTTACTTCGCCACTCCCTCTCCTCAGCTCATCCACGCCCTTCACACTGGCCTAACACAGATCTTCACTAAGCCCCTGGCCGAGCGATTCCAGGGCCACATCGAAGTCTCGAACAAGGTCAAGAAGGCCATCACCGATATGGGCCTCAAGATTGTTGCTACCAAGCCTGAGGATCAGGCCCACGCCATGACTGCTATTTACTTGCCCGAGGGTGTTGGTGCTCCTGATGTTCTGCCCAAGCTAGCTGCCAAGGGTGTCGTCTTTGCTGGTGGTATTCACAAGGCTATTGCTCCCAAGTACATCCGATTCGGCCACATGGGTGTCAGTGCTGTAAGTGTTATGCGAACTCGTCTGTTGTGAACTTCTTGCTAATACCTTCAATAGCTTGACCCTAGCCGCGACCACATCGAGAAGGCTCTTAATGCCCTCAAGGAGAGCTTGGCCGAGGCTGGGTACAAGGCTTGAAAATAAACAAACATGTAGCTATCGACAGGGGAGCTTGGTCTTTACTGTGGATTAAAAAAATTATATAATGATACAACGACTGGCCATGGATGCATATTTGGATAGACGATGGAACCGACTAGAGGGTTGGAAAGTATTGTCACATATTGATCTAGCGAGTCTTAAAAATATGATACTTTGATGACAGACGTGTTGAGCCATGGTTCGTTGTGTTTTATGAGCTATCAGATTATGCCTGTGACGGCTGCCTTCAAAGTGTGATATCACTCCCGGGTTGATGCAGGCTATTAAGGCTACACAGACGCAATGCAGGATATGGCAATCTTATAACGAGCGAACGCGTTTGAGAGGAAGTGCTCGGTCGGCACGTTTGTCGTTATCGAGAACACCCCAAGACACAATGGTGATTCGGATAGCTGCATGCGGCAAATTCAGCAGTACGTAACTCAGGCGTCGTTGATAAATCCAAAGCGAATCATGAGATCGATCGAGGGGTTATGCGCCCGGGAGGCTGGGAGTTTCGGAAGGGCCATGTACCGCTACAAAGATCCCAGCGTCATGGGTCTGACGAACTGCAGCCTTGTCGCTCTTTTGGGCTCTTTTGGTATGGGAAGAAACACAGTGACAGCATCAACCGCCATGACGGAGTATGTAGAGATACATTCAACGTGATAGTGACATGACATGACAGGACAGGACAGGACAGGCATCCCCGCTGCTGACAAAACCAACGGCCTGGAGCTTCAGCCTGAGACGCCTGAGACTGACGGGTTTAGAGATGGAGAACCTAGTACCTAAGCTCCAGAGACAGCTCGTTGCTGGTGGTTACAAGTGACGCAGGCGTGGCATAGTGCATACTGACTGCACTGCGGGGCATTTTTTTTTGGTCCTGGCACTCCACTAAAGGCGCTGTATTCACAGTGCACTTGCTGCTCTGCTTCCACTCCAACTCCACTTCGATTAGTCCAGTCCAGTCCATGGATCTCTTCACACTTCACCTCACCTCACCGACGTCGTCCACTTTACATTAGTTTGCTTTGCAACGTCCACCCGAAGTCGAAGTTTGCATTTCTCCTCTTTTTCATTTTTTCCAAAGCTTCCTCGCGACGCCTTGACCTCCTCCGACTATCCGTCTTTCACATCGCCATTTCCCATTCTCCCTCCTCTTACTGTAGAGTTGCGCTACTGCTTCCCTCTCTATATCTGCCTGGGGCTGGTATTTGCTTGTATCTCTTCCATCTCTCCCCCCGCCTCGCCTTGTCTCATTCAACCCACCACAACCACAACCACCACAACCTCCTCCAACCACCAACTCTTCTGTTCTCCCACGTAACGACCCCCTCGTGAATTCGAAATAAGCACGCAAAATGGCCGCCTCCATTGAAGAGCTGGACGTCCTTGTCCGCTCCTTCTACGAGGGGCGCGGTGAGCAGGTAGGTTTATCACCCGCGGTGTCGGGTTTTCCCAAACCGTGGACCCCGCGCGTCGAGATGAGGAACAAGAGCTAATCCCGCCTCGTGAATCGTGTAGCAAAAAGCCGCCCAAGCTGCCCTCAACCAGGTTCGTGCATCTCTCCAGCTTCTGGCTTGTGTAAAGCCTTTTACTGACTTGAGTTTCAGTTCAAAGAAGACCCCGATGCCTGGCTCATGGTCGACAAGATCCTCTCGGATGCGCAGTATCCTCAAACCAAATGTGCGTTGCCTCTGCTTTGCGCCACTTCCTAAGCTGTGCTGCACTCCAGTCAGCACCTACCTCCGAAATATGCGAACTCACGGCGTGTGAAACCACTCGACTAACAAAATTTGATAGACTTGGGTCTGCAGGTTCTGGACAATGTGATCTCGACGAGGTGGAAGGTTCTCCCCCGGGAACAATGTCAAGGTCCGTCTATTCCACGATAACAGCTTAACAGCCAAGTCTGACAGCTTGGGTCTTGTAGGAATCCGAAACTTCATCGTCCAGTTCATCATCCAGTGCTCGAGCACCGAAGAGTCGTTGCGCGAGCAAAGGACTTTGCTCAACAAGCTCAACCTCGTCCTCATTTCCGTCCTCAAGCAGGAATGGCCTCACAACTGGCCTACATTTATCAACGAAATCATCTCGTCCTGCCATTCCAACCTAGCCATCTGCGAGAACAACATGATCATTCTTCGTTTGCTCTCGGAGGAAGTTTTCGACTACTCGGCCGAGCAGATGACATCGACCAAGACACGCAACCTCAAGCAAACCATGTGCGCCGAGTTCTCGCAAATCTTCAACCTTTGCCAGGAGGTTCTCAACACCGCCACACAGCCTAGTCTGATCAAGGCGACTCTCGAGACCCTTCTGCGATTCTGCAACTGGATCCCCCTGGGATACATCTTCGAGACACCACTCATAGAGACGCTGCGAACCCGTTTCCTCTCGACCCCCGAGTTCCGCAACATCACCATGCAGTGCCTTACCGAGATCGGTGGCCTTCAGACTGGTGGCCCTGGACAGCCCAACTCATACGATGAGGAGCTGGTCAAGATGTTCACCGAGACGTTGACAACCATCGCTAGCATTATTCCGGTTACTCTGGATCTCAAGAGCACATATCCTAGCAGCAACTCAAGAGATCAGGAGTTTATCCAAAACCTGGCTCTCTTCCTTTGCAATTTCTTTGGAATGCACTTGAACGTAGGTCATGAAATGTGTTTAAAACTTTTAGGAAATTCTAATATGTGTATAATAGCTCATCGAGAAGCTTCCCAACCGAGATTTCCTTATTCACGGTCACTACTATCTTATCAGGATATCGCAGATCGATGATCGAGAAATCTTCAAGATTTGCCTCGACTACTGGCTCAAGCTCGTCCAGGAGCTCTACGAGGAGATGCAACAGCTCCCCATTACCGACCTCAACCCCCTCATGGCCGTCGGCGCAGGAATTTCTGGTAGCGGCGCCCCGAACCCTACGGTCCTCAACAACTACCCTCTTCGAAAGCACAAGTACAACGAAGTTCTGTCAAACCTCCGAGTTGTCATGATTGAGAAGATGGTCCGTCCTGAGGAAGTCCTGATTGTCGAGAACGACGAGGGTGAAATTGTCCGAGAGTTCGTGAAGGAGAGCGACACAGTGCAGCTTTACAAGACAATCCGAGAGTGTCTGGTCTACCTGACACACTTGGATGTGGTCGATACAGAAAACATCATGACAGAGAAGCTGGCTCGACAGGTTGACGGCAGCGAGTGGTCTTGGCACAACTGCAACGTTCTTTGCTGGGCCATCGGCTCGATTTCCCTTGCAATGAACGAGGAGACGGAGAAGAGATTCCTTGTCACTGTCATCAAGGACCTCCTTGGTCTTACTGAAATGAAGCGTGGTAAGGACAACAAGGCCGTTGTCGCCAGTAACATTATGTACATTGTCGGCCAATACCCCCGATTCCTTAAGGCTCATTGGAAGTTCCTTAAGACTGTTGTTAACAAATTGTTCGAGTTCATGCACGAGTCTCACGAAGGTATGTTTCGAGCTGCTTCACCTACGACTTACACGATACTAACCAGCATTTCACAGGTGTTCAGGACATGGCTTGCGATACGTTCATTAAGATTGCCCGTCAGTGCCGACGACACTTCGTTGCTCTTCAGCCTAGCGAGCAAGAGCCCTTCATTGAGGAGATCGTGCGAAACATGGGTAAGATTACATGCGACTTGACTCCCCAACAGGTTCACACCTTTTACGAGGCTTGTGGTTATATGGTCGCCGCTCAAGGCAACAAGCACCAGCAAGAGAGGCTCCTCTCCGATCTCATGGCCATCCCCAATGCGGCTTGGGACGAGATTATCAAGCAAGCAACAGTGAACCCTTCCATTCTTCAAGATGCGGAGACCATCAAGGTTATCGGAAACATCATGAAGACTAATGTGTCAGCTTGCTCTTCTGTGGGATCCTACTTCTACCCCCAGATTGGTCGCATCTATCACGACATGCTCCAGATGTACAATGCCACAAGTACACTGATCTCCGAGGCTGTGGCTCGCGATGGTAAGACTCAAATTCGACCATCCCGCTTATAGTGATACTGACAGCGTTTAGGTGAACTCGCAACCAAGATGCCCAAGGTCCGAGGTCTTCGTACCATCAAGAAGGAGATCCTCAAACTTATCGAGGTTTATGTTGATAAGGCGGAGGACCTTCAGGCTGTCCGCGCTCAGATGGTTCCTCCTCTGTTGGACTCTGTTCTAGTCGACTACAACCGCAACGTCGCTGGTGCTCGAGATGCTGAGGTGCTCAAGGCTTGCTCTACCATCATTACCAAGCTCTCTGTTAGTATCCCCGCAGTGGCATGTAAGATTATTAAACTGACCGTCATCAGGCTCTCATGGAAGACCAAGTTCCTACTATCATGCAGAACGTCTTCGAGTGCACTTTGGAAATGATCAACAAGGACTTCTCCGAGTTCCCCGAACACCGAGTGGAGTTCTTCAACCTCCTCCGGGCCATCAACTTGCACTGCTTCCCTGCTCTGCTTAAGCTCGATAACAACCAGTTCAAGTTTGTCATTGACTCGTGCTCGTGGGCTTTCAAGCACGACAACCGAGATGTTGAGGCTGCGGGTCTCAACATGGCACTGGAGTTGATTAACAACATTGCTGAGAAGACAGATATCCAGACCGCCAACGCTTTCTTCCAGCGATTTTTCATCACTATTCTCCAGGATGTGTTCTTTGTTGTCACCGATAACGACCACAAGGCTGGTTTCAAGACGCAGTCTATGCTGCTCATGAAACTATTTTACTATATTAACCCCGCAGACGGCACTCAGCCTAAGATCCAGGGACCCATCTACAACCCTGATCAGGCTGCAGCCGGAACCGATAACCGAGAGTTTGTTGCCAACTTTGTAGCAAACCTCTTGCAAAATGCTTTCCGCAATCTGCAAGCGTACGTATTAACCCATCCCATCTATACTACAATGTTAACCGTCAAACAGGAACCAGATCACAAGCTTCGTCGAGGGTCTATTCACGCTTAACACGCAGTACGATAAGTTCCGACTCAACCTCCGTGATTTCCTCGTCTCCCTCAAGGAATTCGCAGGCGACAATGCTGAGCTGTTCGTCGTCGAGAAGGAGCAACAAGAGCAGGATGCCAAGACGGCCGATATGGAGCGACGACAGAAGGTTGGCGGTCTACTCAAGCCTTCTGAGCTGGAAGATGAGGAGCTATGACTCAACGAAGAACTGCGGACTGAGTTTGCTCCCCAAGCCACCGAAGAAACGGGACCGACAGATGCAGCTGGGGATGGTTGGGAGTTTTATGGTCTTTGATGGGTTTCACCCAGGATTACGATCCAAAAGCCAATCTTGCCATCCCACGCACGCTATAGCATCTTGTCCACGCCCAATTTCATTCCTGCTATGATACCATATTCCTCCCATAGAAGAGTGGCCATCCGCCTATCCCGGCCCGGTGGCGCGACGCCCTTGTCTAAATCGCCCCTTGGAAGTCTCAAGGGGAAGAGTTAAAAAACAACAAGATAAAGATCAAGGAGCACTGGTTGAGTTTTGGTCGTTTTTGACCGTTTTATTTTCTGATTTGACGACGTTGCTGCTTGTGGAAGCCATTGCCCATCCGCTTTTATGAATAAAAATAAAGAGAAATGCCTTAAAAGATTCAGAGTATTCTGTCCGTGGGAAGGGGGAAAGAGTATGGGTTTATGTAGATATAGTTGTAGCTCACACTATGGTAACCCCACAGTGAAATGAGATGAAGGAAATGATAATCATCGATTCATTGTGTTACTTGTTGCGCGAGGTCTACTGGTTCAAGGAGATTGTGATATATGGCAGTAATGCAAGGAACTGCTCTTCCATCCCTACTTATATACTCCTGGCTTCGGGACTATGTCTCTATGTTTACATCTCGACCCAGATCGTCCGTCTGTCGGCGCTGGCTAACGTAGGACACCAGATTCATCTGAAAGATAGCCATCATGAGCCAACTCTCCTCATATCTCATATATGCAACGCTCGTACGATAGCTAAGGGTCGAGATGACTATACACTGTTCATACAACCAGGTGCGCGAAACCGACTGGTTACTGCATAGTAACAGAGTTGGGGGCTCTGGCACTGGGAGAGTCCTTCGTTGGATTGAAGTAGTTCCGAATCAGAATTGAGTATGGCTTACAGACCAGCCCTCGCTATGAGAACAAAGTCGATATAACTGAAGGTGGTGTCCGCCTCCCGTGTCTCATCCTTGATCATTCTCTAGCTCCTCAAGAGGCCAGCGCAGGGCGTCTTGCCAATAACTCCCAAGATGATCAGCAATAAGCCGTACCAGAAACGTACCCGCGTCACCAAAAAGCCAGAAGTGGCGACACCGGTGCAGGAGAACACCGTAGTAAGCCAACACCAGCAATGCCTCTGGGCGATGTTTGCGGGCGATCTCCACATAATCTTGGCTCAGTACAACCGGGAATGCCGATGCAGCTTGTATCTTGGTACTCGCCGGTAAGTTGCGGTGGACGTTGAAGGCCCATTGGAGTGTGCTGGCTGCATCGCTACAGGCTTCGACCGCCGCACCGCTCAAATCGGAGGTTTGGATAAACTCTATCAGTTCGTCACACTCGGATCCCTTGTCTCCGAGTTCCGCTGCGTTTTTCACGCCGAGGAAGAACGGCGCCAGCGGAGATTGTAGAAGAGATGGGTAGGATGGTGATGTGAAAGACCGCACACCCTGATGGAGAAGAACCGAGTTGCAGAACCTTTCGATGAAGATATGGAAAGAGCCGCGATACTGAGTGAATGTATCGTAAAGCATGTGTAAGCTTAGCAAGGAGGAGAAGAGAAACTGGGGCAGATTGCGGGTTTCGTGGCCGGCTGTTTCCTGTGTGTCTTTGTTGAAATATGTGAGAGCACGAGTCTGCAGCTCTGTAGCAGTTCGACGATAAGCGATCGAACTCTCAGGGTGTATCATGGCGAGGTGGTCTGCCGCAATGGCGAGCAGTTGGTCCAAGGCGTAAGGAGCCTGTGACGACCATTCGAGAGCAACGTCAATGATGATATCCACGTTCTCGGCATCGAACAGCATAGACTTGCGGAAGTGATGTAAGAGTATGAGATGTTTGCCGGTAAATACAGGCGTAGGAAGAGCATCCGGGAGTGACGAGGACAAAGGCGACTCAGCAAAGTCAAAGGACTCTGTGAAAGACGGGAGAGTAGTAACAGACGATCGATCATCAGGTTCAAAGCGCGGTCCAAGATAGGGCGGCGGAGGTATTGACGAAGGACGCTGCGAAGCCCCAGCGCTTGAGACGCTGTCAACAGGACTCTGTAATCGGCTGCTGCTCTTGTTCCTCAGCGGCTCGTTGACAGGCGATTCCGCGGCAGCCGGTTTAGGAGGCGTCGGAAAAGAGCAGGCTCGCTCACTGGTGACGCAGTTGCTGCAGTTGGGACGGTGCTCATCGCACTTGATGTGTCGCCTCTTACACTCCAAGCAGCCGTTACGGGACTTGCGATGGGCCCTTCGGAGCTTGCCAGCGGCGCCGGAGCCGGAACCGGAGCCGGAGGTTGGGGTCAAACCCTCGGCGGTGGAACGCGGGGGCATCGGAAGAGGTGAGGGTGAGAGGCAGAGTGAGTGCGGGTGTGGGTGCGGTACCGGGGGGCGAAAGAATTGGCTCGGTGGGATCAAGCAGCCCGAGTCATAGGTTAGTAGTCTTGGCCGCCTAGGTACGGATAGTGATGATGTCTTTCCCCTGGCGTTTCGCGTAATATGATTGGCCGGCACTGAGGTCAGAAGCCTCGTCGTATACGGATAGCAATACGTTGATAGTGATAACAGTGAGTGATAGTCGTATTGTTTCAGTAAAGTTTTTGTCGCTGGGGCGGGACGAGTCTAGCATAAATTCGAACGGAGTTTTAGTCATGCATGGGGTTGCCGTCTTTGGCCATGACCATGACTATGACCGCGATATTAGATATTATCCAACATCAACAACCTACGTCTTTGACATCACACTCTGCTGTATATAGGGAGAAGCATGGGCCGTTCCGCTCAGAATATTTTCTGAGGAAATGAACATGTTTAGCTTGAGGCTGTGGTGATATTACATTGAGACAAGGTCGAAATAAGGCGTTTCGGAATTATCCGTTGTATTTAATTTAACCAAAAATAGCAGTCTCATACTGTATCAGCCTCATATGGCTACGAATTTTTACAAAAGAGCCTTGTGACGCGTGTTATTGCGTGGCATCCACAGTACTAAAACATTATCTTTTAAAGTCGTTCCATTTCCGCTATCATCCTCCCAATTGGTGATATCATGACAATGATGTCAATATCTATATCCCCGAGCAAGAGCGGCCTAAGTGATTATCGATCTAAAAAGAGCATATACTATCTAGAGACCTACAATCCTCAAGCCTAAAGAGATGGGAATATCTGAAAGAATACCTACTTATTCAATTTCAACTATGAGGTCAATCCACCCACTTATAAAAGACCCCCCCAACAATCGTCACTTAGACAAATATCCGATACGCGTTCATCGGATTCAGCTCGAATTTTCGTATCCAGATTCAGAAAGCTATACGCGTATACTCACTCAAATTGACCAGAGCATTATAAATATACCCAGTCCATGCTTTACTCCGACCTGCAAAGCTTACGACGCCCTCACCACACCAAGGCCATTCTGCCTTGCCATCAGGTAGACCAATCCCAAAACAACAGTAACCAAAAACGGGGTATATTCTATATTCCTGTCTAATCGTCAAACCCTGTAAACTCGTCCTCCTTATCCTTTTTAGCCGCCGCGGCCTCAAGAATTGCCTTTTCGCGGTTTTGTTTTCGGATCTGAACAAGCATCTCGTTTAGCTCCATCTGCTTGATCTTCTCGTCCTCTGTCATGTTGGAAGTGGCCTCTGCCTCACGACGCTTGCGTCGCTTTTCCCTTCGCTCCACTCTCTCATCCTCCATCTCGTGCTTGGCGCTCCAGGCCTCGTTGTTCTTGCGCTTGCGCTTCACTTCCTCGCTCTTGTCCTTCTTCTTGCCTGCCTTCTCCTCCTCGAGGGCCACCTTTCTTGCTTGTTCGCGAGTCTTTTCCTTGTAGGCGTAGTTGTCCCAGTCTATCTCAAGGCCACACATCTTGTCGCCCGTGAAACCCTTGAGCTCGGGCATTCTAGGCAAACGCAGCAATCCCCATGCATTGCCAAGATCAGCCCAGTCGAGATCAGCCGCGCGGAAAATAGATGTAGCCTGGTGAGCGCCGTAGCTTCGAGCCCAGCTCACGAATCCTTTCTGTGCTTTGTCGAACAGTGCCCGGTCTGTCAACACAAGGTCCCTAATCTTCTTCGTAGCAGCAACAGCATCCTCGTCTGATGTGAAAACGGTTGGCTTCTCCAGTTTTACAATTGGAGTTTTGCGAATCTCTAAGAACTGGACGTAATCTTCTTCTCGTCCAGGGTGCAACATCACCACTGCCAGTCCCTTTCGGCCCGCACGGCCAGCTCTTCCACTGCGATGGATAAACACCTTGGGATCTGACGGGGCATCGATCTGAACCACCAGATCAACCTGCGGGATATCCAAACCACGAGCTGCCAAATCGGTTGTAAGTAGTATTGTAGGAGCGACGGAGTTGAGGAAGCGGTTAAAGTTTTTCTCTCGGACTTTAGCTGGGTGCTTTCCATGTAGGGGAACCAGGGCGAAACCCTCTGGCAGGATCAGAGGCAGAGCATGTTGGAAATAGTCGACAGCTGCGCAAGTAGAAAGGAAAACGATACTCCGTTGAGGTCGTACAGGTAATTGTCGAAGCAGTTCCGCAAGGGCGGGAAGTTTTTGGCTCGCGGGCTTAACCATGTATGTCATTTGCAGACTGGCAGGGGTCTTTCTGTCTTCGAGAACTCCACCATCCTTCATCTTGACCTTGACCTCGATTTTGACGGGATTTCGCAGACCGACTCGAATAATCTCGCCAACGGCCTCACTAACACTAGCACTGAAAAGTCCAGTTCTTCGCTGCTTTGGCAGGTGCGACAGAATCTTCTGGAGATCCGGCTTGAAACCAAGGTCCAGGAGACGATCGGCTTCGTCAAGGACTAGAACCTCGAAGGAGGACTGGGGGCAGTGGACGTGAGGCGAAGACAGAAGTTCGACAAGTCGGCCGGGAGAGGAGATGAGAACGTTCGGGCTGTGTCGAAGGAAGAAACTGAGATCTTGCGCCGTGGTCGTTGTGCCTCCTACGAGCAGCTGGGGCACGATGGCGGGTACGGTAGTAGAAGGTCGCTTTTCGTCGTCTTTTAGGTGAGGAAGGACTTCAGCGGAGGCTTCGTGGAATTGCAGCAGATTGACTAGGACAGTATGGATCTGAGCAGCCAGTTCGCGCGTGGGAGAGACGATGATAGCGGCGACATGGTGTTTCTTGGTGGGTTCGCTAACTCGTAGAAGTTTTTGGACAAGAGGAATGAGGAAAGAAAGGGTTTTTCCACTACCAGTAACAGCCTAGAGACAAGTTAGAACGTCAATCGCAATACCACCGGGTTGATAAAGGCCTACCTCGACAACAACATCTTTGTTTCCCATGAAATGTGGGAGTGTTGCAGCTTGAACGGGTGTCATCTGGGTGAAGCCCATAGTTGCGACAGCATCGCGAACCCATTCTGAGAGAGGAGGATCTAGGGCATCCCAAGCTCTCGGGCTCCTCTTTCTGGGCCTTTCCGGAGCCATTATTAGCTAGAAGTAGACAGAAACAATATCTTGTAATTATAGAGAGATATGGTCTATCAAAGATCCAAATCGCATAGCAGAGGGGCCGTCTTTGGGATCTTTTGCGCGAAACATTTCTTGAAATTTTTATCTTATCACCACGTGAGATCGACGCAAGCTTGAACTGTGGCGCAGACCTGTTGTGGCTGAAGTGCCATTTACTTGATAGCACGTGCTTACTGGAAATGATGTCTTTTTACTAACCTAAACAAATGATGTGGGATTTACTGGTCCCTAAGGTAGATGATTCAAATTAGAGTGAGCTGTGACAGGTGACATTACATCTTGATTGGTATTGGGCGAAAGACACATGCCAGATGGCGGAACATCCGGGAGACTGTTGTACCAGGATTAACAGATAATCTTGTTTTTTAATTTCATGTGCTTACTCTCAGAGTCTCGAAGAGTTATACGAATATCGATATTTTCCAAATTTTACACGAGAATATCATCAAAGCCGAGGTGTTGTTTAGAAAGACCCTCTTATTCAAAACCATCACATGCCAGAAGGAAAGTTGTAGACGTAGAGAAAGGCGGTGTCATTGCGGAACTGAACGCCACAGTTACGTATCTGCCCCGGCTCTGGACAAAAAATCTCCAACCGTTACGGATACAACGCCAAACTTGATCAAGATACAGCTCACGCCAGTTTGACGAACAAGACTCGCCCAGCTCAGTTTAGTTTCGGTGTCTATCTTTCTACTTGCAGTGTCACGCGACTCTTCTTCTTCTCCCTCTGCAGTTATTCCTCGGTTACTGTCTCAAAGCCCCTAGTCAAGTACCCGTTCTACATCACCCCGTCACTCTCACACGCATCCATAGTACCGTACCCTTCTGTACTGTACATGTGTGCGTGCCCCGGTCATCAACGCCTTATATCCCCGAACCCATCATGCGGCGGGGGATTCACCCTCCGTTGCACCCTTGTTAATCAATCTGGATTCAATAAACAACCACGGCTCTTACCATACCCAGAATCCTCGGCCAATACGTAACCCGAGCACTCCGAGCCGCAATTTGAGTCAGAGTCTGAGCCCGAGTCAGGGTTACCAGCTACATCATCAAGACCACCAGCAGGAGGACCTTGACTCTGAACACAACAGCCAGAGTCTACGCCACAATCAACGGCATAGCCACGACTACGTCTTCGGCCACCACGACACAGACAACCATCTTTTAGATCAAGGGATTCAACAACAACACCGTCCTGTTGACGAACCCTCTTATTACGATACCTCACACACCTTCACCATTTCATCTTCACCTGAACCCCCCGCAACGGTGCGCAGATCGCGCCGTGATAAACATCTCCACTCTACAACATCCAATATCCTCTGGCCACCCGGCCTCGACTCTCTCCGGCGCATAGTACTCGGTGCCGTTCGCTGCTCAGCACTGCCGCCCTTCAACTTCGCCATGTCCTTCCGATCCAAAATCCCGGAGACGCCCCGCGTCATCTCGCCGAGTCCCACGCCATCCGAGCGCGAAGCCGCCGATTACATGGGTCCCGTCACACGCTCCGCGGCCCGGAGACGGACACCCACACCCCAGCCGCTTGAGGAAGAGCCCGATGAGGATCTACCCGAGCACCCCGAGTTTCGACGCGCCCGAACCCGCAGCCGCTCGCCGATAGATACACAGGCAGTGACGCGGTTAACGAAACGCACAAGCACTGCGGGTAAGGCGGGTAAGACAGGAAAGGTGTCCAAAGACACTATTCCGGAAGAGCCAGCGACGTCAGATGGGGCGCTCAACGGTAAGAGCAATGGGAAGTCTTCCACGACAAATGGCCACCTTGCGCCGCCTCAGCCTACAACACCAACAGGATGGTCCTGGCGGGACTTCAGTCGTAGTCCCAGTCCCCTGGGCCTGATTCCCATCCATAGGCACTGGAGGACTTTTGTACACAAGCACGAGGTACCCCGCAAAGTGCTTCATGTGTCGATCGGCTTCTTTGTCATATGGCTCTACGTGACGGGTACTCAGACAAGCTCTGTAACACCCTGGCTCATGTCAGGTCTTATCCCTATCACAACAACCGACTGGCTCCGACACCGATATGCGTCGGTTAACCGCTTGTACGTCAGAGTCCTCGGTGCGCTGATGCGTGAGAGCGAGTACTCTGGCTGGAACGGTGTCATCTTCTACCTCCTGGGTGCCTGGATCGTGCTCTACGGCCTCCCTAAGGATGTCGGCATCATGAGCGTTCTCCTGCTTAGCTGGTGCGACACCGCTGCCAGCACCTTCGGCCGACTCTGGGGCCGATACACTCCCCGTCTGCGCAAGGGCAAGTCTCTTGCTGGCTCGACTGCTGCGTTCCTTGTTGGCGTTGGCACTTCGTACTTCTTCTACGGCTGGCTCGTTCCCACCACAGGTCCCTTCCCTGGTGATGAGAGCTTCCTCTTCAAGGGTGTTCTGTCACTTCCCAAGACCATCTGCGAAGCTGTCGGTGTCTCGCAAGAGCAGACGACCATCTCTGGTGCTGTTGCTCTGGGCGTCATGAGTGTATGGTCCGGCTTCGTGGCTTCTGCCAGCGAAGTTGTCGATATCTTTGGCTGGGACGACAACCTAACGATCCCCGTGCTGAGCGGTATTGGCATCTGGGGCTTCCTCAAGGTCTTCTCCTAAAGGGCATAATTCCTTATCTTCAACAGAGGGCAGAAACGCTATTTTATGAGCAAAATACAGCCGTCCCGTTATGTCGGATAGCGGTGCATATGAGACACTGAGCAATCGCATATATGGACGCATTAGTTTGACATTGTGCATGCATTGGGGTTTTATGTATACCCTGTTCTCTCCCCTCGCTTCTCCATCCGTTTTTGTTTCTTATCCCTTTTCCTTTGTGAAAACATCGTTCTTACAGAAAATGGGCTTACTGGAGCTGGGGTTTGTACAGGTCTCCTGTATTGAGGACTTTGTCTTTTGTTTGTACTTTATTTGTGTTAAGTTGCGAGATGAGAACGGCGCACGGAAGAGTGCAAGAAAACATGAAACCCTGAAGAAAGTACATGCCGGTTCTTCGTTTTGGGTACATGGCAGCGAACCTTAGTTTTGGGCTTACATGTGGTATTACGTCGGGAGAATATATACCTATTCTTGAGCAATGGCGGGAGGTTTTTGGGAGAGAAAAGGAACGGGAACAGCATGGTAGGGCGTGATACCTTGGGCACATAGTAGATAGAACGAAACTACTGGGTTATCTAGACGATAAGACGAAACGCATCTCCTTTTTTTCAAAACAACTCAGTATAAATTTCGTGATGACGGTTTGGTCGGGTTGCGCCACTTTTGACGTCTGTTGTACGAACACCGTACGGCATTTCGTATTGCTCACCTCTCCGTTCAACGGTCTGGCTGATACATCCGTACTACGGGTCTCAAGGCTGGGACTTTGCGGTGGTGGCTATCAATTGGGTTGAGTTATGTTTCACGACCTCAGAGGCTCAATACAAAGCCTCGTATGCCAATCATCCGGGGTTGATGAGGTTATACAAAAATGCCCAAACCCCTCTTTTTTGGCAGCTCGGAGGAATAATAACCTTGGTGACGGGTTTTTGTCTCTCGGTTATGTCCGGTCGTTGAAGGTGGACTTACACGACAGCGTCCATGTTGGCGGTAAGGAAAATGCGAACCGTTCAGTTTCGGAGGCGAGGTCTGCTTAGAAGATGGTTGTCGACGTCATGGGTCAAAGGATTGGAGTGAGATACTCATAACTCTCCTTCTGCATTGGGCAAATAGCTGGATATGGGCGAATGGCCAAAGTTGAGAGATAGATTGGATATCAGTCGTTCAGCCAGCAAAGCCTCAAGTCCTGCGCACACCCTACACACCATCTTTGTAAAGAGAAAATTCCATCTTTACTTTGCATCTCTCTTTAAGTTTGTCGTCCTATAAGACGGTGCCCCATCATCAAGCCCCCCTGCACAGAGTCGCATCTTCCCCTCCGTGTGCCTGGGCCACGCCTTGCCGCACGCAACGGCGCTGAGTTGTCCGTGCGTGATGGAGGGTATCAGAGCAGGGGAGGCGTGTAGAGGAAAGTAGGAACTGTATAATGTGTTAGTAAAATTCGAGATATGTACGCTTGGACAGTTACGTTACAATAAGGATTATCTGTTTTGTAACTCGTTTTCCTCTTATCGAATGGCTTGAAATAGTGAGTGAATGATATGTCCCGGCCAACTGTCAATGGCTTCTATGAGTGGGTATGCTGATGCGCTGTTGGAAAACGGCACCCGCCCTGCCATGCAATGCAAATGCAATGCGATGCGATGCATTGCACAACGCAAGTACTTGGCTTCTTGCGGAGAAACAACTCGTCGGCCTTTGTCTCTTCTCCAATCTCGACGAATCTCGCGTCAGTATTCGAGTCCAGACATCATCCATCTGCTCATCTCGTGGCCAAGGCCTCAAATCGATCAATGTGAGGCGGGAAGATCACTTAAGCTCAGTAGTCTCCAGAAAAGCAGGTCATTAAAGCACAGCAGCTTGGGACCAATCTGACGCACAGCTCGCAACGCAGGGCTCGCAAGTCATGCCACTTGAGCGATAGGCCCTCAGATTTGATCTCAGGACTTGCCATCCAGAGTGTATCATGATACGATCGCAAGAAGCGATACACGGCCAACAAGATCGCGACATAACTGAACAAGGATGATCCCTTCTGATACCGACGGTGATCGGCTGTGGCTTGTAAACATTCCAAGTCTGAGAATACAGTCATGTCGTTGTACTTCATGAACAGGCGACTACCCGCATCGGATGTGCATGAACCGTGACAGCTCTCGAAAGCCTAGGGATGGCTTCAGATTCTGGAGAGCGGATAGTTACAGGAACCGTTAAGAGCGTATCACAGCGGCTTCATGGTCATAAATCCATAAACAAGAAAAATAGGCGTCGTTGCTGCAGACCTCAGGGACTGTCACCATGAAGCTGCAGCCTTGAAGCTGCACAGAAACGGGGCGCCGTCCCCATTTGTAAGTGTCGTTAGATAGACCATGATTGTCAGTTGATGAGACACTAAGTTGACAGACATATCAATGAATATACCATCGGCGTGCTGATGTCTGGCTTTAGTGCTGTTGAAAGATATTAATATGGTGAGTTTCGCAGCTACTCGCTTGTCACATGGGCTTGGCTGCTTTATCGTGAATCGTAAGAAGACATTAGACAGAAATATTGAGACATTGCTCCGGTCTTTCAATCTCATAGTGTTGTTGTGATTACTGGTTAATCTCGAGGCCAACGTTGAATGCCCGGTGATTTCAGTTTGAAACGAGCCTTGGTGCTAGCTTTCACAGCCGTCTCTGTTGAACGACACCAGCCAAATTGCGTAATAAATCTAACATTGCTGTCATTTTCCTTGAAAGGCTCTGCTCGTCACTCGTCAAATGAATTCTTGGGCGCAAGATCAACCCAGGCAGATCTCCGGGCCTGTACCCTGTCACAGGCGGTTCGACCCAACTGTTCCAGCGCTCACCAAGGTCGATTGAGCCTAGGTGGTGGATGGTGGATCTCATCGCGTAGTTTGCAGTGACTGGCTGGTGGTAAGAAGCGGGGGAGGGGCGAGAAAGAGAGATAGAAAGAAGACGTTCATTGCAATGGATGCAGTCATGGTATTTGTCCAAGCTTCATCCAATGGAATATCGAAAGAATTTAGCCATTTTTTGCTCTCGCGATTTTAGGCCTATGGGCGGATGTCAGATAGGTACACAATCGGACAAATCGGGAGCACACAAGCCAGAGGCGCGAAGAGATGGATATGAAGCATGTAAAAAGGTCGTGTTGTAGTCGTGATAGTGGATCTATGGAGTTGTGTCAGAGCAATGGGTTCACTGTGATACAAAGGTCCATCAATTGCGCCAGAACGACTTTGACTGAGTACCATCACCAGAAGCCACCTCAGGGATGCTCAATGAGGCTCTGCGTAATTGAAAATTTTATACGGCACGTGGAACATATCGGAGCAGCCAAAAAGAAAAAGCAAGTCCAGGAAGGGTGACAGATTTGCCTGAGGTCGATATACATCGTTACCCTACGATATGGATGTTACTGTACCGCACGCACCTTCCTCCCCCCACCATCCACCACCTCCGAGTCCGTCCACCTTCCGCCCAAGCTGGGGGTTCTTTGGAGGCTTCCACTACCTACGTATCGCACCTGCCAAACCGAATCCTGCTGCAAAATGACACACCATCTCGAGGAAGCAGGTGCGAGAGACACCCATTCCATGATTGACCCCTCGATCCGGTCCCTGGAATTCAATAGCAACCCATGTCTTTTCTACTTGTCAATTTCACTTTACCCCATACATGATACATCCTACATCCGTCAATCCCACCGTCACGACAACGTCTGGTAATTATCTTGACAACGCATCACTACATTACTGTGCTCTCCTGTGCAGTTACAGAACAGAACAATGCCAGAAATCGCCCGACTTGCTGCAGCTCTACCCGACCCGTCGCCTTGCCTTCGCTTCTCAACCCACACCCTGTCAACCGAATTTTAAGAGCCAATCCTCGGCCAGGCCATTGCATGGTATTTATCTTAGCCATCGCCTTCCCTCAACATGCCCGAGCCTTTAGGTTAAACCGCCGACGAGAGAAATCCGACTGGAGGGGGGTGTGGGCAAGACTGCGTTTGGTGCTTCAATTTGACATGGAGAATCCAAGGTTGCTTTTTCATCGATTCTGTCTTTTGGCTTTGCTTAGCCTTAGCGTCAGCGCGCTTGTTTGCAACTCTCTCCGCCTCCGTCTCCATGTGCTGCCTGCTTGCTCCCCTGCACGGGGAACAAGACGCAGTCCCAATGCATGCCAAAATCACATGGCGGATACAATCAAGAAATCGTCAATGCTCTAGCACCTGTAGTCTTTTAAGTATTTCCATTGCTATGTATCCTCGCTCAGAAGACTTAAACTGGATACGGCGACAGAATGCCAAGGGTCTAATCGACGGTTGGTGATCTCTCACGGATGTCCATTTACACGGTGAGGCAACCAATGTCTCTTTTCCTTAACAACACCCACCACGAATGTTACCCGCTACTCCAAACCGCATCGGAACCCGGCCGATTAAAATGTACTCTGTATGGTACAGATATGCCTTTGTGAGGGTGTGGACATTGGTGTCTACTTTACTGACCTAGATCCATCTAGCCAATCGTCCAACCAGTCAGCTTCAATCTGGTCGTTCGTTGCGTTGTTCGTTTGGTCCTTTCTTACTACGATCCATTTACCTGCTTTCATTCTGCTGCTAGCTATCGCCAAAAAGCAGCGAGCCAGCCTAGTTCTACGTCGGCCGTGTCCCTCACGTCACTCGACCAAGAATCTAATCCAAGCTTGGCCTCGACTTGCCTCTTCCACTAGTCAACTACCGGGCTACCTACACAAACCCTCGACGCTCAGACGGCTAACACCATCCGTCTTAAATCGAGCCAGTCAAGCAAATATCGGTGGGAAAACGCACCGATCAATTTTTGCCCCCAAGACAAGTTCTACACATGGTTCTTGTCCCTTCTCAACACTTAGACCCATGGGCTAGTGCAGCCACTTGTGTACGTTGATGGACCCGGATATGCATAGCATCTTACCAGCATCTTACTTTCTTTTGCGCTTCTACTGCTCAACCATACGGTCTGGGTCGGGCCCTTCCAAGTCGGGTCTTCTCTCGGTCTCCGCTCCAGCACACAAGACGCATTTTTCTCTTATTATCAATTGTCCACTAGCAGCACATTGCATCGTCATGTCCTGCCCCGGCACCGCCTTTGACACATATCCACTACCTTTTCAAGCACATATCCCCAGTCAGCCAGTCTCATTCTTAAAATTGTCTGGCAAGTGCAGCTTTGCACCCAAGGCGGTCTCCATTTTTTTAGTTTCTTAATTGTTACGTCTTACATCTAAGATTGCGGTCTTTGCTCTCGGCATATGCACATGCCCTTGGTCATCCTAAAATGCCTTGTTACACCCAGCCAACGGCGTAGCTCAAAGGCGTTTACAATTCCAACGTCACTGCATTGCTAAAGCAGAAACCCTGAAGCATATTGAAGCCACACACTTTTCTCTTAGTTCCGTCTTCAAACACTGTTCTCTTCTCTATCTTCACCCTCCCCCTAAAGCCCTATCTTGAGCATGCTTTCTTGCTCTTCTCTATCGTTGGCCCGGTTGTCAAACGGCTGTTCGTCTCGGATATGTTTTTGTGCCATATCATTACCATCCAAGGCTCCTTTGCCGCTTCCAGCCCCCCTAGTCACCCTCCTAGTAGTCCTAGCTTTGAAGTTTTGTTACCATCCTACCATCCTGGCCATGTCGTTGCCATCCGTGATGGTCCACACTTGTGCATCTTGTCGTGATCGTCTCGTCTAGCCGTACATCCTCCTCTCGACCATAGCATCGTCCTGCCATATCCCATCGCACGCCCTTGCGGGCGGGGCTTCTTGTCCTCCGTTGACTCCCTCGTTGACGAATGGTGTCAAGATGAGTTATCCTCAAGTTGTTCCGGTTTGACCGGGGAAGGTCCTCTGGAAAAGTATAAAAAGGCCTGAGTTGATTGAGTTGAAGCTCTGTTCTTCTTCTTCCTTTCTCATCACTCCTCAACCAACTCCAGACTTCAAATCCCAACTAATTTGACACTTATACCAAGTCTCCTAGACTTGTTGTCTTGTTACAAACACTTACCACCTCAACTGAACTTCACTTTTCACAGTCAACTTAACGTTGAACCACCACCAGGGTTACTTATTAAAGTACTCAATTGGCACAATCATACCTTCTTCCTTCATCAATTATCATCATGTCTTCCCATTACACCCCTGTTGGCTATTCCATGCCTCTTCCTGTTCCCTCCAAGGGCTCCCACTACCCCACCTACAGCCAATATTCCGCCTCGCCTCCGGAATGTGATGACTCGGTTAGCTCCGCCTCGGGCATCCCCTCCTACAGTAACGGTGGATACTCTGCTACCTCGTCTGGCTACACTTACTCTGGCGGGTACGCTGAGTATGAGAGCACTCGCTCTGCTAGCGGCGTCGACTTCCAAGAGTACATGCAGGACCGCTTCGCCAATTCATTCGACCCCATTCCTCTTGACCGCAGCATGGCCATGCAGGCACAGACGTAAGTGGACCGACCCATCCCTCCATTTCCACAATAGTTGCAGAAAATCACTGTTTGCCAATCGATGATGGCACGGGATTGCACTATTGTAGTCACTGGGATTTATTGTACAAGGATATAACTGACTTTACGAACTAGATCTGGAAAGCTCAATGCCAAGCACCGAGAGCTTATGGAGCTACAGAAGAAGGCTCAAGCTCGTCTTGCAAAGACACGTGAGCGCTTCCAGGAGGGTATGCGAGATGCGCATGAGGTCCGCAGCGATCTTGAGTGGACACAAAAGAAAGTTGGGTAAGTTAAAACCGACTCCGCGGATTCTTAAAGCATATGGCGCAAACTCAATTGTAGTTCGCTATATGCAGCGAGCCTTTTTCGATGGTACTAGAATTCTGAGACTGACCAACTTCCACAGCTCTCTCAAGACCAAGGCTTCTCGCAAGCATGGCAAGGAGTACAGCAAGGCTCGCGCCCGATTCCCATCACCCGAAAACTAAATGTTTTCTGGGCTATTTCTTTGAAGTGGCATCTTGACATTCACCACCAAAATTTACTTAGCGAGCAATTTTTTTATTCACTCTTAACACACCAAAATTAGGACACAAACGCATGGTTCCACGATAAATGCAGGAACAAGCGATGATCGGATTCCCGGGTTTTCAAGTCTTTTTTTGTTACTTATTAATGCAAGCAATATGCACTTGTCACAACACCCTCAATTCGACATGCAGGAACGAGAAGTTCATGCAGGGCGAACATGGGGTGACGTTGGAATCAAGGGGCACTAGGCGCGGCAATTGAGTCGCTTGGCGCGCTGTGTCTTACTGCTTTTAACAAAAGCGACAGGGCAGGTGTGCGGGCAGTGCTTAGCCAGGAACGTCAACCTCGTGGCTTCTGGAGCCAGTGTGGGGGAAAACCCACGGAGGAGCAAATATGAGCGGCTGTTTCACGACTTATGGCTTATGATTGGATGAACAGAACGATCTAGGGGCGGTTGTTAAAAGTACACCTCCTCCCAAGCGTCTGTGGGGGTGCCAGGGTATGGCGTCAGCAAGTTGGCAGCGAGACATGATGTGTCGAAACGATCGCTGCATGGGAAACGTGTTTGGGAACCTCACTGGAATAAGGGTGACGCGGGAGCTGCCGAGGGCTGCAAGGCCGCCCAGATCGTGGGATTTGCCGAGGGGCGTGTATTGAGTGAGGAACCCTGGAAACCACTGAACCAAGACCATGACGGGAGGAGGATGGTAGCGGGTTGCCCAAGCAGTGTATCAGGGACGCTTGCCCCAATCAGGGGAGACAGCGATGTTGATATCGCTCCATTGGGTAACGCGGCGAGTCGGGGGAGTTGACGGAACCCTCTTTGGCAGGGTTAGGATCTGTAAGAAGGTTTTCTTTGTGGATATCTGAACCGGAGTATGGAGTCTACCAGTCTCATAGCAAGCAACATCTCGTTTCCCCTCTTTGACAGACAGCGTGAGCCCAGGGACTACATAATGTGATAACCCCCCCGTAGATGTGATTCACCTACTCCCCACGCCCCTCCGGACCATTGTAGACCAGTCTGAGTAAGGATAAGCATGTGATTTGAGGCATGTTGGCGTAGCGAGTCGAAGTCTCTGTAGTAGTGGTACTTGGGAGGTTGAGGTACCCCTGTTGTCGTATCACGTGAAATTGCACGTGACATGTATGTTGTATAAAATGACCGTAGAGTGAGGCAGCTGAAGTATAGTATGGACAACCTTGTGGGGGGCCTTGACTGTAGTCTAATTCCATAGAGATGCTCGAGCCGCCATGTTGTCCGCAGTAGTCAACCGTTTAGTGTATAGATGTTTCAAACCGGAGCATTAGCCTTTGACGCAGCGTTGTTCGTATTGCGAGGGATCCACGTTCCCCTTGTCGTCGAACCACGCGCCTTCTCAATCTTGTCCCAGGGATTTTCGTTAGATAGATGATCGTAGTACCCAATGTACCAAGTATCACTGCGCTCGTGTGGCGCCGCATGCTGGCCTTGGTGTGGACTATATGCCGGAGCAGGCCGTTGAGGGAGACTCGCCGGGCGCACTTGCGCTGGCACTGGCTCTCCAGAGTTGTCGTCCTCTTCATCATCGTCGTCAAGGGCAATCTCATTGTTGTTGGAGGGGGTGCCTAAGGCGGTAGAGTTTGCACCAGTTGCAGAATCCTGAGAAGGAAGTGCTGCATCTGCATTTGGGTTGTAGCGACGACGCTTTGATGGTGGTGATGCAGCGCCGAAGGATGAGAAGCCCATTTGGGCCATGAGGGCTTCGTCAGGGGCTTCCATGTCGTCCATTTTAGGGTGGCGATTATGATTGAGGGGCGGTGCACTGAATCAGAAAGGTGTGATATGACGTAGGAGATGTTGGATCGTGTGAGCACGGTGTTTGGAGATGGGATGAAACGAAGTCAAGTCAAGTGAGATGAAAAGAAATGAGTGAGGCGCGTTTGGTGAAGATTGACTCTGGGGTTGAGGTTAGTGGTGGAGTTGTGGCTGTTGGGCAGCTTTGTGGCGTAGCTTGTGCTACCTTGTGACCCTGACTGGCTTGGCATTCGGCATTTAGCATTTGAGAACAACAGGGATTAACAAAGGATACGAATTTTATTCAGATAATCAGATTCATAATTAATCACTTTAACTGTTTGCATATCTACTCCATTACTGTTTTACAGTGAACCCGTGCTTTACGGAGTAAAACAAGAACATTTTGAAGTAGGAGAAACGAAATATCAGTGACATCACAATGTCGTTCAAGACCTTGACCGCACCTAAATAAAGCGCAACGGGTCAGGATACTAAAGTTATGCAGTGCAAGGAGCGCTTCGGAGCATTTGACGAAAATCAGCGAATGACAGGAAACGCTCCCTAGTTCAAAGTTTGTCTATGTGACGGATCTACAGGCTCCGAAGCCTGGCGTGTTTCAATCCCTGGCATGAAGAAATTAGGTACCGAGCAGGGCATCGATTCAATGTCAAGCTGGGAATTTTTCATGTGATGTTGTGTTCATTTCTTCCTCTTTGACAATCCATATTCAATACTTACACTGTTTTTTCAATCTTCAAACGTCTTGCAAGTTTCAATATCGACATCCAGGAACGGAGTAGAAGTGACGCCTCCCTTCAACAGGAATCCCCACCAATACACATCACAACCAGCCAGCGCATCATCAATTCATCGCCATGGCCGAACAAAAGCCCATCAAGCTCAACCCTCCCACCAAATACGCACCATCCACCAAGAACTCTCCTCCCGTTGACCCTCCCACGCTCGACTGGATCACCACAACATGGTCCGTCACGCACTCAACGCTGTCCATGTGGCGCGACGCGCGCAACGTGCGCATCACCTACAAGATGCTCCCCGGCACCGCAGACGGTCGCCCGCGCATTGACGACCTAGTCGAGTACGAGCCCTTGTCCAAAGACGGCACGCGCAAATCAGTCGAGGGCGTCGACACGCAGGCCTCCTCCATCGGCTGGGACTGGCGAGGCAAGGGCTGGCTGAAGTTTGTCAACACCCACTGGGAGCTGCTGGGCTGGGGCGAGGTTGTCACGGCCGAGGGCGTCAAGGAGAGGTGGGCGGTTACGTGGTTTGCGCCGACGGTGTTTACCAAGGAGGGTGTGGATATTTACTGCGATCGCAAAGAGGGCCTCAGCGAGGAGACATATCTGAGAATCAGGGAGGCTTTGAAGGAGTCCGACTCAAAGAAGGTTTCTGAGCTAGTTGAGGCCCAGATGCAACCTGTCGAGATCAGGCTGCCATGGCTAGAAGCGACAGAGGCCTGATGCATTACGCAAGGTCGGGAGACGGCGGCGGAGATGTAATTTTGACTAGTTTGATGCAATATATCCTGTAGACCAAGGGTGCGACTAACGGGCATCCTCCATAATATCAGCACAGTACCTCTGAGCATTTGTAGTACAGTGGGTAGGCAAAAGTTCTGACAACTTCCTCTCTTCTAAACTTTATACAAGATAATACAAATTACAATAAACTCTCTTATTTTACATAAAATCTTGTGTAATTATATTCTGAGATTACTCAGAAACACTCTAGATATTGTTTATTTTATACATCTCCATATATATTCCTACCTTGTAGTTTCCTCGTTGGAACTTTTGCACGGGACTGTGCTCTCTTAACTAAGGGCTTATAAATTGCATACTAAACATTCTGAATATGATATCTCTATCGCTGTTACCGACTGTACATGAACGCGACATGGAGTACGGAGGGTATTTGATAGCGATTATGAGAACTGGCGACTAGTACACGAATCTGTCTCCAAGGCCTCTTTGTCGAAAGTGCACTGAACGTCTTTACTGTGTTTTCCTCACTGGCTTCACATAAGTCACTCCGATGAACCATGCCTACTTAGGTTCGAGTGGGCATTATGTCTGTAACTACGCTTCTAGTCATCATGTTTTGGCCTATATCTTACAACATCAAGCATTTGCTTACAGCGAAAGGACTCGTCGAGCCCCTGAATGATCCACACGACCGATCCTCTCATTCACAGATTGGAGCATGAACATCTTATGTTTGCTGATATGGGCCATCTTAATAGCTCCGATACTTCGAATCACAAAGGTACGATTTCGGAGTCTTCACATCCTACTGTCCGGGCGAGGTCAGCTGTAACTTATCACAATGCAGAAGACTTTTGGATTAGAAGCTTACCACATATGCTCATACCGGATATTTCGCTTCCAATTGAGGTTATTTTCCAGAAGGGTCGGCTTCGCAACAAAACACTTGATCTGGATGGAACTATATCATATCGGCTTTTCTCTGACGAGGGTCGTCTACTGAAGAACAGGAGGCGACACTGGCTGTGTCCACAATGCAGTAACTGCCAAGCTCACAATCTCGTCACCACAGCATGGAATCAAGAAGCGAAAGTGGCATTTCCCATGAAGCGAACATCAGTAGAAAGCTCCTGCTGCTCCGGCGAGTACGAACTCGGTACTGTAGTGTCAAAATAAGACACAGAGACTTTCTCGTTTACAACATGAATCTAACGAAGTTCTTACAGATTCAGAAAAGCCCTTACATCCTCATATATCTTTCATGTGAACCGCCAAGCAAACATATTGGCTTGCAGGCGAGATCAATCTTCTATTACTGGACTAGCAAACAATTGTAACAAGACTAGGGTCTTGTTTCCAGAAGCCCAGCCCCTATCTCTAGACAATACAAACAAACTAGCAATCAACTGGGGTATCTTTTACTAAAAACTATCGCGACTCTTGGTGATGTAAGCGTCGCTCTTCGTTTTGCTTTGGGGATCGCACGTCTCGATCTTCTCGAAAGCCATCATGCCTCCTGTTTCTTTCTTTTTGTGCACTGTCCTCCCGATGATGTTTTCTCCCATTTCGTGACCCATCTCTGTCTTGGCGTTCACGTCTCCGACTATGTGAATCTCCATCTCGGCCCTCCTCATTCCTTCTTTCTCTTGACCCATGTCTTCGCTCATGTCGACTCGTAGATCGACTCCCATCCCGGTCTCGGTCTCTACTGCTGTCCCTTTCTCCGTGCCTTCGGCGTCGTTTCTCACGGTGTCGTTCATCACGGCGCATCTGCTTCAACTCTGCTTCTCTTTCTTCTAGAAAGCGCTTTCTGTCCTGCTTGAGTTCACGAACCTTTGATGCGCCCTTCTTCATCATGGCCAGAGGATCATTGGATACTATGCGCTTAGTATCTCGTTCTTTGCGATTCGGGTCCTGATTACCCCATACGTCTTTTGACGAAGCATCAGGGGCCGCAGCGTCGGATTGTGAGTACCATGGCTTTAGAGCGCCATCCTTTCCTGGAGCATTCGAGAATCGCATCATGTACTGATCCTCATAACTCTGCTTCTTTTTCTTGGCCTCTTTCTCAGCCTCCTCGTTCTTCTCAGCGTGAGCCCTCGACTTTTCGTCACCCAGTAGATCAATATGACCATTGTGATCAACTATTGGCGCGGAACTTGTGCTCTTTCGCTCAGGCTCGACTCTTGCAATGGCCGAATTTTCACCTTCTCGGACTAGTCGCATCTCAAACTCGGTGTCGTCCTCACCTGGGCGCTTTCGCTTTCGTCGCATCCCCACTTTGTGTAAAGCGTCGCGATCACGAGGAGCGGACTCATCGGGTCTTGGTGGCTCGGCATCTTCGATAGGTGGTGGCGTCTCGCCACGTAGTATAGCTAATCTACGTTGCACATCGATCTCCTGCATGCGCTGTTCTTCCCCTTCTTCGGCAGCCTTTGCAGCGGCTTCATCGCGACGAACGCGAGCGATGTTGTCCGCGTTGTAGACATTCCAGGACTTTTTGCCCAGTAAATGACTATACCATGTTAGTCTTGCATGCCTTTATACGCTGGGGGTGGATGGACTACTTACAGTGGCATGGTGAAAGTGAAAATGATAACTAGAAAATACAAAGGATTTGGACCCTTCCATCATAATAATCGTAGAGAAGCTCATGCTCCACGGCCGGAATGCGGGGCCGGGCGGATGACGGAGGTTACAAGCTAAGCCCCTGACAAGTCGCCCCTCCAAGGTCGTCAGCTCACACGTGCTAGTTATGCAAAGTAGCAACAGTGTATACTAACAATTACGAACTTTTACCTATCTATTACTCTAAGGGTTATAATAACTTTCAAGGCAGGTTTTGGCACTCAGTACAAGTCTATCCTAGGTCTCGGTCATAATCTATCCATAACTTTCTTCATGTAACCCTTTTCGTGAAGAAGTAAGAAGAAACTGTTGCTAAAGTGGTAGCCAACGACCTGTTCTGAATACGGGAGAACTACGTGCCGAATATCCACTTTAAGACAGCTATCCATATCATGATTGGCTACTATGACGTTTCTGGTGCCTGTTTCCCACAGCAATGTGTGCATTATTCAGGCTTAGGTGCTCAGCGTCAGCGTCTGGGCTGGTTACAGCTGCCCCAACACGACACGACACTCGTTCCAGCCCTCTTATAAGTAGGGTCTTCGCCTCTTCGATCCAGACCTTGACATAACATCCACAACGAGACTGTGTCAGAATGTCTAGAGCACCTTTCAGCGGATTCATGGGCGGCTCGCGCCAGGGTGGCGGCCAACAGCCCCCTCCTCCTCAACAACAGGGCTATGGCGGTCCGCGATACAACGATCCTCGCCAGCAGCAGCCTCCCCCGAATCAGCAAGGCGGTGGGGGTGGTGGTTACGCAGAGAAGCCTCGCGCCCGACAAGTCCAACTTCGGGTCGAGAAAGTCACAGACAAGTCCCTCCAATCGAGGTTGATCTACGGTAACCTGTATGTGTTTATCCATCTTCAATCTGGCCTTACTACGCAATCAAACTGACATAATGACTTGAACAGGTGCGCTGTTTCTCCCGAAGACTTTCCTCCCAACCGCGATGGATCCGATCTGTACATCCTCCTCCGAGGAGGCCAACCCGTTGGCGAATACGTCGTCACCGCAAAGCCCGTCCCCGGATTTCCACAAGGCGGTATCAGTCTGTCAGACCCCCAGCGATCATGGGCCGGCATCACCATGCGAGATATGTTTACCGGAGAGATCTACGACCCTTTTACGGCTGGTGGGAAAGCTTACCTAGGCTCCGTCGACCTCGAAATTGGCTTTGCTTCTCCCAACAAGAAGACCGACGTTCCCTACGATGAGGACGAGCTATCCAAGTTGTTCATTGATGCATACCAGAACCAGGTGCTTTCACCTGGCCAGCGCATTCTCATGGACCACCGAAATATTCCTCTTCTAGTCATTGTCAAGACAGTCTCTTTGACAGATTTGGCCATGTCTTCAGATGACTCGTCAAAGAAGATATATAGAGAGCCCCAAGCAAAGGGTATCTTGACTACTCAAAGTCGGGTGCTCTTCCACCGTGATGCAAAGGGTGGCTTCAACCTCAAGCCCTCAATGCACAAGCCCAACTCCAATGCCATTCTTGCTCCTGACTTCAAGTTTGAGGACATGGGTATCGGTGGTTTGGATGATGAGTTTGCTACCATCTTCCGCCGTGCATTCGCTTCTCGTATTTTCCCTCCTGGCCTGATTGCCAAGATGGGTATTACTCACGTTAAGGGTTTGCTCCTGTACGGTCCTCCAGGAACTGGAAAGACGCTCATTGCTCGGCAAATTGGTAAGATGCTTAATGCCAATCCACCCAAGGTCATCAACGGTCCTGAGGTGCTCAACAAATATGTTGGTCAGTCTGAGGAGAACATCCGAAAATTGTTCGCGGATGCAGAGAAGGAGTACAAGGAGAAGGGAGACGAGAGTAGTCTACACATTATCATCTTTGACGAGCTTGACGCTGTGTGTAAACAGCGAGGCTCTGGATCTGGAGGCGGTACCGGTGTTGGCGACAGTGTGGTGAACCAACTTCTCGCCAAGCTTGATGGTGTGGACCAACTTAACAACATTCTCCTGATCGGAATGACCAATCGAAAGGACATGATCGACGATGCTCTGCTACGACCTGGACGTCTAGAGGTGCATCTCGAGATCTCACTTCCTGACGAGGCGGGTCGACTCGATATTCTCAAGATTCACACTGCTAAGATGGCTTCCAATGGTCTACTGGACTCCAGCATTAACTTGGAGGAGCTGGCTGGTTTGACTAAGAACTTTTCGGGTGCTGAGATCAGTGGTCTGGTCAAGGCAGCAGCATCTTGCGCATTTTCTCGACACACCGAAGTTGGTCAGCTTGCGGCAGTGAAGCAGGATGTTGCAAGCATGAACGTAAACCGCGAAGATTTCATGGTGGCGCTTACTGAGGTTCGACCTGCGTACGGTGTCTCAGAGGCCGAGCTAATGGAGGCTCTCCGTCTGGGCATTATTCCTTATGCTCCTCACATTAACACGACCATTCAGCAGATGTCTCGTGTTGTAGGCATGGTCAAGGAGGACCCGAACAAGTTCAGCACATCTGTTCTTTTCCACGGCCCCATGGGATCTGGCAAGACAGCTCTCGCTGCACACATTGCATTGCAGTCAGGTTTCCCGTTCGTCAAGATGGTTTCCCCGTCAGACCTCGTCGGTTACCGCGACGATTTTGCCAAGAAGGACTACATTCACAAGGCTTTTACAGACGCATACAAGTCGCCTGCTAGTATTTTGATTCTGGACGACTTTGAGCGCTTGATCGGATGGAACCCTATTGGACCCCGTTTCTCAAACACTATGCTTGAAGCATTGACGACTTTGATCGTCTCCAGGCCTCCCAAGGTAAGTTTTTTCATGGTAGTAATTTACGAATAACGCTAACGCGATATACAGGGACATCGTCTGCTTGTTTTTGTAACAACTTCAAAGGCATCTGTACTCCGAATGCTCGAGATTGATAACGACTTCGCAAAGAAGGTAGCTGTGCCTGGAGTGTCTAACCTCCGCGAGTTGGGTACAGTGCTGCAGGAGATGGACAATGAGTTCAGCTCCAACGATATCAACTCAGTAATCAACGAAATCGGTCATCAGACGGGCTCAGACAACGTTGGAGTGGGTATCAAGACGGTCCTGGATTGTGTCTTTGAGGCCAAGCGCGACCCTGAAGGTCGGGTCACAGAAGCATTCACGGAACTACTAGTGGGAAAGATCAATGAGTTAAGAGCTTAGATAATATTGTATGAAATATGAGAAGCAATTAGATAGACTTCGAAGTGGTCTGACTTTACTGACTGTTTATCCTAACTCTGCTAAACTGTGCCTGGTTATGATAAATCATGGTAAGGTCAACTGATAAGAGTATGTGCTACACTCATCAATGTTCCTGTCATACGGCAAGATGTATAATATGATTGGATCACTATCTTTGATGCAAACCGATACCATAGCACGTATTCCTAGCTTGCGACAAGGGCTTCATAGTGAGAACGTCGATGCTTTAACCTCAGTCAAGACTAATGATCTTGTAAATTAATGACTTCATATTAGTTCACTTAATTTGTAACATGCACGGCAGTTCAGGTAAACACGATAAGAAAGTACAAATAAAATATGATAAATAACATATAATAATAAGGTTTAGGATATAGGATGTAGGATATGTCAACAGTAGACACAGTGCTCAAGGGTAGCAAAAGTAATAATCAGTGGTTCTAATACACGTACTGTTTATCGCCGGTGATCGGCCAAGTTTATTCAGAGTTTACCCTTGTAGGTGAATTAACAAGCCGAATTGATTGAGCTGAAGAATACTGGTGCTGGTACTTATGCAACATTGCCGTTGGGCATCATGATCGCCTTGATCTTCTCGCAAGGTGTTACTATCTGCGGAGCACCAGTTTTTAAGATACACGAATACAAGGTTTGGCTGATCACATGGCTGTCGCTCTAAGCGGACGCAAGGTAAAAAAGACAAGCCATGCATCAGAAACACGACCTGAGCATGGACACCATGATAATTAGCGAGCACGCGAGAATGGATACCTGTCTATACTAGATTCCGCATAAACGAGTTCAAAAAATACTACTCTACATCCGTACACAGGGCGAAAGAGAAAGAAAGGAAGTGGCTGGCTCTGAATGGTCCGGGCGGAGTAGTTCATCGGCGCGGGCCTTTTCTTGCTCACGAACTACTCTGCTAGATCTTGACTCGGCCGGGGCAGCGGCTAAGCCACAAGGTAGCGTTTCTGGAACTCAAGATAGGCGTCAAGAGAGAGGTAGAGAGGTTCTCATGCGTGACCTCGGCCGAAGACCCCGCTGAGGGGGAAACATGGTTGGGCAGTGAAGGTTGGAATGACTCGTGGTGATGGGGATTTTAGTGGTTGAGCGGTTGTGTACACCGCATATTTGGTGAGGCAAGCGAGTGCCATTGGACTCTTGTGTTAGTGATATGCACATGGATGGAGAAGTTGATCTGGCGCTCCTTGAGTATTGGCAGTGGTCTTGGGATATATGTCGTAATAGCGCTATGTGACATTAAACGAATTGGTATCTATATCAGAGTTGGTGTGTTTTGGAGAAGAGATCTTTGGGCTCACGATTCATGGTCATGGTCTTGTGTGCTGACAGACGAGTCACGGAACACAATCTGCTACAAATGCAGGTCAAGCAGGGCAAACAAGGCTGCAGGTCTATTTATGCGATACTTGTTAGACATGCATACAAATGCGATAGTCAATAGTTATTCGCTTTGGAGCAGTGAATACGTTTACCCTAGAGTTAGAGCTAGAGGTGGAACTAGAACTTAGACAGGAAAGACCCACGGGATGCTTCCCCGGCACCCGAGCATTTGGTGTCGAATCAGATATTAGAGTTTGACTTGGATCTAACTTGGATTCGGTCTCGTTCTGGCGGACTCCAGGGATCATCGTCTCAGGCTTTGCCATGAAAGGATCTCAGGTAATTATGGCCTCTTGCGCGCGCGCGTGTGACAAAGATGGAATGATATTTATCATTCACGCAGCAAAGAGAGGATAGAGGAGATAATAGTGATTGATGCAGGTTGGTGCCAAGAGCAAAGAAACGTGATGGGATCATGCATGATGCATTAGCTGCGCTACATCCTCGGTCATGGGATTCTGTTTCTGGAACGATTCCTCACTTTTTTTTCTTATTTACCCCCGCCCAAAGTTCCCGTGCAGCAGTTTCTCGTACAGTATCCGTATCAGTCAGACTGCAAAAATCACCATCACGGCACATTCCGGTAGGTATTCTTTGCAGCGAGGAAAAACTCTGTCAGAATTGATACCCAAGAGATGGGGAGAATATCCTCTGATCGACAAAACTGGGCATTAATTCTAGACGCCTCTCCCGTGGTCGCCCAATACCGATCTCTCGGAGTTGGCCAGAAACTCTGAATGCATATAGAGGGGGAAATTGACTCGACGGTCCGACGCAAGTGTGTGCGTGTGTGTGTGTCTGGAGTTTTTCTGGGTTGCATGGCTCACGCACAAGTAGATAGTACATGGTGATATCTGGATGGCTGGGGCTTGCAGGGGTCGTCCCGCGTGTGTCTCACTGGCCGAGCTGGGGACCGTTGTGATGCCGCTGCAGGTACTGAGTACTTTGACTCACCAATCCAGGTTATGAGGCTTGATTGAGATCAGGAAGCCTGCCTTGCCGTGTATCCAACGCCTTGGACATCCCTGTTGCGTATGGTCCTTTGATCTGGTCTGTTGGTATTGCCCTCATTTCGGTGCTTGAGTTGGTTCGGTCAGCAACAACAATTAGGAAAAGAGAAAAAATTGATTGATTGCTTGCAGCTGGTTCATGACTCTCCCTTCTTTGTTAGTACACGAGGCAAACAGTTCGTCTCAAGCCTAAGCTGTCACTACGATCACCAATCAGACTGTTGATCACGACTCTGGCAGCCGGCAGAGAGCTGCCCGGAGCTGGAACCAGAACCCGCTATTAACCCTTCCGCCGGGTTTGCTGGGGCCGGAGGGAAGCTAAGAATACAGCGGTTACAGGTATCGGTGACTGGTCAGCTCTGCTTCGGTAGCAGCAGGCTAGAGGTATAGCGACATTTCTTGCCTGAATCGATCAGTGCTATTCTTAAGTGCTAGGTTATTTCGTGCTCCACACCCTCTTTTTGCTGTTGCTCTAGGTTCCGATTGCCATGTGCCAACCGCAAAGGTCAAGGCCAACTTCAAGTCAAAGTCAAGGCCAGTCTAGCCAGTCCAGTTCAGTCCAGGCCGAGCCCACGCCATTCAAGGCCCATTACCCATCTCCCCGGCCGCCCTCGTCCTCACCCTCGCGCCTCTGTAGAGTTTCTCCCAATTGCCTCTAAAGGTGTCTTTTGTTTTTTCTTACTTTTTTCTCCCCCTCCTACCCCATTCTCTTTGCTTTTCTTGAGTGTGAGACAGACAAAAGGGCTTTGACTAGGGTCTATTGTTGTATCGCGTGCCTTTCATTCGTGAGGAATTTAGTTACACGTCTGTTTTTTTCGCCTACTGCGCGACTCTGGGATTGCCTTTACGACGGGGACCCCTCTGTTTTTGATCGCTCGACGATCGTTTTCATCCGGTCGAAAATATCCCGAGGTACGGATACGGATACTTGAATGGCAACAACACCAACAAAAGCAACTCTACACTAGCAAAGAAAAGCATTGAGTCTCGTCTCTCTGTCTACGAATACTTTATGGCTTTATCATGTAAGTTGATTTATCCTTCCTTTCTCTCTCTATGACATCAGCTCCACCCTCTCAAGGTTGTCCTATTCTGTCCGTGTTGGAAACTCGACCAGGTATTTCTGGTCCATGCCTTGGCTCGTCTCGCCAGGCCTCAGGTTGGTCGGTGCAGTAATTACAGTACATAAAGTACTAGCATAACGGCAATTAAACGTTGTGGATGGCGAATGGTCCAAGCAAGCACTATTCCAATTCCCATCTCTCTTCCTTCATACTCTATCATATCTCCAGTTCGGACTCGCCGCGTTCCCTCTACCAAACCTCCTCTCTCTCTCCTTTCCCCTCGACCTTTCATCTGGTTCTTCTCTTATTCCCCCACCATCGCGCGCGCAAAGACCAGCAAAACCCACGATATGCGCGACGACTTCTACCGATTTTCAAAGACTCGCTACTAACTCAATGCCTCGGTCCTCAGCTCCTCGATCACTTTGAGCACCGTCAGCTCCGAACTCTCTCGACGACAGGCAACGCGCCTGCGAGCGGCCGTGCCTATGGAGGCCCTGGAGCCTTCGTCTGCAGACCCGCTGACACCAGCGTCTGGTCTCAGCGCGACGCCCCCCGTACCATCGCCTCCAGCAGCAGCAGCAGCTTTCAAGGATCCGACGTCGACCAGACTGAAGGGCCAGCAACGGTCTCGTTCTGGTTCAGGCACTGTCGCAGCCCCGACTGCTACTATAGCAGCACTCAAGAAAAAGGAAAACACCAGCCCTAGTTTATCGACGCCTAGCAAGTGGCCCTCTGTGAGGTCCACCACCACCGCGCGCATGCCTACGAGTACCGCTGTCGCGAAACCCTTGGTCCCTCTCTCAGAACGAAGAATTCACTTAAAGAAGACCACGACTCGAAGTCTCAAGGACTCAGATTTCAACGCCGATAACCAGGGTAGCCTGTCTCGATGGGAGATTGCTCCTGATGGTGGATCAGCAGGTCGTGAGGGACGACAATTCGCCGTTGCCAACGTAGGGAACAACGGCCGGATATATTTAAGGTGAGTTAAGATCTCAACGGTCTTGGCGCCTCATCTCTCCCTTGGAGAAATATCATTGCACCAGCCACGTTATCGCTCTCCCTTCGCTCTGCGGTCTTTGCTCGTGCCTTGTGGGGAGATGTTTTAGTCCGTCCTACCTGCGATTCTGCCTGTCGCCTTGGGGATATTGTAACGTGGCTGGCACTGACCACGACGCTTGATCGTATTCATATTTGCGTTCCACAGACAACTGACTTCCATTCTTCAGGCCGACCGTCCGCCCTGCGTACCAGCGATGTCCTCAGCCTCAATTCGTCTTCCCCATTACACCACCCAGCACCGCAGGTTTGGACACAATCTCTCATACCAAACAGATTCAAGACGAAACCAGCGAACTTCATGTTAGCCAGTGGACGCCGACCCCGGAACCTTCGCCTTATCACAGCAAAGCCTATTTCGACCGCGGTCCCCAGTATCCGCTCCGACCCGTGAAACACCGACGCGCCCTTTCCGATAGCACGGTGCACGAGGTAACCATTGCGAAGGACTCGGAACCCGGAGCTTTCAAAATTGTTATTTCCAAACCGCTGGAGGAATATCGACCCCGAACTATGGAAGATTTCGATTCTAATTCTGATCCTCTCCTCGACATTGCGATTCCCTCCTGGCGTATTGGCGTTCCCCGGTTCACGGGCAGAGGTACACCAATGATTCGCGGATCATCGTATGCTCCCACCGAGGAGTTTCGCTCTAGCAGCGCCTCGCTACTGAGCCGATCTCAAGGTGTGCTTAACAGCTCTCATCCCGATATAGCTTCGACAAGAAGGCCAAGCTCTATGGCAGTACCGATGTTACGAATTTCTCGAAATGTTTCCGCCACAACTCAAACTCCCACAACCTCACAAGTCTCCCGACTTGTTCGCCCGAGCTACCAGTCAAACTCCAAAGTTGAACCCGCTATGTTCGACGATCTCACCTTCAAACCAGCCTGCGACGATCGAACATTAGTCAAATATTCAGCAGCAACCGGGGCCGTCACAGCTGCCACGCCGCCACGCCTCGTTGCCGAGATCACATCACCTAGTTTCCTCGATTATGAGCTCATCTCCGACTTTTTCTTGACCTTCAGAGCGTTTCTCGAACCCGTGGATCTTCTTCGTATGCTCATTGCGAGATTGCGGTGGGCTTTGTCTCGCGATGACGAGACAGGTATGGTTGTTCGTGTTCGAACATTTGTCGCCCTTCGACACTGGATTCTCAACTACTTCATGGACGATTTCGTTGTGGACCACAATCTTCGAGCCACTTTCTGTGAGCTACTAAACGACTTTGTGGACGAACTTTCGCAATGCAAGAGAGCTCTGAAAGTTCAGCTCAAGATTCTTGGAGAGTTGAAGAAATGTTGGCGCAGGGTTTGTGCGTTATACTGGGATAGCCCGGATTTCGACGATACTCTGGACTCTAGTGTACCGATCACACCAGGTGGTATTGTTGGTCACCGAGATCCCAGTCTAGACCCATCTTTCTGGGAAGGAGAAGACGATGGAACGCCTCGCATCGAAAGTATGCTACCGCTCAGAAGGAGCCTTGCCGAACGAACTAGTTTCATTGCGGATGTATCTCGAGCTGGCCATGCTGGAGATTCTGTCTTGGTTGAACACCGTCCGTGTACTCCTGAACGACAAGTCAGAAGGGAATCCATGGAAGGAGAGCAGTTATCGCCAGTTAGCATGACCAGCATGGATATTGTTTCATGCTCCTTTCCTAACAAGATCAAACCCGCTCATCCTAACCAGACGAACCCTTTGGCTGCTCATCCCGTTACCACCACTACAACTCACAATACTGGGCCGGTAGCTACAACTCCTCGAGCACTCGTTGGCAAGCGTGTGCGACCTCAGGCCGCACACAAGCGTAACAACAGCTTGACTGACTCCCTACGGGATCACAGCTCGGACAAGTTGTCATTCCATGATCAGGAGTTCATGATGACTGCCCCCTACGCTGGTAGCCTCGTCCGAGGAAACCTGTTACCTCCAGGTCAGGCCTTTGTCGATGTTGAGCCGGACGAGTTTTCCTCCATTCTTGGGCCTACCACCAGCCTTCGCCCCGAAAACCAGAGCATTGTCAAGGAGAGGATACCCGCGGGTGCCATGTCTGGACACGGCATGAAGAAACTGCTGGGTAGCGTGCGGAGAGCATTGAGTACCAGAGGACAAGGTGGCGTCTCTTCAAACCCAGGGAGCTATATCAACATCAACAACATGGGTCCCCGTGGCGCTACAACAAATCGCATTCCTGGAACAGCTGTTGTGCCCCAGAGCCGCCACAAGCCCAATGGCTCTCGTCCTCCTCCTGTAAGAATTGACTTACTCGGTGCTGAAATCGTGGAAGATTTCAAGAAGGCTGTGCGTGATGAGGCTGCTGCTGAGGCTGATCGTCGTGGACTGCCCCCGCCCATGTCCCCCAACCCGTCTATCACTCCCACTGGAGACTTCCACTATTCAGCTGCACACATGGACTCGGTCACTTATGATGAGATGGCACATGGCTACAGACACCGGCCAGTTAGTGACATGGCTATCACTACTGGCAGCAAATCCATAGTGATTGTGGACGACACGACACCCTTCGATCCATCACTTCTCCACCGAGGTCCTCACAGCAACGCCTCTGTTGAGGCCTTTGCCGATACCTTTAGGCTGACAGGTTGTGACCCGACTCCCCCGTCTACTCCTCCTACCGGTAATGGCTCAGGTACACCTCGACGCTCCTCATACCTTCTCAATCAACACGTTGTACGTCCATCGTTGGACGAGGATCCTCTGCCTCCCTTTGTTCCTGACTTTGCAACCCTGGCTCCCGTCACGAGCGCTCCGGTTTCAGAGGATGGCAATCGAGTATCGTATTCCACAGTAGCCCGAAGTATCCGCCAACACCCTCCAGTGTCCTATCAGAACCATCGTCGTAAGAGGTCCAACAGAACACATCGATCGTTGAATTCGATACTGCATCGCCGTAGCTCACTCAGCAACGGTCTTGCCCGTCGATCTACAGTACAGAGCTTCGACGCTACAACAGTTTCTGCTGCTTCTATCGCCGAGCCCGAGCACAATGAGCCTTCGCCACAGCCTCTTCGAATTCTTCGACGACGACCAGGAGGAGATCTCCGAGCCGCCACGAATGTTGGAGAGCTGGACCCCGTTACGCTTAGGAGATCACAATCTGTGGGCTCGCTGACAACATACTCGGAGTCTATTCGCAGCTCTTTCATTCAGAGCCCCCGTGTGACCTCTTTTGGTCGTGGTTCTTTCGGAAAAGGAGAAGTTGTCTCGATTGAATATGCGCAGCCCAAGAGTGAAACTTTTTCCGTCGGCCAGCTTGCAGAGAAGCCGAAGCGAGATCTTTCACTGTTTAGTACTCACTCATCCAAGCCAGTTATGCGCCCGTCTTTCGAGAAAGAGGCACAGAAACTAGCTCAAATACCAGATGACGAGGATGATGGTGGCATTGAATCCGCGTTGGCAAAGTTGGAAGGCAAGCTTCCTTCAAGGAAATCCAATATATCAGCTGTCAGCCCTCAAACTGCCCATTATCCACCTGGCGAGATCATTTTCGCAGATGAGCCAGAGACTGAACAGGTCAGAAACCATGAGCGACAGCTTGTTGTTCGAGAGACGTTCATGCTGGATGCCGAGGACAGCGATGCCGAGCCTTTGTTCGAGTCCCAAGACCAGCATCTGACGCCTCAACGACCAACCACCGAGGTAAGGTCGTTCCTAACTGGCTCTTCGCGAGAATCATACTCTTCTGTCCCTATTCTTGACCGAGATTCAATGAAGGCTCGTCCATGGACCAACATGTCTATCCTTGAAGGCTCGGACGAGGAAAACACACCTCGTCCACAGAAGTCCATGTTGTATGTTGACGATGAAGTTGACTCGCAACACACCTCTTACGACTTTATTGAGAAGACTCAGAGTATCGAAGGTATCAAGGTGGGCGAGACTGCTCCATCAGTAGCCGAAGACCAGTCATTCCTCAACGACGACAGCGATCTTTCATCAGAGATGTCTGCGGATGAGCTTGACGACGAAGAGTCTGAATTTGGCGATGCCGTCCTGCCACGGGTCAAACTTCCTGCTCATCCTCTTGGGTCACCAGCTCCCAAGCGCAACCCTCCATCACCGCCTATGACTCTTGTGCAAGCACTGGAGATGTCTCCACCGCAGTTTGTCCATGTCCCCGAGTTACATGAGGATCAAGTCTGGGGCTTGAAGCCCCTTCCTCCAACTCCCGAGACTACACCGACTGCTCCATACGCACAGGCAGCTGCACAAACTTCAAACGACGCGCTTCGCCAAATTTCCAAGGCGGACTCTATTGAGAGCAACAAGTACTCTGCTCACTTGCCATTCATTTTGGCTTTTGATTCAGAGATCCTCGCACAGCAGTTCACGCTCATTGAAAAGGATGCACTGAACGAGATTGATTGGAAGGAGCTCATCGACATGAATTGGAAGGATGCTGCTCATAGTGATTGTCGCTCGTGGGTGGAATTCCTCCGCAACTCCGATGCCCATGGTGTTGAAGTGGTTATTGCTCGCTTCAACATCATGGTCAAGTGGGCAATCTCCGAGATTGTCCTTACGCAAGGTCTTGAGGAGCGAGTACGGTGTATTACTAAGTACATTCATATCGCCACTCACTGTCGTCGGTACCGCAACTTTGCTACCCTTGGCCAACTCACTATTGCCCTGTCTAGCAATGAGGTTGCCCGCCTTTCCAAAACTTGGCAGCACGTCGCCCCTCAAGATGTCAAGACACTTCATGATCTTGAGAAGCTGGTTACTCCCATGCGCAACTTTTACAACCTCCGTGCTGAGATGGAAGTTGGCTCAGACCAGGGCTGTATTCCATTTGTGGGCATCTACACTCATGACCTCCTTTACAACGCCCAGCGTCCTTCTGAGATGGCTGGCTCACCTACAACACCCCCTCTGGTCAACTTTGAGCGATGTCGCATTGCCGCTGCCGTTGTCAAGACATTGCTTAGGTTGTTGGAGGCCAGTACTCGATACAAGTTTCAACCCATTGAAGGCATCACGGAGCGCTGTCTATGGATGAGCGCCTTGAGCGATGAGGACATCCGACGCCACTCAGAGATGCTCGAATAAACCGCTACGACCGTGTAGCACCACATTTCTACAACACATTATACATACAGGAACGATAATTACGACTTATGACTCACCGACTCGACGGCGTTTCATTTCCTATGTTTCAACACTACAAGAGCATACCAGCATGCCTCTGCATTATACCCCATCTCCTAACTGGCATAAGCACCATCAAACAAAGGAACTACTTTCTTTATCTCGATATTAAACATAATCATCATTATTACCAACAGCATCTGGGACAAAGCAAGGAGTTGGGCACTTTTCTCGTTTCTATTTCACACAATTCATCTATGGAGGCTTCTTGGCCTGGTTTGATCATACCCACACAGCGCAAGCGTCATGTTGCGTCTGCTTAACTTTTTTTGGAGTCCTAATTCATAGAGCGGGAAGTTGGCCGAATGGATGGTCACTGGGAAGTTTGGATTCACTCGAAATAAGTGGTTGGCGATGGTGGGATAGCAATGGAGTTGATATATCACGGGGGTTTAGGGAATGAGCAGATGTAGTGAAGAGTTCAAATAATTGATACCATGTTTACGATGATGACTTGTCTCATGACGTAAAACGAATTGTTACCTATTCGGAAGACATGGCAATATGTGCTGGTAACAGTTACAATTTTTCGGTATCGTCACTCCATGTGAAGATCTCGTCTACTGACTACGCAGGCATCACAAGTCGACAGTAAGTTGCGGTACACTTGACACATTTATCATGGGTAAACGCGGGTTAGACGACTCATATTTTGTCTCTTCTCGCATCAATACAAATTCCACAGAAACAAAGGCGGGATAACGATCAAGTCCATCCCCTCGGCAGCGCAGGGCTTTCCCTCTCCACCCTCTTCACAGATATGAAAAGGAGGCGAGTATCTTTCCCTCATTAGCACCGCCAAGATGAAAACCTTCAATTCCCAGAGAGAGTTCGTAAAAACAGTGTCAGCAAGTAATAGAAATCGAAAGGGAGGGAGAAACGAAAGGTTGTCGAATAGTTTGATTGAACACCACACATCCGTCAATGCTTTTTCATCTCTCATCTCTCTTTCTGCTCTTCTCGTCGAGAAACCACATCCCAAATAGTGACAAATTCAATTTCTTCTGTGTTTGAATTTGCTTGGTATTCTCTTTTTTGTTTTTGTTTACCACTCGATAGCAGGGGCAGCTTCGAGCTGCTCACCATTGCCCTCCTGGGCCTCAGTACCCTACCACTGAGACTCCTTGGGGGCCTCGGCGGAAGCAGCCCACTCGGTGTTGGCGGGGGCAGCACCCCACTCCTCACCGGCAGCGCCGTCCCAGCCAGTGGTGGCACCAGCGCCGGAGGCACCGGCGAAGCCAGCAGCGGGAGCCTCCCAGTCGGCACCAGCAGAAGCCTGGAAGCCGGACTCGATGGCGGCAGGGCCCTCCTCCTCAGCGCCGGGGACCTTCTCCTCCTCAACCTTCTCCTCGGCCTCAGCCTCGGGGTCGCGGTCTGTATAGTGTTAGTATGCGTTTGCTTGCGGGTGACATTAGTTCGGAGAGGTAAACGTACAGAAGTAAAGATCGACCATGACGTCCCAGGGAGTCTCGCGGTTGTAAATGGTACCACGGAGGCGGAGGACCTCACGGGCGAGCATCCACCAGACGGCACCAATGGCGTGGCGACCCTTGTTGTTGGTGGGGATAGCGACGTCAACGTACTCGGTGGGAGAGTCAGTGTCGGCAAGGGCAATGACGGGGATGTTGACGTAAGAAGCCTCCTTGATGGCCTGGGCATCGGTACGGGGGTCGGTGACGATGATCAGACGGGGCTCCTTGAAAGATCGGGTGATGTAGTTGGTGAAAGAACCGGGGGTGAAGCGACCAGCGATGGCGGTGGCACCAGTGTGGGCAGCGAACTTGAGGACGGCACGCTGACCGTAAGGACGGGCAGAGATGACACAGATATCGGCGGGGTTGTCGACGGCAGCGATGATACGGGCGGCCAGGACGATCTTCTCCCTGAAGTGCACTGTTAGCATTTGCGCGCAAGTGTGGTGTTTCGCATCTAAGCTTCTGTGCCCCTCCTCCGAATAGCTTCATTTTCCCAAATATGAAATCCGCAATTCAAAATCCTGCGCGGCCCTTTCTGAAGCCCAGCAATTCCACCAAAATTCCAGTTTATACGTACCAGGTCTTGCCAACGTTGATCACGTTAACACCATCCTGACGGGTCTTCCAGAGGTAGTTCTCCATGTGAACCTGGAGGTTCTTGGAGCCGAGGTGGCACTGAGCAGCCAGGAGGGTCTCAATGTCCTGGCTGGTGGCGTTGAAGATGGAGGGAAGGTTGGAGGGAGCCATCTTGACGGATTTCTTCTCTTTGTCTTGGGTGACGAAAAGGGATGGCTTGAGAATGGTGACGGCGAAGAGGATTGTGGTGTTGCGTGCAAAGACTCGCAAACCAGAAAGTTCGCGATCGAATTTTGAGACCCGAAAATGTGTGTGGTGGGAAGCCCTGATGGCCCGCTTGTCCGCTTATGGATTAGTGGATTGATAAGAGTTTGGCTGTTGTATCTCCACGTGATGATGTACTAGTACGCTTTGGGTGGCGGCTCGTTGGTGGTTCGGTATCGGCCGTTTGGCTAAGGGAAAATTTGGGGCGAGGTTTAGACGACAAGCCATCAGTCTCTGATATTAAAGCAGTTGCAGGTTGATGCTTCAGTCATGCCCCCCAGAATACCGGCGCTGCCACGCCTAGGCTCATTGAACCGTATGTTCTTCCTGTAACGATTCACTTTGCCAATGTTGACCAATTGCTCAGTCTGCCTCCGACCCGCTACGAAGCCCGCTACACCCAACTTCCTACCCATCATCCAGACGGCCAACCTCTCCCAGCGTGAGAAGAAGCGCAAGGCGAAGCAAGACCCTTACCGATGGGCTCAGGCTCAACAACGAAAAGCCGCCAATGTGCAAAGGCGTGAGGAGCTCTCTCGTGAGCGAGATGAGGCTTGGGGTGATCCTATCAAGGGACAGACAACACCCTTCATAGAGTCTCTCGAATCAGCCGGCCAGAAAGCCACTCGCGAAGCTGCCGAGGCTGCTAGCAACGAAGCCGCCTCTACCCAGGAGCTACCAATATCTCCGGAGCTGCGAAATTACTTCCTTACCAACTCGGAACTCGAAGAGGCCGTCAAGCACGCATACACTCTCACCAAACCCATGATTGGCGTAGTCGAGTCGCAGATGGAGCCCGGAAGCGGAGAGGACAAGAAGAAGGAGCACGAGGAACGGCATGAGAAGGCTATCGAGGCTCTGCGCCGTATCACAGCCCTCAACAACAGCAGCGCAAGGGACCGATTCCACGCCAACGTCCGACGCATTGTCGATGAGTTTGGCCGCCACAACACTGATAAGACGCTAACGCCCAAGCCCAAGTCAATTCATCCCAACACAGTCCCCATGCCCGGTCGATCTGGTCCTGATACCGGCAGCTCTGAAGTCCAGATTGCCATCTTGACGACTAAGATCCACAACCTCTCTCAGGCCCTGCAGATCAACCGAGGATACAAAGATAAGCATAACAAGCGTAACCTGAGATTGTTGATGCATCGAAGGCAGAAGCTTATGAAGTACATGGACCGCAAGGAGAGGGGAAGTGAGCGATGGACTCACATGGTCGAGAAGCTGGGCCTTACACCCGCGACCTGGAAGGACCAGATCTCACTATAAGAGAAGTCTGGAGCTGTTTTTGTAGAATAAGTTGTTTCTCTCTATGTACAATACAAGCCACCTGAAAGATGAGCGACGATGCCGCCTTTTGCATCTACCTATCTCTTGTCCTTTGCGCCAGTGTGGAAACTATTCCGTGCCATTACGAGCTCAATTGCTGCTATACTACACAAAATCCTGCTAAAAATAAAAACAAGGTACTGATAACTCCAATCAAAAGACGCTGATGTAGTTGCCGATGCGCTCCTTCTGGTTCTGGGCTATGCATTCGGCAATCCAAGTGATGTTGCGGATTTCCTGTCAATTTGTTAGTTTGCGGTAAGACATGAATATGAGGAGTTACTGACCTGCTCCCGCAGTTTCACCCAAGCATAGACGATAGCGTGAGTGAACTGCCTAGTGAACGCATTCTTGGAAATCTCCATCTCCTTCTGGTAAAACATGTCCTCCAGAGTCTTGCTCTCACCAGCGCCGCCGCCCATGTTTCCGGGTCCTGATGGGCCGCCACCAACAGAGACGGCATCAAAGAAAGACTTGTAGTCATGAACACCGTCAACTGCCAGGCGAACACCTTCAGGGTCCTCAGCTCTCGAGAGCATTAGAGTTCCCTCAGGGTATAGTTTGCCAAAGCTGGGGTAGAGTTTGTTACGATCCTGCTTGGACAAATCTGTGCCGAATGAGTTGAGGGTGATGTTGATGGCTCGGCGGTCAGCCTCAAACTCAAGAATCTCGGACATGACCTCAGAGGTTGGTGTGCCAGCCATCTCGGGGTGAGTGTTGACAAAGTTGTAAAAGTCCTCCAGGTAGTTCTTGTACAGGGTGTTTCGCACAATCTCGATGTTGAGCTCGTCAAGGTCCTGGTGGCTAAGGCTGCCCTTGAAGTATGGAGCAAGAGGGGTCTCGATAAGCACGCTGTTGTACAGCTCTTCGATGTTGGTAGCAACACAGAGAACAGGCATAGTCTCGAACCAGCCGAGGGGGTGGCATCTCTCAAGAAGCTCACGAGTATCGCGCTCATGGAGCGTGCCGGTGATAAGAAGGGCGACATTGTCAATCATGTAGCCGTAGGTGACGTAGTCCATGAAAGTGGCAAGAGAGCCGACAGCCTGGGCGCGTACGTATCGGAATTCTGAGATGAGTTTGTCGGTCGTCTTGGCCGCAAGAGCTGAGGTTGAGGGGTTAGGTGGTAGAGAAGCGAGGAAGTCGCCGTAAGAAGGACCAAGCTGGAGCTTGAGATCTTGATGCTGTTAGCATGAATGACAGGAGAGGGCATTCAGTCATGGTCGCGTACCATCGATCGTCTCGCATTGGGTCAAGTTGTTGTAGGCTGGGCCTGTAAGAAGGCTGTTGCGGTAACCTCGAACGATGCCCTCGACGTAGCTGTTCACTGTGGTTAGTCTTCATAACTCCTGCATGAAGGTTCCATCACTGAGCTAAGACGCACCCGCCGTTGACATTGTAGAGAAGGCCCTCCATCTTGTTCGTAACTGTTGACGTTTTCTTCGGATATAGGGTATCGTATTTGAAGTCTGGAGGATGAATGGCCGTCTTTGTGGCCGAGGCGATGGATTACTATGTAAGTCGATCGTCAAAGTTGGTCGCCTAACATTCGAAAGCCTGCGACGGAAGCTGGACATCGCGAGTGGAGACACGTGAGTGGCCAGGAGCATCGGCGTGGCTGGGGTACGTACACGGCAAGGAAACGGGATATCATACCGCCGAACGCCGAAACACCTGCATTACACTTTCCACGGCAGGACGAGACCAAAAAAAGTTGAGTGGATCCTTCCCAAGCTTCTTCTGAAATTTTTCCATCGCCAGCCCACCCTCGAACTTTCCTTTCGCAGCCGCGTACAACAAACCGGACTGTGCCTCGCGAGGAAGCCACGACACCAATCGATTTGAGCGAGAATAACAGGAAGGAACTAACTAATTCACCATGTCGCTCTTTGTGCTTGCCGAAACGCCGGCAGGGTAAGTCGCGACGCTTCAGCCTCGACCTCGACCTCGACTTTCATGATGGCGAGGCAGGTGTAGGTTTACTAGGAAATGAGCTGACAATTGGCAGCTACGGCCTGTTCAAGGCTACCGACAAGAAGATGCTCAAGAACGAGGACCTCGCCGCTGAGCTTGGACGACCCGAGAAGGTCGTCGAGATGTAAGTTTTGAACAATTTTCATTTGCGAAAACCTTGTCCATTGAGCACCCGAAATTGTTTTTTCAGGAGCAATTGGACGGTCGCAACATCGCCACCACCCCAGAAACGCATTCACTGACACCTTCCTTCATCACAGGCTCAAGCTCAAGAAGTTTGTCAAGTTCGACAGCGCCGCTACTGCTCTCGAGGAAGCTGCCTCCCTCAAGGAGGGTAAGGTCCCTGAGCTTCTTACCCAACTCCTCGACGACCTCAAGTCCGAGAAGAAGGCTTCGCTCGCCGTCGCCGACATGAAGCTTGGCACTGCCATCTCTAACCTCTCACTCAACATCACTCCTATCTCTGGCTCCAACACCATGGACCTCTTCCGTGGTATTCGAGGTGGAATGGCCAACCTTTTCCCTGGTCTTGTTGAGGAGAACTTTGACCGTATGGCTCTGGGTCTCTCTCACTCCATGTCGCGTCACAAACTCAAGTTCTCTGCCGACAAGGTCGACTCTATGATCATTCAGGCTGTCAAGCTCCTCGACGATCTTGACAAGGAGCTTAACGTTTACGCTATGCGAACCAAGGAGTGGTACGGATGGCACTTCCCCGAAATGGCCAAGATTCTCAACGACAACTTGGCTTACGCTCGCGTCATTCTGGCTGTTGGCATGCGAACCAACATCGCCGACTCCGATCTCTCTGAGGTCCTCCCCGAGGAGATCGAGGTTCAAATCAAGGCTGCCGCCGAGATCAGCATGGGTACTGAGATCACCGATGAGGATCTTGAGAACATCAAGCTTCTCGCTGACCAGGTCATTGTCTACTCTAACTACCGGACCCAGCTTTCCTCTTACCTCGAGAGCCGTATGCGCGCCATCGCTCCTAACCTGACTGCTCTTGTCGGAACCCTGGTCGGTGCTCGTCTCATCGCCCATGCTGGATCCCTCATCAGCTTGGCCAAGTCCCCTGGTTCCACCATCCAGATTCTCGGTGCCGAGAAGGCCCTCTTCCGTGCCCTCAAGACCAAGCACGACACACCCAAGTACGGTCTCATCTACCACTCTTCACTCATTGGACAGGCCACTGGCCGCAACAAGGGTAAGATCGCCCGTATGCTCGCTGCCAAGGCTGCTCTAGGTCTCCGTGTCGACGCCCTGGGCGATTTTGAGGACGATGTGGATGAGGAGGAGCGCGCTATTCTTGGCCTCAGCAACCGCATCAAGCTCGAGAACCAGCTCCGCAAGCTCGAGGGCAAGCCTCTTCTGCCCAAGGGTGCCAACGTCACCCCCGCTGGTGAGATTGTTGGCGCTGGCCAGTTCACCGTCAAGGAGACCCGCCGATACAACGGTGATGCCGATGGCGTTGCCGACGACGAGGAGACCAACGGAACCACCCCCGCCAAGAAGCTCAAGAAGGCCAAGAAGCTCATCGAGGAGGTTGACGAGGAGATGAAGGATGCCGAGGAAGACGAGAGCGACGATGATGCCGCTACTCCCGCTAAGCCCAAGAAGCTCTCCGAGGCCGACTACGAGCGCCTCGCCGAGGAGGCTGGCATTTCTGTCAAGAAGTTCAAGCGCAAGTACGAGCGAGGCGATGTTGAGATGAACGCCGATGGTACACCCAAGGTTGTCAGCAAGAAGGAACTCAAGAAGTTGCGCAAGGCCGAGGAGAAGTCTACACCTTCCAAGGCGCAACCCGCTGAGGAGACTGATGGCAAGAAGAAGCGCAAGCACGACGACTCAGAAGACGAGGCCGAGCCCAAGAAGGAGAAGAAGCAGAAGAAGAAGAAGCGTCACTCTGAGGCTTAAAGCCCTGAGTGAACTGTCACGGCTAACGTCGTGACAATGCTGAATCGGACACAACTGTAGGACTTCGAGATTATTAATCTCATCCTACCTGCTTTTCTCTTACTCGTCTAAACACTGACGACGAACCATTTCCAAATGAAATACCACAATAAAGTCAACACAACAGACGATTGGAAGGTTTCCGATGTGTAGATATATGATACCTGAGAGACTCCTGGCATGGCAGCTTCTGCCCGCATCTTGTTTCCTGGCTGGCTGGCGTTTGGGCGGAGGGCATATTGGCGTGATTTGGTTTTATCACTTTTTCGTATTTTCTACTTGACCCTCTGTTCCCCGTCCTCTGGATGGATGCGCGCTGAATTTAGGAGGGGGATCTAGTATGGACTGATGTATCTTACGCGAGGGTGAACAGAGGTGATATAGAAGAAAAAGAATTTGTCAAGTTTAAAAGTTAATCCTGAAGTTTGGCCCTGCTCTGCCTACATGGTGTGATTTTACAGTGACTTTTACAATGATGTGAATGGTGATGGTGTATGAGAATGTGTTCAAATACCTTTGACTTGCCGGTTACAAAATGAAAGCTCAATGCCAAGCTTTTCCATCCACCGTACGTAGACAACACTACTGTGACTCCCAGAGTTAAAATGTGTGTACTCTTGGTGGCGAATCAGAACAGTTGTGTGCACATCTATACATTCACTTCGTCACAAGAGCGTCGTTGCAAAAGTCTGAAACAAAAAGGTATAGTTATTGGTAGCGATTGGGTATTTTCCATAAATTGTAATCATCCAAGAATGTCTTCATTAGAGACTCATCTGAGTCACGGGTATCCTTCAACAAAGATTAAAGCACTAAGCCACATCATCCCTTCCCACCACTCTCGATAAAAGAGAAGAGCAAAATACATACAACTGAAGTTACAAAGAGCGATGAGCGATAGCGGTAGTTGTTGAGATGGGTATCAAGGTGCAGCAGAAAAAAACAAAAGCGTGTCAAGTCATTCAGCTGAGGCGAACGACGAAAGCCGGGGTATAGCGCGAATGGAGACGAGAAGAGAGCAATGAGAACATTGCTTTCGATCAGGTAGACCAAGCTAGAACCCTCAAGCGTTAGCTGGACATTGCCCCAGACGTGGTAACACGAAGAGAGAACGTCTGGGCTTAGATGTTCTCAACAACGCGGGCGTTCATAGCCTGTTGGAAACCCGAGTCCTGACCTCCAAAGTCTTGATCATGGCTGAGAGCATGAGAGCTGGATTCGCCGGTCTCATTGCTCAGAGCAGCGTTAAGAGCACCTCCCATGCCCTGGCTGGCACCGGGCAAGAAGATGACCTTGCTGTTAGCAGACTTGGCCATGGCTTGCATAGCCTCGAGATATCTGATCTGCATGGCAGGAGCAGAGCTAAGAATGTCGGCAGCCTGTCGCATGAGCTTGGCGGATTCGACCTGAGAGTTTGTTAGTAAATGCGCAGCAAACAAATATGGGTATAAGCTTACCTCAGCCTTAGCAGCAATGATCTTGCTCTCACCAATACGCTTGCTCTGGGCAGCCATGGAGAGAGACTCCTGCAGCTCCTGACTGAAGACAATATCCTTGATGAGCATGCTCTCAACTTGAACACCCCAGCCAGCGGCAACATCCTCAATAATTTCTCCGATGGACTGGGCAATCTCCTCGCGACGCTCGATGACATCCTGGAGAACACGAGCACCGACTACATGACGGAGAGTGGTCTGAGTACGCTCCATGAGAGCCTGCTTAACGTTGTTGATACCGAAAGCAGCCTTGTGAGGAGACACGATGTGGTAGTAAATGACTGAGGTCAAACGAAGAGTGACGTTGTCCTTGGTCATGCAGATCTGCTCAGGGACTTCGGTGGTCTGGATCTTGACATCGATCTGTAGGAGTCTCTCGCTGAGAGGGTTGATCTTGACCAGACCAGGATCGACAGCCTTGTAGAACTTTCCAAACTTTGTAACGAGACCGACGTTGCCCTGGTTGACTTCCTTGTAAGGGTTGGGGCAGATGATACAGCAGGGAATGGCGCCCATGGTTCCAACGATGCCTCCAAGGACGTTCACTGCTGGTGTTAGTTTGTGGTCTTATACCAGATATCAAAAGTAGTACTCACTCATGCTTCCATACCAGTCGTTGGGACCGGCTTCGTGTTCGACAACAGTGGCATACTTGCGCTGAAGATCCTCCTTCTTGGGAGGCTCGACTGTCATCTTATTGCTGGGAACGAAACCACCATTGCCATCTCCAGGTGCCGGTGCCTTGTGGTGCGCGGAGGAGCTTCCGCCATTGATCATGCCCTCAGTGGACGACATTGTGAATCCTGTTGGTGTTGTGTTGAATGAAGAAGTGGGTGCTTTGAAGCTTTTTATTGTTGTTCGAGATTGATGCTTTGGTCAAATACAATGTGTTACGTGTGTTACAAGAAACTGTTTCGAAATGGGGTGGGGAGGTGGTGTTATTTAATCTTGTCAGGAAAGTCCAACCCACCCTCAGCTCATGGTTGAGCAACAGCCGCCAAGTCCATTGACGTCGGCCTCATTGGAAGAGCGCTCAATGCCACACAAGTTTGGCATAGTGAACCCTGTGCTGTACAGGTGACACGGGGAAAGAGTGATCTTCCTGCGATAAAGTGGATACTGTATGGTATTCAGAAGCTTTATTGGAGTTTCTGATAGGCTCACACGGAGCTCGAGCAAGGGTCCTGTGTGGAGCACAAGGCTTGGGCGTGCTGGGCGTGCCGCTAGGCTTACAGTCTCCAGGTGTTGCTGCACAAGATTTGCAAGGTTGAAGCTCTACGAAAATACGACCAATACGATGGGGCAGGGAACCGCGACTTATCGGATCATGAATTAACATCCACAGGCTCGTTAAAGTGCTCAACTTCAACTAGAGCAGACACGGTCTAATGCGAGGCGAAAGATGCTTCGTCAATGGGAATAACACAACTCAGCTAAACTCCATGATAGGGCCAAGCCTTTTGGTTGCTCGGCATCTGGCAAACCCGGAAGCGATGTGCGTTGGCCAAGCAGTGCTAACAACCACCTGAGGGACATGTTCAAGGCAATTCCGTATCTCTGCTTCTGCCTCGCCAATTTCCAATACTTTCTCACACAAATATCATTGACCATTCCTACGCTGTACTTGTACTGCTACTGCGCGGAGATAACTTCATACGGATGATGGACTGGAACAAACACTAGCTCAGGACGAGAGGCAAACAGTGCAGATCGATAAATCAACTCAGCCTCTTCGACGGTAACGGCTCTGCAGGGCCGCGATACTTTGGCTAGCACATGTCTTGTCGCCCGATTCATGTTGAGTTCAATGACCATTGGACTTTAGTCTACGGAGAACCGGCAGAGCTACTTCGAGTTTGACCAATCACAATGTGATCGCAGGCTCACATTTCACTGCGACCGCAACTGCAGGGTCTGGAAGCGATATTCTCCGCGGTGTAATATCATTGGATAAAAGCCGTGTGACCTACTGCATCGCCTCTGTAATTGTGAGTTACAATGTTGCCCACTTGTCATTGTTGGTCATGTTTTCGGCTTGGCAATGCCGCGATGACATGGTGAGTTCAACTCGATCTGGAAATGCCCGGCAGCGACATGCCGTAGCTGGATGAGACATTATTCTAGAAAGCTTCCCGGCGGTAATATTGCATGTTCTGGATATCGAAATCTCCAGTTCCGCCCGGCTGTGCCTCAATGCCATCTTGCCACTCGTCGATATGCCCCCGTGTAAACACAGGCAGTCAGGCACTGGGTCCCTGATCATCTACACCCAAGAAACTAAGCCTTCAGGGGATTTCCTACTCCACAAGGCGGAACGCTAATCTACAACCTTCCCTGGGAGTCATCTGATGAACAGGCACGCAAATGACAGCGAACAGTTTATCGACTAGTCAATATTTCGGCTCAGCCTCTGCACAGCCTGAGTATCCAGTTGTTTGGTATCGATTAATCCCTGAGCTAGACCGGGGCCGAGCCCGAATTCCGGCCCCATATTTCGATCACGTCCTCCGAGCCCCGGCCGTATAATCGCCGCCACACTGCAGCAATGACGAAAACTGGCATGAAGTTCTCCAGATAAACAACCCGAAGGAAGCATGAGGTCCACTATTAATCTTCTAGAAAACTGCCAACTCTTTTAGGGTCTTGTACAAGGCGGCTATGCAAAGGATTCATGTAAGCCTCTACAAACTCAAAGTGCGGTAAGAGGTAGAGAGGTTCAGCCTCAATGGAATTAGCAAGGCTAAACGTTTATAGCCTTGAAGATTATTCTCATGATGGAAATGGCCGTAGTAAGACAGGAGTTATGCGCCTCGTCGAATGCGCCCAGCCAGGTGGTCACTGAGTATAGGGTATTTCTCGTAGATGTTCGGGCTGTACCAATTGCGAGCGCGTTAAACCTTAAAGGACTGTAACAGTTTAGTCGATTTGTTAATTTGATAGCAGGTAGAAGCCCGTACACTTTTTCAGACGTCGACTTTGGTATCGAGGCTACACAGGCTTACATTTGTGCATATATGCTGATCAAGTTACATAGCACAAGTATTGAGAATAAATGGGACAAAGCTCGCCAACTGACCAATGACACAGATTAGCCCCAATGCATGCCGTAGCACGTAAAAGAAGAACGATTGGTGGTACATCCTGTTTGACAATGGAAGTTGCTGTGCTATCATCAAACTCAACAATTCATTCCTTCCAAAATTTTGCACTTGCGTGGTAGAGTGTAGCATGGCTGTAGGGACGCTGTTAACGCCACGCCTTTCAACAACAACCCAATATCCCCTGTGGCTTAGTTGGCTAAAGCGTCCGACTGTTATTAAATAGACAATCGGGAGATCGGAAGTTCGAGCCTTCCCGGGGGAGTTGAACCTCTCTTTTGCCAAATTCAACTTTTTATCGGTGTACAGTCAAAGTTTTGTTGCTTGATATGAGTGAGATTGTTATGATGTTTGATGGACAATTGATGCGACTTTTGTTTAATCACTCGAGCCAAGTCGATTCTAATCAGCAGCTGCATGTTTTTGTAAGTTTGACTTGTTTGCCAAGGTGTCATGAGAAGTTGTTGTTCCTCATCACCTAGCGGTTAAAGTCCCAAATAGCACTTACACTTAGGGAAGAAAGCAGGTAAATCATTTGGTGAGACATATCTGTTCAATTGACGTAGAAGTACATATAAAGATTTATCCAAAGTCCAAAGGGATCTTCAATAACCAGAACTAGTAACGTGACCAACTCACCACTTCCACCTTGTTCTATCTCTTGACCCGACTCTCAGAGCCAAAGACAGTAAACCGTTTAGCTCTACGCTTTCAATCCACCACAAGTGAGCCATCGTCCTCCACCTCAACATGCACAACAACATAATGTCCAAATCTCAGGCGGCCATCATCAAATCAGCTCATCCCCTGTGGCTTAGTTGGCTAAAGCGTCCGACTGTTACTTGCAGACAATCGGGAGATCGGAAGTTCGAGCCTTCCCGGGGGAGAGATCTTCTCTCCGAGATATCCTTTTTGGTAGTTGTGGATATTTTTTGGTGTTGCGGACTTCTGGCCCCACTAGGGCTGGGATTGTGAAACTGAGGTGAAATGATATTGCCGAGTTTAAGAGAGTAGGAAATGCGAGACCAAGTGTCGAGTGATGTAGAGGAGTTGCTGGTATGTGTATGGCTTTAATAACCTGTTGTGAATGGGTGATAGGCGAGAGATAGAGAATGTGTCAAATGCACGGCCAACCGGGTCAACAAGTAAGCCGATCTCAAGACACAGGTTCTTTGAGGTATATTGACATCCTTTACTTGTATCGTACATGCCACCCCTGATCTATATCATTCATTCTAGTGAAGCATGTGACAGACAAACTCATTTGGCTTGCGGTGTTATCCTTCGCGTTGCCCATAATCTGACCGACCTCCACGGCTGCGCTGAAGCCACGCCCTTCACAACCGAAGGCGAAGGCCATCTTTCACTTCCCGCAGGCTCAAGGTCATAAAGAGAGATGAAGACGGAGACATACATGAGCACCTTGCGCAGAGTAAAGTCAGAATCATCACACATGGTCAGTGACCCATCTAGAAACGTTGGTCAGTACTTGGTCAACATATAGAAACAATGGACATACCTGATGCTCTGATTGAGTAGGGGTTAATCCTCTGTGTCTTTACAACTTTTTCATTCACAACGTCTTCGAGGTAGCGACCAACCTGCCAGATCTTAGAATCGGTAAAGCTTCTAGGGTCGGAGTGATGAAGATCGTTGACAACGTGGGCAAAAGTCCCCTTCTTCAAGACGAAACTCTCTTCCTTGTCTTTGAGTGTGACGTCCTCCTTCAAGTACCTCGCCGACCATCCTCCACCATACAGCCTCAGTGTTTCAAGGTAGACTCCTTTAAGTAGGGGGCATTCCGTCAGAAGACCTTCCAAATCCAGCTTCTCAATCTGAGGAGGAATCCAGACAGCACCTCCGAACTCATTCTTAGGCAGAACAATCTTGACAAATGGAGTGATTTGTTCACGGATCTGCGATAGAAGAACACGGTCTTGGTAAAGCTCGAACAAAGACCACGAGATGAGTGACGTAGAGTTGACAGTCGTGCTCCAGAGAAGAGCTACATCGAATGCAGCGCGTACGTCAGAGGATAGACCATGCTTTCGGTAGACTTCAGCCCTGGCGCGAACAAGCGGGCTGACTGTGTGGAAGTCTTGCCATTTCGTTGCTGGTTCCTCATCACTGAGAAACTTGTCGAACTCATCGTGAAACTCGCGCATGAAAGTACGCAATCTTGAAAGAGCGAACTTAGCCCTCTGGGAGCTTGGGAACGGCGCCCAGACAGGAACACCCATGGCGAGAGAGTGGAAGGCGTCGTTGAAGATCCAGAGATGAGGCCAAATGTCAGGGTAGATCTCGACAAAGTCCGTGCCGAATACGGAGATGGTGGCAGTTCTGGCAATGAAGGTCTTCATCAGCTCGAAAAAGTCCAGGGCCATTGTCTTTTCTTCCTTGTCCTCCAAAAGTTCTGCGTTGGCCATTCGCTCCCATTCCATCTGGTCGGTAGGATAGCCGTTGAACGAGATTGCATCAGAAGCATTGTCGTCAAGGTCTCTGAGAGTAGCTTTGGAAAGGTCATCCAGATGAGAGCCACTCAGATACTCTTTGGTAACCTGATGAACCTCAGCAGCGGCTTTATCATAAGCTGCAAGATCCCTCTTTGAAAGACCAAAGTTAGTCATCATAAGGCGCCTCGCAACATACTCCTTATCGGCGACAGACTCTGGCTGCTCAAGGAGACTAGCAGCGAGCGACGGTCGAAAAACAAAAGAGTGAATGCTCTGGAACAGTCGAATGGAAAAGACCCCCTGGGCATATCGATTCCTGAGGCGCGTCAAGGCGGAAGAGGGACTGATAAAGATACGTGGAGCATGACCGAACAGCGGCACCCAGAAAGGCGCAAGAGGTGGTGTTTTAGATCCATCTTTCCGAGAAGAAGATGATTTGCCTGTGAAGAGTCTCGTTGTTATGAAGAGAATGATAGTCGTGACGAGGATAGCGTGTAGGGGGTATCGCCGGGCTTGCGGGATGATGGCCTCACTGAGACGTTCCCTTAGGCCGTCCATCGTGGAAGATGGAGATGAAAGAGGGATTGAGAGCCTTTGAGATGACTTGGGATGGAATCATAGAGGTATAAGATATTGAGTTGATGAAAGTGAGGCAATCTGTCAATTTTATTGCTGAAGATGCAAACTCGAGCTCCTGTATGGACCAGACCCGCCCGTGCTGACTGGCATTGCTCAGCCATGAGTTGTAGGGGCTGTGCACTGTAGTTGGAGTGTTATAGTGGACGGTGTATTTTGGTGGAGGTCATGATGGAAACGATACCCATAATGACCTAACTAGGAATATGTATAATTATAAAATAAATGATAATTAGGATAACCTATAAATAATGTTATAACAAGATTATATAATATTTCATAAAATAGGAGAATTTATTATATTTTATATTATCTTGTATAAAGTTTAGAAGAGAGGAAGTTGTCGGAACCTTTACCCACCCACTGTATTTTTTGAGAAGACGTTGGATACAACAGGCATCGATTGCTACCGATTCAAGTTATTTCGAGTTTCTATTTCTCGGTAACTAGGAAGATGCCGGGCTCATCAACTGCATGCCTCGTCAGTTCAACATCTCATCACCATCTGCGAAATACCGGACCCAGCAAATATACTGACTGTACGCCATTTCACAGACTCCCACTCTCATTTGGAACATCCAACACAACTCTTAGAAAGCAAGTGCAGAACCGAATTGGAGCTTCAATTCATTGTACACTTTAGTTCGAGATCATAACGGTTATAACTTACAAGAACTAATTTAACGCTGGTGGTTTGCGATAGAGGGCGGGTAGGGCTGCATGAAATGTGTTTGGCGTAGGGATGTTATTGGTTGATTGTACTGGCTTCGGGGAAATGGGCGCAAGGGATGTTTTCCTTCTCTCGCACTCTCATGAGACTCGAGCTGTTGACCAATAATGGCACTGAGATGTAGGGATTCTATCATGGGATGTGGCTTGTATCATATGCATAGTGTATGCCAATCTTTTGTGGTTGATTCTAATCATGCTTCATCATGACTGTTTAACACCAGATTCGTGTCTTCTGCACAGGGGCCTATTGAACGTTGAGTGAGCGTTTAACTATTCCAAGAGAATAACAGTTACCGTTGAGATTAACCTCTGAAGCCAATTATACCCTTAATCCAACGTCTATTCAATTGACATCAATTGATATTCATCCTTTAAGTCAATTGTCTGCTCCTGCTCTCTCGGATCGACACTCCGATCATCGGCTGCCTCAGGCCTCAACTGTTGCATCATCCTGCTAGATCTGGCAACTTACCTTAGGTGAGATTCCTCATTGCTGCTTATAAAACTCTCTCCCAGCCCAAGATAGACACTTACCAGCTACTAGGTAGTTAACAGACACCAGACACCTCTTTGGTCTGCTACCGATTCGTGGCCGGTACCTTGTTGTCTCAGTCTCGCTTGCGTCTTATAAACGCGCTTATCGCCGCAGCCAAGTCTGGGCAGCTCCCCCACCATCACCAACCCCAGACATCCCATGATGAGCTCTTCTTGAGCCGAGACGGCCAGTATGATACCCCAATTACTGCAGCGGTCGTCGAGGGCATGTCCCCGGCGTCCTCTTGCACTCTATCGATTGTCTCCCGTGTCTCAACGACCCGGTCTAACACAGACATTCTGGACCTCTGCCCCGCGTCGCGAACAGCTTCAAACACCCAAACCCGCGCCCACACAAACGGATTCAAAATCCACGACGACAAAACCCTCGGCCGTGTTTCCTGCAAAGAAGCAACCGACAAAACAAAATGATCCTCTTGCGACGGTGGAAAAGTCTGCGACGGAGCAGCGCAAGGCCGACTGGGCCATCATGAAAGAGATGACTCGGTATCTGTGGCCCAAGGATGACTGGGGCACAAAGCTGCGAGTCGGCCTTGCTGTCTCGCTGTTGATTGGCGCAAAGGTCCTGAATGTTCAGGTCCCCTTCTACTTCAAGAGCATTGTCGATTCCATGAACATTGACATTGCTGCTGTTGGAGGTACTGCGACAACAGTCGCTGGAGCCATGATCCTTGCATACGGCGCATCCCGTATAGGCGCAACCATATTCCAGGAATTACGAAACGCCGTATTTGCCTCTGTCGCCCAGAATGCTATTCGAAGGGTCGCTTGCAACGTTTTTGATCACTTGCTGCGTCTTGACCTCACCTTTCATCTTTCCAAGCAGACCGGTGGTTTGACAAGGGCTTTGGACCGCGGTACCAAGGGAATCAGCTTCATTCTATCTAGTATGGTCTTCCACATCATGCCGACTGCGCTTGAGATTAGCATGGTTTGCGGAATTCTCACCTACAACTACGGCGCCAAATTTGCAGCTCTCACCGTTTTGACAATGGTTAGTTACACTGCCTTCACTATCTGGACTACTGCTTGGCGAACCAAATTCCGACGACAAGCCAATGCGGCCGACAACAAGGCTTCCACTGTGGCAGTCGACTCACTCATCAACTACGAGGCCGTCAAGTATTTCAACAACGAAAAGTTCGAGGTTGCGCGGTACGACAAGGCTCTTCAGCAGTATGAAAAGAACTCCATCAAGGTTGCGACATCTCTGGCTCTTCTAAACAGTGGACAAAACATCATCTTCTCTTCGGCACTTACTGGTATGATGTATCTTGCCGCCAATGGCGTTGCTGAGGGTACCCTGACTGTAGGCGACTTGGTCATGGTCAACCAGCTCGTTTTCCAGCTTTCAGTCCCTCTCAACTTCCTTGGATCCGTCTACCGTGAACTTCGACAGTCTCTGCTGGACATGGAGACCCTCTTCAATCTTCAGAAGGTCAATGCCAATATCCAGGAGAAGACCGATGCGAAGCCCCTTGCTCTTTCAAAAGGTGGCGAGATCAAATTTGAGAACGTCAACTTTGCTTACCACCCGAACCGCCCTATCCTGCGTGATCTATCATTGACCATTCCCGCCGGTAAGAAGGTTGCTGTTGTTGGTCCTAGCGGATGTGGCAAGTCTACCTTGTTGCGTCTTTTGTTCCGATCTTATGACGTCCAGGGTGGACGAATCTTGATCGATGACCAGGATATCCGAGATGTAAACCTTGAGTCCCTTCGACGCTCCATCGGTGTTGTTCCTCAGGACACTCCTCTATTCAACGACACAGTCGAACACAACATCCGCTATGGTTCTATCAACGCTACCCACGATGAGGTCGTTGCTGTTGCCAAGCGAGCCCATGTACACAACACCATCCAGTCATTCCCCGATGGCTACGACACCAAGGTCGGCGAACGAGGACTCATGATTTCCGGTGGCGAGAAGCAACGTCTGGCCGTCAGCCGTATTTTGCTCAAGGATCCCCCTCTGCTCTTCTTCGATGAGGCGACAAGCGCCCTGGATACCCACACCGAGCAAGCCCTTATGCTTAATATTAACAGCATTCTAAGGGAGAGGGGACGAACAAGTGTCTTTGTCGCTCATCGTCTCCGAACCATTTTCGACTCTGATCTTATCATTGTTCTGAAGGAGGGACAAGTAGCAGAGATGGGCACCCATCGGGAGTTGATCGACCGTGATGGCGTTTACGCCGAGTTGTGGAGTGGTAAGTCCAAACTCTTTTGTGGAGTATCATGACGCTGACAATGTCTTTAGCACAAGAGACGAGATTCCAGGAGGATGGAGTAGAGAACGATGAGGGTGAGGAAGAGAAGGGTGACCAGAAGAGGAAATAAACATAAGACTTACGTGGATACGGCAGAAGAAAGCTCGTACCTTATTATTGCTAAAATGGTACGATGAAACAGAAATACTTCTATATGAGATTCATTAGCTGGTTCAGAAAGGGTGATCAAGATCATGATGCCGAGTTTTCCAAGATCCGGCGAAGAATAATTTCCCATGAGATAGAAATAGGAGAGCTGCGTGAATGATGTACCAACATCTGAAATGGCACTCGCCAGTCAGTCAATTGGACCCCAAACTTGTGCGAAACGACTCTCTCAGGGACAATGAAGTCTGCAAGAGTATCTCTTTCTCGTTCCTCGAGGCCATACCGTATTCCCATGACTCGGACAAAGATATGGAACAAGCCCTGTGTTCTTGTGGCGACTCCTGACGTGACAACTTGTGAAGCTCATAAGAAATCAGGGATCTGGGCTTAGAGAACTGGACTCTGATCGCATATCTATCCTGCTTCCTGCCTATTCCCTTTCTATCATGTGAACCTATCACCCGCCGACGCCGCCTGTGACGTAGAACAGAGGAACGAGCGTTGGAGTCGTAACTCGCTCTCGTTTCGTATTGATGGGATCGTAAAATCTGATTGACTCAATGTTAGCTTCCTATCTCCGAGTAGAGTCTGTGTCTAAGATGTTCGCATGCGTTCCAAACTCGTCTCCCTACCGTCTTGGGATGCTCAAAGGATCAAGGGACTGCAACGGGGTCGAGATTGGACTTTGTAGCTCGACACAAGGTACAGATTGGTAAAAAGAAACTGAGGTTTCCAGCTGTGTGTACGTTGAGAACGAGTCGAAGGCCACCATCAAGCCCCAATTGACTGATTGCCCACACCGAACTGTTGTAAGAATGATTGATCTGTGTGCTACTTGGTTGTAGAACCGGTATTTTTCATCCTCTATGTTAGATCGAACTTCGGAAGTCGTGAAGCTAGGCGTCTCTGGCTGAAAAGTGACAACTGTTGTAATGTATTCTTTGAATACTTTACCTCTCATGCCAACATCATGCGTATAAATTGCGAAATGGGATGTGATTTACATATCAAGGAGTAGTCTGAGTACCTCAGTGTTTGCTCGTCTTCTGTATCTTTCTGGTCTTTGCTAACCAGAACCATGGTGGACGAGAATGCCCCCCTGCTTTTCGTTGTCCATACGAAATCTAACCTCTGCAGGGTCAAGTGTCTTTCAAGGCCCTGAGAAAGTGGGTAATGAGATAAATGAAGCGTGTTAACCCATATAAAAGGCTGAGTCAATAACCTTGAGTGAATGAGCGTGGGGAAGATTGTGTGTGGCCTAGAACAGGAGGTGGTAGCAATGAAATTCGATGTATTTGCGACCGCATGGCGCTGAGTATCCTTGTAGATGTCCTCGTGTTGTTGCTTTCAGAACAGGGAAGTGTTCGAGTTGCACGTCTCTTCTAAATCAATGGGTATGGAAAACGAAGGGGTGCTTCGAAATATTTTGGTTGTTCTCCCTGTGGTTTGAAGGAGGACTATGGGATGTTGAACGGTAGCACATGGGGCATGGCCACAGGATTTCCATCTGTTCAAGGCTGCTCAGTATTCTCTTCCAACACTTTCGTTTATGGATCATGCTGCTCGTAGTCATGGTCGTTTTCTAACATCACACGGGGGTAGTCCCTTTCTGACGACATGATTCTCTTGACCGACGCCGAAGGTAATCTGCCCCTTTTCGTATCAATCCCGATACATTGAGATGGTTTTGTAATTCAGGGTTTCAAATTCGGAATCCCTTCATCCCTTTACTGGGCAGCTAGGCCAGACATCTTCTCGGTTGCTTGTTTCATATAGACTGGTATTGCCTCGCATACCGGGACATGTGTCGCTTGGTGCTGACTCTTGGGAAGCCCTTCATCTGTGTTGTCAACAGGTCAGGGATCTCGTAGCTGTAGGTTCTTGCTTCGCCTGTTGTAACATTGCCAAATTGTTGCCAATTTCTAGATTGAACTGGTCAGCAAATAGTCTGTACCACCAGAAGCTTCCAAAACGGCATACCTGCCTTGCGATTTTGATTCCAGCCAAGGCAAAAACCTGTTGTTTTTGGTTTCAGAGCCTGCCTTGCCTGGTGATATCTGATTCGCCTTTTTACTGGAATTCTTGTAGGTTAGGGACTGCAGTACATTCGGGAACGGGGCTCTCTGTAGGCACCGGGCATTTTTCTGACCGATCCATGGTGGATAATTAGAGGAAGTGAAGTAGAAACTGCGGGATCACCTGTGGACCAGGATTCGAGTGGCCCGTGATGCTGCATTTCTTGATATCGCTTTCATGCTGCAGCAGTTTCACAGTTAGTGACCAGGCCTGGTAAGGTCAGACAAAGGTAAGAAACCTAGACCAGGCGATTTCATACTTTAGAGAATGCCTGGAGTATTCTGTGTACTCGAGGGTAGATTTCTCCCCAGTGTAGTGAGGCCAGACAAACATTGTTGCGAGCGATACCTTGAAGAGGAAGAGGGTGTTCGGCTCAGATTCTGTTTTCATACAGAGCAGCGAGAAAGCGATTTGAGTGTTCGAGGTCAAGAATCAAGAAAGGTCTGGATTTGAATGTGACCAGTTTTTTGGGTTATCAAATGCGAGCTCGTGTACAATTCCCCTCAAGGTGAGGGTGAGTTTGTGAAAAGGTGTGTTGAGATTGTGAAGGTTCCACCGGTTTTAATACACAACTCACAATAAACTTATCCAAGAAACAACTTCTCCCTCACATAAACAAGCTGACGAGATTGAAACCATGGTAATGAATTAGAGCATTGTTTTATATCACTTATACCACCAATAAACCAACAAGGGGGCTGTTTACCTTACAACTAGTAGCACCGGTACAGGGTAGCCTCATTCTGACTAATATCTGCTTTTCAACGTCTACCTGAACCTACGTATAACTGCAATGCGATTGAGAGCCTAGACTGCAAATGTAGTCACAATAAGAATTGGATATTGTAATATGTGATCCTGGGCAATACGATATAATGCTCGATGCCAAGATCTGCATGATTCAACCTGCCTGAATCGCCACGTGTAGTGTAATTGTGCCCCACGTTGGAGAGTCGATCCATGTAAGAATATCACTAACAACACAAACCAGCCAATCCATGCGATCCCAATTCCAATTCCTCTACTGCCAGAGCAACACATCATGAAAATACTTCTGCACTCCCACTTCCCAGCAGGCCATGCATATCCCATGCAAGCTGTGGCACAGTCCCTCGTCCGTCGAGGCCACGAGGTCGTCTGGCTCACCAGCGCCGACAATGAAGCTCGCGTGCGAGCCGTGGGAGCTACCTTTGTCGCAACACACGCTATTGCCATTGTGGACGCTCCTCTGATAGCTCAACACGAGACTGGTATTCTGGACAAGGTGTACAAGCGGCTTGAAATCAGGCTCATTGCGCAAGTGAGCGATTATCGTCGGGTATTGCGGGGTTTCAAAGCAGATGTGCTGCTGGTCGATGTGATGCCCTACGGCGCAAGAGCCTTGTACGAACTCGGCGAGATTCCTGTGTATGCGACACTGGGCGTCATTCCCATGTACATGTCGAGTTGGGGTGCACCGCAGGCCGTTTCGGGGGATAGTCCTTCGACGTCGTTGCTTGGATTGATCTGGAACTTTCTACATCATCTTGTTAGCCAATGGATTCTCTTTCCATTGCTCCTGCGACCCGTGATAAACGCCCAGAGACAAGAGATGGGATTGCCAAACTTACCATACGGCGAGCCTACCGAGTCTTTCACTTACAGCCCCTTTCTTCATATCCAAGCGTCGTCTCCGTTGTTGGAGTTTAGGTTGCTGCCGAAGCCAATCGAGCAGAAGCGGAACACCAAATTCGTTGGCCCAGTTGTCACACAAATTGAAACCAGCTATGTGCAGCTGCCTCCCCAATGGGACGAGATAGTGGCACATCCCCGTGTAGTTGGCATTACACAAGGCACATTGGCAATGGACCCGACGTCGTTGATAATACCAGCCATCGAGGCCCTCTCAGGCGATCCTGATCTTCTCCTTGTCGTGGCATCACCCCACGTGGAGGAGATCACATCAAGAATAGGAGAGCCGTCCAACGTACGATTCATCAAATGGATCCCATACCACCTCTTCCTCCCACAGCTTTGTCTTCTCATCACCAACGGAGGTTACGGGAGTATAACGCAGGCGTTGTCACACAAAGTACCCCTGATTTGTGCTGGACAGACAGAAGATAAAAAGGATACGGCGGCTCGTGTGAGCTGGGCCAGGGCCGGCATTGACTTGAAGACGGACAGTCCATCAACTGAGCAAGTGAGAGTGGCGGCGAGGACGATACTGGATGATCGAGGGTACGCGGAGAGGGCTGGGGTCTTGGGTGATGAATTGAACGAGCTTGGAGGAGCGGATCGGGCTTCGGAGCTTTTGGAGGAATTGGTCGGCTCTAAAAAGGGATGATAGAGTTAGCAATGTTACCCTTGTTACTCAGGGAGCTTGGGGGAAGTTAGATATGCTGATACCACCTAGAGGCCATGTCAGGTCAGATAGTTGATGAACATAACGAATCAAACGATGTTGGTTGGGAAACTTGTTGTACAATAAACAGTTCATATAGCAGTCAATTCTGGTAGGTACCTAGAATGTCGAGTACATGCCAAAAAATGCTGTATCAGATCCACCGGTTGCAATCGCATCGATTGAGATGTAATACCCCTGATATAATTCCACAATGAAAACACGCTATATCGACGACCGCTTGGATGAATGATGCCCCTGAGATCCGGAACTCGTCGCCACAACGGCCAAACCTATAGATCCGTAACTGTTCTGTAATTTGACAGGACCTTGGAATATGTCAGTATTGCGATCATCATACTTTACGAACTGGGGACTCAAGTAAGAGAAGTGACGTACCGTAAGGACGCAATAAATATTGCGAAGATGCCATCCGAGATGTGATGATATGCTAAGCCCAGAGGGAGCCGCGGGCGTACAAAAACTTGAGGAGGAGCATCGACTCCAGCCAGAGAAGAAGATTCCCCAAGGACACTCGCGACCGAGGTGAGATCTGATGGCGTGTCGTTGCCGGATTTACAGAAGTCGCATTCTGTCACTGCAGTCATGCGACTCGACCAAAGGCCAACCGATGAGGCGCAGGAGCCAAAGAAGCAATATGATGGCTACAATGTCGTACATGACAATATCGAGGCGGTAGCCTCGGCAGTAAATGACTACAGCTACCATGATGGGCAAAGACCTTGGCGTTAGACGGGGGTAGAGGGATTACTGGTCGTGTCGAGATACGGTTGGTGATCAAGGAAGGGGTGATATTGAAGAACTTTGGACCAGGAACAGTTCGATGAAATAAAGAGGGAGGAAATCTTGAGTGAACTGAGAACAGACGATACGGTTAGCGTTTTCTGAGTGTGTTCGTGGGATGAAGAACATAGAAACACTGACCAGAATAGATGTTCGGATGGGGATAGTGGATGATAGTAGTTGTTCAAAACACCAGAGAAAAGAACTTGGAATTTCGGTGTATATTTTGGGGTGGGTTGAAAGTGTGGGAGGGGGAGAAATGTGAGTGTGCCTGGGTTGTCCACGAGTGCAAAAGTGGGAGAACTGCCCCTCAGAAATGCCAACGCCAGAGCGAGCAGTACGAAGTCTGAGAATGGATGAACACTTTGCACCAGAATATCATTGATCAAACAATTTTTGATGTATGGAATATCGAAATAATATTTCTCAAGGAGTTCTGCTACGGTGCAGTGTCTGCTTCCATGTGGTGGCCTGCCATCACGTCACGTCACTTGCGAACTACGATGCGGCACGAGGACGGAAAACAACAAAGTGGTAACAAATGACTACGATGGAGATATCTAGATGCTGTAGCTACGTATGCTGTGTCTAGTGAATATTATATGAGCGAGTGTCACGATATTGCTGGCAAGGCGTATGGGCGTCACTCGAGCGAGTGCAGGATATTTCGCGCCAAACCTCCAACAGAATGAATCGTGATATCTCAACAGCCTGCCAGAATGTAGGCATATCCTTACCAAGACTCCACGCCCACACTATGCATGTACGTCCTGTTCCGCCCCATACATCTCCAACACTGCCCCATCATACGTAGCTCACCAAGACATTATCACAGTCACAAGGAAAGCAATCTTCTTCTTCAAGCCACGGTACCAGACCATGGACCCAATGAAAAAGGTGTATAGCAACCAAAAATTGAAATAGCCGCCTGCTTGCACAGGTCCACACCCCAGCACCGCAAGGGCACCAGAATGCTTCGCAGGCCCCGGGATTCATGAGCTCCGAGGACTACCGGTCGTTTGGCATGAGGAAAAGAAGAAAAGAAGAAGGGATGCCAAGGAGAGGGAGAGGGGGTTTATATAGATGACCAGACCAGGGCGGTGAGAGATCTACTGATCTGCCGCGCGAACAACTGCCGGTTGATCACTCTGGGGAATTACCTGGTCCAAGTGGAGACGAGTAGGGGTCGATTCAATGCGGGTGAGGTGATGTACAGGCCGTTAGCTGTCAGGCCAGGGGCGTTATGCGGGTGAGCGGGCTGTTAGCGTGGGGTCGATGGACGACATCCCAACGACCACGCCTGACACTCAGCTGTGATCTTGCGATCACGAGCAATAGGAAAAATAGACCACCATTTTTCGTTTGATCTGTCGATTTTTAGCTTCCGGGACATATTTTGAAAGTGATTTTCAATTGTTGTGGCGGTTGCCTTGAGACTTTTGGAGGGTGCATTTTGGGGCATATCTGCGTCCAGCGTGAATTACAGAATTGGCGGGACGGTATTTGCACTAAGAGCTACACCACACCAAGCGCATCGTGAGAGGAATGGCAGAACTATATCATGAGGCACTGGCAATAACGCCCATGGAGAAATCGATGAGTGTTGGAGCGTGTATGCATATCAAGTTGTACGATGAGGACTGTAGATCTACACTACGAAATTACAAGTGATGCAGATGCAATCAAATCACGAGAGTACAATGTTATCAATCCAGATGCATCAAATATGATTGCATCGTATCTACAAGTTGCTGGGACTTGGAAGTGGCGAGTAATCCCACGCGGGCTCACCCCAGGGGCGGGCAGGCTCTCGAGCCAGACACCAACGCCGCTCCACCACCACAATGAATCAGAGACTATTGTATATCCCCCGATGCAGAGAAATGCCCTACTAACCTATGATCTCAGGCAGAAGTGAGGTAGCCAAGGCAACACTCGCCTTCTCGCCCCTCGGCTCTCGGCTTGTAACACATCAGGGCTCGTCTCTTAAGGCAGCCCTCCTTGGTATTGTCACTGCCACACTGCGCGCACAATCACTCGTACCCACAATTCCCAAAAGTCTCAGCTATATAATCCCCTCCTCCCTCCCATCTTCCCTCTCTTCTCTCTCTTCCATCTTCATATCTCATCACCATCTTCACTCCCAATCCTCCTCCTCTACCACATCAAACATCTTTATCATACATCATTATCATACACCCAAACAACATTATCATGCTTTCCCCTCACACACCTTCACACCTTCATCACACCTCCATCAACCACCTGGGCCATGCTCAAGGTCATCCTTGACGCCTCTCCACTCACCACAACTGCCTCTTCTGTTATCGGAAGTGCTTGCAAGAAATGCTTCAGAGCTGGGGCGGGGAGGCCCCGTGCCCACTTCTCCCACCATAGGTACGCGGCTCTGGCCAGGTCACTACTGGCCCAACGTTAGTGATCTCTGATGTATTTGTTTCGATCTTCGCTAACATACATAGCTCGGGGGCGTTCTCTCACTCCATTGCTGGGAGGCACCCCCGGGGTCGCCACCGGGTCTACCGGCGGGGTGCCTCCTCTGTCATCGGAAGTGCTTGCAAGGTAAGTTCCAATCCCACATCGTTACGACACATACTGATCCTGATATGAGTAGACTCTCCTCCGCGAGAGCGACCTGAGCATATCTCTCCTGCCAAGTCCATCGAGGACCTGAGCGGCTCTGGCCTCGATACTCTGTTCGGAGGCCCTGCCCCTTAAGGGGCCCCGCCTCGGGCGTGTTTGCAGGAGCTGCACTGGACGCCTCGTTGTGAACCTCGGGTTCATGATGGGATATCCAGTACAGCACTTGCAAGCACTTCCGATGCGCGGTCCCTTAGGGGGTGGGACCCTCTGATCTTTTGGGATGGGACTTAGGATAGGACTTAGGATGGGGGACTAAGACAATTTGACACATCAAACAATTCAAACTCTTCAAACTCATTCTGTTGACATTCGCTTTTATTTGTGAAACTATCTTGCTTGTGACAATTCAATGCTCAGTGATAAAACTGGCACATGAACATTCCAGTGACGCTTCACCCCAATCCCTGCTCAAGTCACCGACAGCACCATCCCTCTTGAAGTTGTGAACCCAACCGGCTACACTGTAAAATCTACCTGGCTACCTAACTATCCTCCGTCCCAAAGATAAGCAGATCGTCGTCTACATCAATCAAATCGCCCACTCGCACCATCACGGCGACACACCTCCCAGCCAAAGGGCTACGAATCTCCACCTCCATCTTGCTCGATTCAATATAAAGCTTATGAACAGGTCAGTCTCAAGTCACAGTCATTGCCATTGTTAAATCAACATCGTGGACTTACCAGAATATCACCTTTCTCAACGTCAGACCCTTCCTTCACTACGACCTTGTAGCATCGCCCAGGCATCGTTGCTTTGATCCGCTCACCAGAAAGACCCGAACTGCTCACGCCGACACCAAGGCTATCGCCATTCGTATGGGACTCGACTTCATACGGACGACACAACTCCCCTACGAATGGCGCTTCAGCGATGGCATTTGCCTGTCGAAAGGCTTGTTTAGAAATATCTTCTTTGTTCTCCTCCAGCCACGCCTCGTATTGTTCAAGGTCGAGAACACCATCATCGCAGATCTGCACAAGCTCGGACGCGGGCGTATGATCAAGAACAGCTTCGCTGACAGGATAAAAGGAAATGCGATCAAAGCGGCGGAAGAACCAAGCTGCAGCATTTCCAGCGTGAACGAGGTCGGAGTCCCAGATCTCGATGGTTCGTCCCACAAGCTGGTATCCCCCAGGAGAGTCTGTCGCATAGATACACATGTACTGCCCCCCGATGCCCACAGCTCCACGGGGTGTGAAAGAACGCGAGGGGTTATACTTTGTTCCGAAGAGGCGATGGCGAGGATCTAGAGGAATTGCACATGGCGAACCCATGAACACATCGCCGAGACCAAGAACCACGAATTCTGCATCACTCAATACCTTAGTCAAGTCATCGATTCCGTTCAGCTTTTCCAAGAACTCGATGTTGCTTGGGAGCCACGGGGCGTCGCTTCGAATCGTAGCTGCATACCGCTCGATAGCTGCGCGGCTGACACTATCGTCAAAAGCGATGGGCAGACGGACACTTCTCGAGGGAATGCGGGAAGGCACTTTGTACGAGCCAACATGATCTATCAAACGGGACATCATGGTGCTTGGGGATAGACCACGATTATAGGTAACGTGGAGGCTGAAAACGCCGGGGGTGAGTTCTTCAACACCAGAAATGGGCTTCTTCTGATGATGCTCGCAGAAGGCATAGATACCAAAGTTGTATCGAAGATTGAAGGCAGTAGTATCTCCGAATTTTAACAGGAATGCTCGATCTCCTGCTTGTCGGACTGTTATGCTTTGGCCGTCGTGGTCAATGGTTCCAATGGTAGCAGGGGCATCTTCGATCCTTTGCGCCAGAACCGCTTCGTCAGTGGAGATTATCTCGGGGACTGGAAGAGGTGAGAGGGTCTCAATAGCATGATCGAGCTGCTTCTCTAACTCAATCGCAGCTTCAACATCAATAGGTTCAAACCGAATGGTATCTCCAGGCCGGACCTGGCCCATCTTCCACAAATCTGCCGAACAGACGACACACAGCACTACAAACCCACCAAGACTCGGACCATCACAGCCAAGAACGACTGCTTCATCCCCGGTGAAGCTCACGCTACCTATCGAGTAAGGGGCATCATGAATGTTGGATGGGTGTAAGCCTGCTTCACCACCGCTCGGGCGGGACCACTCAGGTTGAGGACCTGTGAGACGAACACCAAGACGGTTGCTATTATGGTGGACCTTCCAATCGCTCATATAGAGCGACCTTGCACTCTCGAAGGTAAAGTAGTCCGGGGCGCCATGAGGACCGGGAATTACTCGAATGGTCCAAGAGGCCTTGGGTTGATGCGGAATAGGCATTGGTGAAATACACGGGGCACTTTCACTGACATAAGTATTGGATCGAGGATCGAGAGGCAAAATATCACCTCGTTGAAGTTTGCGGCCGCAGAAGCCCCCGAGTTTCCCAAGTTCGAACGTTGCTTGACTGCCCATCACGACAGGAACCTGAATACCTCCCCTAATGGCAAAATAGACCTTATGACCATGCTCGACGACCCCGAGACTCAGGGTCTGGCCTGCTTTGATCATGAGAGCTTGGTTCTGAGGAGCAGGCACATCGTCGATAGTGACTGGTGTTAAACCCCCTGAGATGGCAACAACAGCATCGCAATGGAACTTCAAGGTTGGACCATTCAAGGTACATTCGAGCCCAGCTGCGTCAGATGGATTGTCGACAAGTCGGTTTGCAAGTCGAAAGGAGTACGAGTCCATTGGCCCACTCGGAGAGACACCGATATCCCAGTACCCAGTACGACCAGGGTAGTCTTGGACTGTTGTCAAGGCTCCCGGTTGGAGGACTTCAAAAGAGTATGATTCGATATGGAAGTCATCCAGCGACTTTGTAGTGTACTCGCCAGATGTGAACATGGGGGAGGCTACTATCTGACGCAAGTACTCGAGGTTGGTCTGCACACCTTCAATGCGCGTAACTGCAAGGCCGTTGGCTAACTTCTCGATAGCTTCCTCACGGTTCGTTCCGAATGCAATGATCTTTGCAAGCAGAGGATCGAAAGAGGTGGTAACTTCAGTTCCATATTTGATCCAGGTATCGACTCGGAGAGTAGAAGGGAACTCAAGGGCAGTGATACGGCCTGAACAAGGTCGGAAGTTTTGAAGAGGGCTTTCTGCGTATACACGGACTTCAATGGAAGCACCCGAGACTTGAGGTGTGGCTTCGAACAGCTGAGATGCATTTCCACCTGCAATGTTGAGCATACACTCCACGAGATCTAGGCCAGTTACTGACTCAGTTACAGGATGTTCGACCTGCAACCGAGTGTTCACCTCAAGGAAGTAAAACTCCTTTGTCTCGACATCATAAATGAACTCAACTGTACCGACATTGCGATACTTGACTGAGGACGCCAGTCTCAGAGCAGCCACTCGCATCTCTTTGCAGACAGTCTCAGGAACCATAGAGGCAGGACTTTCTTCCACGACCTTCTGATGGCGCCGCTGCAAGGAACAGTCTCTCTCGCCAGCTGCAATGACACGACCGGTGCCGTCACCGAGGATCTGGACCTCAACGTGCCGTGCGCGTTCGACAAACCGTTCAATAAACACACCGCCGTTACCAAAGTTCGCGACAGCTTGCCTTTGAACGCCCTCGAATGTTGCTTTCAGGCTTTCAACGTCTTTGCAGTAACTAAGACCGATACCGCCGCCACCAGCGGTACTTTTGAGCATCAGTGGAAACCCAATCTTCTCACCTTCCACGAGGGCCTCCTCTAGCGATGTGAGGAGGTTATCATGCCCGGGAACAGTTGGTACATTGGCTGTTATCGCAATTGCACGCGCCCGATGCTTGAGTCCCAGTTCAGCCATTTGCTGTGGAGTTGGTCCAACCCAAATCATGCCCCTTTCTTCAACAGCGGTAGCGAATTGTGCGTTCTCAGACAGAAAGCCATATCCTGGAATAATAGCATCGGTTGAGGACTGTGTAGCAAGGCCTAGGATCTGCTCAATATCCAGGTAGGTCTCGGAAACAGAATCACCCTTGAGTTTCAAAGCAAGGTCGGCTTTGCCAACATGGGCAGCATCTGCGTCTGTTTCGGAGTAGATGGCGACAGCCCGAAGACCCATCTTTTGAATAGTCTCGATGATACGGACAGCAATCTCGCCTCGATTCGCGACAAGAACTGTCGAAATATCACGTTTACCAGCGCCATTCGGCAACGGTCTGGCCTGTTTCTTGAGAAAGTCGTGATAGGCTCTCCAGCCGCCATGATCTGTGATATCGATAGCGCCATCGAAGCCATACCCCTCGCATACGAATCCCTTTACCCAAGACCCGTCACTGAGCTCAATTGTGCCGATTGCAAGAGGAGGAGGAATGGTGGACATGAAGCTCGCGAGAGAGGTCTTTGGAAGATTCCATACTTCGACCTCGATTTCTCCGCCTTCACCTGAAGAGACTCGCTTGAGGCCAGGCTTTTTTGGGCCATTTGTCGTGTCCAATGAGTATAGACGGTAGGTAGAGGATGTCTTGGCTGCCTTCACGAGTCTGCCGCCGCGAGATACAACATCTTTATTCAGAGGATATCCTGTAAGGTGAGCACCTACAACCGCGATGGGGATGTACTTGGAAGATGCTGAAGATGCTGTAACGCTAGGTTCATGCGCTCTGGAACCAGTCGCACCCAGCAATCGTTGTTCATCACCAAACCATTCTCGAGCCCACGAAAGAAGATGAGGCTCTTGCCAACGATTCGATATAAGAGTCACCCCAAAGGGAAGCCCATCCGGCCTAAAGCCTGCAGGGATAGAAAGCGCCGACCAGTCGAGAAAGTTGACAAAGTTAGTATAAGTGCCGAGAATTGAGTTCTCCACCACGGGACTCTCAGATAGCTGAGCAAGTGTGGGAAAAGTCGGAGATGTGGGAACGAGAAGCCCATCGAACTGAGCAAATGCACGTTCGATCTGACGAGTAAGTTCTTGACGGAGGTATTCACCCTCAAACACTTCTGCTGCTGAAAGAGATTGAGCTCTGATGATGATGCCTCGTACAACAGGATCCATCTCCTCCGGGCAGGCCCCCTCGATGAAGTCGCGGATGGCTTCGTACCTCTCTGCAACCCACGGACCGTCATACAGTAGCCGTGCAAGTTGGAACAAAAGATCGAAATCCACTGGAACAAGGGTCCAGCCCAAGCCCTCTGCTTTGGCTAAAGCTTTCTCGTATGCTGGACGGTGGCCATCGCGACCGAACCAATCTGGCGAGGCACAAATAGCCAACTTGGGCTTTTCCAGACCAGCAGAGCCGCCGAACTCATCGAAAGGAACAGTGTCAGGTTCAGGTCGAGCTCGAGAATAGGCGTCCTCGACATCATGCCCCTCGGCCATACTGAGAACTGTCTCTGCATCGGCAATCGTAAGACTGAAGATCGAGATGCAATCAAGAGTCCTGCATGCAGGTACGAGTCCATGATTGCTCAAAGCACCACGCGTGGGCTTCAACCCTACGATATTGTTGAGTCCTGCCGGGATCCTACCAGAACCAGCAGTGTCTGTGCCCAAAGAGAAAGGCACGATACCACGAGCGACAACAGAGGCACTTCCAGAGCTGGAGCCACCGCTGACACGGGTAGGATCGAATGAGTTCGGTACAGCACCATATGGCGACCTCGTACCGACAAGACCCGTGGCGAACTGGTCGAGATTCGTTTTACCAATGAGGATTGCCCCAGCAGTTTTGAGTTTGGCGATGAGCGTGGCGTCTGAGGCGGCCGGGACAGAACTAAAAGTTGGACACCCAGCGGTTGTGATGAAACCCTCAACGTCGATGTTGTCTTTCGCAGCGAAGGGAACGCCGTACAGTGGAAGGGAGGTAGGGTCAGGACTAAGGGCTTCAAATTTTGTCCATTGAGCTTTGAGTTGTTCGGGAGAAGCTAACGAGATCCAAGCATGTGTTTTCGAATTGTTTGCCTTTTCAGTTTCGACGAGCGAACAGAGTCTCTCAAGACCATCGCCGGCAATTTGCGCAGCTTTCCATTGAGGTATCGTCAAAGGGACTGTTGGTTTCCTGCCATCAGTAACATCATTGGTAGCAGGTTCGAGTGCATCCATGGTGATATATAAAAGCGAAAAGAAAGTCTGATGAGGTTCAATAAGCAAAAGCAAGCAGTTGTTGTAAGGTATAATACTGAGGACTTTCTCAACCGGTTTGGCTGCTGGTAGCCAAGATTTTATACTGATTCTCAGTGAGCAGATCCAACACGATAAACCTGAATATAACACTGAATCACTGCCTTGACACGACCAAACTTCCGATGTTCTACAACGTGCACAGCATCAAGCAGCCAAAAGATCTCATAATGACAAGATACCGATTACGCACGAATACCCTGTTTGATCAAGGAACAGAGTAAGATACAGCTTGCCCGAAGGCCCGGCGGCCGTAGAGACCTGCCCGAATGCACGATATTATACGGATTGAGTGTCTGATATATGCACGTTGAAACGATGAGAAGGATGAAAGATTCTGGGGGTTTGGGGGTTGAGGTTTAAGTGGGAAATTCCGGTATCGCCGAGTCTAGGCCGTTTTTTATTCCAGCTAGAAGTTCAAGATATACACCCTTTGGACATTGGCTACGACTATGGACAGTAGGTTAAATTTCTACAGAATTGAATCTTCATATTAGACGATTGAGGCTCTTCTATTCTTTACTAATTATTTGCGAATGCAGAAGGAAGCTCGAGAATCGACGATAAGAAGACCCGGTGTTGAAATCGACCAATCACGAGAATCGCCGGCGGCTCAGGCCAAGGTGATCGACTCGCTGTATGTTATTAGGCCGGCGGCGACCTTTTCTTGCAGTAAGTTACCCGTCAATTGAGGAGAGACTGGTATATCCTCTTTCGATAGATACATTTCTTGGCATTTCGAGGTACAGCATACACAGAAGGTCATGCAATGCTATTGGGTCCTTGGGCTTGGGTCTTGAAGTGGAGAGACTTCTTTCATGCTGTGACACATCAGACGGGCATTTTATTTGAACTCAAAAATTTGGAGATATAACCAGAGTTAAGGTTATAATAGTTCAAAATGCTAATAAACACTCTCAGACTAGACCAGGACAACTACAGCTCAGGTCTCATCGCATAGACTCGTCTACGGATATGTCCCGGGGCTATCCGTTTTCCCGTATTCCCGACCCCCGTGGGGGTATGACAATTCCGTCCAAGCCTGTCTGACTTCTTATCGTGCTACATCCTTGGCCTAGCAAGACCCGACTGATAAGAGAACAGCCGCCGATGGCGGACCCAAAGCATCAGGCTCATGCTGTGCGCCCGCCCTGAACAACACGAACCTCTTCGCCTCGCTTCGTCAACTGCTTTGGCCCACACATACTGCAGTGCACCAGCAAGAAAATGGGCCCCTTGTCTCTTCCAGCGCAGCCACAGACCTAGTCACCCAGACGTTGACTGTGGGGGCCATGTTCTCCCGGCCGCTTCATCCTCAGTCTTCTCACCCCGGGGCCGCTCCGCCTGATCTATCCCGGACCGGATCCGGAAGTGGCCGTCCGTTGATGGCCGCCGGCCCGAGCGGTAACGGCAATGGTAACGGCGGTGGTCCGTCTTCTTCATCCAACGCCCGCTCAAGACCATGTGACACGTGCCGTGTTCGCAAAACGCGCTGTGTAAAGGAAGAAGGCCAGTCGCGATGTGTTTTGTGTACTTTTCACAACCAGCCCTGCACGTTTCTGCGCGGACCTACACCACGTCAGAGAAGACAGAACCGGGATAGGGAGCGGGAGAAGCAAGTCGAGGCTCGAGATGGAGGGGATGAGAATCAGGGCAACGCTGCGACTTCGCCGCCTGTTGCTGGAGCGTCGCCGTCCAGTCGACACGGCGATGCGGCTTCTACTCCAGCAAGCGTGGAAAGTAACCAGCAGGCCACTCAAATGCAGCAAGTGATGCCATTCGAGGACAACATGCCTGAACCAGCCCGGCCTAGCATTCTCAGCAATACTCTCGGTCTGGATCTGAAGACACATGCAGAGTATGTCGGACCTACCGACTATCGTGATCCTATTCTGCTCGATCTACATCGTCCGAATATTTTGAACCAGGAACCTCCGCCGTTTCCCATATCATCAACGTTTGCTAGACGTCTGGACTATCAAACAGTATTTCTCGTCCACCCTGACGAATCTACTGCGTCGGAAAGGATGCGCATTGCAGATCTAGATGCAATCGAAGCAACTGTCCATCCGCTAGGTCGCACTTTGGTAGATCTTTACTTTAGGATTGTTCACCCTAGTTTCCCCGTCTTGCATAAAGACGTGTTTATCAGCAAGCATCGTTTATCGCATCGCCATTTTGCACCGTCTCTGCTAGCCGCTGTCTACCTGGTGGCTCTTGACTGGCAACTTTACGACAGTTCACTTGCTGGACGCGAGGTTGAATCTATCCCTGATCCAGCAGCTCTTGAGGATTTAGCTGAACGCACTATTGCTCAGGACATGCGACGGCCCAAACTCAGCACCTTGGAGGCTGGATTGCTTCTACTACAACGGAACCGCCGTATTGTCGAATCAGGCTCTCATACTCATCCCATGTCGAACCGTATGTTCACGGCTCAAATCGTCGCCATGGCTCAAGATCTGGGTATTCATATTGATTGCAGCTCTTGGTCAATTCCTGCGTGGGAAGTTGGTCTTCGACGAAGACTGGCCTGGGCATTATACATGCAAGACCGTTGGGGAGCATGCGTTCACGGCCGACCATTTCTCATCCATGATACCGACTGGGATGTGCGTCCTTGTACTGCATCCGACTATCCCGAGCTTGACCAGATGGATACAGATGTCAACCCAGACCATGCCTCCCCTATCGTTGTTGGCTGGGATTTATTCATCCGTCACATCGAATTGACACAGATTCTAAGTGATGTGATTCGCACATTCTACAGCGCTGGAGCTACTCGCGTGGGAGGCACATTGGATCAGATGGGGGTTGTTGCTGCTGTCGAGCTGGCAAAGCCCCTGGTTTTCCGTCTCCGAGATTGGCACGCCAATCTACCACTTCGACTCCAATTACAAAGTACTCAACTCAGAGAGCTATGTGCTAATGGAGCTCTTCATCTCGCACATGCAGCTGTTGAGATTGCTCTTCACCGGGCCCTAGTACGAATCACGACACCAGATACGCCCACATCTCTTTACGACGTCCTGCGATCAACAGCCCGAGCCAAACTGCAATCATCTATCGAACTACTTGGATCTCTCCGTCCTGAACACACTGCTGCGTTCTGGGGAAGTGCAGCGGCGTACCAAGCAGCTGAGATTGGCTCTTTAGCCGGACTACTATGGGCAACTGCAGACTCATTTGATGAGATGGCATGGTGTGCATCTCGTATAGAGGAGCTCAGATGGGCATTGAGAGTTCGAGGTGCAGCGACTCCTTTCGCTAGGGAAGCTTTGCGCCTCTTGGAGCGTGATATTGGTGGTCTGGGCATGGTGAAGACTGCTGCAGACAGTATCACATGAAGTACGTTGCGACTTACAAAAGGTCTCAGCCACACTGTCTCAGTTGCAACAAATGAATGACGCTGCTTCATGTGGCTTAACCTAAGACACGAAGCAAACACGAAATTTTGGTGGAAGCAAATGTCTATGACATCACCTGTGTGACGCTTTCACGCGACGCGTCCACTACTACCCAGACAACCTTCCCGTTTCTCTACGCCTTTAACTTTTGTCTCTACATCCTCTCAAATCATCAATTGTGTCATATACAACACTGTTGACTACCAAAAATGTCTGATTCAAAGCCCGATAACGTCGAGAAGACCAGCAATGGAGAGGAACAAGCTGCTGCAGGCGAGAAGCATCAGATCGAGCACGAGTCGTCTGATGCGAAGCGCACAAAGACAGATGGACAAATGACTCTTGATGAAATGGGAATTAAGTCTAATGAGAAGACTGACAAGACTAATGGGTCTGCCGAGAAGAACAGTGATGACGAGAAGGACGGCAAGACCAATGGATCTGCCGAGAAGACCCGTGATGACGAGAAGAACGACAAAGAAAAGAATGGTGACGCCGAGAAAGACGAGGACACCGCCGAGTCCAGCAAGAAGCAGGATTCCAATGGTGAAGACGCTGTGCAGCCTCACGAGGAACCCGATGTTCCCTCCAGCGTGTTGGAGAAAGGCATCATCTACTTCTTCATCCGTGGTCGCGTGAACCTTGAAGACCCCGAGAGCGTCGACGATATTGCCCGCTCCTTCATCATGCTCCGTCCCATTGCAAAGGACGCTCGTCTCGGCGACGGCACCATCGCCGATGCAGGAAACACCCGACTTCTCGCCCTCCCCAAAAAGACCCTCCCAGAAAGCGGCAAAGAACGCTACATGGTATTTGTCGAAAAGTCCGGTGCTTCTTATGACGAGATCAAGAAGGAGTTCTTGTCTGCAGACGAGTATGATACCAAGACAGCTGGTACTCGCCGGACACCACCTGCTAAGCCTGTTGGTGAGGGTGTGTATGCTATCACATCTACTGGTCGGGAGAGCCATTTGGCATACCTGACTACTCTGCCTGAGAAGCTTGGCGAGGTTCAGAAGGAGCTTGGCTTGAAGGAGAAGGGCAGTTTTATCCTCAGCACCAAGAACCCGCAGTTCCCAGGACCGCAGAATGCACAATTACCTGAGACGCCCGACTTTCCCAAGGAGTAAGTAACATCCCCTTCATCTCCAATGCGGTCACTAACAAGTACAGAATCATCGACGAGTTCCGATCTCTGCGCTGGCTACCCTCCAAACCAGCCCACTTTGACTACGTCAACACACAAATCCTCCTCATTGGTGATTCATCAGGAATTGAAAATGCCGTTGAGCCGCAGAAGAAGGACCAAAAGAGTGGAAAGGAAGACCCCGAGACGGTCCTTGAGCATCTTGAGGACGACGATGTGAAGCGCATGAAGCACCTCGCTGAAGATCAGTCGGCTGCTATCTATGCTGACCTGCACGCCCAGGCGAAGGATTATCCTAAGCTGCAGACAACATTTTAATGAGTTAATGATTTGAGATGTGGAAGATGGCGAAATGGGCTGTTCGATAGAAGTTGTGGTCACGTAGACCTGACCGTGTTTGTTCAAAATAGACCGGTAGGATCACGAAATAATAGATGGTTTTCGTATGTACTATGAATGTCTCTGCGAAGCTGTAGTCTTAGGAGCTTCGATATTCCAATGGCATTTGCGTTGGAACAATAATTATGGTGGTGAATCGGACTCTGTATGTGCTCCATGTCAACCTTGTAATATTTTCCCAAGCATTCTTGGCTACATGCTCTTTTATAGTCTTCAAACACAAGATAAATGATTCTCTTTTAACGATAAACCATGACTCTTGCTCATAATTGACCTATGTCGATCCCAAATGTGACCAAAGTTTACCATGTTAGACAACTCCACCAGAATTGCCAGTATGCACTAACATTCCTTGGCGCGTCAATTTCCATCTTCTCTGGTCTGGGATCCACCAGCCATTCAATCATCTATTCAATCTCCCCCAAGCTTACCAGTTCTACAAAAGCCGAAATGGACGTTCCCATCGCTGCCAATATCCTTGGCACATTAGGTGCAGTAAGTAACTGATCCATTCCTCGCCGATAAAACAGCTTCGTTAACAATATCAGGTGTGCTGGTCTATACAAGTCCGTCTTCCACATACACACCATAAACATAGCTGATGACTCACAGCTGATTCCTCAAATCATTGTCAACTACCGTCGCCATAATGCAACGGGTCTTCAGCCGTCTATGATGATGCTCTGGGCGTGGGCTGGTGTCCCGCTTGGAGTCTACAACATCGTCAAAGAGTACAACGTTGCTCTGCGAATTCAGCCTCAGGTCTTGACGTTTCTGAGTCTCGTTACGTGGATTCAATGCTATTACTATGAACGGGTATATAACACTGTCCGTATTGCCACGCCGTGAACTAACGAGAGGTAGAAATGGAGTGTTTATCGCTCTTTACTCGTTGTCGTACCCATCGCAGCTGTCATGGGTGGTATACAAGCCGGCCTAATTATCGCCCTCCGCGTTGCCAAATCTCACGACTTGGAATGGCCTCTAATACTCATGGCCTCTCTATCAGCAGCATTACTCGCAGCCGGTGTGCTAACTCACTACTGGGACATCTGGACACACCGAACCGTACGCGGAATCTCCTTCCTTTTCGTCGCCATTGACGCAGCCGGCGATGTATTCTCACTAGCATCCGTGTTCTTCCAGCCTGAGCTGGATGTTCTTGGTATCGTGATATACGCGACAGAGTTTGTTCTCTGGTGTGGTGTTTTTGCGTGTGGCGGGTACTACAACCTTTTGCCGTGGGCGAGGAAGAGGTTTGGGAAGGAGGCCGAGTGTGAGGCACAGGGGGAGGGGCGTGGGGAGGTTGTTATGATGAATGAGATTGAGAATGTTTCGTCGAGTTCTGTGTTTCGGACGGTCAGTGGGAGTGAAGGAGTGAGGGCGAGGAATACAGCGCGTGGTTCACAGGATGTTGAGTGAGAGTACCTAGGTATTTTCTTACACATGTGCTAGGAGATTGCATATAAGATGATTAGACAGTTAGTAGATCTTTAGGATGAGATTATATAAAATTTCATAAGTTAGGAGAAATTACTAAAGCTTAGTAAAATTCAGTAACTAGATAAAGCATATAAGAGAGGAAAGCATCAGGACTTTTACGCCCACTGCACATATGATAAGGTATGTTTAGACAGGACGCATGTGAGTATTCAAGTTGTCTTCAGTCTGGTGACGCGGGAAGTCAAGACTCCACTAGTCTTTCCCACCGTCCGTCGACATATCTCTTTCATGGTCTAGCTTAAGCCTCTAATTACCATCATTCAAGACGTTCTTGTACGAATCTGGCACCTGTCCGTTGCGATACTTCCACAGTCTACTCAGATCACCCATACTGGGAACCTCATGCAGTCCGATCATCCCATTCGCCGCATCATCTCTGCTCTCACTAAAGCCCAGCGGAAGCTCAGCTCTGGTGATCTCTTTGATAGTACCGTCCTTTCTGCAGCGAATCTTTCGGCTCATGAAGTCTCCCTCTCTAACCTCCCTCGTCTTGCGTAGGCTTTTATCCAAGGGAAACATATCGTCGAGATAGTGCTGATTGAGCTGATGCCCGCCACTTCGGTTGATGAACACCTTGCCTGCAAACCGGTTCTCATTTTGGGTGTAATTCCTAGTGAAGTTAAGAACACCGAACCGGCAAGCAAAGTCTTTATCGTTGACGTAGTGTTCAATGCGCGGGATGACAGGTAAGCTGGGATCGTTGCCGCGGCATGGGTTGCTAAAGTGATTGGCGATATTGCCAAAGGTATAGACTTCGAGCTTCTGGAGGTTCTCAAAGGGCATTTCGTCCAAGAGCCAGTCAATGATCATTCCTCCTTCGATTCCTCCCTGCGAGTGGAGAATAAAGACAACCTTCTTCTTGCGGTCGTCGAGAAGAGCGTTCTTGATAAGGACGTAGCAATCTCTGACGTCCTGCGTGGCGTAGAGCAGAGCACGTTGAATCAGGCACTGGATAAGGTCGAATACGACGCCAGCACTCGAGATTTCAGTATTAGTTATCTTGATATGAAGACCTTCGAGACTTACGTTCTGTTGTGAATCCCAATAACTGGTCGATGGAATGTTCGTGAAATGCGGTCAATGTTCTTCTGGAGCCAGTTCTTGCTACAACGCATAGTCAACTTAACTGACACAAAACAGCGATCCGAACAACTTACCCTACGCAAATGCCATTGAGGAAAATCCAAGCTTCGTCATCATGGCGAGGCCAACGTCGAGTAAACGCATCTTCCGCTGATCTGAGACCACTGCTGGGGATACCGTTGTTGAAATGCCAACAGATGAATTCGTTTACTGCTAAGAACACAGCGATGTATCCGATGTAAGTGAAAGTTGGGAGAAAAGCTAGCGTAACAAGGGAGACCAAGAATGTCAACTGGGCCACGGAAAGTAACAAATGAAGAGCAATGTCTGTTAGATTATCCCGTGATGGGTACATCTCACACAGAGACCCTGAGCGCCATGGATAAAGAGGGATAAAAAGGTAGGGAAGGTAGAAGAAATTTTGAAAGAAGAGTTTCACGTCGGAAATGAAGATTAACCATGGTGTTCCGGTGTATGGAGGAGGTATCTCGATGGCTTTGAGACCAACATGAGATGGAGGTTCGATGTAGGGGAAATGTGATTCGGGATCAATTCGAGGGCGCATCTTGACTATATCATATTAGGTTTTTGGCTGCCAGATAGCTGGTTGCCCAATTGATAAGAGTGATGTAGTTGTCGAATTTGTTAAGATACACACGTACAAGTATTGGAGGTTTGAGGTAGGAGAATCCCACCATTAAGCTTCATGACTAAGAGGGTAATGACGATAACATGAATGGCCAACAAGAAGCCACTCATATGTTATAAATAAACTCGTATCCTATTGGATGTTGATTATCGCCTGTTTAACTGAGCGTTTAAAAAGAGAAAGGCCATTGAAAATGACTGGGTGAGGCTGAAAGGGGCCGCCAATGTTCTAGCAAACAATGATTTGGTTCGATGTGAGACTTTTAAAGCCAGGGAGTTTGTACTACATCTAAAATGCCACAACTCTTCTAAAGTCGCAAAACACATGTCAGTACGAGTTCTATATAGATTCTATAACCAATATCATTGCCGGCTTTCTATCCGAACTTGGCCGTTCCCATTGTCTTCGTAACTCGTCTGGAGAGGTTACCCTATTTTGGATGGTGTCTCGTATAATCCAGCCACACTTTCGGCTTCCTGAGATTAGCCTGCTCAGGATAACCTTAAACTGTTCTCCGTAGCTTGACATCTATCACTCGTTCCTCATTTTGTCTCTATCAACATAATGGAATGGAAGAATGGTTTCTAGACTTGTTCCAGAGCGTGATGATTGTCGCGACAGGGGCTTAGTTTTAGTGGACCTCTACCCCTAGATGCGTCACCCTAAGAATATTCCCTGCTTCCCATCCTATTCCATCATGTCTCTTGCAACTTGCGCCTCAAACCAACCCTCACATCGACGTCCCTCCCAAGGCACCCAATAGCAGCATAAGGCCCGAGTGCCATGTCCGAGACTCAGCTGCGATGCCCTCAGTCTGGTCTTCCTCCAGCCGGCGACTGATGCTTAACAAGCGCTTCAGTCGCATGGCCATCGCTGGTCTTTGCACCATCATCTTCCTCATCCTCGTCTTTTGGGGGGCTATTCACGGTAGCTATGGCGTGTCCGAATACTACTCCTTCTCCACGACGAGTTCCTTCTATCCCGTATCCGTCGATCCCGAAGGCAAGACGACACAGGATCTTTGCGCTAGCTTTCCCAAGCACATGCTACAGACAATACAGCCTGTTCTGAAGATGGGCCATGCCGACACGAAAGATAGACTTGACGCTCAGTTCGACAGCGTTAGTGCCTGCTTTGGCAAGGACGAATTGCTCGTCTACTCCGACCTTGACGAGGCAGTACACGGCCACCAGGCAATCGATGTCCTCGCCGATCTACCCGCCATTTACTACAACGACAACCCCGACTTCCAAAATTATCTATGGCAAAAGGAAATGCGGGCAAATGGTACATTGGACGTGGATAAGGAGGCAACTGCGCGCATCCAAGGATGGAGGATGGACAAGTTCAAGTTCCTGCCCATGATCGAGCGTGCGTGGAAAATGAAGCCCAACAAGGACTTTTACTTCTTTTTCGAAACCGATACGTAAGTCTCGCCAGCCTCCACAACGTTGCGCTGAAAAGGCCACTAACAGATTATCTACAGTTACGTCTTCTGGGACAACGCTTTCCGCTTCCTCCAAACCTTCGATCCCGATGCGCCGCTCTATATGGGTTCTCCCTCGCCGGGTAGGCACGACGTTAAACAAGACATAAGGACATGGTTCGCCAACGGCGGGCCCGGGTTTGTGCTCAGCCGTGGCGCAATGAGGGCACTCCTTGTTCGTAAGACAACGCCCTACGGCCAGTACGTCGAGCCCCCGGCTGCGGAGAAGTGGCTTCCCATGCTACGGGACGATTGCTGCGGTGACAGCGTAACGGGCTGGGCTCTGTGGAACGTCAGTGTGCCGCTGCGGGGATACTGGCCGCTGTTCAACCCGCATCCTCTGCACAGCATCCCGTTCAGCGACAGGTACTGGTGTCAACCTGTCATGACGCTACACAAGACGCGACCGGAGGACATGGTCAACGTATGGCGGTGGGAGTTTGCCCAAAGACAGCTCGGGGTAAGTAAGATCTTGGTTAAAGTTTGTTTCACACGCTGACTGTTACAGCGCCCGCTCCTCTACTCTGATGTTTGGAAATTCCACCACCCAGGCGATCGCGAGATTGCCGAGAACTGGGACAATGGTAAATGGGACTTTTGGGTCGCGCCACCCGAGGCAAGAATTGACTCATTCGAAGCCTGCCAAAAACACTGCAAAGAGAGCAGTGATTGTCTACAGTACAATTGGAGAGGACGAGATGAGCAAAAATGTGTTCTCTCGTGGTCTTTCCGACTCGGCGAGCCAAGACAGGCCGAGAAGATCATTGAGCCCGAGGTCAAAGACGACAAGGGCAATGTTATTCCCCCACCACCGGATCGTAAAGATCGATGGGTGGACTTCAAGTCAGGATGGCTCACCGATAGGATTGAGCAATGGAAGCAGAACAGGAATTGCTCAGAGGTTCAATGGGTGAGACCTAGTATCAAGAGAATTTTCTGATATACCGTACGACAATTGGAGAAAAAGATTGTTGAATATAGCCAGGCGTTAGGGCGATTAACATTACGGGTTATAGGTTATGCATATGGTGCATTTGGCTAAGCGCAGGTTGATGTTTTCTCTAGCCAGGTCTTAATTCTTAGCATGGAAGGTTGTGGATCTGGTCTTATAGTTGAGTTGAGATTGTCTCGGGCGATTGTTTAATATGAGGCAACACAATGTTGTAAATGACGGCCATGCCTTGTTACCTTTCAACTGTTACAATAAGACTCATCTCCCTCACAAGCCAACCTGAATTAATCCCGGCTCACATCCGTAGCGAGAGTCGAGACCATGAACTAACGAACGGAAAACTCTGTTGTTCACTTTAGCTCACAGCCCAAGCCTACAAGGGTCCTCAGTGCAGGTGAGGCTTAAAACGGCTATCCATGGTGCAACGATAAATTCGCTCATTGAGATCATGGTTATATCATATGATGCATTGAATTGCTTGGCTGGGATATACCTCAATCTAAATAGCCTATACTTAAGGTAGTCATCCATTTTTAAAAACCGTATTGTGTTTCTATCATGACCAGTGCAACCTCATATACTCGCCACATTTCTTACCTCCGATATCGCTGCAATGGTAACGTCTGTAAATCAAGCAGATGAGGCTGCGCAGGGCGCGCACAGCAAAGATGAAGCTATCGCCATTGTGGGCGAGGAGCGACATGCCATTGATCCTATCGTCGCTGCGCGCGCGGTGAGGAAGATTGACATGTTTCTCATACCAGCCATGATCATCGGCTGTATGTATGTTGGTACCTGTATATAAACTCCCACTGACGAGTCGCAGATGGTCTAGTTTACTACGACAAAGCAATTCTTGGCTCAGCCGTTCTCTTTGGCATGACAACTGATCTGAACCTCACCATCGTCGACACCTCAACTACACCACCCACCGTCGACACCCGCCGTCTCAGTTGGGCCACATCGCTCTTCTACTTCGGCATGCTGGCAGGTCTGTACCCCATGACATTCGCCCTGCAGCGCTTCAACATCGGCCGCGTCCTCGGCGGCGTGGTCATCGTGTGGGCAGCCATCTGCATGCTCACTGCCGCCGTGACAACACACCAGGGCCTCTACGTGCAGCGCTTCTTCCTCGGGTTCGTGGAGAGTATCATCCCCACCGGCTTCATGTGCATTGTCTCCGGATACTACACGCAGTCGGAGCAGTCGCTGCGGCAGAGCTGGTGGTTCTCATCAACGGGGATCTTCACCATCATCGGCGGGTCGCTGAACTACGGCTTTGCGCAGATTACCAGCGGCGGATTGAAAAGGTGGCAGTACATCTACCTGCTCGCGGGATCACTGACGTTTCTGTTTGGGCTGTTTTGCTTCGTCATGCCGAATTCGCCCGTGTCGGCGTGGTTTCTCACCTCGGAGGAGAGATTCGCGGCGGTGGAGCGGTTGAGACATGGACAGACGGGTGTGCGGTGTACGAAGTTCAAGGGATCGCAGCTGAAGGAAGCTATGCTCGATGTCAAGATCTGGCTGATTGCATTGATGATGGCGTCTGCATACACGGTCAACGGCGCCGTTAGTGGCTTCGGGCCTCTCATCGTCTCGACATTCGGCTGGAGCACGCTGCACTCTATCTTATTCCAGTTCCCCCTGGGTGGACTGTGCTTCATCGTTATTCTCCTGACAGGGTGGCTCGGCTCCAAGTTTACCAACATCCGCATTTTCATGCTCATCTTTACATGCTTGCCTGTAATTGCCGGATGTGCAATTATCTGGAAGAGCGAATGGTCGTACCGCGCTGCGGCGCCTGTGGTGGGATATTCGATCACGGGCTTCTTCGGCGGGACGGTGAGTCTGATTATCACGATCGGAATGTCCAACGTGGCTGGACACACAAAGAAGAGTTTCATGGCTGCTACGATCTTTGTTGCGTACTGCGTGGGTAACATCGTCGGACCGCAGCTTGTTTGGAGCCAGACGAAGAAGGATCATTATCCTGCTTTGTGGCTGGGCTTGATTATCTGGTATGTTTTGTGACTCGTGATTGTGATTAACTCTGACTGTTTATAGCTACATTATTTGTATCCTTGCTTCGACAGCATTGTACTTTGTTCTCCGTAACGAAAACAGGAGAAGAGATGCTCTGGGTATGGGAGATGAAAGTGAGCGAGCCAAGCTGGCTTTCCAGGACTTGACGGATAAGGAGAACCCATACTTTCGCTATGTCTACTAACCACAAGCGTGATTACGATACAAAAGTGACTGAAATATTGATAGACGATAATAATACATAATAAGTGCTTCCGCACAACACTCTGGAACGAAGAACGGAACAAATACCCTGAGTCATAAACTAACGCAGTTTTAGAAAACGTCATGATATAATCATTAACTAACTTTACGTAAGGTATCTATCATAAGCAGCAACTGAAACACATCTCTAGTATTAAAAACCCCTTTTCATTCCCTTACAGCTTAGAAGGCGTCTCATTGTGGTTCTTGATCTCAACGATCAATTTTCCTATTTCCAATTAGCATCACTCCCTCGAAAACAATTACTCTTATAACATACCTGTGTTGATACCCTTGTACAGGTCAACAAGAGCCTGCTCAGCAACCTTGAGGCCGCCTCGCACAACAGTCTCGGTCTTCTTGAGCTTGCCCTCGGCAATCCACTGAGCCAGCTCAGCGCGCGCGGCGGGGAACTCCTTGACGTGGTCGAGGACGATGAAGCCCTGCATCTTGATGCGCATCGTGACGATCTGAGAAAAGGCTCTGGGGCCTGTGGGCTTGGCGGCGTTGTACTGGCTGACGAGGCCGCATTCGACGAAGCGGGCGTGCTCCTTTGCGCGCATGAGACACAGGTCGAGAATGTCGCCACCGACTATGTTTTGTTAGTTCTTGTAGATATCAGTGATTATATAGAGCCTTACCATTATCGAAGTAGACGTCGATAAAGTCCTTGGTAGCCTCGGCGAGCTTTTGCTTAAAGTCATCGGCCTTGTAGTTGAGCGCAACATCGAAGCCCAACTCCTCGGTGAGCCACTTGCACTTATCCTCACCACCAGCAATACCCACAACACGAGCACCCTTAAGCTTAGCGATCTGACCAGCAACGCTACCAGTCGCACCAGCAGCGCCAGAGACAACAACGGTCTCACCAGGCTTGGGATCAGCGATCTTGGACATGCCCACCCAGGCAGTCAAGCTGGTCATGCCGAGCGCAGAGAGCATGTCCTTGGGGTCTTGCACGCCGGGGTAGTAAGAAGCAGGCTCGAAACGGCCCTCGGGGAGGATGGCGAACTCGGTCCAGCCGGTCATGGCAGCGACAATGTCGCCCTCCTTGGCCTGCTTGCTCTTGGAGGCGAGGACACGGCAAGCGGTTGAGCCACGCATGGTCTGGCCGATCTGAACAGGAGGGAGATATGAGCGGGCATCTGAGACATCGTGTTAGTCACGGTGAATCTGATTAGTCGACAAATTAGGAACACTAACCTCGAAGCCAGCCTCGCATGGCGGGGTCTAGAGAGAGGTACAAAGTCTCGACGAGAATCTCGCCATCCTTGAGATCAGCCGGTGTAGGCGCAGCTGAAGTCTTCTGGGTAAAGGTCTGGCCGGGGATGATGTCGGCAGTGGGACGCTCAGCGAGCACGATGGAGAGGTTTTCGCGAGACATTGTGGAACAGGAGATATGAGCTGGTAATCGAATTAGTTTGTTGTTTCTTTATTTTCTTCTTTGAATTGTGTTTGGAGTCGTGTTGTGTTGTATGCTGTGTCTCGATCTATGTTTCGTAGGACAGCAGATCGATCCAATGGAGGGGAGTATTTGTACCTGTTTTGGACTTGTTGTTCACGACAGAGACGTAGTGTATCACGATGTACTCCAAAGACAATCTGATTCAAAGAAACAGTGTGACTCTAAACAAAGATCTAGTGCGACAATGGGTATAGTATAGTACAGTTTATAAACCAGAGAAAGCCTCTTGCGTTATCGGGGTCCAGTCTAGGTATTTGTACCCTTTGCCCCTTCGTTCCCACTCACGTCCCTTCTTTAGACCGAAACTAAGATCCAAAAAAAGCGAGCGACTAGTGAGAGTCGTCATGTCTATCTGGGGTTGTTATCTCCGTCTGTAGACCGGTACTAAGCAACAGTACGCCTTCTTTTTCCTTCTCTCTTTTCTATTGTACAGACAGAGACTAAATCCTCTCACACTAGGTTAGCTGGGTTGAGAAGGATGCTCCGTGCAGCCCCAAAAAACGCCTCCTCCGTGCCCGTTGGCCGGGGCGCTATTCCCATACGGATATATCCCCGGGGTGCAGCGTACCATTCGGCACCGGTGGCCTTCGGGGATCGACGTGCTAGCCCCGACTGGCTCCGGGCCCATCAGAAGCTGGGGAATTGTTGAGGGGAGAGTCTGAGAGGCCGTTTAAGGCTTTCAGGGCAACTCAGCTGAAAGGGACAATGCCCATACAGAGAAACCGTGTCCGGACAAAGATGCAAAAGGGGGTCAATGCCGAGGTTCGGTCATGCTTTACCAGAGCGGTAATTGGGGCCTTTTGGATACGCACGTTGACTGTCTGAATGGAACTGCACCGAACCTTTTTTTTATGAGACGTGTATTCTGTGTCATGTTTTGTCTGTCTTTGTAATCCTCTCCGAAGGAGACACACAGACGACCCGTCCGCGGGGGGTGGCTTAGAGGCTTAGACGGGGTTTCGGAGTACGGGAGGTGCCTATCAAGGTTATTTAACTCGATTCATGTGATGCCGATCACTTTCTTTTAATGACAGAAACGAAGATTGTTTCATCAACCTCGGGACCCTCAGCGGCCGACCGTTGACCGAAGCTTGCTCGACTGTGGAGATGGCGGTAGACGAAAAACCCTCCGGAGCCGGAGGTTTCGGCCGGGCATTTGTCCGCTTTCGACAAGGGGGTTGATCTACAATCAATTGATACCGTCGGTACTTCAGGTTACTATAGATGCTGAGATCTGATATTATCAAGCGTTTCCGATGCGGTAAGCAATTTCTTACTATAATTTGATGACAATGATCATTCCAATTCGCAAGCACGGAAGCTATCCTCTGGTAGTATCTGCACCACAATTCGACACATGAGTCTTGCAGCACGATTATGCAATACATGTTTTATTCTTCAGACATCGGCTGATCGAGTTCTCATCGTATGCATGCCGTTATGCATAACGTAGCATTGGACGAGCCTTGCATGATGCAATAGCGGACTGCCGAGGTTACGTACATGACAGCAAGTCCCAAAGTTCCTCAGCTTCTTTTCTTGGCAATCTTCAGCCGATTGAGCCTCGGGAACGGCCAGAGACGGTATATACACTGATACGGGGATGGTGTTTATCTTGAGGCTGGTATCATGCAATGGTGAATTTATTCCAAATATCGGTTTGAGTCGAATCATTACCTCGTTGTCACCCGGGTTCCTCATTGGGGTCCTTGAAGTGACGTCTTACAATTTGTCTGATGAATATGTTGGGTATGGGTACTTTTCCGCTGTTACCAGATTATTGCTAGACGCAAGATGGAAGCTGCAGGAAAGGGAAGTTCAGCTTTGCATATGCGCGTAGTGACCATGATGATATCCGACTTGTAGGCAATGACCTGCCTATGAAAGACATGGAAGCCGTTTGTGATCTACATCTGTGAACTGGAGAATACCAGTAGCCTGTGCTCGTCTCTTCATCGCAGTACTCCAAGTTGCGTTTAAGGATCTTTCGATATCTTTACAGGATCCGCACTTCTTCTGATCTCCAACGGGTATCGGAGACAGCCATGCCCTGAAGTAACCAAGCTTCATGTACGACTTCGCTTACATGAGCAAAGGAAACTCTAAGATATGAACTCACCAACATGCAAATTTCAGTGCAAACACTCTTTATGTTCAGCTTCATATCATATTGGAAGAAATATGCGTAGGTCTGACATGGGAAGGAAAGCGTTGTGTAAATGGGGAAGCGTTGATAGTAAAGTACAGACCTGTGCAAAAGTAACAATGACGCTGCAGCTCTGTAAATACTAGGCTCTTGTCTGATATTACTGGCAATAATAGAGGAATATTACTTAAAACACTTCTGAGCAAGATTGCGCAGATTTGCCCCTAGAGCTTAGAGATGACCCCAGTCCGAGACATCCGAACGAGTTGGTGGTCGCTAACCTAGATTTCAGATTCAACGGGATCTGCTTTAGTATTCTAAAGGAAAACATGCTCTTTCTATCGATCCAAGGTCTATGTCCACTGAGAACGATTTATAGTCCTTGACATCCAGTCTTCTCACTTGATACAATCCACCCTCGAATTGGATAGCTGCTGGTATTATATGCACGATTATCAACTCGCCCGCTGGAAAGTCTTTTACGGATCCGTCAATCTAGATCAGAGTTAGTTTTCAATTTTCTTGAGATCTTGACCTCATTTGACTATCTCAAAAGGGCCCTCCATTAACTGGACACGAAAATAGCCACAAAGGACTTGACAGCACCACGGCATAACAGATTCTGGCCTGCTCACCTGTCCCTATTGATCCAGAAGAATACCAACTCCATACCATAGATATTTTGTGACGAAACGAGCCGGGTAGTCCTTGAGTATGCCATACGCAGCAGAGTGACAATTGATCAAGCGCTTTGTAAGACACTCGGTGATCCGTCACATGGGATCTCGATACTGCTAGGTCCTGGCGACCGGAGTTTTAAGTTTTCCTTTATGCAGTGAATTTATAACTGCCTCTACCGAGAGGATCAAATTGCACAACTCTAAGAATCATTATCACTATGCATCCTGGGGGTGTCAGATAGTTATATGTCCAACACTGAAGGCTGTTGGTCTGTTCTACAATCCATGTATTTCTTTAATGCCAAGTTCTAGTATCATATCGATTCGAAGTCTTAAAAATGGGATACGAACTCTTCAGCACTTTGAGTAGTCTTATAATTATAAAGAGACTTGATCGCCGATGATCCTGTATATCATCGGCAATGCCATTGCCTCCCACACTGGCGGTACCTACCTTTTCTGCCCTTAAAGCGAGGAAACACAGTAATATGCGATATAACAGATAGCCTCGCCTTGTTGCTATTAAAAGTTGAGATACAAAAATGATACAACATTGCCAAGTACATATTTAGTTTGACAATAGCCTCAGCCAGTCTATGTAAACAAAGACGGACCTGATGTTCTTACACTATGTAACATTGAGATACTACACGGATACACGAGTTGGTTATATGTTGCAAACTGCGGAACGCCGTAGTAGACAAAGCGACGACATTCAGCTACAACATCGAATGGCTGCTGGTCCAGCATGTCTCCGGTTTGGTGTCATAGTGGATGTGCAAAAGCTTCGACAGATTCCTCTTTTCTAAAGTATATATAAGATAATATAAATTATAATAACCTATTTATTTTATTTATATAATATTATACAATCTTAGGATAATATTGTAGATATTCCTGGTTAGCTCGTTATCGGAATTCTTGCACGCGACTGTAGTCAGTCGGGGTCTAGTCAAGGGTGTAGTCCTACCTTTAGAAGTCGCCTCTGTAACCTAGAATGGGCCATGAGACTAGCTTTCAATCCCAGAAACATCTTGGCCTGAACATAATGCAGAAAAGAATTAATGCTGATCTTATACTCGAAGGCCGCCGAAGAATAACTGTAGCATTAGGATAGTAGTTTATCCGCTTTTAGCATCTTGCCGAGTTTCGATTGGCCGTTGACCTAAAAGCTTAGCCGCAGGTGCCAGTGCGATTGGCCATACGCATCTCTGATCTCGTTGCTGTCAGCGAATGACCAATTTGTTGACTAGTGTACCCCAGGAAAGAAAACCGGTAGCAATCTTGGCGTTAGGTGATATACGATTCTTAAAATTGTTTAAAGAAACTGAAAAAGCATTGAACCAGGGGAGCAACCTTGATAGGCCTCGTTGGAAATGAGACCCTCCCACAACCGTTTCTACTAGCCGGGGCCCGATCACGGATACAACTCTAAGATCTCATCGACGCATTATCCGATTTCGAGCCTATAACAGGCCATATCAACCACTCATCCACCTCTTCCAGTCCAACCTGACACAACCTCCCTGGGTGAAGAAACTCAAATCTGCCGATACAACACTCCATCACCAACCCAAGAATAAGACGACCAACACTCGATGGCATCGGCTCCATCAGGGGCCCGAGTTTCTCTTTTTGGCTTAACTCGACTGTTTCCCGTCATATCAACCCCAGTTCTCTACCGCAGTTTGGCGTGGTTATCCCTGCAACCACGCCCCATCGCGAAATTAGAAGGATCGTGGAACGTGTATCAGCCCTACCGAAAACGGTCTCGATCTTGGAAGTTGGGCCCATTGCAGAGGCAAATGTCATTTCATCCTGCAGGAGAAAGATTGGATGATGGTGCCGGGATCCGTGAAATTTGCTCATAGAAAAGAAGACTTGTTCCCTTCTTGTTCTGCTTTCACTTACTCCTTCAAATATTTTCTCTCATTTCAGTCACTCATTCTTTTTGACACCGAGACTCTAGACGATCTCTCGGCTGTAGTCCACTCATTCATTCATTCATTCATTCATTCATTCATTCATTCACTTCTGAGTACTTTACGCTTCCCTGTCCACCCCTTGTCGTGTTGGATTCTTGGCAAGTCCTCGAAACATCGCATATCCAACATCCTTTTCGAACATCTGAAACTCGTCTACGTTGATCATCATGAAGTTCCTTCTTCCCATTCTTCTCGCTGCTCCCGCCGTTATGGGCCGGGCTTGCAGGGCCCCCCAACCTGCCCATACCCAGGGCTCATCAGCTCCCGAAAACACCGCTGTCGTGAGCGAGCCAGTCATCTCTGAGGCTCCCAATTATGGTTACCAGAAGCCTTCTTCCGTCATCTCTCATGCTGCGCCTCTGTATACCACTCTAGCTGTCCAGGCTGCTCCCAAGAAGGTCGTCAAGGGCACTTCCAAGCCCAAGGCTGCTTCTAAGCCCAAGACCGTGTCTAAGCCCAAGCCCAGCAACTCCGGCTCAAGCTCAAGCTCAAGCTCCAGCTCCAGCTCCAAGCCTCTTGGCAACGGTGCCTCCGTCTCGGGCTCTTCCACCTTCTACGGTGGTAACCTCTCGGGCGGAAACTGCATGTTCTCAACCTACACCCTCCCCGCCGGCATTCTCGGAACTGCCTTCTCTGGCCAGAAGTGGGACAACAGCGCCAGCTGCGGTGCCTGTATCGAGGTCACCGGTCCATCCGGAACTGTCAAGGCCATGGTAAGCATCATCATCACCTTATTCACAAGTACAATCCGCTAACTTCAATAGATCGTTGACAAGTGCCCCGAATGTGACGCTGGCCACCTCGATCTCTTCCCCGATGCCTTCAAGGCAGTTGGCGGCACCGACGGTATCGTCAAGACCTCTTACAAGTTCGTCGAGTGCGGCATCACCACCCCTCTTGTCCTGCACAACAAGGAGGGCACCTCCGCCAACTGGTTCTCCATCCAGGTCGTCAACGCCAACGAGCCCGTCAAGAGCGTCGAGGTTTCCACCGACGGTGGCAGCACCTGGAAGACGACTGAGCGCAAGGACTACAACTTCTTCGAGAACCCCGCTGGTTTCGGCACCACCTCTGTTGATGTCAAGGTCACCAGCAGCACTGGAAAGACCGTGGTTGTCAACAAGGTCGGCGTTACCGCTGGCGCTCAGTACAAGGCCAAGACCAACTTCTAAGAGGTCAAAGGTCTTTGTTGAATTCTTTTATCAATATTTGAGTGGCATGAGATGTTCAGATGGGTACAAGTTGGGCAGCTGGCTGCTTTGATGAATCTGTTTCATCAAGTTGTGTACTCGGGCGATGAGATCCATGACACTCACTATTGGTGAAGGAGTAGTGTAGTTTTATCTTCTAGTATATAATTGATTGGAGAATACCACTCCCAAGTTTATATCTCCAGTGAGGATTAGGATATGACTGCCACATTTTCCTGAAATAATAGATCAGGCATGAGAACACAATAGTGAATCCAAGCTCTTATCCAGGTGTCATAAAGACTCGATCATCTCTACGTGCCCAAACAAGTATCAAGTATTTCGGAACTATACTTATATCTATCAAAATTTATATCCAGGTCATCTCATTTCCATGTATCCCAGTAGACACAAGCTAAGCTATCTACCACGATCCACTTCATGATCAGTGGTCCAACATCCCTTCTCGCTGTCAGAGAAAGTCAGATACCTGGTGTAGGGTAATAATAGATTAAGGCTCAGTTTCCTTGTTAGACGTGTTGAACTCTTTTTCCATGGGAAGTCCCCATGCCGGATTGAATGAATCCGGAAAGCCTTCCACTAAGCTCGGAGCAACGACCACTCCTAGATGTTTATCCTTCTAGATCTTTACGTGAACAATCTGAAGGGTCAACAGCAGCATTGGAAATACTCGGGCTGGGTTTCAACGAGATTGGCATTAATGCTAGCGCTCAGTACAAGGCCGAGGCCAACTTGTAATGGTGGAGGTCGGAGGTCTTTCTGATTCACAGTTGGCACTCCGGACACCTGTCTGCTAGCAAGTGACAATACCAAAGTGAATATGAATTAAAATTGAGGCGGGTTAGATTAACAAACCTACAACTTTCTTATAATCCCACTTCTCATAAAGAATTCCTTTCTTCTCACAAAGAATCTCCCACGCCCTCCGCCTGCACAACTAGATTCCATAGAGCACAGAAACGTGAGCTTTCCAGCCATTTTTTAGACGATGAATTGAACTAAACACTTATCTAGATTGTCCACGAAACCTCTTTACCAACATCCCGACATGTCTGAGTTTACGGCAAAGACCATGCCGGTCATTCCGCTGCCGGGATCCTAAACATAATCATTTATTGCCACTTTCCTACCCTAGATAGAGTAGTATAAAAGGGGAGAGGTTTAGAGGATCATCAAAAGGATCTTTAATTTTTAGGATAATTTAGGATAACTTAAAATATTTCAGACTAACTTAGAGTAGTTCATTCCTCATTTAGGTTCGGTTTAGGATAACTCACCTTGAGAGAAGTGGTAGCTTTAGGGTCTGCCTGTCCTCTGGTCAGACAGAAGTACGAAGTCTTAGTCTAAATATCTAAAGCTTCCCCTAAGACATGGGTTTACACAAGCATTGCCATGACGATTCATCCATCTTTCGGAGCCTTTCCTTGCCAAGGGAGAACACCCGTTGAAGAACAGCATCTACTCTTGGACTTGTAGTCATCAGCAAAGCCAACCCCCTCTTCGCTTACTACTCCTCTCTGAGTAAAGTTGGAGTAAAGTTGGAAACAACAAGATGCTCAACCCGAAAGCAGAGAAACTCAAGCAAGAACCCAGACGCTAATCTCTCGGCCGAGCCAACGAGTTCCAATTACTCCGTACATCGCAGAAACAATGCAATTGTTATTTAGGCAAATATATCTGTGCAGCTTTGCCAAGCCGGGAATTTTACTTCAAGACGGGGGATCTCTGTAGTCTAGGCGAGATGAATGGAGTAATGATCTGAGGGATCCATCGACTGCTCTTGAGACTCCTGAGACCGGGTTTCCTCAAAGGTCAAGAATTTTGATGGTTGAACGGGACAATCGAAGGATAAGCCAAGTGCTTGTGTATCTTGGTAGAGCAGCTGCGCCAACAACACATACTCCTCCATTTCCACAGTTCTTAACTAAAGAGCGCAAACAGTACAACGTCAATCGCAACTCTTCATCACAAGCTTCATCCCCCAGTCCTCGTTTACCCCGAATAATTTGGGGAATTTGGGGGAGCCTGAAGATAATTCGGGGAATGGAGAAAAACTGGGCCAGCATTTCGGCCCTTTCCCCACAGCAACTCGCTGATGACATAGCCAAGATCTTTTCCAAGTTGTCACTTGAACCAGTTCTTCTCTCTCAATCTTTCTACCGCCCCTGTTACAACAAGCCTCGGCACTAGCCTTTGATTTGCCAGCGAAGACCTCTTAGATCACAATGTTCAGCCACTTATCTCCAACAGGAGGCGGGATCGCATTAGCCAGTGGAGCCTCGTGTTAGAGGAAATGCGAACAGACACACAGCGCGACGATCATTGCTCTTCCTCATGAGCAATTAAAAGCATGCGCTCCAATCATGGCTCAACTTGATCATTCAACTCTTCTAAAGAGTTTCTCGAAATCGTACCGCCAGAGTAGAATCACCACGGCAATGGCAGTCGTCTCGGCAGACGAGTTACTCCAACGTGACATTGTATTCGAGTGGGCAGGGCTCCCTTGTTTGCCATGATATCATCCCCCGGGAATACCCTCTCTACGCGTTTTAACCCGCCGAGCCGCTCAGCCGCTCAAACTCCTGCTTGAGGTATTTGGTCAGGGGATGGTGATGTACTCTGAAGTTTAGGCAGAGAATATGTGGTTATGCTCGTGAGGACTGTAGTACTGCAGTGGGCGTGTGAAAGTTCCAATAAGTCCCTCTATTCTAGATTTTATATAAGATAACATAAATTATACTAAGATACTCTACTGAGTTTAAATAAATTTATCCTGAGATTATATATCAAGTCTTCTAACTAAACCAAATCACCAACACTCTAAGCCAAACCACGCCATAACTCGTAAACCTAAGCCAAGCCCAAAGCCAGGGCCAAGAGCCAAGAACCCGCAGAACAAGCCCAGCGCTATCTTTCCTCAAGCGACGATCCTCCCCATGGGTAACAAAACGTTCCCTCCACGAGATGCATGACGTCCAGAGAGCAGCCCCATCGAAATCGCAAATCCTCACTCGCGCGCTTCTAACTCCTTCTCCACGCTATCCCTGGACACTCATAGGCTTTGTGAATAAGTCGACAATGGGCCTTTCATATATAAAGGAACTGGATTACGGCCTGGGAAGATTTTGATCTTTTTGGTTGTCAGTATCGTTTCTTCTTCCACTGAAGCTTCTCACGGTATATCCACCATGTATCGAATTTGGAACATCTACGGTATGATGATAACCCCCTATGAAGCAACGATGTATCTCGACTAACACATCACAGCGCTTGCCGCCATTGGCACCATTGGCGGTATGCTCTTCGGTTTCGACATCAGCTCCATGAGCGCCTGGATTGGCTCAGACCAATATCTCGAGTTCTTCAACCACCCAGGTTCAACAGAGCAGGGCGGCATCACAGCGTCCATGTCAGCCGGATCCTTCGTCGGCGCCCTCATCGCTGGTGTTATCGCCGATCGCCTTGGTCGACGAAAGGCTCTCATGATTGCTTGTTTTTTCTGGATCGCTGGTGCTGCTCTCCAGTGCTCTGCGCAGAATGTTGCCCATCTGATTGTTGGCCGTATCGTTAGCGGTGTCGCTGTTGGTATCACGAGTTCGCAGGTTCTTGTGTACCTCGCTGAGCTTGCGCCTTCGGATATTCGAGGTCGTGTGGTTGGTATTCAGCAGTGGTCTATTGAATGGGGTAAGCCTGATACCTCCCAGCCTGTATGGTATGTTCACTAACATCACAGGTATCCTCATCATGTACCTCATCTCCTACGGCTGCTCCATTGGCGTCGATGGCCCCGCCGCCTTCCGCATCGCATGGGGCATCCAAGCCATTCCCGGTTTCATCCTCCTCGGCGGTCTCTTCTTCTTCCCAGAGTCACCCCGATGGCTCGCCCAGCACGACCGTTGGGAGGAGGCTCACTTCAACCTTGCCCACCTCCACGCCGGTGGTGATCTCGACAGCCCCGTTGTCATCGCCGAGATGGAGGAGGTCCGCGAAGCCGTCCGTATTGCCCGTGAGTCCAAGGACATTGGCTATCTCGGCCTCTTCGCTTCTGGTGTCTGGAAGCGCACTGTCGTTGGTGTTAGTGTGCAGATCTGGCAGCAATTGCTGTAAGTTTACCCCTGAAAACTCTTAATAGGAACCTGTACTAACTTGAGTTCAGTGGTGGCAATGTCATGCTTTACTACCTCGTCTACATCTTCAACATGGCCGGAATGACTGGAAACACCGCCCTCACATCCTCCATCATCCAATATGTCATTTTCCTTGTCACAACAGGTCTTGTCCTTCCCTTCATCGATCGTCTCGGTCGCCGACCTCTTCTCATCGGCGGAGCTTTGATCTGTGGTATTCTGCACTTCACCAGTGGAGCTGTCATGGCTGTCCACGGCTACCCCGTCGACGGTATTGAGGGTAAGTCCTATTTTATCTTACAAGCTACTGCAAAAATACTAACTCTTTCAAGGCAACGACATCTTGACTTGGGCCATCAAGGGAGCTCCCGCAAAGGCTGTCATCGCCCTGGCATACATCTTCGTCGGAGTCTACGGTCTCACCTGGGCACCCGTTGCTTGGATCTACGCCAGTGAAGTCTTCCCCCTGAAGTACCGCGCCAAGGGTGTCGGTCTCGCCGCCTCTGGTAACTGGATGTAAGTCACACTCACTCCACCGTAACAAACAGATACTAACACATACTCAACAGCTTTAACCTAGCCCTTGCCTTCTTTGTTCCACCATCCTTCACCAACATCCAGTGGCAGACATACATGATTTTCGGCACCTTCTGCATCGCCATGACCTTCCACGCGTTCTTCACCTACCCGGAGACCGCACGCAAAACCCTCGAGGAAGTTGAGGCCATCTTTGACAGCAACTTGCCTGCTTGGCGTAGTACCAAGGCCAGCGGTGGCTTTGGAGACCGGGTCGAGGAGGCCAAGCGAACGGGAGGTCTCAAGGGAGAGGTTGACGAGCGGGAGACAACTCACACTGAGACTGCATAGTGATTGGTAGTTTGCTGTATTTTAGTGTATGAGTTACGGAGTTTGAATATACCCATATGTCCAATCATGTATTATTTTGCATCTAAGAATGGAGTTTGTTATGCAGTTGTCCAAGTAAGTTGTACCAATTCGAAGCTGTGACTCACATCGTGTCTATGCCATAGGGGGTTCGATCTCGATCCTCCTTGATCTTGACATGTTAGGCAGGGGCGGACACCTCCTGTTTGCGTAATGTTGTTGCTGACTTTGTTGAATTGGTTGTTGTGTTATCTGGTATTGTGCATAACGCCTCCACTGTAATGAGGCATGATTGAAAGATTAAAAGTCCTTGTTCGATATCTCGGCGACATCATGCACAGATGAGAAACAAAATTTCCACTCTTAACAATCTTATACACTCTTATTCACCTTTGTCAGTCAGAGCCTTTACACGTAACTGTATGAAAGAGGGTACTACAGGAGGCCAAGAGAGTAAAGATCAAACCTTCCTTGTCAAACCCACTCAAGAGAATTGTACATAGCTTGAGTTTGCTGGGTGATCTTGGCGTCAGTATCTACAATCCAGAACCCAGTGGACAGGAACTTCCGGTACAAGCCATTTGGTGAGAAGACTAGCCCTGTCCTCCGGCAACCAACTTTTGGACAATATGTCAAAGCTCGAAAGTAGGCGGAAGGCCGTCCGTTTGTTCCACCTACACTGCATTACCAATAGCTCTCAGATAGATTTTTCATTTCATGCTGCAAGCTTCCAAAAACACATGCGCCATCGCTTTTATGCTTTGCCAACAGCAAGAAAACTGATGCTCATATTGGTCTTGTTGGAAGGCATGTTGCCTAGCTTGTTCCAAACACATTTGTGAACAAACACTTTAGTTCCGGTGAAACCCTCAGCCTTGGACAAAGCATGGGCTATAATTGATTTCCGGATGGCTACTGTTGGTATGGCCACTTGTCAGTGTCTAGGGAGACACAATGAGTCATTGGTATTGCAGTTTGGGTTTCCGTCACGTGCATTTGTTCTGAAGACTTACAAAGTTTGTGTTTCTTTGAGTTTGCATATTCACTCTGAGTAGTATATTACTATCCCGCCTCCTTCCTCTATTCCCTTCTCTTCGGACTTATTTCTCTCATCCTCCTTTCGTATATAATAGTCTGCTTTCTTTACTCTCTCTATACCTATATAAGAGTGAATCTTTAATAGTCTCGTGCTGAGACCTACGCCAAAGTACACCGCAACTGGTTGTCAACAGTTATATAAGGGCTGGCATAGCACTTACTTCAATCAGCAAGTGCTAAACAAGCTAAATTGGGAGCTTTACTATGTAAGAGTCTAAAATACCACCGTACCATCTTATTCGCATATTTCTAATGAACTTCCACTTATAGATACCTAGTCTCCCTAAAACATTTGCATATATACGACCAGGAGCCCGAGATCTACGGGTCATCAAGGCCAGGATTACAACCCTCTGCCGATGGCGCCTGGCCAACCATATGGATGAGAATGATCTATTGAAGCAGGAAGTCGGCCACCCAAACTCTATATAATCTTCTCGGCCTATTCTGGCGCACATATTTCTCCGGAGTATGTCAAGAGTGCCCTGCCTTCCTGCTACTTAAACTTTCGCTGAACTCTTTTCTCCAGGTGCACCACAACTTGCCTTCTCATACACGCTTTCACTTCATCACACCATACTTAACCAAGATGCCCATGTTAAAATCAGACGACGAGATCAAGCGTGGCTGGGGCCCGCTGGAGAGATCATTTGAGAAATGGTACGCCGACAACCAAGAGGCAATCAGCGCTACAAGGAGAAGAGGGTCTTCAATAGGCGACTTCGACAGACTATGGTCTAGGTCGTATCCGCGTAAACATCACGCTGCCTTCGACAAGTGGTGCAATGAATGGCTGGGCCGACACTTGGAGAGAAGATCACGCCCAGTGCGGCCTCAAGAGTTTATCCAAACAGTCTTGAACACCAACTTCACGGACACGAATTCGGCGAGCAATCTTTTCTGGAAGATGGATGCGTACAACATCTCGTTCATTCCTCTTGGCCGATCCAGTTTCGGCAATGTCCCAACATACTATGCTTTCAGGCCTACGGGAAGGTTTCTTCAGCCAGACGTCGAAACCGAAGGGCCAGGTATCGCTGGCAACCAGATACTGGCCTTGAACTTGATCGATGCAATGCCTGAATCGGGTTCAGAGACTGGAGACACTTCCAACCCTCTCTTGTCCGAATCAAGCACGCCTACAGCCGCTGTTGAAACTCTAACTGACAAAGCCCGTGGAGAGATTGATCCCAGCCACTTCGTCTTCGCTCAGCTTGGAGCGCTCTACGTCTTTGGAGAGAAGTGTGAAGATGATAAAGAATACGATCAATCTGCCCTCAATAAAGGTCGATGGTGGTCAAACGGCTTTGCTGTTGTAGTTCGACTCAGCGAGAAAGGTGTTCCCGGAGCTGTCTACACCATTTACAACCACGGCAAGCAAATTGAGTCTATAGAGGATGATGAAGAAGATGATTACGATGGATCTCCAGAGGCTGTGGGCCATATACCTGGATACCTTCATCCGCGTTGCACTGAGGGGTTCAAGTTTGCTAAGGTTGCCGACAATGTCGAAGTGTTGGGGGATTTCGCAAAGCGTTTCACCTTCATACCCATCACCCAGAATGAGAACCAGATAGTTCGCGCAAGAGTCTGGCAATCCGAAGTCAATTATGAGGTGAAGGAGGGAGGGAAAGTCTGGGACTGTTACGTTGCACCTGTGAATGGATCTTGGAAAGAGCCTACCAAGCCAAAGAAATAAGCTGGTCACTGCAGCATACTATGAACAGTCTACGAACAAACCTACATGTTGCGACACCCGACACAGACTGGGAGGAACATGGTAGGAGGACGTCTGGATCCGCGTCGCTGATATATCTACGACAGATGGAGCATGGACGCTACAGATTCACTCTCCTGTCTTTAGTGTTACCCGTAGTCAATATCATACCATGAATGCTATGCCTTGAGAATAAGTCAGCTCTCTGTGAAATAAGTTAAGATGGAACTGGGTGGTTGGAGTAGCCTCGATAATGGATTTCACTTCATGCAGAATCTAAGATTGGTCATGCATGTTATTCACCTTGGACAGGTTTGACTTGCTGAACAAGGGTCTTTGCTTTGCACCAACAGAAATGCCTTTTCTGACCAACAAAACGTCTCTTGAGGAAGAGATCCAGCTATCCTAATAAAACTCGCCGAAACATCAACGATGGAAGTCCCTATACTGACGGACCGAATGCCGGTAATATGAATTAACAAGGTTTAGCCCGACCCTCCGCCGTCCCAAACCTTGGATTATACACAGCATGGGGTGGATGACTTTTCGTTTCCCTTTGAAGAAAGGACATCTCGATAATAAAATGATATAAGATTTAGAAGAGTTTATGGTATTATTCCCTAAGTTTTAGACTCTCAATTAAACCTCCGCAGCTAACCAACTCTTCTTAACATGATGTACTTGTTAGTGCAAATGCAGATGTTTGTTGGTATAAATCACAAGGTTCTTGAGTAAAAGAACACTGTGAGAGAACTTTTTGTCCAAGGGGTAGAGTGTAGAGTGACTCGTTCCAGGATAGCTCTCAAGTCGATTGAACGAATAGTTGCACTCCTAATAACTTCCTCACATCAGTTTACTGACTCGGCGGTCCGGCATTCAGATCTGCGCCCTCGCTTCCTTTGTTCAGCCTCGGGCAAGCCGTTTCTTTATATGCAGCCATGATCAGTTCGAAAAGAGGAAATGTGTAGCGAATTTTTCTTTCTGTTTATGTGGGGTGATATCAAAATATTTATGATTATACGCTGCCTGGCAGTGCTATGCCAGTGGCAGACTGCTTGGAGTGCCGACTATGAATCAGAGGCCGTGGCAGCCAAATATCCTTCTATAAAGCTGCCAACTGTTCGCATCTCTCTTCCTTCCTCACTCTTTCAACTTTCAACAACAATCTCATTCTTCAGATCATCACATTCCGCGAAAATCACTTCTCTATCTACCCAAAGCCTCGCGTCATCATGAAGTTCGCAATCACTGGTAAGCTACTGACGTTCCAAAGCCTGGCACAAAGACTTCATCTGTCTGACTACCTGTTTCGCAGCCCTGCTTCTCCTCCTCGGAGCCGCCAACGCGATTCCTTCCGAAGTAACCACCAAGGAGAGTACCCAGAGTACCTGCAACGTCCAGTGCTCCATTTGGTACACCAAGTGCTACCGCCGCCCCTGGGCCTACCTCTGCGATGACAGCGGCAAGTTCGTCCGCCGAGGATGGAACCCCGATTGTGAGAAGAACTGTTGGTGCAACTGCGATGCCAAGTAGAGAGACAGGTCCGAACCGGAGATGGATATCGTTGGCGATGGTGGAAGGATGAACATCGACTTCTGGTGGCTTTTGTCTGGGGAGAAATGAATGCTTCGGCTAGTATGTGCCATCGAAGCTAAGGATGACAGATATCAGGAGCGAGTAATAAATCAGAGATGTTTACTCGCAAACTAGTTGAATGATCGTGACCTTGAATATGCTCCGAATGCGTTACGCGTTGAACAACAGTGCTGGACAGACACACTGCGTATTCTTCCTTGTTGCTATGAAGGTTTATTATTCTATCTAACACATAACCAAAAAAGAATCGAACACGTTGCCCTAGTACAATCGCTGAGCCAAAAAGCACATCTCGCTCACCATTACTTCTCAACGTCGTTTTGTGAAGATTCAGAAACCTTCCTCACGGTGTTGTTGAACACTGGGCCTGGGTGGCCGATGCAGAGACAAAACACGGCAATGACAACGAGCCTGTTCAAGATCAACATCAGTACCTACTAAAACATCTAGCAAAGATCGATGACTTACACTCCCTCAAGGGCAATGAAAAGCCCCTCGTTCGTAACAAGATCCGAGTCTTGGTATCCCTCGCTCAACTCATAACATCGGAACGCGCATCGAGCAAGAATGAGAATAACAGCGGCGCTCACAAAGCCAAAGAAGATGCGCATGCGGTTGTCGATAGCGCCAGCTGCACCGCTACGGAAATATCGCCATAGGTAGTCGCCGAGGAGAGCGCAGAAAAGAACGAGGATGACGACCTGCAGTGAAAGACCAGCCAAAGCTACATCAATGCCCGTCTGACTCGAGCCTTGGCTGATGGTCGAGAGAGCTCCGCCCGCGGCTTGCAGTACAAGGCATGTGATGTCGGCGGGGATGAAGAGCCACCAGACAAGCTCCGGTTTGAAGCGGGAGACTTCGGGGGCGAGATATTTGATACTGCGAGCAGTTAGAAACAGTTTCTAGAGAGCCAGGGGAAGAGCTCAATTACATCTTGGACAAAGTAACGTAGACAGCAGCTGTGTACCACACAGGACCACTTGTGATAAACACAATCTGAACCATGAAGCCTCCAAAGTTGAAAGGGTTCTTGTACAGAATGATCCTGCCAATATACCCAATGATCTCAAACAAACACCCGACCATCATAAAGCTCATGTAGAACCACTGTTTCCAGCGAATCCCTAGGAACATGTGCGCGCCCATGGCGATGGCGTAGAGGACAATGAAGGCGATGTTCGCGGCGAGCGAGGGCCGATATTGGTAGACGCTCCATTCTACGGGGCATAGTTCGAGGGTACAGTTTGCATCTGGTCCGAAGACGATGAGGCCGTCTGGCGGTGCTCGTGACATGGTGATGTGAGGATGAAGATGATACTGGTAGGGCTGAAGGAGGTTTGATGTTTTGGATAGGTGGGAGGGAGAGTATCTATATATTTACACCCGTTTTCTAGAATAAACCAATTATCTCCACGAAAATAATCTCAATATCCCAATCGGATCTACAGACGACGTTCCAATTCGCACTCGTTTAACCTGCCAAGGGATGTCAGCTTCTCACCCCCAGTTCATTCTGGCCCTCGCTCAGCCCTGCGACAAAAGCGAGTGCGAGACACAAGCCAATGAAACGCAGCTCCAGTGAAATTGACTGCGCGGAAGCTAGACACTAGATCCTGGACTAATCTGCTTTGAGAAAACCATTCGAGGCGACTAGATTGCTTTTGGGAAAGCCTTTCGAGGTGTGTTTGTGAGGGACGTCATCTAGCAACACCATGACGGCTTGATAAAAAGTGATTGCTGGAGGAAGCATTTTAGGCTGGTGGTTAAAGGTTTAGATTTGCGGGTACCTAGACTGCTAGATAACATTGTCTCAGGTGATCATGCTAAGTGAGCATCTTGCCGCTGTCAGAAGTTTAACATCTAGTTAATCTAGGAACTGGTTTTACCATAGTACTTACAGTTGGTGTGCAATTCCTCTTTTTATAAAAGATAGAATAAGTTATACTAAACTCTATTGTTTTACATAATATTATATAATTTAATGACAAGCTTATGGATAGAAAATTCTAATTAATATCGATATTAACATATATATTCCTAACTGACTCGTTGCTGGAACTTTGGCACGGGACAGTACAAGTACAGGCACTATTCCCATCTTACTCATCATCAAAATCTTGAAGTTTTGTACAAGTACTCTCACCCTGCTTGAAATAACCAACGACCAATACCATTCGCCGTTACTGTGTCAAAGTCATTGCATGCCATAGAAATTTAAAGTAGTAGAGTATATCCACATTTGAAGCTCCCTAGTTCATTCCCCGTTCCTTTTGAAGTTCTTCGGTCCCGAAAACAACGATCAGCAATCCGAGCATGGCCGCTTATTCCCCAGCACCACCACTTGTTTTGGCACAATTATTCTCGGAAGCTACAAATGTCATCGTATAATAAATCATAAAGTATGTAGACAACGGTTTCAGCCTCTGCCGCATGGCGACGGGAGCCGTTCACGCCATTCTGAAGCGTACCAGTAAGTCAAAGACTCGTCACACCCTCGGCGACTGTTGACAACCAATGCTTGCTTACGCAGTAGCCGTGAGACAACTGTACTCAACTCTATTCCTTCGGGATAGTCTAGATTCTCACTGTTTGAATCTCACCCTACAACTCCTTTACTCACTTCAGCTTCGCTATTTCAAGCAGAGATACCCGCCTCACTCTCAATCTCCTCCTTGCTAGGGCACCACTTATCCTGTAGTTCCTTATCCGTAGACGTCTCGATCACGCTCTTCTCCCACCACTCACCCCAGCTGGTCAAGAAGATACGGTCGCGGTCCTCCGGGAAGTCACTTCTCGTAAGCGCCGCAAGGACGCTCTGTGCACCTGTCACACTTTCAGCAACAATCTCTCATTAAACCAGCAGAAATGAAACTTACCTTCAGGAATCGACTTTGCGTCGGGCATATTGGCTTGAATGCCCATTTGTTTGGCAAGGCCTGTACCGGGGATCAGACCGGGCGAAACGGCAACAACATCGTTGGTGCCGGCGAGTTGACGGCGCCACCATTGCGCACCGAGCAGGCCGGTGAACTTGGTTTTGCAGTAAATAGGATGTCCGGACACGCCAGAACCGGCCTTGAGCTCCTCTTCAAGCTTGCCTGTACATGCATTAGATACTGAAACAACCCGACGAGGGGACAAACTTACTTGGATCAGAAACGGTGCGAACGGCGCCAGAGGAAACAAAAACAATCCTCGACTTGCTCTCGACTAACTTTTCCCGCAGGAGGTGCACAAGATAATGCTGCGCTGTCAAACGTTAGTCAACGCCAAACTTTGTATCACAGGTGCATTTACACAGGTGGTTCACAACATGCGCTTCGCACCATGGCGATCCATTTGGCCCAGATTTAGTATTAGTGTCACCACTGGCTCCCGCATTAAGCAGTAAATAGTCAATCTTTTGCTGGCCCAGTCTCTCGAGAGTCTGCTCGGCAAACGACTTGACGCTCTTGAGGTCGTTCAACTCCAACGGGAGGATAGCAACCTCATCCAAAGACCGGTCATACTTGAGCTCGTCATAAGACTTTTGCGCTCTCTCCGTGTTGCGTGCTCCAAGGAGGACTCTGTATGGCTGGCTTTGCTCGAGGAGCTGTTTGATAGCTTCCAGGCCCTGGTGCTGTTAGCAACGTTACAATCTAGAATTGGCTGGTTGTGCGTACGATGCCGGATGAAGTGCCGGTTGCCACAATAGTCCTCAGAATAGAGCTCATTTTTACAGAGTCAAGTTAAAAATACTGTCTGGTTTGGCCGAAATAATTGGGAATATGTAGTGTATTTAAGGAGAAGAGGTCCAGCGGGGTTCATCGGCGTAAGTGACGTAAACACTGAGATTAGAAGAGCAGAAGCAGTTGGTCAGCAATAAAAATATCACACCGACTCATAGAACATGCTCACTTTATATGTCTTAACTGCTGCGTTCATCTTGGTTGAGACGGTTTGTAAGCAGAATGTCAGAACCTTGTTTCTAACCCTGCAAATCATATATACACCAGAGAGCAAAAGGGACCCGTAGTACAGTTCTGTGCAAAACTCCCAACAATAAGTCAGCTAGGGATGTAGAGAACATTTAGAAGACTGGGGGTATGACGTTAGGATAAAACAATAGAGTATTATAAAAAATATAAAAATGAGGAAGTTGTCAGAATTTTTGCATACCCACTGCACCTATGTGTAGAGCGATGGATTCATGAATAAATACGCCGTACCTACACAACACTTTCCCTTGAAGCCGATCAGAATCTGCAATCCTCCCCTAACTCCTATAATCCATATCAAACCTCGCTATTAATTCCGTATTCATTTTGGAATGGGACCAAGGCCCAGTCTTTTTATGCTGTCAGTACCAGCGCCAAGATGTAATTCACAGAGGTCATGCCGAATATGACTTACATTGCCTTTTTCCATCCCGCGATGGTGCTCCGAGGAATCTTAAAGTGATACTCGGCGTCCAAGGTGGAAGGCGGCACCATCTCGCCTAGACGCTCGACCCGATTATGGACCATCCACATAATAACCTCCTCCTTCTTCTTCTTGGAGTAAGTATTCTCCTTGCGAACAATTGGCGTCGTACGCAACAGTTTGCGCTCTGACAACGGCTTGGGCTTGGGCCCCCTCCGCCTCTTTGATGGGGGGCCCATGTCGCTTGTTGCCGTTGCTGCTGTTCTTGTCCGCGCAGCAGGATCTGGAGTAGACGTGGATTCGCCAGACTCCGGATCTGGCGATGATTCGGCAGACTCAGGGGCCGGTGTAGAAGCAACAGTTTGAGGCGCAGGAGTTCCCTCAGGTGTGAAGAGAGGACTTCGGGGAGTAGCGGGCGCTGGTTGAGGTGCCACGCGAGACACTGGATAAACACGGCGAGGCCCTGGTTGAGAACGGCGAGCTGTTTGGGGAGGCTGGGCAACAGGAGGTACCGGAACCCCTCCAGAAGCCTGTGCCGGGTAGGTAGGCTGGACCATCGGCGGAGGATGAGGAAAAGGAGGCTGCGGCACGTTCGGATGCGGAGCGTAGACCATATGTTCAGGGTGAGCCATCATAGGGTGAGCCACCGGAGCCTGGGCCATATGATGCGGCGGGTGAGGCACATGAGGATGCGAGTACCCCATGTAAGGAGGTTGCTGGTGGTGGGGATGAGGCATAACTGGATCCGGTTGAGGGTAGTACGCTACTGGATAATGGTGATGAGGAGGAGGATGAGGGTAGTATACCACTTGATAAAAGTGATGAGCAGGAGGAGGAGGCACGTCCGGGTTCAGATGGGGGTAGTACACCACGGGATAATAATGAACCATTTGAGGTTGTTGCACACCTTGAGGTTTTTGCACACCTTGAGGTTTTTGCACACCTTGAGGTTGTTGCACACCTTGACCTTGAGGTTGTTGCATGCCTTTAGCCTGTGGTGGATGAGCCAAATTGTGATGAATAGCCTGAGGTGGAGGTCTGGCCGCAAGAGGTCGCTGAACCCGTTGAGGTGCTTCAATGACCCGAGTCGGCTGAGCGACTTCGGGCGACTCGGTCGCTTCAGGTAATTGAGCATCCCGAGGCGGTTGAGATTGATGCATCTCGGCCTGAGCCACCGATGGTGAATCGGCAGGTTGGGATTCCTCAGTAGGCTCGGGTGAAGAAGCCGCAGACGCTTCACCCGCTCCGAATGTTTCATCCATTGGCGAAGAGGCTTGAGATTCTGGGGATGCCGTCATCGCATATAAGCAACTGCTTGAACAAGTGATGGTAGTTCTATAGGTAGTCTTGAAGTTGTGGATAGCATCAGAGAGAGTCGAATGGATAAAGAAAGTAATGGACACGTCCCTTGACGAATGTGAGAGTACCTGATTGGAGAGGCCTGTGCGGGACAAAAGTAGCGACACATAATCCTGCTTATTTTTGCGGAGGAAGACAAAGTAATTTTGTCAGGGTCGAACTAGCTTCGCGCTAAGGTGGCTGAGTTTGTCGGGTTTTGTGCGGTAAGTCATCCAATCCAGTCTAGTTAGGGGGGAATAAAACACTGGACGCCATTTGGTGGCAGATCAGCCATTTTTGGTGTAAGCGTGTTCGGTGTTTTTCTTTCCCCCGAGGGACCAGTGATTAGCATAAAACTTTCCTCATACCCCTAACCAAGAAGGTCTTGGGTTGGCCGTTCTGCAACCTCTTGGGCCTGTTGCTCAGAAATCATTGGCGACTGGTGATTGGAGATAATAGGTTTCGCTGGTGCACTACAGCCAAGGCCCGGTATTGATGGCAGGCAAGGTAAGACTTGCGTCAGAAGATATTAGCTCATTTGTTGGAGGTGATGGGTAAATTTCACATCTACGTCGTAAATGGCCCAAATATGCTTCATGATGCTGTTCTCTGCAGCGTTCTATTCCGGTCTACGAAACCAGTCCGACTATAATTCATAAATGGCACTTTTAAACTCTCTTGGTTCGCAGGGACTCAGGCAGCTCAGCAACCTTCTCGTTGAAGAGCTTCTCGGCGTCAGCCCACACTCGAGAGGTCTTGCGGTCCTTGAGGGTGAGGAGAGACTCCTTGAGACCCTCGCTAAAAGCCTCACTGGCCTCACGGGGCAGCATTGAGGGGAGGTGGTCGATGCTGATGACGGAGAGGGGAAGTGAGTTCTGGTCGTCCTTGATCTCGACAGGGACAGTGGGCTCCTCGAAGGTAGTGTTGATGGAGTAGATGGGGATGGGGTTGTGGGGGTTGGTGGTATCGCAAGAGACGTCGATAACAACAGCCAGGTTGCGGCCGGACTTGGCAAGGAGTTCCTGGTTGATGAAGGGAGGGATGGGCTTGGAGAGATAGATAGCGTTGAGGAAGATATCAGCCTTGGCGATCTCCTCATAAGGACCTTCGCAAGTTAGCTTAGTACCTTCAAAAAGAGTATACAGAACTTACCATCTCGGTCCTTGGTCTCGTTCAAGTCCCAACGAGTGATGTTCTCATCGGGCATACCCGCCTTGAGGAACAAGTCAACGGCACCCTTGCCGCATCGTCCAAGAGCACCAAGCACAAGGGCGGTGGGCTTGCGGCCGAGAGACTTCTCAGCCTTGGTCAGGTCCTCGCTGATCTGGCTGACGAGCTCATCCTCGTTCATGTAGTATCCGCGACCCTCAGTAAATGTCTCGACAGAGGGGAGCTTGGAGGAGGGGTCCTGGAGCTGGTGGGCGAGGGTCTTGATTCCGAGCGCAGCACCGGCGAAACCGGCGTGGAATCCGAAACTATGTCCAGTTAGAAAATGTGTGGTCCAAGGGTTGTGTGTGAAGCTTGGGTCTCAGAGCTGGAAGTGGCAAGTACAGTACTCCATTCTCTCTCCTCAAAGTCAATGGTATGTGACATCATAGTTTGTGCGGTACATGCCACTTCCAGGACTCCCAATGGACAGTTTTCGGGTTTCATGGGAGAGATAAACTTACGCAGAAACTCGGCGGCCCTGCTCATCGACTAGGAACTCCAAATCATACAAGACGCTACCGCCTTGAGGGAAGCGACCGAGAACCTTCTGCCATCCGCCTTGGTTCTATAAAGTGTCAGTTGGCGCCCTCTCCGATTCGGGATCAAGGTCGTACCTTGTAGCAGTGGGCAAATGACTAAACCAAGTTAGTATGTAGCACATTTTGCTAAACGGATTTCAAGCATACGATGTGGTCGTTCTTGAGAGGGAAATCATCCTCGGGAATTTCCTTGAGGCCAAGGATCAAAGTCTTGGGCTCCGCCTGGGGCCAGGTACCCTCGTTAACGAGGCGCGCGCCAGCCTTCTCATACTCGGAGTCCTCGAAGATACGCTTGAACTTGGGGTCGGTAGATGATCGCTCGACGGAGACGGGGTACCCAGCATCGACAAGAGTCTTGATAACTGAGGGGGAGAAAGATCGATGCTCGAGGGGCTTCTCCTCGGCGCGCAGAAGGATGTGGGGGTATTCAGACATGATTGCGACGGTTCTGAAGCTTCTGAAGCTATAGGTCCTACGATTTCGAAGATGATTAGCAACTTGGTTTGGGTATTGCGATCTGATTGCGGAAGAAGGATGCAAGTGGCGGAGAAGTGTGCAACGGCTGAAAAGGCTCAAGGACGGCTCAATTGACGCTAACGAAAACATGAAAACGGGGGAAACGCACAGGAACAATGGCGATGAGATTTGCGAATTAATCAATTGATGTTTCCAAGGATACCGCGTACGTGGTGTCTTTTCAAGTTTTGTATGTTTGTTTTATCTGAGTCACAAAAAAAAGAGTCAAGGGTGAATGTCGTCTGCTCCTTGATCGGCCTTGACGCTGCGGCCCCGGCGAAAAATGGCCCCGCTCCCGCTCCTGAACAACCCCGCGGTGGGGCCAATGGCTTCTCTCTAAGGCTTAGCGAGGGGAATTTGAAGCTTCTTCGTCAATTGCATCATCTGCGTCAAAGCTCATGAGAGTGAAGATGCTGAGCTTGAGAGTACAATATGCGTATCTGAAGGGCAGGTTACATGTATTTTAAAAAATGACATAAATGTTCCTTGTCACGACAATGAGAATTGGTTTCTAGACAGTATCGTTGGAGCTTGTGTTCGTAAACTCAACATTTATACTCGTGAGCTAGAGGTAGCTCCGATCGGTCAAATATGATTGGGGCCGGGTACCTGGAACTTATGATCTAGACAAAAGTCAGGCCAGGCACAAGAAGCAAATACGACATCGGTATTTCAACATTATCATGTCTAGAAGAAGAGACCTAGGCTTTGTATATTTTGTGCGACTATTCATCGACCGTAGAATACTGTTTCAACCAATAGAAGTTATCTGTGATTACGACTTGTAAGACAGCATGAGAATAATCGAAGGCCAACGATAGCGTCCAAGACATTGGGAAATAATGAATAGTCAATTGATGTATTAATGTTCTTTTAAACTAGATTTTATGGTTATTTTCGTATATGAATCAATCTGGGATCTCAGATTATTACGGTTTATTCAGAGCTTCGAACATTACCTAATTGAACTAACGAAAACGAGCAAACACCATCAATTGTCAACGCGCTCCTGAGCTCAATGCTCCGGGCCACCAACATCGTCATTCCCTTTATCCAATACATTAAATTAGTTAGCTTGTCTCAGCTAATCAATATATAAATCTAGTTCCTGGCCCACTACCCAATCACCCAACCACCCTCGAAAGTGATCGCCGGAAATGATGCGCACATCGGTGAGATCGGATCACGTTCCTTGGACAACACTCAAGACAGCCTTTGGATCGCGTCCTACCTTGTTCAGCTGAACCCCTGCACGCACTTAAACGTCAGGGCCAAGTTGTGTTGATCGCGGCAAGCTACTTACGCCAAAAGCTCGAGCTCTGTAAATTGACCGTGGCTTTTCTATGACGCTACGATCGAAAGCTGGCTGCCATGACGACACGGCGCAACCCAAAAGCAATAACGATGCGGTTACAAAACGGGATGATGGGTCGCGCAGGTATGGTCGAAGCTGATCAATTCATTTTCGCATTTACTCGAATCAAACAACATACATAGCACAACGTTTGACTTGAGAAAATCTATCAACACACTAGCAACCATGAAGGGCAACGACGAAGTCACCCAAGAATTCAATGAAGTCGTCAATATGACGGCCTCAGATCTTGAGAAGTGGCTCAAGTCAGATGACTCCAACAGCGCAGGCTGGCCCAAGGAGGACGAGAATGGCGAGACTGTTGGCCATGACAGTGGTCGCAAGATCGTGGAGATCTTGAAGGAGAACCCCAAGAAGGATCCTAAGAAGTACACGGATGAGCAAATCCAGCATATGCGCAAGGTTGTTTCATACTGGTAAGTGTTACCGCACCTGACCAAGTGTCAGATCAACCCGGGCGGCCAATTGGAGGCTAATTGTATGCAGTAAGCGCCATTTAGCACAGGAGACAAAGTCAAACAACGACAAGTCCCCCGAGGAGGTCAAGAAGACCAAGTCATACGCATCGCTTAAGAATTGGGGTCACGATTTCCTCAAGGCTCAAGGAAAGCAGAGCGGCAGCAGCAAGAAGGACGACGAAGAAGATGAAGAGGAAGAAGAAGAAGAAGAAGAAGAAGAAGTGGACGAGGATGCTGAAGAGGAGCAGGAAGAGAACGACGATGAGGAGAAGAATACTGGCGAGAAGCGAAGAGCAACTCGAAGCCAGACTGGCGCTAACAAGAAGCGAGAGACCCGAAAGGGAGAATCCACAAAGTCCAATGATGATGATGAAGAGGAGGAGGAGGAAGAAGAAGAGGAAGACGACGATGACTCCGAGAAGAAACAGGCACAGAAGAAGCAGTCCAACAGCAAGAAGTCCAACGGCAACACAAAGAAGTCTGAACAGGCCGAAGACGACGATCAAGAAGAGGATGACGGTGGTGACGACTCAGGCGCAAAGAATGGTCCGAAGAAGGGCGATACCGTAAGTTGGAACTGGGGTCAGGGACAGCCCAAGGGCAAGGTTTTGGATGTCAAGGCTGAAGAGTAAGTCTGAATATCTTGCGTTTAAGAGTTTAGTTGCTAACATAGTGCCCAGTACTTCCATCACAACCAAGAACGGTAATGAGGTCTCCAGAAAGGGAGATGAGGAGGATCCAGCTGTTGTTATAGACACGGGCAAGAACAAGGCGATCAAGAAAGCTCATGAGCTGAACTAAGTGATACCAAGTAGGCAGGTGATTTATGGGTGGGATATTGTACTTCATTTAAAGCTTTAATAGTGGAATGTCAATTTCTTTTATTCACTACCATCTACCTCTCTCAATTGCATCTCGAGAGTGTAACGTCAATCCCTGGCATACGCGCTCTGTGTGATCAAAAGCAATCTTTCACATGCGTAACCAAATCCTCACACATATTTCAATGAACAACATTCTCAAAGGAGTACATTTGCAAAAACCGCAAAAAGAAAGCACATCTCAATCAATGAATATGTAGTATAGGAACAGCCCGATGCGGGGGTCGAACCCGCAACCTTGAGATCGCGTACTCGTAAGAGTCTCACGCTCTACCGATTGAGCTAACCGGGCGTGCTTACGATTTGTTGAGATAACACGCAGAACTCTGGTACTATACAGAGGTGGTCAAGTGGTCTCTCTCTTTTTGGCCAGATCATCGCATCTGATACCTCCTCACTGCGCTGTTGATTGATATGAGGCAGGCTTGTCGCAAGAATATCTGTAGCATACATGAATAGCCAAACGGTCTCCTATTGCCGTATTAGCTTCAGAGAAATGTTTCCTCCCTGCGTCGCAGAACGCCATGATGAAAGCTTCTGTGAGGTGATCTGTAGCTCAACTCACCCTTTTGATTCGGTTGGTCGGAACAAAGCAACGATGGAACAGTAGACGACCATATCATCGCTACATTCTCAGTGGAAGGAAGAAAATATACCTTGAGCCATCTTCGCGTTGTGGTGGTAACCCAACAGTGCACAAGCCATCTCTTGATGCATTGGCGTCTAGACATGAAGGAACCAAGTTCATCTACAGGGTAAAGGAGACGTTGAAGAGACCCCATCGTCAAAAGCCCAGGAGCATGACAGCGCTTAGAACAGTGGGGTTGAGCTTAAGCTTCCATAAACTCACAACTTGACCGTATGATATGACGATTTATCCAAGCAATAAGATAATTAATTTATAAAAAAAGAAGCTTCTAACATCATTCCTTTTACTTCTATTTTCTATTGGCACTATCATACCACCTACAGCCATCTCCATGGCGGCTTATCATGCCAAAAGCTTAGCTCATGCGGAGCAGCGGATGTGGGGCGCCTGTTTCATGACGAGAGTTCACAAAGGCTGAATGCGGGCGCAGCTTAAGCTTTCCCATCCCATCTCACCATCAACGGGTAACTCTTTTGTTGATTCGCTTCCCCTCTTTCGTTCTCTTTTCCTTCGATCCAGCGTTTTTCTTTCTTTTGTGCCTCCATTCAACTTATCTTCTGGCTATATACTATCATTTCTTTTGTTCTTCTTCCAGCGACTTTCATTTTTTCCGCGACTTCGCGACATGCTCCTGGTCTCTCAATCGCAACCGTCATGACCAGTCATCCTCCAACATGTGAGCTTTGCCAACACTACGATCGATATGCAATTAACTGACTGTCGACAGGATTGAACCATATATTCGTGTCCGTCGGGCAATACACGCCAACGATGCCACTCTTCTCTACCGCATTCTCAAGACACATCCGAGTCTTCTCCTCAACCCCGATTTCTCCCCATCCGGCCAATCCAACTCGAACATGCATCTGGCAGCCTCTCTAGGCCACCACGAAGTATGCGAAGTACTTATTAAGCTCGGCCACGAAGATCCCTGCCCTGCGCTTAACGAAAGCCATCAAACCGCGCTGATGCTCGCCGCAGTTGGGGGCCACACCGAAGTCGTCCAGATCCTCGTCGAGCACGATAAAACATGCATCCTTCGTCGCGATATCCGAGGGCGCGATGCCGTGATGGAGGCTAGTCTTGGTGGACACGATACCATCCTGCAACTTCTCCTTACCCATGTCCCCGGTGGGCCTTACGAAGCAGTTCGCCGCGCGGATGTTGAAGGCAATACGGCGCTACATTTTGCGAGCGGCAATGGAAACCTGCTAGTGTTGCGAACGCTGCTGGCGGCGGGCGCGGATATTCACAAGCGCAACATCTGGAGTTGGACTCCAGCTGCCTACAGCGCTACTGTTCAGGCCGAAGTCTATCTGAAGGGCTTGGTGAATGAGGTTGGAAAGCGACAGCAGCAGCAGCAGAGAGAAATCGAGACGGCCAAGAAGGGTGGTGGAGTTCGAGTTGTTGAGTCTACAAGCGACGAGGAATGACGTGACATAGTTCACCATTGAATCGTCGTCCAAACCACAGCTGTGAAATGTTACCTGATGGCCATTTTGTGCACACATGATCTGGTGTAGACATCAGCAGAAACATGGGTTTTCACAGAACCAATCATTGCCGAAGATTCCCTATGGTCTGCGTTTCACTATCTCATATTATCTATCTGAAACTACACTCAGGCAAACTAGCGAGGAGTTACTCTGAATTGAACTGCTTTTTGGTCCTACATTTCAGCCTCATTGACTTAGGCTATCACTACCCAATACATCGCCCGGTTTGTAGGGTGTTGCAGCCCATTCGCACTATGTCCTATCCGTATGCACACTTACGGCAGTTTAAGTGGTCTTAACGAACCAGAAAATCGCTGTTTTGCCAGTCTGACAACCACTACCAAGCCCAGTCAAGTGATTGGGTACCGGTCAGCAATCGAAGCTGTGTGCCATGCCCATGTGTGACACACGACACGCTGACAGGGTGTACCATCTTGAATCCCTGTTCGCCCGTTCTGCGTATCACAGTTGATATGACATGGTCTGGCCTTGGAGTTTTGCTTCCCGGGCATTTTCACCCACACGAACCGAACCCCGCGTGACGGCTTGTCCTGGAACAGCTACCAGGTTTGACGTAATGGCTGGTGAATCACCTCCAATTCATAAAGCGGCTGATTGTTCTGAGGACATATACTCACAAACAGTCCCACATTTTGATAACTCTGACTATCTTTCCGAACTGATTCATTGTCAAGGACATAGTTGACCATGTTCGAATCTAGTACTATCCATAGCATAAATAGCAGCACAACCCTGTCCTACAGACTTATTCCTTTCAACCAGTCGTCCATCAAAGTCTTTCAGCTCACTTGCCAGAGCCGTTCTTCATGTCCAACTCAACACCAGTTCGCTGTAGGACAATTGAGAACGTCGATCTTCCGGCACCCGCGACCAAGTTGATCATCACGCAACATCTGAAGGCTTCGCGAGACTCCCCTTATTGGGCTTGGATCATTGTCGGTGCCTTTTACGACAGCAACAACAACGTTCTCTGGAGCACAGAGGTCTTCGCTGGTCGTTTGGAAATTGACTCTGACTCTGACGAGGAGACTGTTGATAGTGAGAGTGAGAGTGAGAGCGGTTCATCAGAGGCAGCGAGCGACACTGAGGATACATCTTCAGGTAAGCCGTGGACACATGGCATTGGTTACAGACATTCATATACAGAGTGTTCTATAAAAACGCCTTTCGCCCTCTCGCGAGTTGGTCTGACTTCGTTTAGACATCTATCCTCCCTACCAACGCCCTGTTAACCCTTTCAACTATTATCAAAACGAAATTTCGCAGCCTCAGCAATCGTATCCTCACTGGTACCAAAGCTCACCATACAGCGTACCACCTCAAACTTGGGACCCAAGCCGTCAGGGACCTGTACCTGGTTACTGGAACGCTTCGTTCGACCCGAACCTTCGTCGTTGGGTGCATACCTGGCAGCCTCTTTGTTGACCCATTCCTCCCCATCCCTCCGTATTTCCCCGATCTCTCGTCATGTCTGGTGGTTGGAATCCCATCAATGGCCGTGATGCCACGGGTACGCGTCCCAACTTCGCTCCCGTTGGTGGTCCTACGCCTGCACAAGGTCAACCCTACATTCCTCACATTGGTGGGCCTGGCTATAACTTTGGTTTAGTTGCTTCCCCTTATGGCTATATGTACGGTGCTGGTGCCGCATATGGTCAACCTGCGTACGGTCTTCCCCAGGCACAGATCCCTGGGTTTCAGCCTCAACAAACCTTCTCCCATCAGCCCAACGGCGCGGGCAATATCCTTCCTCGACAGCCACAGGCTCAACCTCACGTTGACACCCAAATGCCTGCTGCTCAGCTAACTAACTCATCCGGTGGTGTCGGCTGTGAACCCGGCTACAACTACTTCTTCCCAGCTGCCCATACCAAAGTCCACGTTTTCAAGAGCGATACTCCGCCCTGGCAGCTCCCAGCAAACGCGCAGATCCCCTTCATAGCATCCCACGTCCCCACGACCACTAAGCTGGGCGACTTGCTCAAGGGCTTCGGCTGTACTAACTCTAACCCAAAGAAGAACAAGTGTTTTGAGCTATACAGCGGAGGAAATGGCAAGTGGTACAAGGGATATGCCTTCACCGGTGATGAGAAGGACGAATGCGACAAGACGATGGATCAGGTCGGTTGGGACTCGACCAGAACTGGAAATCCAGGAGAGAAGCCGGTTGTCTGTCTCTGGTTCTGCAAGAGCTAATGGTGATGAACAGTGTGGGGATTGAAATGGCGGGAGACATCCAAGATAGGGCGTTTTTGCTACTCTACCATTTGGGAGGTTTTGCTAGGGATGCAGTGAGATTTCGATCTTTAGGCGGCGCCATGGCTAGGGAAGAATCGGAGTCGCTGGCGTTTTTGGCACACTTGCTTTTATTTCTAGTTCCGAGTCCTCGATTGCTTTAGTCTGTTGCTGAATTGATAACTATCTGAGTATGTACCTATTCCTGCTGATGGTTTAATTGCCCTTGGGACTGTAGCGCAATGATTACTCACTGGCTCACCCCCTGAGATAAGATATATCAATAAAATACAAGCGTATCAAACCCAAAGTATACCGGATAGTACGTAGTGCATTGTATTGTTACTCATATGCCGTCAACCTAGGAACCCCTGTACGAGAGTCTTGGTATACAGATGATCGGCACGAAGTACCAAGTCTATTTCAACACCATGTACAGTTCCGTGCAAAAGTTCCGACAACGAGCAAACAAGAGATACTTATATTAGGATAGATAGTATTAGGTATATCATACCAAGAATACTGTATATAATCTTAGACTATAAAATCTACAATAGAGGAAATTGTCGGGAGTTTCGCACGCCCACTGTACAAGGTCACACTGAAATTCGTGAAACTTGATATACGCGTAACAAATATCTCCAATTGTCACATGATGACAAGAAAAGAAAGTTAGACAACAAGTAGACTAAGCCCGCTTGGCACAGTTCAACTAGTAGAACCATTGTATGGCAATTGTTTAACTACTATATTGTACATGTTCACTGCTCATGCGCTTTCGGAATTGTTTTTACAACTTGAATTCTTTTGTGTATACTAGGAGCATAGCCCCTGGGAGTCTTACCAGGCATTGTCTACACCCATCACTTATTTTCCCTCTCCTTCTTCCTCCCCTTCCAATGCGTCCTCGCAATCCTTAACAGTCCCCAAGCAAGAAGTCTATAAACTACCACACAAGCCGCCAAGCACGCCACGTTAACCACAGGATCGACATCGAAGTTATACAGCTCTAGCACATCCTGCCCCGTCTCGATCGGACACTTCCCGTTCGCTAGTCTCTGGTCATCGTTGCACGTAAAGGTAAGACCGCGTAGTGAATACGGCGCCACAGCACGTGTGCCGTACCGGATAGGCGAGAGGTAGTTGAAGGCTTTGAAGAGGTCCGGCATATCGATGGAGAGGATACCAGCCATTGTGTTTGCGAGCGCGAGGAACACGCCCATGATGTTGACGGCGAAACCGGTGTGTCCGAAGAGTGTGTTGAACATGATTCCAAGACTCTCGCCACAGGATACAATGCCAAAGCAGGCGAATACAGAGACGAAGTAGAGTGTTGCCGTTCGGGGAAGATCCACTGCAATAACACCCAGGACGCCAAAGATCATGCAGCTTATAACCTCAAAGGGCACTTCAAGGATAGTGTACGCAGCGAGGAAAGCATCAACGCTATAAACACCATCGTCATCCTCTCTGTAGAACACATCGCGCTCATTCGGATAGATAGCTGTGTTCTGCAGCATTCCCACAAAGTAGAACGCACCAATCTCCTGCACAAAACCCATCCGGTTCTGGACGGAGTAGTAATCGTTGTCGAAGGGTGCAAAGAATAACGCCAGAACAAGAGCGAGACCGATGACTTGCATGAGACGAGCGATGATGAGCTCTGGTTGGCGGTAGGTGTTGATACAGGCGCGGTGGAGAAGAAGGGGGAGGGCTGTTGTGATGGGGGCGCGTTTGCGGATGAGGGCTCCTAGTTCGGCGGGGGTAGAGAGGTTGGCTTTGTTGAAGGATCGACGCTGTGGTGTTGACGATGGTGGAAGAGTTGTATCCTTTGGGGAAGCAATGGACATGTCTGTTTGGTTGGTAGGATCCGGCTGGACTTCATCCTTCTCTTTAATATCAGCAAGGCCTCCTCTCTTCGTCGATGAATCCTCCTCTTTCCAATGGTCGATCAAAAGCTGCACTCGCTTCCGCGACTCCAACTCTTTGCCCTCCTGCTGTAGATCGATAGTAATCATATCCAAGGCAAAGTCCGCGGGGTTTGTATGCTGAGGACACTCATAGCCATGACGTGCAAGATATCCAAGCATGTCCTTTCCAGCACCAGAGTAAACCTGTGAGCCACCTCGTGCCAGAAGAAGTACGTTTCCAAACTCCCTAAACAGATCAGGTCGAGCTTGATGGATTGTAAGAATCAGTGTGCGGCCTTCATTAGCCAGACCCTGAAGCACTTCCATGATAGAGTTTGCAGTAAAAGCATCAAGTCCCGATGTCGGTTCGTCCAGAAGTAGAATGCGAGGATCAGTAAGGACCTGGACTGCGATAGATACTCGGCGTTTCTCTCCTCCAGAGATACCCTTCACAAGTTCACCGCCAACCAGGTTATCAGCACAATCTTTCAAGCCCATCTTCAGGAGAACATCTTCTGCTCGACGGTTCTTTTCCTCTTTACTCATAAACGACGGCAATCGAAGCCCAGCTGCAAACCGAAGTGTCTCGCGGACCGTAAGGGATGGCAGCAGTGCGTCGTCATCCTGACAGACATAAGAACACACCGATCGAATAACCGAATCTGAAGGGACAGCACCATTGAAGGTCAGTTTACCCGCTGGTCGATACTTTGTTCCCACAGAATTGCGTAGTCGCAGGGCCATTGAGTTGAGCAGGGACGTCTTTCCACTTCCTGAAGGTCCCATGATTACGTTCAGTACTCCAGCACTAAACGCCGCCGTGATGGGGTTTAGGATGATCTTGGTGGGCAGCTTCTTCCCTCTTTGTGATCTCTTGTCCAGAGCCAATGAGAATTGATCGAGCTCCAAGTCAATAGCGCGTACATCGGCAACAGAACGTGCAGTCATCTTCTCCTTACCCGCCGAAAGATCTGTATCCGACACACGAGCGCGAGCAATCGTCATCTCGACTTTGATGATATGCAGTCCGATGACTGATAGCACAATGAATAAAATGACAAAGGCAAGGAGCACGAGAATAGGTTTGGCAACCCAATCTTTGGGAAATCCCAGGGAAGACATCACGTACGCTCCGGTGTACTGCTTGCATCTCGGATCAGACTCTCCACCCGAATAAGGACAATCGTAAAAGCTTCCTTCAAATTCGTTTCCTGCATATGCACTAAAGACGTAGAACTGTTCAGGTTAGTATAAAATCAAGATGATGGGACCAAAGATCATACCGTGTAAGTGAGCCACTTCAGCCAGCGGACATAAACTGGCAGACTGTTCACGTTGATGAACATGCCACAAGCCATACTCTGCAAAGTAAAGATCAAGTTGGCGATCACACTTGCTCCAGCGAAGTGTCTAACCGTCGCAACACAGGTCATAGCACACGTAACAGCAATGTACTGATTCAACAGAGTGACAGCGAAAAAGATAAAGAACCGTTCGACATCGCGCTCAAATCCAGCCATGAAGTAGAAAATCACGGAGAAGAGGAAAGGCGCTGTTACATCTTCGGTGATCATGCGGGCGATTCGTCTCGAGAGGACAAACGGTAGAGCATCGACACAACCCTCTGAGTTCTCGCGGTCGAATGTTGGGATGTCGAAGGTCATACGGTACACTTCGAAGATGAGGATGAGGTAGCCTTGAAGACCGGCGGCGGTGTATAGACCACCCTGGCGAGATCGAATACCGGCTTGGTCGCGGCCGAGGTCGTAGAACATGTATCCAGATACCAGGCCCATGAAGACAGCTTCGGTGATAGAAGCTGCCATACCGAGGGGGTCTCGATATGTGACTTTAAGCGTACGATCGGTGAGAACGGTGAGTTGTCGTAAAAAGCCTGCATGTTCTTCAGGTCTCTTATCCTTCTTTTTCTTTCCATCACCAACATCAATCGAGTTATCGAGCGGTTGGTATCGCTTCAACGTCTCCTGACTCCAAGCACTCTTCAAACGCTCGACCTTGGCTGTTGTTTCCTGCTCCAACTCGGGTGTTCGGTTGTCAACAGCGGCAATATCGATGATGAACTCAGCAGGGTTGACAAAAGGGGGCAGTTGGAAGCCCAGCTCGCTGAACCACGGGACGGCATCCTTGACAGCCCCTGAAAAGACAGGGCTTCCCTTTGTTAGAACGATCAAGTTGTCGAAGAGATCCCAGATTTCAGACCGAGGTTGGTGGATGGTTGTGACGATCGTGCGCCCCTTTTGCGCAAGCGTCTTGAGTGTTCGTACAAGCTGGTACGCGCTCGTTGCGTCAAGGCCGGTGGTGGGTTCGTCGAGGAAAAGGACAGACGGATTGGCCAGCAGTTGAACACCAATACTCGTACGTCGCTTCTCACCACCTGAACATCCGTGATGTTGGGAATTCCCGATGCGTGTGTCGGCGCATTCTTTAAGACCTAGTTCAAGAATAACTTCCTCAACAACCCTCTGGCGTTCTTCGGCCGTGGTTGAAGGCGGGAGTCGCAAGTCGGCCGAGTACCGCAGAGTCTCCCTAACAGTCAGAGTTGGCAGCAGGATATCTTGCTGCATAACATAGGCATGGCGCACGCTATGCACTCCAACCTTACCGTTAAAGGTGGCGATACCCTGTTGGCTTAGCCTGGAACTCAAAACTCTTTCTGCTACCGTGTTGAGCAACGTCGTCTTGCCTGAGCCGCTGCCTCCAATGATGGCTGTTAGTGTTCCTGGTCGCAGATCCGCGTTTACTGAATGAAGCAGGGCTTTCATTTTCGGAGCAGTGCTGAATTTTGACGAGAACAGATCTCCGTAGGTCGAAGGGGCGAGCCATGACGGCGCTGTGTCAACTGAGACGGCCAGTTCGTGAAGCTGGACATGGACAGCTTGTACATCGTCAAGAGACAAGTTACCGCCGCCAGATATCGACAACCTCGAAACATCGCTGGTGTGAATACCAGGATCTATCGAGGCATCAGGCGAGCTTGGTCTGTCCATCTTTTCGATATCGATGTTACCGGAGCGGTCGCCGGTGGCATTTTGATGCATCGCTGCAGTGTTTGGTGTAGGTGAAAGCGCAATTTGACGGGCGATATTATCTATTCGTCCACGCTCGGGACATTGTGGTCTCGTGTTTGTGAGAGTGAGATGGAAGGAATCGAGTGCTTATTATTACTTAGATATCAGGCTGTTGTTGGGTATTAGAACGGGGGTTGGTCTATGACGCCGAGGAATATAGCCGACTTTGGAGACAAGAAGCTAGGTCTGACAGACAATTGAGAAGAAAAGAGAACTCGGTCAGATGCAGATGCAGATGCGAATAGGCACAAGAGATTCCATCTTTGTCTCGTCTGTAGTATAAACCAACCCACACGTAATAAACGAGCTGCTCCCCCATGGGTAATAGACCATAGACTACCTCACCTGGTCCCATAATACCCGAGAGTGGCACTCCGTACTCTAATTCGTCCCATCGTGTTAAATTTCCAAGCTCAAATCCGAGAAGAGAACGAGACTGATTCAAGGTGTCCGTCAAGTGGGCACCCTCCGAAGCGAGGTTGCGGGGGGTCTTTGCAAGGTTCTAGACCCTGGCAGCCTGGGCAAAAAAAAGTGATTCAAAAAAGAATTGATCCAGAAGCAGAAGTTCAAAGTTCTAGTCTTGATTAGTGGGATCTGTGTTGGTGGGCGGGCGGCCGATGCTGACGTGGAGAAAATGGGGGGAGGACATTTCGGAATTGGACTCATCCGAGCAAGGGTTCATATGGAAGAGGGAGGTGAACTACAGTGATTGTTGGTGGACACTAGACACTCGCCAAGATGGATGCATTCTAATTCATCTACAGGTAAGATTCCTTCCACCAACAACAGTCAAACTAATCATCTTCTCTCAACCAAAAGCACACATTTTAATACCAAACCCCTAATACAAAACTCCATAACAATACAACTTGTATTTCCCATTTTGACCCTTCGCTTATCAAATCCCATCAATCCCTGACCAATGTCACCCTTCGCTTGCATCTCCCAACTCGACGCGATCGTTCGCTTGGCATAATTGTACCCACGTCGGTTGCGAAACGATGCAACGGCTGTCTCGCTTAGGCCGAGATTTGGAGCTTAATAAAGTCTCTAAACGACTTTTTTCGCGAGACAAGGTTTATTTCGTATTTGACTGATCACGGGAAACCTTACCCGATGTGTACTTTGCTATTTGGCGGTGACAAGTTGGTGATATCTTGTCTTTACTGCATGTGAACGGAGGACGTTGACCTCTCAGGCTGCAATTGGACATGTATGGGATCGGATTCAGTACAGTCACATAGAAGTGAGAAATGGATAATGCATTGTAAACCGATCATTGATATGCCTCTATTCCTCATTTCCCCCAGGCATTCTCAACTCAGGGTACAAGCACGGAGATTATCCTCCCTAATGCCTCACACCAAGTCCCCAAATGCCGACGGAACTATCATCCACCCCGCAATTTCTCCAAATCATCTCTCGTCCTGCTCCTCCTCCAAGACAAGTCTCACATGCACATCACATCGAGACATCCAATGACGCCACAATCACATTAACTTCTCCTCATTACTCGTGTCTTGTATAGAAGAAATAAACAATGCAACAAACAACAAGACAATGCACATATTTCTAATCGCCATCCCTAAACGCCGTAACCATATGTTGTCTATATCATCAATCATTTCACACATCCTCGTCTTAAACCGTTCGCTTCTCCGTGATGCTCTCGCCAAGAGGCTTGCTGACAACGAATCCTGCATTTGACGCACCAAGCTCAAACACCTTGTTGCCGCGCAGCCACGTCTCCTTGACACGGCCTGTAAACTCGTGACCCTCCCACGGCGAGCATCGGTTCTTCCATCGCATGTCGCCCTGCGTGAACGTCCACTCGTCGGCATCGTCGAACACGCAAATGTCTGCGTCCATGCCGACTCTAATGGCGCCCTTGCGGTGTGAGAGACCGACCTGTGCGGCTGTGGCCTGGCAGCACATGCGCACGATGTCAGTGATGCTGGGTGTCTTGGAGAAGTCGGCGCGCTTCTTGGCTGCTGAGTAGAGGATGGGGAGACCGAGCCCGACGGAGGAGATACCACCCCAGGCTGCGAAGAAATCTCCACGCGCCTTTTGCTCTACAGGGTCTTGGACATCAACCGCGGCCACGTCGATACCTGAGTCGTTGTGGGGAATGTTGGGTCGTCCGGTATCGAGATGCTGAGGAAGGAGCTTCAGTTGAGGTGTGCAAGGTGAGTGATCCGACACGATAGTCTTGATGCATGAATCCTCCGCGACGAGTTCTTCCCAAAGACCATCACGGTTCTTGCCCTCCCGGATAGGCGGGCAGCACTTGTGTCGAGTATCGCCCTCCTCGATCTCCTCAGCAGTCAAACCGAGGTAGTGGAAGCAGGTCTCGGCTGTGATGTTGATACCCGACTTGCGAGCGGCCTTGAGGAGAGGAATGCACTGCGTAGCCGAAAGATGAACGATGTGAAGGTGCAGCGACGGGGCGATGTGTGCTTGGCTAATAATCTCCTCGACGGCGTATGTTTCGAAAGCAGGGGGTCGAGATTCGAGGAAGGTCTTGTAAGCGTTGAGTTCACCAGTTGGGGCGAGAGGGGGTTCAGAGGTCTGCACGTCGTCGCCCACGGACTGGGTGATGGGAGGAATCATCTCGGCGTGGAACATGAGGGTAGTCGGGGTGTCCTTGAGCTTTTCCATGGCCAGGGCGATATCCTTGGAAGAGACGGCGGGGAACTCATCAACCTAGTGAGTGTCAGCTTGCGACTTACTTACAGCTTACAAAAGATAAGATGAACTTACACCAGACTCAATCAAAAAGCCCTTGAAGCCTCGAACACCAGCTTCAACCAGGGGCCTCAACTCATCGGCGTTACCAGGGATCACACCGCCGTAAAAGCCAACATCGACCCAGCACTGTCCATGGCTGGCCCGAAGCTTCTCCTCAAAGCCATGAAGAGTCGTGGTGGGAGGGATGGCATTCAGCGGCATATCCACCACAGTGGTCACACCACCACTTGCAGCAGCGCGGGTACCAGTCCAGAAGCCCTCCCACTCAGTACGGCCAGGCTCGTTCAAGTGAACGTGAGCATCAACGAGGCCAGGGAGGAGAAGCTTGGGGGTATGGTCGACATAGTCTGTGCCAGCAGGGAAGCTGGATAGGGGGAGGACCTCGGGAACGACTGAGACGATCTTTCCGGTGACGGGGCTGACGACAATAGAAGCGGGAGTGATGACGAGGGAGTCATTAGGAAGGGTAACGACAACTCTGGAAGAAACGAGGACTGAGAGAGGACCCTCTGGGTACTGCTCAGCGTTGGAGGTTGTCATGATGGGCAGATGAAGGGACGTGAACTTGTAAGAGATGCAAGAGTAAAAAGAGAAGGGAAAGAAGAAATAAGCTATGCAAGACAAAAGACAAAGCTACAGGACCAGGGCTTGTCCAAAATCCGGGGAAAGCTGGTTCAGTTTCACTTTCGAATCCCGTTCCGTCGATTCAATCCCGATGCGCGGCCGTTTCTCTCTATTCTTATCCCTTATCTCTACGACGTTGGAGGGGCAGGGCCACGGATTGGTGGGGTTGTGGAGGCCAGAGATAAGGATAAAAGGCGCGGTGTGGCAGATGATGGAATGATGGTCAGCGACTGAACTGATAAGGAGCTTCTATCAAGTTGATTGGTATTCTTATCAAAGGGACAAAGACAATTGGTTGCTTGGCCTTTCAACGAGTGTTTGCTTCTGGAAGGTGAAGAAGAAGAAGAATAAGGAAGAGGACGACCCCAGAATACTGGCTGTCCACTTCTTATCATGAGTTTCTTCGGCTCGGTATTTCACGGGAGTCCAGATTCAAGGAATCGTATTCATTATTCGATCAAAACATCATTTCCTTCCAATCACTTTCGCCTTACTCTATTCCCCGTCTTCTTTCGTCCTGTCCGAGGTTCCCATTCCTGTACATATCCGGGCCATGTCGTACGTAGTAGGTCCCACTTAGAAAGCCGAAAAGCTTAGCTTATCACAGAGAAAGAAAAATCGAATATTCAGGGTCCATCGGACTCTGCCGGTCGCCGCCAAACCAATCAGAGACTCGAACAGCTTGGCCGATGACGGCAGTGGGTGATTGAATCGAGTAAATATCGAGTAATACAATGCGAAGAACTGCGTGAGTGGGAGAGCGTGAGCGTGAGCATAGCGTTGTATTTAATGTAGCCGTATTTACTCGGAAGAATTCGCTCCCTTTTTCCACTTATGGCTTGAGGCTGAAGTTATTCGAGGCCTACAACAACAATCGGTCAAGAGCTGATCTGAGGAAAGCCTCGTGAGAAGATGTTGGTATCATCACAGTCACCAGACATTTCCTAGCACATACAGCTCATAATTGTGGCTCCTTGGTCCTTGTCGTGTTGTTGGCATATGACTCTCCAACACGTTTCTATCGAGTAATGAAATCGGGATCTCATGGTGGTTTAGTCCTAGTTCCTTTAACCCCCGCGGAGTTGCAATCCCTCCTATAGTCGCCCTTTCGGCTCTAGCTCTTTCTGAGGATTACTCGATCAAAACACGAAGTTGAGCCAATTGCTTATACCGAGGTTACAGAGTCCAGAGCGTCATCCAATCACTTCTACACCATGCTGGCTTCGTCACCACACCCTCAACGTTATAAGAATACGACTTTGTCCCAAAACAGAAAGCCACTTATACGCAACAGCGTCAAATGTATCAGTATAATAGAAATAGTAAAAATAGTACAAGTACAATCAATCATACATGCATAACTTCTCATAGCCGTCTACACCTTGGTTTTCGTTGTTCAAAGACAGACAAAGCAAGCCTAAAAGCACAATCATACACCGCCATGATGGCCAATGCTCTCAACTCCCAGTCCCATCTGACCCATCCGCCATCTTCCAATTCTTTGGCTTTTTATCCATATGTTGCTTTATCTCCTTTATCGTGAAATAATTGTGATGTGATATGCTATTTGTACACGGCGGAAGAGCTGGGCAACTCGTCCCAGATCATTTCCGCCTTTTCCCCTCCACAGCATCTTTACTTCTGTCGCTTCAGCGACTTGTGTGCCATCTCAATCAATCCATCCTTGGCCTCGCTATCGGGAAAGTCTGCAATCGATGCAATAGCCTTATCCACGTATTCTTGTGCAAGAGCCCGCGTCTGCTCGATGCCGTCGCTTTGGAGAACCAACTCACGTGCCTGTTTCGAATTAGCATGGATCGTCTCCAACATCCCCAAACAATGTGATTTGTCAGGGCCAAGAACATGCAAGCCAACTTACCCTGTGTACGTCACCCTCCTGGGCAAACTTGCGGCCAACGAGAGCTCCGAGCTCCGGCATCTGCTTCCATGCAAATAGCAGAGGCGCTGTCGCCAGGCCCAACTCCAAGTCTGCCCCCGCAGGCTTGCCCAGATCAGATCCGGTCTGCGTATAATCCAAAAGGTCGTCCACCAGCTGGAAAGCCAGTCCCAGGTTTCGTCCATACGAGTAAGCAGCATCAACTGTCAGAGCATCGGTGTTGCCTAGCAGAGCTGCGGCCCGACAAGACTTGGAGATGAGAGACGCAGTCTTGAGGTAGGTCTTTTGAAGATAGTAGGTGACCGTCTCCTCAGACCACTTGGGATTTCTCTCGTCCCGCTCGGTGTTCTTAAGCTGCATGAACTCGCCCTCTACGAGGTTGGCGATAACTGTAGCTAGCAGCTCTACAACCTCGGGGTTACGAAGACGAGCCAGTGCGACAGATGCCCTGCCGAGTAAGAAGTCACCTGCCAGGACAGCCATCTTGTTGCCGAATTCCAAGTTGGCCGATGGCGAACCTCGTCGAGAGATAGAGTGGTCGATAACGTCGTCGTGAAGAAGCGAAGCCGTGTGAATAAGTTCCGTGATTTCGGCAAGCCTTCTTTGACTGGGAAGGATATCAGAGTTGCTGTCGGGGATCTCTTGTTCGAGGGCTGAAAGAGGCTGCGAAGGGTTGACGTCGGCGAGGATTTGAGCTGGTGATATTGAAGCATCGATGCCTCGGTGAGTAACTGTAGGATGTGTGGGGGGTGTCTTGGGGCAGAGATAGGTGGCTCTGCTCATGAGGAGAACGATCAAAGGCCTGACATGCTTGCCCTCAGCCTGGGTATAATATTTGGCCGCACGATCGAGCGACGGATGTCCAGAGCCCAGAAGTTTACGAATGTTGCCTGTCAGAAACTTCATCTCCTTGGCGACACTCCGGAGAGGGTCGATATGCATCGCATCCTTGGAAGCCTTCTTAACGACGTTGCTCACGACATTGGAGGCGACCTGAACGGCAGCACCCCACGCAGAGTCCCTTCGCGGGCTGGTATGCAACGAGGCGCTATGTATCCTCGTAGGAACCCGACCGACGGTCAATTGTCTGCACAGAGCACATGCAGGCGCTGCTGTCAAGTTCGTCCTCGTCCACATCGACTGTCTAGCCATGGTGCCTCGCACCACCGAGGCCCCCGGACGGAGCATCATCGCAGGCGTCTGCGCACACGAATATATGGAGAAAGAGGAGAAAGTCGGGCGGTAAGAGAGTCTCGTACTATGACCACATTCGCCGAGTATATATGAGCAGGTCGTAAAGGTCGTCAATGGAGGGGTAGTCGAGATCGATATCGCGAGGGAAATTTGTCGAGATGGGATTTTTGGCCTCTGGTTACCAATTGATCCGACCTCTAAACTTTTCCAGCTCTAGCTGTGTTCTGCTAAGCCGGGGTGGTAAGCGGGCCCGTTCGGCGAGCACCCGATGGCAGCCCGTGCAGAATAGGGCACTGATTGGACAGATGACGCTATGGGGCCGTCGAGCTAGGCGTCAGCGGATGAATCGCTACCGAATGTGAGGAACTGGCCTAGAATAGATTGCAACTTTGGCTTTCCATACCTTGTTTCAAGTAAGCACCTAGAACAAGAACTCTCATGAATGGTCCGTCCCGGCAGTAATCTTGCTCTATTACCTTTTTGTTTCCTTCTACACCATAGAACAATATGGTGCTACTCACAATGACACCCTCCATCGTGAAGGCATTGACAACTGCTGGAGCGCCAGAGACACCACAGATTGAGGATCACGATAGCGAAGCCAAGTCCAACGAACCACCACAAGCAACCCTAGAGCCTTCCTTGGACGAGCCTGAACTCGGAAAGCCCATATCGCATAGCCAAATAGTCGGCCTATGGAAACGCTTAAAAGCTCAAGGCAACGCAAACTACACTCTCGAGCAACTACTTCGCGGCGCATCCGTCTACATCCCTCCTCCGCCCCCCAAACCCGAACCTGTAAGTCGATCGATGAAGTTCTAAGCCTCCCATGCTAACCATGCGCCAGTCACCCCAGTACAAAGCCCTCATGGCCCGCCTCCGCCGCGACGAAGAAGCCCGCTCCTACGAACGAATGATCAACCCCGTCCCGCAACAAGAAACCTTCAAGACCCGCTTCCCCTACAGCGCCGCCGGTTTTGCCGAAGCGAACCGCCCTACATCAGCAGCAGATATCGGCGACGAGGACATTGCAATGGAAGAAGTGCATAAGCAAGTCACGCTGATCATCAATTTTCTGGTCAGCATTGCTGGTGTTGCCGGCACGTTATGGGTTACAGCGCGGTGGTGGAGCGTTTCATCGAGGTTATTTTTAACTATGGGTGGAAGTATTCTCGTTGCTATTGCGGAAGTAGTGGTCTACAATGCGTATGTGTGGAAGATGGACGAAGGGAGAAAGAAGAATGTGAAGGTTAAGGAGGTGAGGGAGGTAGTCGAAAGTTGGGTGCTGGGTGATGATGGTAATAAGGACGAGAAGACGGTTTTAATTAAAGAAAAAGACGATACGGGGAGTGACGGGGTTAGGAAGAGAAGGATGGAGCAAAAGGTCGAGATATAGATGTGCTATGAAGGGAATAACTTCACAAATATGACTGAATGTTCATTTTCAACAGGCAAATGAACAACAGATTCCACGCGAAATTATCGAACTTTGACGATTCTGCTTAAGGCGAATTTTCTTTGCAAACAACGTAAACAGTTGTTACCTATAGTAGGTAGTTTGAATCACCCTGAACATATGGAGTACATGGACGAGGTATCATGATGGTGGTGATATCATGGCTCAAAGTACACATGTGACTGCGCGACAGACGCGTTAAGACGCGTCTTCTCGGATGGTGGGGCACGCCTCTCATTAATGACTCTCTTTCTCTACGATGCCTCAATTCCGGTATCAGGCCTGATTCTTCTCCGTATTTATTTTTTACGACACTCTTTTACCCTTTTATAGCCCTTTCTCTATTCTTTTTCTCTATTTACTTCTCGTTGAGGGTACGTGGCTAGGTACCTACCTACTGAGCGATCTATTTACATTCTACCCCACGCGACAACACCGATTCGATTGGTCTTTGGCAAAGCATAGGTAGTAGCTACGTGAATGCGAAGAACCTCAAAATGTATATTCCCACGCTCTGTTAGATACAATTAGTATGATATTGACCTTAGTAGGTCTTCAAGTCCAGCACTAAATGGTCGGCCGCGAGCAAAACCACTACGAACATACGGCAAACGAAGCATTCGAGATGATTCCCCGAAGGAATCGAATACGAAGAAGCAGCGCGTATCGAGTGAAGCAACGTCCTCAGAAACATCAATATCCAAGAATACAAACACGATAGCACAACCGCTTCCGAAGATTATTGTGGCGGAGACCAAGGACACAACCGAATTCACCACGAATACAGACAAACTTACCGCCAATCCTCCTAAGAAGGGCTCGATCATGAGCTTTTTCAAGCCCATTCCCTCATCATCGTCAACAGCGGCATCTAGCCCCAAGAGCGACGAACCACAGCCCGAAACAACACCACCTTCTTCACCACCTCAACCGGCTAGGATAGAAACGCGAAAGAAGCCCCGGTTGCTCCGCTTTCGCGGTACCTCACTACCAGTACCCGACAACAAGAACACAGAGGATGCCCAAGGAGAGCTTACAGAAGCAGGGGACAGTAGCTCGAGATCGGCAATACGAGACAGCTCGTTGAATCGAGAATCGAGCACGGGTGATGTAAAAGCTGGAAAGAAGGCAAAGGCAAAACTATCGACTGTCCAGACGACGCTTAACCTTTCTGCCCAAGCAGCGTTCTCGGAATGTAAGATATGTAATACGGTCTGGAATCCGTTGTATCCGGATGATGTGAAATTCCACACCAAGCAGCATGCTGCCGTTTTGAGAGCAAGAAGGAAGGAGAAGGAAAATGAATTATAGGGCTTGATACCAATTTACGATTAATGAAATAATATTAATACTGCAAGCTTCGGTGTATATTTACTGATTGGGTTGTGTTCAAACTGATTTGCAAACACTGGGAGGAAATCACTGGCTCGTGAAATCACTGGCTCGTGAAATCACTGGCTCGTGAAATCACTGGCTCGTGAAATCACTGGCTCGTGAAAATACTGTTTCGATCAATTATTCAATTTGCACTCGAAACGACACAAGATTCAACTCGGCAGGAGATTTTTGTTTATTGTAAATAAGACTCTTGGAAGGAAATCGTAGCATGAAGTTCAGTGTCGTCGGGAGTCATGATGAGACGCTTAGTGATACCCAAAAATTTAAGACTTGGGATCCCTGCTTTGGGTAGGGCTGAGCCAAACTAACATTACGTCGATCACCCTTCTTGCAGCATCATAGCGTCGCAAGCCTCTCCGGACACGTCAATGTATGATTTAAGGATGAAACGTGGGTGGCATCGCGTAATCCTGGCTATATTTATCCATCCATGGCTATGCGGGTGGCTGTGCTGATGATAATTATCAAGAAACCCACCCAAGAGTCATCTCATTCAAACCTCTATTATTCGAGCTGTATTTCAATAAACGACATAAAACCCAATGCCAAGAAAAGCAGGGACGGGTTGTATCACCTGTCGGTAAGTCTTAGTACTCTGCGTTACTCGCTAGTAACTAATATCTGACAGCATACGCCGTGTCAAATGCGACTTGGGTAAGCCCTCGTGTCAGCGCTGTCTGACGTCCAAACGCCAATGCGATGGTTATCTCCCTGAGAACTCAACAGTAACCCGTCGTCAACTAGCAGAAGCAGCTCGTGAGATCTCGGTGATTGGGCCAATCTCACGGGCTCTGTCTCAGTATCCACGACAGGGCAGTGGCAGCCGATCACCGACACCGCCGAACTTGTCGCTCTTTGATGTGTTCCGCACTTTGACGGCGCCGTCAACAGCGGCGTTTATTCCATCCCAGTTCTGGACGAGAGAGCTGCTCCAGCTGGCGCATAGTGAGCCTGCAGTTTGGCATGCTACACTTGCGCTGGGGGCGCTGCATCAGCGACATGAGTTGTACTGGCAAGGTCATGGGCGTCACACAGGCGAAAGGCTCTGGACTCAGGCAGCTGAGAACTACGGGCGCGCGATATCCTATGCTCGCGACGTGAAAGATCCGGTAAGACTGCTCTCGCTAAGTCTTGCCCTTGTATCAATCACGCACATGACTGGTCGTTGGGCAGACAGCCAGGTTCACATCATGGCTGGCCATCGTCTGCTAAACCAGGCGGGACATAGTGTGGCGACATCAAGCGCAGCTGAGGTTCTGACGCGACTTGACCTGCACGCCATGACATTCTCCGACTCGAGCGCTCCGTATCCTTTCAAACAAGCACCGAGCAGGGTGTGGATTGACGAAGTCATGCTGAAGACTTTCAAGCTGGAGAGCTACGCGCAGGCAGGCACAGCATTATTCGGGCTCATGAGAAGGATCATGATGCTGGGCGAGAGAACAGCAAATTGGGATGGACAGGCTATAAGCAATGACCAGGAAATGCTTGAGGACACGATACAGGATCTTGTTGCGTGGGAGTACAAGATGGGTCAGTTCGAGATGGGCCATCCGAAATCGCATGACCAGAGAGGCGCTGTATCCATCAGGCTCTACCATACGCTGTTGCGCACATTCTTGGTAGCGGGAGCTTTTGGGTTAGAGATGCGATGGGATAATCTACTCGGTCTTTACGAGAGGATCCTCACACTCGCGGAGACGTTATGGTCTTACACGCCAAACTGCAACGTTCACTCACCTCTCTCACTGGAGCCAGGAGTCATCGTGCCGGTCTTCATGGTCGCGCAGCGATGCCGCCATCCATGGCTTCGCCGCCGGGCGATTTCATTCCTCCACAAGATCAAGAGACAAGAAGGCATGTGGTTCAGCGACGGCGCAGCAGCAGTCAGTCAAAAAATCATGGAGATTGAAGGCCAGATATACTTCGAGAGCGACCTCGGCAAGGAAGAAACTCCATGGCAGATCGCAACAGAGAACATGCCCTGGGAAGCCTGGGCGAGTGTCGACTTGCAGAAGTTACCAGCGAATACGAGCTGGGCTGGGATTGAAAAAGTTCCTGAGGAGAAAAGGATGCGTGAGACGATGGTTATGGTCCTGACAGAGGAGAAGCGGATTGAATTGTCGCTTATAATGAGTTCTGTTGAGAATCCGGGGAGTTATGGCAACGTGCGGACGGAGACGCTTACATATGGATGAAGCTCAGCCATTTTTGTCTAGTATCAAACTTAGTACCTAAACGCCATGTAAAATACCCGTAGTTTTCGTATTAAGATCGTCATAATCGCGTTCGTATTCGCGAACCACACCATCCCCAACAACAACAAAACGACAACAACAGCAACGGGCCCCGAAACCCCCGAATTTCCATCGTGACATTGGAGAAAAAAAAGGGGGATCCACCGATTCATAAGGCTTTTTCAAGGTTATTTGCTGGACAACCAATGGAATTGCTTGTCTTGTCATCACTGTTCCTGGGGGAGACACTATGGTACGACTCCGGATCTCAAGTGTCCGATATTGCCAAGCATTTCGCTTGGAGGGTTTGGAGATCTACCTAGTGACGGTGTAAAATATGGGGTTCTAGATGCAGAAGGGGGGATAGCTAGGATAGCTAACTGGGGATAGGTAGAGAAAGGGCTACGTTGATCCAATTTTGAGCTAAGGACCCTGTTTCTACTTTCCTGAAAGTCGGACTACTTAAATGAGAGGCGTTTGTACTAAAAGAAAACCTTCATCCCGTCCTCATCACTTTCAACTTTCACTTTTCATAGTACAACTACACGACATACAATCGACGCCATGAACGCAACTATCGAGACTCCCTCTAATCCGTACTGGCCGCTGGACGCCGCCCTCCCGGTCTATGTCGCCAACACGATAGATTCTCGCACTCTTGTGGGCACGTTCGTAGCTGTTGCAATTGGCATTTTTGCAGTTACGCTCCTGTTCATCCAGTCTGCGCGCCGGACGTTGTCCAAGGGAGAGGTGTTTGCGACGATGTGGTTTGCGATTTGCGGATGCATCCATACCTTCTTCGAGGGTAAGTTTTGCTTTGTTCTTATTTTCAGTGGTGATACTAACAAACAGCCAGGCTACTACGTCTACAACTTCCTTGACATCTCCAGCAGATCTCATCTCTTCGCTCAATTGTGGAAGGAATACGCCCTCTCAGACTCTCGCTACCTGACTCAGGACTCATTCATGGTCCCTATGGAGGGCATCACCGCCACCCTCTGGGGCCCCATGTCATTCTTCTGCGCCTGGGCTATCGTAACACAGCACCCTCTGCGCCACCCATTCCAGCTCATCATCAGCGTTGGACAGATTTACGGTGTCATTCTCTACTTCGCGACATGCCACTTCGACGAGATCGTGCACAACATCGTGTACTGTCGCCCTGAGCAGTTCTACTTCTGGATGTACTACGTGTTCTGCAACGCGATCTGGGTTTTCATCCCTTCTGCGCTGGTCGTGCAGAGCGTCAAGGCCACGGAGGGTGCTTTTGCGAAGGTGCAGGCTGCCGAGAAGACGAAGAAGGCTCTGTAAGCGGGACGTTGGGTTTATTAGTGGCTGTAGGGTGGATTGTATATGCATGGTTATGGGGCAAGAGCGGTTAGAGAGCATAGATGGTCTATTTATCGTGACGAGGACCTGGTGGTAAAAGTTATTGCGTTGTATGGTAGAGCGTTTCGGTCATTGGAGGGCAAAGAGCAGCAAATGAAATTCAATCTGCGTACAAGATCATTTCATGACTGAGTGAGTGGCTGTGTCTTGATGTCAATGTCCTGGCCCTGATAACAAACAGCTGGTTGTAGAACACATACACCTCAATTGAACACAAATCACAATTCACAACTGGGACACTTTGAAGTAACTCGTTCTGCGATTGGCAAAACTCAATTAGTCTGGAACTCCGTATGTTGTGTTGCGAAGAGCCTTATCCGAACGACGTATAATTCCCCACTGCTCCTTCACCTAACCTAGACTTGCCAGTGTCCAGACATTGCCTAGCTAACAGACAGTAAACCATGTTGCTAGTGATCAACATTCCACAATGTCTCACTCGTAGTAGGCAGGGTTCGAAGGCTCATCGTCAAAAAAAGAAATTACACCTAGTATCTTTCTCTGAGAAACATCTCATGTGCAATTGGAAGACATCTCGACTTATGAATAGGTACTATCTCGATCGCTGACCAGTCAACAAGACTTGTCGGTCAATCAACAGAAAGGGCATTGAGAAAAAAGAGCATAATCAACCAAGTTCAGCCCGAATTTATCAACCCATGCCAGAAGTCTGGATGTCTCAATGATTACTGTGCCCTGCAGGGCCAGCCTTTGCCTATTGGCATAACATTCTGTGGCGTCGACTACCCTCGCATCTCAAACATCCCTTGAGAACTTGGGAAGCAAGTCTTGGCTCGACACCTCGCAGCTCCAATAGCTCGACATCAGTACAATACAAATTACTCCAATTGTATGTGAGCTGGTATGGCCCCCTTATCTACTCGCAATCCAGTACCTCCAGCCGACCAATTGTTGACCATAAGCATACCTTGAGCGTGTAGTTCAATATGGTGGCGTATCTCAGCTTGTCTTCAATGTCTCTACTTCCTTCGCCCTTGACCTCAAATTCCCTTGGGTCCCTCCTAGTTATAATCAAATCATTTCTCTGATTGTCATTCATGTTTCTCTGCAGGTTTCAACCCTCCATCTCACCGGCCAGTCTGCTTTCGGTGCGGTAACCTAACCAAGATGCTGGCTTCAACGAACCGTCTGCTCAGGCTATTGCCAGCTATTCTTCTCATCATAACTTGCTTCTTGTTCGTGTCGACACTACAACAGGGCAATCAAGAAAATGCTCTTGGCGATAGTTGGTGGGCTTACAATGAGGGCCAGAAAGATGCTGAGAGCCCTGCGACAACAACTCCGCTAGCATCTGAAGAGAAACCAAACCAGGACTACGAGAAGGACCTGGATGATATGGATAGGGAACTCGAGGAGTACGAACAAGAAATGACCCGGGTCTCTGAGGATGGTAAAGAGGATGGTAAAGAGGATGGTAAAGATGATGAAGAAGATTACGATGATGATCGAGATGAAATTCAAGACTTGGATGCAGCCGGTGGCGAAGTCCCAGACTTTACACGCCTGAACAACAGCGTTCTGTATCCTACCAAGGATGGAGTCGACTGGGGCAAGTTTGCATACATACAGTATGTCACCGATGAGGACTACCTCTGCAACTCAGTCATGGCTTTCGAGACACTAGATCGTCTGCGTAGCCGGGCTGACCGTCTCATGATGTACCCGGGCGAGATGCTTGCCCCGGACGCCGAAGAGTCGGACACAGTGGCTGGACAGCTTCTGATCAAAGCGCGCGATGAGTACAACGTCAAGTTACAGCCTATTGAGATCCAACGTCGAGAAGGAGACGATTGTAAGTTCAAGCTACAATTTCAGTTGTATGGCACGCTTTCTAACGGAGTTATAGTGACGTGGGCCGAGTCTTTCACCAAGCTGCTCATCTTCAACCAGACCCAGTACGACAGAGTTCTCTACCTCGACTCAGACGGCATGGTTCTCCAACCCATGGACGAACTCTTCAAGCTCCCACCCTGTCCCGTCGCAATGCCACGCGCATACTGGCTCTACCAAGACGAGCACCCGTCCAAGGTCCTCTCATCGCAGCTCATGGTCGTGCAGCCCAGCAAAGTCGAGTTCGAGCGCATCCTGGAGAAGATGGAGACCATCGAAGGAAACGACTACGACATGGAGATAGTCAACGAGCTGTACCTCGACAGCGCTCTCGTGCTGCCGCATCGCCAGTACAACATGCTCTCGGCCGAGTACCGACGAGAGAACCACAGCGACTACCTCGGGTCTGACCGCGAAGAGTGGGATCCTATCGCTGCTTACAACGAGGCTAAGTTTGTGCACTTTTCAGACTGGCCGGTTCCGAAGCCTTGGATTCAGGATCTGGACTTGCGCCTGGAGCATGAGCCGCAGTGCCATATGGTTAATGAAGAGTTGAGCTGTACTGAGAGAGAGATTTGGAACAAGTTGTACACGGATTTTGCTGTGACGCGCAAGGTAAGTACTCTGTTTGTAGGCGATTTGTTGATGAGGTGCTGACTTGACTGTACAGAGAGTGTGTAAAACCGTTGACAAGAGTAAGTTGAAGGAGGAGAAGGAAAAGGCAAATTCCTGGGGCTTTGGCTTTAGCAGAAACTGATTAAGGAAAGAAAGGTCAGGATTGATATCAAGGGCGATATTTAGGATGTGAGATTGCAGTAATATCAAGCGTTTTATTTGCAAGAGCATATTGGGATGCTTGGAGAATTAGTTCAAACACTCTAATATAATTATATCCAACGGTATGGATTCCTCTGCTTCTAAATCTACATGAACTTCATGACTTTCATATCATACTATCCCTTGACCTATTACTCGTGATAAGCTCGACATTAGAGCCCTTATATCTCTCACTATTCGCATCGCCCCCCGTCCTAATGTTCTCATACACCACAGTAGGAGATACCTCGCCGTCCACCGCAAGCGTATATCTCCCACTGCTCGTCTCTCCCACCCTCAACTTTATCTTGCCTAGCTTATCACTATTGGAAAAGCCTACGTGCGCAAGACTTGCACCGCCTTCAGACGCTGCAATCATAACGTGGCGGATGTCCGAGGGGTCAAACTCCGTCATGCCCTTCCACCCTCTAGTGCGGATGGCTTCGAGGATGAAGAGAGCGACGACGACCATGTTGAGCGCGAAAGCAGCGAAGGCGAATTTCTTCTCGCCAATCCTGATGGCTGTGACGCGGACGAAGCCTTGAGCTTCATCTTTGAAATCACCGACCATGATTTGCGCTGAGGAATATGCGACCAGCATGTCGTCCACCATGGCAGTAATTGCGTTCTCGATGCCTTCGAGGGTGACGTTCTTGCTCGACCTGGAACTTAGAGTGTTGTTCATCTCGAGACGAAGACGATGGTCGGCGATAGAAGTGTTGAAAGCCGTGCCAACAGTTGACACGTACAGATTTGTCTCATCGTTAGCGATCAGCTCAAACTGCCGGAGCAGAGTACCCTTTAGCCAACGAGATGGATCGATATCAGGAACGTCGGTATCATTCGTTGGCACGACGGTGATGTTCTTGCCCCGACTGCTAACCGTGATATTAAATCGTGTTGGTTCAAAGTTCACTTCGCACTGCGCCTTGTGCAGAAACTTATAGAATTCTCCAGCTGCGAAGCCGATGTACTTCCTCACAGGGGCGACATCCACATCTTTGTCCTTGAAGTGCGCAACTCCCATCGCCACGACAGCGTTACCGTCTCCAAAGCCGATATAGTTTGAATATTCGTATCCGTCGTCACTGTCTGGAAGTTCCCCACGCGCAGCCCAGCGAATGTCCCCCTCGGTTTGGAGTCTGAAGTCGGCTGTCTTGTTGTAGATGCAATTGACTTTGGCGTGATATCCCAACTCTTGGTATTTCCATCCCAGCACGCTACGTCCAGTTTTGTAGTGAACTTCACCGAGTCCGGGAGAGGAACCAACCCCGTATGATCGCCCGACGTAGCTGTAGCCAGTTCTGTCCAGCTTCTCGTGGTTGCGTGTCGAGTTGTGGATAGGCGATGCCGAAGCTGCACCAGCGAGAAGACTTCCCAGCATCTGGATGCCCACAGAATACGTAAACTTACCCAGGGCAGTGTGTTTCCCGGGACCCTCTGATTTAACTTCTGAAGGATATTCTCTGACGAAAGTGACGTTATCCCAGGCTGGAACCTGAACAGTGCCTTTGATGAGCTCCGACTTCTCAACGGGCGTCATAGCAGCAGCCCATATAGCGCTCAGCACCATAGACACAGATACAAAAAGACCCAACAGAAAGATGTATCCTATCGGCAAGTCCCAGTTGACTCTTGGTATCATAGCATCCATCCATGCGCGCATCTGGTTCATGCTCATACTTTTCGTTTTGAGCCGTCTCCGAACCCCGAGGTTGATGACTCTACAGATGGTAATGACCTGGAGAGAAGACATGAAGTTGGCAATGATTTGAACAGCGAATTGGACCGATGGGCGGTTCTCATCGACGAATTTGAGAAACCCGCCAGAGAAGAGTGTTTCGTTTAGAGAGAGACATAGTAGAGTTGTTGCGAGTGGCGTTGTGAAGACGAGAGAAATAAAGGTATTATAATCAGAAGAGAAGAAACCAATGAAACCGTTAGTTTTAGCCATAGCGACAGACAGAACTTCACCAAACTATGCACAGCACAGACAGTTGTTGGTACATGGCCAAACTCGAATGGACAGACGAACGGGAGAAGCGGGAGATTGGACGTTAAAAAGAGAGATTTAACCTCCCCCTCTCGATATCTACATGTTGGTTCAAGGCACAGCAATGAAACCTGTGCCTCGATTGCATCATGTACGCAAGCGGGTTCATGGCAAGGTGTAGCCGCCCAAGATGGGCGAGTTGTCGAATCACGGCTGTACACGGCTTTTATAAGCGCGTAAGACCCTGGAGATTTCTGGTTTCTTCACTCCGCGGGATGTCGTGCATGGTCCCCGGCGCTTAACTGAAACAGCGGGTGCAGGACGGGAGGAATTCCGATGAGGAAGTGTCTTTTACTGCCCATGTGAAGTTCATATTAAGAAGGATGTTTTGTTTAGATTAGGGTTATCAGCTGAGGAGCTGTTTAGGTTAGTAGTTAGAGCTAAGTTACGTGCCACATGCCTCAACTGCCGAGTCAGAGATAACCCACTTGATACTCCGATATGCGGTATGACCAGGCGAGGAAGCAGGTGGTCCAAATTAGACACTTCGAGCCATGCAGTACCACTGAGGACGTGGAAGGTTTTTTTTGCACGATTTATGCTCACATCGATTTGTGTTCCTTGGCATAAATCGTCGTCAGTATTGCCAACCTCAGGATCCCGGGTTGCGGGCACTTCTAGAACTACGGAATATCAATGTACATGTTTATAACAACTTCTGAAATCAATCTATCTGCCGTTGTATGAAGACACGAGGCTAATATTCAAGTCATTTTTCTTCCAGTTATTAGAACTTGCGCTCATTCCTGAGATTAAACGCGGTCGGATTGGCTGTACGATCCCACGTGTGCCAGGCACCCGACCACCGGAATTGCAGCGGTAAGCACGCCATAACAACCTACTTCCAGGGGCCCCCAACGCCGATAAAGGCTCTGAAACCACTGACCACCGACGTCATTTCTTGTTCTCACCTCTCACGAGGCCCTCACAAGTGCGACTTACACGATAAGAAGGCTTGAAAATAAAATCTTGCCTATCAGGGCTTGAAGAACTCAGTCCTTTGGGACAACCGACAAAATACCATGTTAGGAAGGTTCTTTACCCGCTCTTCGGCGGCCATGTCGGGCGGCGGAGAGTACCAGCCTCTCGCACAGAATGATAACGGCTACGAGACGGAAAACAACATGGCAGGCTCTTCGGATAGCCAAGATGCCAGGTCTAGGAATCATCGCGACGCTGCTGCCATGCTTCTCATCAAAATGGGTCGCTCTCCCGATGAGCACATCGCCATTTCCCCAGCTGACGACGCCCGGATCCTGCGTCGCATCGACCTTGCGCTGCTCCCTTTGATGCTCTCGGTGTATTTCCTCCAGGCTTTGGACAAAGCGACACTATCATACGCTTCGATATTCGGCCTCATAGAAGACACAAACCTCGAAGGCGACCAGTACTCATGGCTCGGCAGCATTGTATTCCTCGCACAGCTGATTATGCAGCCTCCGCTTGCGCTTGCGCTGGTCAAGCTGCCCATCGGAAAACTCACGAGTGCCATGGTGTTGGGGTGGGGAACGACGTTGGTGCTCATGACCTGGGCGAAGGAATTCCGAACTTTGATGGTTGCGCGCTTCTTTCTGGGGGCTTTTGAAGCTAGTATTGGACCGAGTTTTATTGCTATTACGCAGATGTGGTGGAGGAGAAGGTATGGATTATTTCTGATGACGTGAGCTGTGTCTAATCCATACAAGAGAACAGACGTTGAGAATAGGATCTTGGTATTGTATGAATGGGTTAACGTGGGTGGTGCGTACCTTGTCCTGTTCTTTTGTCCGGGCATTAGAGCTAACACTTGTTTACAGCTTGGTAGTCTCATTACCTACGGGCTTGCAAGCATCGATTCAAAAATGAAGCCTTATCAGGTATGTCGACGCCATTCATACCATCTCTGCTCTGCTAACAATAATAGATCATCTTCCTCTTCTTTGGTGCCATTACCATAGGAGTCTCATTTGTAATGTTCTTCTGGATGCCGGATTCGCCCACAGAAGCCAAATTTCTCACCGATGAGGACAAACTCATTGCAATCGAGCGCCTTCGAAACAACCAGATGGGCGTCATGTCACGCGAATGGAGGACCTCCCATGTTGTCGAGACATTGAAAGACCTCAAGACTTGGTGCTGGGTGGCTATGATATTTTGCATTTCCGTCCCTTCAAACGGCATCTCGACGTTCGGTCCTCTTATCATTAAGTCCTTTGTATCAGATCCCTTTGAGACCATGTTGTTTAACGTGCCCGTCGGTATCTCACACATCATCGCGGTCTCGGGGAGTGCCTACATCTCCATGAAATGGAAGCTCAAAGGCCCAGTCATTGTTATGCTGTGCATCCCTCCTATCATCGGGTGCGCCATTCTCTTGCACTTTGCGCACAGTCTCGAGAACAAAGCATTTTGCCTAGCTGGCTATTTCTGCTTGTGCACATTTACCGGTATTAGTGAGTAGACCCTCAGTCGTTGTTCAAGCAAGATCTAACAAACTACAGCGCCATTGATTTACTCGTGGTCAGCACAAAACACAGCCGGCGACACGAAACGCAAATCCACGTCGGCGCTCATCTTCATCAGTGGTTCTGCAGGCAACATTGTCGGTCCTCTACTATATACGCCCGACGAAGCACCATCGTATACCCGCGGTCTGCGCGCCAACCTCGCACTTTATATCCTCGTCATCGGCCTCGTCGTAGTCACCTCGCTACATCTCGCTCGCCTCAACCGACTTCACAGCCATCGCAGGGTCGCACTTGGAAAGAGTGCCGTGCTCATTGACCGAAGCCTCGAGACTGCTGAGGAGGTGGAGCGAATAGAAAGCATGGAGCGGACGTTGCGCGGAGGGGTGCTGCGGGAGGCGACGGGTGGTGAGGATGATAGGATTTCTCAAGTAGCTGAAGATTTGGAAAGAGATAAGACGGATCAGAAAGAGGGCGACAAGGGTTTTGAGGACATCACGGATTTGGAAAATGAAGATTTCCTATTCGTGTTTTGAGGGTCTCTTGAAACCGATGAAACGAGTTATGACATTTCACATAGAGCTAAAGATCGCGTTGGTATTTACGGAGTACTAGGCATTTTATTTAAAATCCACAAAGCTTCTCATTGTTTTCTTTATGAGGTGTGGAGAGGGCGGGCATTAATGTTCCAGGGTTTTACTTCATGATATCAAGTTCCTTCGGCCTAGCATTGATCTATTGCATTTATACTTTGCCAACCCAATAGCGTGATAACGAACGGCTAGTTCATGACAATGGGTATGCTATTCTTGGACTCAATACCTGCCAAGCTGCCAATGCCGTTTGCTGCCGATTCTGCTGTTGTGTTGTCCATGCAGCTAACCCCAAGGTACCGATCAGTTATTGCCACGCTAGCCACGTCTAAGCACCGCCACGCTTGGCCGCTCAGACCAATATCAACGCCGCAGATGACGACGCAGAGCATGGATTGGAAGCTGGTTTGGAGCTGAAAGTTGAATTGTTGGCGGCTGAGTAAGAGTCTTGGATGCCTCCACGTTTCTTATATCTGACTGACTATCTGCTAGACCTTTGATATGCATCTACTTTGTTATTCACTATTGACCTCTCAAAGCTGAAGTGATTCCCCACCTGCAGCTTGCAACCCCTCTAAGTGCCCCTCCATCATTACGGATCCTGCACAGAGACAACCAAGATTTCGACCTAGGAATTGCACCTGGTCAAGTCTCCTACTTATAGGCGCCATTTTTGCTGCATTCATAGCAGTATTATCGAAAACCTATACCCCTAGCACTTTTGCTGTCAAAATGGGCGGCGGTCCAGAAGGTTTCCGCACCGTTGCGTACTTCGTCAACTGGTACGAAGCTACTTACCCTGTATTGACACTCGAGCTCGTCAGCTAATGCAAAGCAGGGCTATTTATGCCCGAAAGCATCGTCCTCAAGACCTCCCTGTAGAGAATCTCACACATATTCTCTATTCATTTGCCAATGTCCGGAGCGACTCTGGCGAGGTGTAAGTCGCCGCCATTACTCTTCCGCAACATTCTCAGCTCACACCCTCTAGCCATCTCACCGACTCTTGGGCTGACACTGACATTCACTGGGATGGCGACTCCTGGAACGATGTTGGCACCAACCTGTATGGATGCATGAAGCAGCTCAACCTTTTGAAGAAACGCAACCGAAATCTTAAGGTTCTTCTCAGTGTTGGAGGATGGACCTATAGCAGCAACTTCAAGGCCCCCGCCAGCACACCCCAAGGACGCGACACTTTCGCCAAGAGCTGCGTTGATTTGATCAAGAACCTCGGTTTTGATGGTATCGATATTGACTGGGAATACCCTCAGAACGCTGATGAGGCGAGAAACTATGTTGAGCTGCTCGGTGCTGTTCGTCACGAGATGGACGCTTACTCGCGGACATTGAGCCAACCCTATCATTTTGAGTTGACTGTGGCCTGCCCCGCTGGTGCGCAGAACTTCCAGAAGCTCGATATTCGCGGAATGGACCAATATCTTGACTTCTGGAACCTCATGGCTTACGACTACGCTGGCTCTTGGGATCAGACTGCGGGACATCAGGCCAACCTGTACCCATCTCGAGACAACCCCACAGCAACCCCCTTCTCTACATCTGCGGCCATCGACTTCTATGCTCGCAGCGGCGTCAACCCCCACAAGCTTGTTCTCGGCATGCCGCTCTACGGCCGAGCGTTTGAGAACACTGACGGCCCTGGTCGTCCCTACCAGGGAACTGGTCCGGGCACCTGGGAGGCGGGAGTGTACGACTACAAGAAGCTTCCTCTCGAAGGCGCGCAAGAGTTTGGCGACGGAGCATGCTGCGCAAGCTACTGCTATAACCCCCAGACGCGCACTATGGTCACTTACGACACGCCCCGAGTCGCGTGGGACAAGGCCGAGTATGTCAAGAAGTGGAAGCTCGGAGGCGCCATGTGGTGGGAGAGCAGTGCGGATAAGGAGGGTGATCAGAGTCTCATTACAACAGTTGTGAGGGGATTTGGAGGACCGGGAGCACTCATGAGACAGGACAACTGCATTGAGTATCCCGCGACCAAGTACGAGAACCTGCGAAATGGGTTCCCGAACAACTGAGCAGCCAGCAAGAGTGGAGCTGGTGGGTCAGAATGAGTGAGATGAAAACTGTCAATAGTTTGAGTTCAGCTGCTTTTTTACGAAAGAGCACATAAGTACATGATTAGTATGAATATCCATTACGGCCTTGAACAGAACCTTCAATCAAATAAACATTCTTGAAATTGCTACGCAAAACTTCGTTGAAAGTATCTCCTCCACTTCAGACCACGTGACCTGCTCACTAGCCACACCAGCCTCAGTTGGCCCGTGCACCCAGCTCAAGCTGCCAGAAAATTTCCACCTGGAAAAAAAGTGTGAAAATCTTAAGCCTCGAGCCATCAACAACCCATTTCGACGCGGAATCATTCCCAATTGCGGCACCGGCAGGGAACAACAAGATGTCGCATATCGATTACGCTCTCTACGAATCGCCCGTGGGCTATGCCCTCTTCAAGGTGGTGCATCAGCAGGATGCGGTCGGATTAAAATTGAAGGAGACTCAGGCCGCCGTCAATGATCTCGCCAAGTTCGGCAAGATGGTCCAGCTGTCCAACTTCAGCCCTTTCAGGTATTTTTTGTCTTGTCTACGTGATGCCAATCGTTGCGCGATTACTGACACTGCCAAGGGGTCACGTCGAGGCTCTCGAGAACATCAACCTCGTCAGTGAGGGAATCGTCTCGGACTACCTCAAGTCTGTCCTCGAACTCAACCTCCCCAAGGTCGGCAAGAAGGCCAAGGTTGTCCTCGGTGTTTCCGAGAAGAACCTTGCTGGCGCGATCAAGGGACTCTTCCCCGGCCTCGAGTGCGAGACCGCCGATACCTCTGACATCGTTGGCGACGTTATTCGCGGTATCCGACTCCACGCCGACAAGCTTCTCGGCGGACTCAAGTACGGCGATGTCGAGAAGGCCGGTCTGGGTATGGGTCACGCCTACTCCCGCGCCAAGGTAAAGTTCAGCGTTACCCGCAACGACAACCACATCATCCAGGCCAGCGCGACCATCGACTTCCAGGACAAGGGTGTCAACCAGTTCTACATGCGCGTTCACGAATGGTACGGCTGGCACTTCCCTGAGCTTGTCAAGATTGTCTCCGACAACTACACCTACTGCAAGCTCGTCTTGGCCATTGGCGACAAGAAGAGCTTGAACGATGACAAGCTCCACGACATTGCCGCTCTCGTTGAGGAGGATGGTGAGAAGGCCCAGGCCATCATTGACGCCGCCAAGGTCTCCATGGGTCTCGACATCTCCGAGGCTGATCTCGAGATCATCCATAGCTTTGCTGAGGCCGTCGTCAAGCAGGCCGACAACCGCAAGTCCACTTCCGCCTACCTCGAGAAGAAGATGTCCGACATCGCCCCCAACCTGCAGACCCTCATTGGCACTCCTGTTGCCGCCCGCCTCATCTCTCACGCTGGTTCTTTGACCAACCTCTCCAAGTACCCTGCCTCCACTCTTCAGATTCTCGGTGCTGAGAAGGCTCTCTTCCGTGCCCTCAAGACCAAGAGCAACACCCCCAAGTACGGTCTCATCTACCACAGCAGCTTCATCGGCAAGGCCGGTGTCCGCAACAAGGGTCGCATCTCCCGATACCTTGCCAACAAGTGCAGTATGGCCAGTCGTATCGACAACTTCTCCGAGGAGCCTTCAACCCGCTTCGGTGAGGCTCTCAAGCAGCAGGTCGAGGACCGATTAGAGTTCTACGCCACTGGCAAGAAGCCCGCCAAGAACTCCGACGTCATGGTAAGTGCAATCTGATGCGGAATCACTGTCCAGTGCTAACTATTTATACAGAAGGGTGTCATGGACATCATGGACGGCGAGGATGCTGGCTCCGATGTCGAGATGGCTGACGTCCTTGAGCCCGAGTCTGCCAAGAAGTCCAAGAAGGACAAGAAGGAAAAGAAGGAGAAGAAAGACAAGAAGGAGAAGAAGGAGAAGAAGCGCAAGAATGACGATGATGAGGAGGCCCCCGCCGTTGAGGAAGCCGACGGTGAGAAGAAAAAGAAGAAGAAGAGAAAGTCCAAGGCTGCGGATGACGAGTAGAGCTCTTCCAATTATTTCACTGCGATTGGACATGTTGCCGTGTCTTATTAGGCATGAGCATGTTCCAGAGCTGAACGTTTCAGGAACGAGGATAACGGGAGATGCATCTTCAGTCATGATAGACGTTGCGCAAGGGTAGTCGGACTCGGGATTTAGGCCAGGATCTCCCGCCAAGCACGCGACTCCTCATTCATCACGATGTCAACTCGGCGTGGAACCAGACAAGGAAGCGGCACGAGTCTTCTTGCGAGTCTCTCCCGCCAGAGTTTGCGCTCCGACATATAGCCAGGAGAGCAGGAGTGGCGCGTGGGGAGATTTGGCATTCCTTGAGGCCCTTGCGCAATTGTTTGAGGAGTTTTTGTAGGATCTGATCTGGCTTCTGGCTTTTGGGCGTTTGAGGGCATTTGGCTTGATGTAAAACTGTTTTTCACTACGAGGGAAAACTCATACCCTTTGTTTACAAAAACACACTATTAACTGAAACTGAAGACTGGGCATTTCGTGACTAACTGTGATTGATGAGAGTAACATTGACTACCTAAGTATCCAGTGAGTATGATGGTGACAGGCTTCAACTTGTACAGAAGATAGCCTCAAGTAAGAATGATTACAAGATCAATGGGCCGAGCATACCCGTCCACAGTAACCCATCCGGACCCTCTCAAACACTCCCCACTCCTCCATGTCGGATCGCTCTAAGGACATGCCCCACCAGGGCAAGCAAGGCTCTGGCGAAATGAAATTTCACGAGTGGGAACCAGGAAATTCATGCGAGGCTATGAAATTCAGCTGATAAGGATTGATACGGATGCATGTGGGAGTAAGTCTTGGCGTTCACAGATAGTGAATTGACTATTTTGCCTGTATAATACTCATGTTGATATGATGCATATTGCAGTCGTATAGTTGAGTTGTCTGTTGTACGCAAGCTTGTGGCAAATACTCGCGGCACAAACATTTCAGTATGACAATCACAGTTCACAGAACAAATATTGGTGGTATCAAGTTTGTGTCGTCTCAATCAAGCATGCATTATCTCAGAAACCGGATGTGCTTTATGCTACAGCCTCATAACGCCCTTTTTTGGCACCCAATCCGTTCCTTCATCAATCCCAATCATGTCCCTTGGTGATGCATTTATTGCTTATCGAAGACGTAGGTCAGGTGGCAGCGACCGCAGTACTGGCGATCCTGCATGGCAGCCATGAAGACACCAGCGCCGCACTAGAAGAGGAGTTAGTCATCTGTAAGAAATGGCAGAGTGAAAGATGGTGCTTACAGTGTCGCTGGGGCACTCGCGTCGAAGTCGCTCGATCTTGCCATCAGAGTCGACCTTGTAGTACTTGAGAACAGCCAGCTTGGTCTTCTTGCGCTTGTGCTTGATCTTCTTGGGGGTGGTGTAGACCTTCTTCTTGCGCTTCTTGGCCATACCACCACGGAGGCGGAGGACCAGGTGGAGAGTGGACTCCTTCTGGATGTTGTAGTCGCTCAGGGTGCGGCCATCCTCGAGCTGCTTACCAGCAAAGATAAGTCGCTGCTGGTCCGGGGGAATGCCCTCCTTGTCCTGAATCTTGGACTTGACGTTGTCAATGGTGTCGGAAGACTCCACCTCAAGGGTGATCGTCTTCCCCGTGAGGGTCTTGACGAAAATCTGCATGATGCCTAACTGAGAAGGTTAGATTCCTGATCCAAGAGTGTATTTGCGAAGCATGCGCCAGTGTCGTGGGGGCTTCTCTCGTGTGCCGTTCTCGAGTTTTCGAAGATGAACTGACGAGGCTCAAAGTCGAAGCGTCGAGTATGCGCGCGGAGGAGGGGGGAATTGCGATCGTAGAAAACAAAGGGCAATTCTCAAGTGAAAGGCAGTGAAGCCCTCACGACAGAGACGGGTATTTGCAGCATCTTTCAGACGTACCTCGACAATAAAGCTATTGCCTTCCTAAGCAATCCTCAGATGGTGCGAATGGGTTGAAGAAGACCTTTTGGCGGAGGTGGCGCCCGCTCAGAAATTCACAACCACTGAAAAGTGGGATCACATGACCTAGGGTTCTCGCTGAGCCAGGCCCTTGCCCCTCGCTGCAGTGCGGTGGGGTCCAGTTGAGCTCTGAATTCTACTTGCCCTAGAGCCCACCAACCTCCGAAAAGTGGACTGCAGTGAGCGTCGAGCATCCTTTCGCCAAACGCACATTTTAGTGAGTCTCTTCTCTTCTTCTTCCCTTTCCTTTCTTCACTTGCGTGACCTGAATTAACCCCAGCAGCAACCGTCAAGATGGTCAAGAAGAGAAAGAACAAGTACGACTCCCCCTCCTCCAGCCAGCCCGCCTCCAATCGCCTCGCATACTGTCGCCGACGAAGTCTCTCTCGACGAGCGAACGCCACGTCGCGATGATATTCGACGACGATTGAACGGCTCTGGCACCTGCGCATCTGAACTCCAGTGCTAACAAGCTTTCCAGCGGCCGAAACAAGAAGGGCCGAGGCCACGTCAAGCCCATCCGATGCAGCAACTGCTCGCGATGCACTCCCAAGGATAAGGCTATCAAGAGATTCACCATCCGCAACATGGTTGAGTCTGCTGCTATCCGTACGTTTTACCTCCACACTTCTGATACTCGTTCCGAACAACCGCTTACAATCCCTTAGGTGACATCTCCGATGCCTCCGTCTTCGCGGAGTACACCGTCCCCAAGATGTACCTGAAGCTGCAGTACTGTGTCTCTTGCGCCATTCACGGCAAGATTGTCCGGTACGTTGTCCTCCCCAGGAGTGTGACGACTGCGCCATGGTTGCGTATGTGCTTCAGATGAGCCTTGGTTGTACCATATGCCTTTGAAACCCGTCCAGCCTGCCCCAGCGCAGCCGTTCGCACTCCGGTACGTCTTTGACCTGTTCCGAATGCTGACCATGATATAATAGTGTCCGATCCGTTGTCGGCCGCCGCAACCGTGCCCCTCCTCCTCGCGTCCGCTACAACAAGGACGGCAAGAAGATTGTCCCCACTGCCCCTAAGGTCTAGATGGGTTGATGTTTGGGATGGAGTCCGGTTATGATAGCAACATTCAAAAAATGGATGGGATGAATACCTTTGGGATCATGAGTCTAAGAAATTCCAAAATTCAATCGGACGACGTTTGATGTCTCCACGTCTTTGACGAACATTATATGGTTCCTGTAACTTTCCTCGCTTGATATGTGGTTCTAGTGTTCCTAGTGACGTATGATTGCTTGCGATTGAGATCGTTGCATGTCGCCCCGCGTCGAGAGTCCTCGTAAATAGGGCTGTGCATCGATCAGTACCATCGTGAGCAGTCTTGCTCCACACCAATTGTTCATAAGATAGGTGACTTCACAATGTACTGGAGCCTTGTATACTCTTTTGCATGACCTGAAAGCATTGTTAATGTTCAGGCTTGCATGTACCGTTCAATTGCTTTTTTGCTAAACCTCATGTGTAGAGTTTTGCAATTCAACATGAAATGGAAAGTTATCACAACTTCGTAACTCACAAACAGCATTTGCAAAGAAAGCGGATCATAAGCTATGATGTTCTTTTATAAAGAGAAAGAAAAATACGTGTATTACTTAGTGAATATTGTAGCACGTCAATCGCCAATGCATGATGCTCTTCGCCATTACCGTCTCTTGTAATTTACACCCAATCTACCCTAGAACACCCCATCAAACTGCACCAAATCAGTGCCATTCTCCGAACAAGTATACGCATCGACACAAACTCCCCCACCACAACAACTTTCTGTCAAGCACAAATATCCATCACTGCAATCCCCATCAGCCTCACAGCTTCCAGCGTAATTCCCGCACTCAGTCCACTCAAACGCGATGCCTACACCCCCAGCACTCTTACCGCAAACACACCCTGTGCCTGGGATGATAGCTTCACGTGGATAGGCGCATTCAGAACCTTCACCTTCTGCGACGCTGCCGTTAGGACAACATGCGATCCGTGAAGAGTCTTGCACGGTGATGTTGTAAGGCCGTGTTGATTCTGGCGCCCAGTTGAGGGTGGTTAGGGCGGGGATATGAGATGCGCCAGCGATGAGAGTGAGGTTGAGAGGAATCTCGCCTTCGTGGAGGGATTGGCAGATGTCATTCTCAAAACTTCGGTGAGCGTTGTACACGTCTATGTACTCCTCCAAAGAGCCTGTGGAAGACTCTGTGCTCTTGGAGAAGAATGCACCCAGAGCTTGCCAAAGCTGCGTATACGCGATGACAGCTTCGTCTGCTTCTCGTTTTGCCCTGTCGGTGGACAAACCCTGGTTGGTGAGGTCCTTGCGAAGTTCCGATGGATCAACAATATCCTTCCCCGATTCTTCAAGGGTGGTAACAACGGTAGACAGATCCGGACATGAACCCCCAAACGGATCTATTGTAATGAAGTCGATGATGCTGTTTTTGATAGCCCACTGACATTTCAAAGATCCAGATTGAGACCCAGGAAACGTGCAGTCAAAGTCCCATTGCCCCGTTTCTCCATCAACAGCGACATCTGCGCAGACTGTGTCGCCTACGAGAAGCTGAGGATACTGTCTGAGCGACCTGTCAACGACGCTACCACATTGATCATGCAGGTACAAAACCTGGCGAAAGTTCAGATCGTCGGCACGCCTTTTGATAGCGGCGCATTGTACACCAGCCAGGTCGGCTATCTGCTCGTACATGTCGTCAATCGTGATGGATATGTCGTACGTGCAGTTACTTCCCGAGAAGTGAATACCTTTTGCGTCAAGTGTTACCAAGTATCCAGCAGGATCAACCACTGAAATCTGTCCCCGCCGAGAGATGTCAACGAAGTACATTCCTCCCGCTTCATCGCGGACGGTTATGTAGAGTGGATAAACACCATCACCCTCAAACTCGACAGACTCAATGTACGGTATGGGGATTGAGACATTGTCCTCGCGAAGTCTGGCGTTATACAGTAACGCCCGGCGGGTTGGGCCACCATCTGGGTCGCTTGTCAGAGAATGGCATGTCTCTTCCGAGAGAGCTGCGGTACGTGTAACATGCGTGAAGTTGGCAGCAGGGAACTCGGGAATGCCAGTCGTCGTAGCGTTACCGCCAGATGCAGAGCCGTTAGAGACGCTACCGGATGTTGAAGCCGTGGCCACAGGACTCGAGAAGGATGTAACAGACCCAGTGTTCCCTGGCGTAGAACTTGTGGTGTTACTACCAGGGACAATGGTCCCGCTTTCAACACTGCTGGAAACTTCCCATGAGTCTGTTGGGAATGGTAGACTCGGGAGGGGTACAGGGATTTGTGAGGTTGGTACACTGATTGTTGGTACAGACACAACGCCTGAGATGGATGATGTGAGGTTCCAACCGAGATCTCCGCTCTGGGTGGTACTGGGAAGGACCCCGGAGTCTGTTGGAAGAGACACAACAGGTCCGGACTCGAGTGAGCTGGTAGTCGGCTTAGAGCCAGGACCTCCTGATCCACCAGTTGTAGTATTTCGATTCGGCACAACGCTTCCGCTTCCAGTCGAGCTCGACGTTGACCCAGGCACTGTCGGCAAAGAGACACTGGGGAGAGAACCTGTTGTGAAAGGTCCTGACGTTCTAGTCTGTGAGAGACTGATTGTCGGAACAGAAACGTTACCTCCTGTCGGGAAAGCAGTACCATTCAGGCCCGGCACACCACTACTACCTCCCGCTGAACTTGTCAAGTTCCCAGAATTGGTAGACAGTGATTCGGTCGGTAGTGGTAGTGTTGGGAACGGTACAAAACTACCAGTTCGAGATATGCTGATGGTCGGTATAGAGAGATTCCTGCTCTGGGAAGAGGCAGTACCGTTCAGACCTGGGAATTGATTACCACTCGTTTGAGAGCCTGTGGTAATGGACTCGCTCGGGAAAGGTAGAGTCGGAAACGGTACGAAAGTGCTAGTCCTGGATATACTGATCGTTGGTATCGACAGATTCCCACCTAGAGCAGAGGTAGTGCTGTTCCAACTGGAGGGCACGCTTCTACTGGCTCCAGAGTCTGTTGTAAGGGACTCAGTTGGGAGTGGTAGACCCGGGATGGGGGCAGAAGTTTCGGTCAGGGGTATGCTGATCGTTGGGACTGATGCGTTACCCCCAGAAGGCAAAGAAGTACTATTCCAGGTCGGAGCGAAGCTACCACTCGAGGTTGCCTCTAAAGATGATTGACTCGGCGATGACAAAGTCGGAAACGGCACAAATGACCCACGGGATACACTGATGGTCGGTATCGAGTCATTGCCCCTCGATGCAGAGGTAGTACCATTGATACCAGGGACCACACTCCCAACCGAAGAGACCTCAGAACCTGTAGAGACAGAGATCGTAGGGAACGGCACAGTTGGGAAAGGCACAAAACTCCCTGTCCCAGAGATACTGATGCTCGGGATGGTCAGACTTGAGTTCCACCTTGTGAAAGTTGAGCCGGTTGGACGTGTGCCACTATCCGAAGCATTCGAAGTCGAGTTTCCAGGAATAGGCCTCGGTAGCGAGCCGCCCGTGGTGCTGGAATGCGTCATTGCAGGTTCGTGAGTATCTGACGGTTGTGATGTTGCTCCTATGCTGGATTGGAGAGTTTGGGACTGGTTACCAGATCCGGTGAATGATAAGCTAGGCTGTGTGCTGGAGGTTTGATTCTGAATGCGTGAGGTTGATGTCGAAACGGGACCGCGAGTATCCGAAGGCTCACCAGAGGTGGTAAAGTTCCATGAATTCCTAGACCCCGTTGAGCCCTGACTGAGTGTTTCCGTAGCAGATATACTGGTGTTGGTATACGGGCTCGTCCTTGGAGTATCTCCTGTTGTTTCTCCGGCAGAAGCCGAAGTTGATCGAGTCCCATTCCCACGTCCAGATGTCGTTGATTTGACTCCAGTCGTTGAAGTCTCGGTATATCTCCCAGAGCCGGGTTGTCCCACTGACGCCGACGTCTCTATATCCATACTCTGCGAGTCCGAGTACTCAATCGTAACTGAGCTTTCCCGCGCCGTCGTTCGGGACGAGTTGCTCGACGAAGTCATAGCATCCGTAGTAAGAATACACTCGCACTATATCACATAAGTCTCTCTCCACAACACCTCAAAGAGCCGCTCACATAGGATGCTATCCGCGTTTGATTATACCTCACATACTCAGCAGGCGTGCTGTACCCAGCACCGCAGTGGTTCCCTTCCAGAACACTCGAGCAGAAGCCGCCGCCATCTTCAATGAGAGAGGTATATAGTGCATCGCGGGGACAAGCAGTTGTCTCATTCCAGTTGGCGGGGAACGCAGCGGCGAGGTGAACAACGAGGGCGAGTAGCATCCACATGATGCTGGCTTAAAACGAGTGTATTGAAAATGATGAGTGAAAGATAGCGATATCTGACGGGATTGTTTGGGAGTTACTTATAGGATGTACAGATGCAGCTGTCTCTTTACGAGGCCAGGTCTTCTTCATCGTAGGCCTCGCAAGAAAGACCATACACGAGGCCGCCCATTCTCTGAAGACCCCAGAATCTGAACGGATGCTCGAGACTGGTTCCAACACCAAAGACAGAGCAGAATCTGCCGAGACACGACATCCCTGACATCCAAGACTCACATGCAGAGCCGAGAAAAATCGGCACTTCTGACGTCCCACAGCATGCGCATCTGCCAAATCGAGCCGGGTATCTGCATCGTGTCAAAGAGACACCATGGACTCGCGAGAAACTGGACCAGAAACGAGCGATCCTTAATGTCCCAGGTCCAGGTCTAGACGCGCTCAGTGACACGGGAGCTGGGGGTTCTTGGATCGTGGGACGCGAGTGTGATACAAGTGGCGGTCTTGGGAGGACGGCTTCAGGTTGAGTCTTGTTGACCTGTGGTTGACGGGTGATGATGGCTTGATCACGGAGGAGGAATTGGCGAGGGGCTTAGTCTGGGAGTGTTAGTTGATCTTTAGTATTAGGGAAATCGGCGTTTGTAGAGGAGATGCAAGTGAGAAATCGTATCGACAAAGACCAAACATGTGGATACAATCATAAATCTAACCTCCATCCATATTTTAATCATCAAGGTATCCGCAGCCAAACCAACCCAATTCCATATTCATCATCATCGTCATATACAACAAGTATCTTATTCACCACCCTCATCACCGAAACGGCAAGCTCGTCGTATTAACACCCGTCTGGGTCTTCTGCTGCTGCTGTTGCCCTTGCGGTCTCACGATAAAGTCCTTGTTCTCAATCGTCACACTCTTGGTCATATGATTGACCTTGTACACGCCAACCAGCCGCGCCGCGAGCTCAAACATGTTGTTGCGCAGCGAGATGACGATGAACTGGGCGTTCTTGGTGCGCTCCTTGATGTAGTTGGCAACGATCGAGACCTGCGTACCATGTTAGTCAGAGTCAGAATACGAACGATGAAGGGTTCGATGTGGAATGCCCACGCGAGAGTGAACACTGGTGGTCGAATCGCAGCCGAGTGTCTTAGGGCGAGGGTGGTACTTACGTTTCTGAAATCCAACGCGGCATCGATCTCGTCCATGACATACAGAGGAGTCGGCTTGTAGTGGTGCAAGGCGAAAACGAGAGCCAGGCTGCTCAGCGTCTTTTCACCACCAGAAAGGTTGCTGATGTTCTTCCAACTCTTCTTTGGTGGCATGACACTGAACAAGATGCCTTCGCTGAAGGGATCCAGACTGTCGACAAGTTCTAGTTCTGCGTTTCCTCCCATAGTGATCATTTGATACATCTCCTTGAGTCGGAGGGAGATGGCACTGAAGCCTTCCATAAAGCCTTCCAATCGTAGACGGCGTAGGTCGTCGCATCGCTTCTTAGCAGAATCTCGCTGTTCGATGGCAGTCTGGAGATCTGAAGATCGAGCCAAGTGCTCCTCCACTCTCCTTCGGTACTCGGAAAGGACGCCGAGGTCAACGTTGACGTTTTGAGTCTTCTCCTCTAGAGCTGCGATCTCGCCCTTGAGTGTTCTCTCATTCATGTCGGCAAGCTCATCAGGTGTATATCTTGGTATCTCGTTGGGCTGTGCGCTGGTTGTATCTCCTTCTGCTTCCTCGTCCTCTTCCTCCCCATCTTCCTCAGGAGCATCTGTCATGTCTACATCGTCTTGAGGAGCATCCTCCATGTCGATATCTCCATCATCACCTGCTTCAGACTTGGGTTGCGACTGGGGCTTTGGTTGGCTGCTGGATGAAGCTCCAATAAGGTCGTCGATGTTCTGCAGAACAATCTTGGACAACTTGTCGTTCCAATGACGGAGTCGAGCTTGGTTCTCAGTAAGGGCCTTCTGGTTTTCTTCGAGTTTGTTGCGCATCTCGATTTCGACCGCCCTTGTCTCGTTGAGTTCTGCTGCCTTCTCATCGAGCTCACCCTTAAGTGCCCTGAGCTCCTTCTTCTTGGAGGCCAGCCCTTCTTGAGCTTCCTCGACTTGAGCTTGAAGCTCCTCAGCTGTCTCGCCTTGGTTGTTGATGTCGTTTTCAAGCTTCTCAAGATCCCGCGAAGCAGTTGTCAGCTCCTTGGATGACTTGGCATGGTCCTTCTCGAGCTTGATCTTCTGCTTCTCTGCTTTGACCTTGCGGACCTCGTTGTTGGAGATTTCCTCGTTGTTGGAAGCGATTTCCTCTTTGATGGAATCAACCTTGGCCCTTTGTGCACGAAGCTTCTCACCTCCCACTTCCATGATCTTGTCTTGCAGAGCCTTGATCTCATCCTCTACGCTGGACGTCTCTTCGCGGAGCTTCTCGACCTCCCTGTTGTATTTGGCGATCTCCTTCTGAAGAGCAGCAATGCGGCTATTGTCAGTTGCTGAAGGTTGATGCTCCTTGCTAAGTTCCTTGATGCGTCGTTGCATGTCAGCAATGTTCCTCTCCGCACTCTCAATCTCTAGGCCAATCTTCTGCATCTTGGTGTCAAGCTGAGGAATCTGCTCATTCAACTCCTTCAGGCGAGTCTCACACTCCCGCTGGTACTCTTGGAATTCCTGGAACTTGGCCTCCCAGCCATCACGGTCGGTCTCGAACTTCGCGACCTGCTCCTTGCTGACATCCGAGACAAGCTTAGAAGACATGAGGCCTCTCTTGACGGTTGTACCACCACCAGACATAGTACCAGACTTGTCAATGAGCTCACCGTCAAGGGTGACGACTCGCCATCGCTTAGCGCCGTATGCAATTCTGTTGGCTTGAGCGAGGTCGGAGGCGACAAGAGTATCTTGCATGGCGTGGTAAAAGGCGGATCGGAATTTGTCGTCCTGTGCGGTGACGAGGTCGAATAATCGAGGGGCGTTCTCCGGAGTCTTGATTGGTGACATGTCTCGACTCCTGAGCTTGTCCAAGCAGATAAAGTTACCTCGTCCAACATTGTTCTTTCGAAGATACTCGATGCACTGCTGACCAGCTTCGACAGTCGCAGTAACAAAGTTGTCTAGGGAACCACACGCTGTCGAGATGGCTACATCGTACTTCTGATCAATCGTACCAAGGTTGCCCAGACGGCCGTGGAAACCATCAATTCGACCAGACTCCTTCATGCGCATCAAAGCAGAAAGCACGTTTCCTCTGGCTTGTGTGTTAGACAAACTTGAGCGAGCCTCGTCGGCCTTTTGGCGTGCGTTTGAGATCTTTGAGCGAATCTTGGGCTCTTGTCCAGCGAGCACCTCGAGTTCCGACTTCATCTTGTCAGCCTCACTGAGAAGTTCAGCCTTTTCAGCCTGGCAAGACTTGAGCTCCTTCCGTTTCGCAGATTTTCCTTCCTCGATGGAGGCGATCTTGGTCTCAAGCTCCTCCAGGGCCACAGCACCAGCATTGGCCTTCTCTTGGAGAATGTTAAGTTCACTCTCAGCGACTGCGACTGCGGATTGTTTTTGGTTGATCTTCTCATTCCATGGCTCGAGGGACTTTTGCTTGGCAGCAATCTGGTCAGAGAAGGCTTGAGTCTTGCCCTTGAGGCTATCTCTGATCTTGGTGAGCTCAGCTTCGGCAGTCTGGACCTGTTCCTCGAGCTCTGCAATCTCCTGAGTTCGGGTCTCAATCTCCTCTCCACACTGTTCGATGGTCTCGTCGGCTTCAGCAGAAGTCGTTTCGGCGTTGGCGATGGTCTTCTCGAGCTTCTTACGCTTGTCGTCCAAGAACTTGCGCTTTTCGTCGAATTTCACGCGCTCCTGCTCAAATTTGGCCATCTCCTTGACCAAAGCTTGTGTTGACTTCTCTTGCGCCTCAAACTCCTTGGCACCTGTGGCATACTCCTTCTCAAGGGTCTTGATGATCTGCTCACCTCCGTGGTGCTTCTCAAGCTCAAGGTCCAATTGTGCTTGCATCTGGGCAATGGCCTCCTCTGTGACGTCAACGTTCTCACTACACTTGTGAATGAACAACTGGTAGAGAGCAGATTGCTTCAGAGCCAGCTCATTTTCGTCACGGATGAAAGCGATCGCCTTGTCCTTCTTGTCTTCGAGACTATTCTTTTCCTTCTCAACATGCTGAACTCGGCCGCTCTTTTCCATGCAAATATCGTTGAGAGTTTCCACCTCAGTGGCGGATTCTTCAATCGGGGCCTTGTATTTAGAGGTTCCGATGATATCTTCCAGATATTCTAGCAGACCGTCTTCGTGCTCGTTTCCGGCCTTGGCCTTCATCTGAGCAATGGACTCAACCTCGCCCTGAAGAATCAGGAATCGCTTGTGGTCAAGATCGACGCCCCGATCGCGAAGCAGAGTTGTAACTGTTGTGAAGTTGGATTCTTTTCCGTTGATGTAGTATTTGCTCGAGTTGTTCTTGAAGGCTTTTCGGGAGATAACAAGCTCAGATTTAGGGATGATTTCATGACCACCGCCAGGCTGAAACTGTTAGTTTGAACTCGCCTTCTGATAGTAGATTACTCACCTGGTCCATAACCTCCTGAAAATAGACTGCAACCTCGCAATGGTCCAAGTTTGGATGCTGAGCTGAGTTGTGAATGAGAGCAGAAATCTTGCCCTGTCGCATCTTACTAGCTCTGAAACCAAATACGAAGAGCAGCGAGTCGATAACGTTCGACTTGCCAGAACCGTTGGGCCCTACAACGGACGAGAAGGATGCGTGGAAGGGGCCGACTTCCTGTCTGCCAGCGTAACTCTTGAAGTTGTTGAGTACGAGATGTGTCAGAACGATTCGAGACTTGGGTGTTGTATCTTCGACAACGGGTATAGCCATCGTTCGTGATTTAAGCACAATATCCATAGGTCTCTCCATGATGGTGTCCATAGGCTTGATCGGCTTGATAGTCGCTTGGGTTTCGTCGACACCGGATGTATTCATACTTGCATCAGTTATATCGGCCAATACAGCCGCAGTTGGCTTTTGAGAAGACTCTGGAACCTTTGGAGACTTTGGAGACTTTGGCTGGGGTGTTGGAGGGGCAAGCTCGGGAACTGAAGCAATGGAGCTTCGAGCTACGCTCTTGCGCTGGCGAGGGGTGGATTTTGCCGGGGACTCATACTCGGTCTTAACTGTTGTGTCGGCGTCGAAAATCTCACTTGACTCGGCAGAGGCGGAGGGAGCAGCAGCCTTTTTCGGACGGCCTCGTGCTTTAGGGGCTGCAGCAGGAGTAGGAGCAGGGGTTGTTGACTTGCGTCCGCTGCGAGTCTGTCGTCGAGGAGCTGGCTTCTGTTCAGGCTCGAAGTCCTCCTCTTCGTCTGGGTTTCTGGTGCGGTTGGAAACATCGTCCTCATCGTCGGAATCGATAATGGCGGTGCGCCTGGTTGTGCGCCGGGGCCTAACAGGGGATGACATTGTGAAGGATTGCTCTTGTCACAGACGAGAGTAAATGCGAAGGAGTGTATGCAAACAAAGATTATTACAAACAAACGACAACCTTACCGGGTTATCTAAGTTGGCGACCGAGTTGTGGTGTCGAGGGAAGCTGTACAAAGGACTGGTTACGCCCCGCGTTTGTTTAGAAATGTCCAAATCGGCGGCCATGTAAACAACACAGTACGTACCAATACAGGCCGCGGGGCGGCTCAGTTTCACGTGACTGCGCGCCAGGATCTTTTTAGCACTTGGCCCGTTTCGCGATAGCTCCTTGACGGACTTGAAGCTCTTGAGCTATTGTATCAAAACATTGCTTGCGCCGCAACGCTGTTTAGTCTGTCGTCTTTACTACAGTATATATCACACCATGTTCGACTACGCTAACTTCCACGATGTATTCCCTGAGGGGATTGCAAATCCCTACGACCGCGATACCCAACGGGAGACCGAGGCTTCTCGCAAAAACTTTGATAGCGCTCTCTTTATTGACCGTGTTTTGAGGGCAGTTGGTATCACAAAAGGTATGCTTTCTCCTGCTAGATGATCGCGACTGTACTGATATTGAGTCTGCAGCCAAGATGTATCCTCCCAAGACCGACAATGCCTTGAAGCAGTTGCACCAGCAGGTTTGCGAAGCCGGCATGTCGACCCATCACAAGTTTTCCATCTTCTACTACATTCTCCTCGATTTCGACCGAACATCAGGTCGCGATAACGTTTCGGACGCATTTGTGGATGCATCTGGTATGCCTAAGAAGTACCAGATCTTCATCAAGGGCCTGTGGTATCTGGACCACCAGGATTTCTCAGTACGTTTTGCGCTTGCTCTTGACGATACAAAGACTGACAAAGTTTATCTACAGCGCGCGTTGGAGTACATCTGCCACCCCTCTCTTATCCCCGACTTTGCCGACGACATTATCACTGTGCTTGTGCGCTCTGCGTCGGACCATGATTACAGCATTGCGTTGTCATACTTCCACGCCGTGCAGCCCATTCTCAAAACTTCTGCAGCCCTTGGGCTCCTTTTCGATGCGATGGCGCACACGAACATCTCAGAAGCTCTTTTCTACTCCCGAACATACCCTCCTCATACTCGTGAGCTGCTCTTCAACCGATTAATTGCTGCGGTTTTGGATGGCGGAAGTGAAGACTATTCAGAGCGAGCTACACAACTCGCCTTCTTGCCCTTTGACAAATCTGAGGAGAAGTGGTTCGAAGAGTACCTACTAAACGGCAATGGAAAGAACCACAAGAAGGCCAAGGATACTCTTGTCATCCGCAAGATTGCTTGCGACCAGTTCGCGGAAGTGTCGAAGATTCGACATGGTGGTCAGTGGGCAGGAATTCTTGAAGGAATCAAGGGTGGAATCAGTGGACACTCGGAATAGAGTCGGCGATTTGAGGATCTAGAGGTCATGGATAGCTGTGCATAGCGTAGGCGTTAACTTGGTATTTCTATATTAATCCTCAGGCTGAAGAATGAACATTCGCGATTTGGAACTGGACTTTTCTGTTGGCTTTTTCCAGAATCCATACTAGTATTTGTCTGCGTCTAAAATGGCCGAAAGGATAGCAGAGATAACGATTATTGCGTACCCATCATCCCTGAAATAGTAGTTTTCTCGACAAACCATACCTGAGCTAAAACGAGCGTTTCTAGAACGTGAAATATGGTAAAAAGGTTACGAAAGCAAAGGCGGTTGAATTGCAGGTGCGCCACCGGGAACTAGACGGGTTTAGCAGTTACCCATTGAAAGGAATGTAAGATCCTCTGCAAGGTTTTGACTGTGGAACTTGAGATAAACTGTGTGGAACTTGGTAACATTGGGATTCAAATTAGAAAGATTGGCTTTTTGCAAGCATTGATACCATGTCCATGACGGTCAAGACGTTGAGGGAGGGAGGATGATGCGAGCAACGTCTATGATCCGTTCTCCCAAAAGGTTATTTCACGCGTGGGATTTAGAGTTCAGAAGTTTTGAACCGGTCTATTTCCACGGCAATGGTTCAATTTTGATGAAATTTCTCTGTCCGTACTATCCGTTGATTACGAATGCATGGCTTCTTGATCAATGCCTCGGTCACTGCAGAATATGGAATTGCTGTTGGTAGTCATAGCGCATGTCGCGGCCTGAGATCCATTTTATTTAACGGTCCGAATACAAAGCTTGGCTCTATCAAGCTGGCAGGTCCGCAATTCAAGATAAGGCTACAATGGGCCTCGACCCCTAATCGCAAGAGACGCATGCCCCATATCATGAATTGGTTCAGAATGAGTGATATCTGTTTTGTCGCGTGGTCGCTGCTAAAAATGCAGGCACCGCCAAGGCCTGGATTGAGCTATTATCCCACACATCTTCATGCACTGCGGTTCAGATTATCATTGGATTGATTAGGACCTGAAGCTGACTACGCCCGAATAGGTAGGTTGATTGATGTTTCTTCGAATCCCTTGGAAGAAGCTGAGAAGCAAGGCGCTGGGCGATCAATGCGTGACATGCATTTGACAGCGGTACCAGAAGTGGCAGCTCAAATGTCAGACGAGGACGCAGTTGCAGGGCCATGTTTAGCATGTCTGACAGACCAGAACTGCCGCGGTCCGCAGTGGAAGATTTGGAGGAGATTTGCCACTATGATCACCATGTCAAGTCTCCAAAACAAGACTCTAGATAATGATCGACTTACAAAGCACCTGACCGGGCCTAATCACCTCGCCGAGCGTTTCTTCAGTGGGACCCGAATACCGGGGCCAAGGACGTCCCCAGGACGAACATCGTTACAGAGCCTTGAGGCATCACCTCCCCCCATGGGGGGCGCCAGGGGCGTTAATAGCGCAGAATTTTTCTCTCCTAGCCCGTTTTGCAGCTCGACCGTTGGCTCTTTTCGACGATAGCCCGTTTTTCATCGGGGTTTCGAGTGGTCTGGGGAAGAAGGAAAACACTCGACCACCCCAGGGCGAGTCACCACACTCAGACTGCCCCGTTCTCTTTAATACTTCTCCATTTCTCTTCTGCTTCTGGGGCTCTAGTTTCCGCAATTTATCATACGCTCTGCGGGGGACCCATCTGTGCCTTGTGTGTCCCAGCAATACTTCCAACCATGCATCATGAGGGATGACACCCCCAATATCATTGCTGCGGCTGCCATAACCCTTCCGCTCGCGACCTTGGCACTCGTAGCTCGACTTTTTGCGCGGAAAATAACAAAGGCTGGATATGGCTCCGATGACGCCTTTGCCGTTGTTGGCTGGGTATGTCTCACTCTCTATGTCACTTACAGATAGCATCTCTAACATTGTTCAAGCTGGGATCATTGGCCTTGTTGACGAATGGAATGATTTGGATCAAGGATGGACTTGGAAAACCCATGGAGGTTGGACTTACCGACGACTTCACCTTTCAAGACAAGAACCGCCTGGCTTGGATCCATTTGTGGACGACGAGCTTTACTTACACGTTCGCCATCGCATTCTCGAAATTCGCCGTCCTCGCCTTTTACTGGCGCCTCTTTCAATTCTCCGACATCAGAATACCCATCCAAGTCCTCTCATGTGTCACGGTTTCGTGGTTCCTATTACGATTGTTCATGGTAACACTGCAATGCCTGCCAATCACAGTAATGTGGGACGGAACGCAAGAAGAGAAGCACGCAAAATGCCATATCCGCGAATCGACCTTTTTCTTCTCGACTGTCCTGACGCATGTTTTGATCGACTGCGCCATTCTCATTCTCCCGGCCATTGAAGTTGGCAAGCTTCATCTTCCAAAAGGCCAGAAATTTGCTGTCATTGCGCTGTTTGCGTTTGGCGCCATGACCTGTCTCGCCTCCATCTTCGTCCTCATCGAGTCGTTCAAGTTCAAGTCGGATTCTAAGGAAATGACGATACAAATGGGTCTTCACTATGCTTGGTCGATCGCCGAGTGCAACTTTGCTGTAATTGCTGGTATGTTTTACTCGTTCGATACACCCGAGCATGCGCTAATCGATGAATAGCTTGCCTTCCAATGCTTCGACCTGTCGCTCGTAAAGTCCTGCCAGGATCATTCCTCACCTCGGAAAGCGGCGGCCGATCGACTCAGTTCAGCGCCCCGTTCAATGTCCCATTCAGCAATGGCATCCGACTCACAGGCGTATCCAAGACGAGATCCCGCGAGAACGACGGAGGTAGCTCAACGCACGAACTGTCAACAGGCCCGCCAGATATATACGACATGGCTGAATGGCCACACGGAACGCAAAATGAGATATCAAGTCCGTTCAGGAAATACACGTCCGCCAAGGACTATGAAGCTAGCGAAACGGTTGGTCGCATAGATGAAGAGAGAGGCATTTCCGCACAACGGCGTGACGATAGCGTATGAACAGGGCGGCGACCCTCGGCCTGGCGTTTGGATATCACATCAGCATGACTGATTACTTTACCTTAGATACCACTGGACAAAATCCAACCCAACTGCTAATATTTCAAATAATGGTGCCAGTTGACTTGCCCTTAATGCGAAAGCCATTTCTGACCTCATTGCCTTAACGCGCCAAGGAATTTGGGTTCTGTACCATCACAACGGTACCGGCCCGCCAGCCTCACCCTTCCCTGCATTCCAGCTGTAGTTCAGGTGTAGACGGCACTTCCCAGACCCAGCCCTGTGGAAAGGTGAGGCACCAAAGGAGTTAAATATTACAGACCCATATCTGCATGCCTAAGGCGCAAACTGCAGATGAAGTGTCACAATTCACTATGCCGAACATTGCCGCAGCTTAATGCTCACCTTGACCTAGCTAACTCACCTTGCTCCACAAAGTACGGAGCTCACGATCCCAAATGAGCAGTTTTGAGAATTGCGCATCTATTTTGGTATTGGCTTGTCGGCGTTGAGACTGTTAAGCCGATGAAACCTGTAGAGGTTACGGATTGGATATGGGCTGCGCTGAATTGCTGAGGGAATCACGAACTTCGCCGTCGGTCTTCAATATCCGGTAGTGGTTTCGGGTCTTTTCGACTGGGCCTAGGCTGGCTGGAAGTTTGCGGAAAGAGCCCGGCTACTCACCTGGAGCTACCGAGCCCCGTGCAGTTCCAAGGTGAGCTGATTGAAGGTGAAGTGCTCATTTAGATCTCATCAGTGAGTTTAAGTGACGTATCGCGAAAAAGCTTCCCAATGGCTTTGGGCTTCAAATACTGCACAACATCAATATTAGACATGTAAATTGTCTCTACAGTCAAATAACAGTATCCTTTTAAATAACATTTATGATAGCCCATGTAAATACTAGCACACCCCTTATAGCCCGTGTAAACACATCTCTAAAGGTACTGTAAGTCCGTGTGTCCAGAGGCTCGGCCCGCTTAATTCAGAACCGAACTTATTTTCGTTCCCCACGATCGATCTCCAATCTTCCACCTCTTCCAGTTACTACGTCAACCACCTCCCGCCAACCCTCACGATGGCTTCCTTTATGCGCATGAAGGCTGCTACAGGCTTCTCCGGCCTATCACGAGCCGCCATCCGAGTCCAGCCCATCAGCGCCCTCTCCCACAGCGCAATCCTCTGCCAGCGCGGCGCCGTCGACCCCCAGCGTCGTCTGTTCAGCAACTCCGGCTTCCTCAATGGCTCCTATATCGTCTCCGTGCCCCCGATGGCCGAGTCCATCACCGAAGGAACATTATCCAGCTTGGCCAAGAAGGTTGGCGAGCAGGTCGAGCAGGATGAGGAGATTGCTAGCATCGAGACCGACAAGATCGACGTCCTTGTGAACGCCAATGAGCCCGGCTCTATTGCCGAGTACTTTGTTGAGGAGGGCGATACCGTTGTCGTCGGACAGGATCTTGCGCGTATCGTGACGGGTGAAGATGCTGGCTCTGCCAAGAAGAGCGAGGGAGAGGAGCAAAAACCAGCCAAGGAGGAGCCCAAGAAGGAGGAGTCAAAGCCCGATGAACAACCCGCCAAGTCCGAGGAGAAGCAATCTGCTCCTGCTCAGGAGGCCTCCAAGCCCTCAAAGCCTGCTGAGTCGAAGCCTGCTCCCAAGGAGTCCAAGCCTACACCTCCCCCTAAGAGCGCCTCAAGCGGTCCTGGTCGAGGCGAGAGAGTCGTAAGTATTCCCTAATTGCGACTGACATCCAATGCTAAACAGTTCTTCGTAGGAGAAAATGTCCCGCATGCGAAAGACCATCGCCGCACGACTCAAACAATCCCAAAACACCTGCGCCTCGCTCACCACCATCCAAGAAGTCGACATGTCCAACCTGATCGCATGGCGAGCCAAGTACAAGGAGGAGGTTGCTGAGGAGCACGGCGTGCGTCTGGGTTACATGGGTGCTTTCACAAAGGCTACCACCATGGCTGCCCAGAAGGTCCCCCAGATCAACGCCACCATCGATACCGAGAAGGAGATCATCACATACAAGGACTACGTCGATGTTAGCATCGCTGTTTCCGCCCCTAAGGGACTTGTCACCCCTGTGTTGAGGAACACACACGAGCTTAGCATTGTTGAGCTTGAGCGTGAGGTCGCTTCGGCTGCCAAGAAGGTAAGTCGGCTTGAGATGTGATGCAGGTTTGTCCAGGTGCTAACTACCTACGTACAGGCTCGTGACGGTAAGCTTACCATGGAGGACATGGAGGGCGGTAGCTTCTCCATCAGCAACCCCGGTATCTTCGGCTCCATGTTCGGAACTCCCGTCATCAACTACCCCCAAGCCGCTGTCTTCAACATGAACGGTATCCGACAGGAAGTTGTTGCTATCAACGGTGAGGTTGTTATTCGACCTGTAAGTCTCCCCAAACGCTTTGACAAGACGTTCTTAACTAACTTGCATAAGATGATGTACATCAGCTTGACCTACGACCACCGTCTCATTGATGGCAGAGAGGCTGTCACTTTCCTGAACACCGTCAAGAAGTACATCGAGGATCCTTCCCGCATGCTCCTTGCTTAAAGACCTGTAATGTAGAAGAGATTTCTTTGTATTCTAGCGCGAATTGGGTTTAGACGGGAAGAATTGTACATTGTTCATTGCTAAAGAGCTGAATACATGTGCGCTTGTGTAGAGTTGTACTTTGGCAGGCGTTTGAGTACATCTTCATATAAGATCTATATTGTACTTGTACTGCTGTAAAGTAGAATCTGCCCAGTCTCGCAATCTATTGTCACCCTGACAGTGTCTTCTGTACCGAGACGTATGTCAAGCTGTGATCTCACTCTTCATACAAACCGTCCCGTCCCTCTCTACCGAAACATCATATGCCTTTCTACCATCCGCATGGCGGGTTGCTGAAGTTCGAATATTGTATGTCTGGCCAGCATATAATGGCGACAATGCCCTGTACACTATATCTCGAGGTTTTTGGCCATTGCCATGTGTATCTCGCCAGTAGTCTAGTATATTGATGAGATTGAGGGGGCCATGCACAACTTCACCGGGATGGCCTTCAACATTCTGGGCCCAATCTTGGTTGTAGTGTATCATATGCCCATTAAATGTCAGGGCTGAGAATCTGAAGAGACCAACTGGTGACCAGCAAAGTTCTCTCATAGGGTGACCTAGTTTGTCAGTCGATGATTATTTATTGTGTAAGTAGGGTCGATTTCGGCGATTTGTTGGATACATTTGTTTAATCGTCAATGATTATGTCCTGGTCTGACACATACCTTCACTTTTGGTCTCAAGATCTCTTATGAAGGACGGCCCTCGGACGACATCTTCAAGAGACTTATTATGCGTCTCTTTCACAGTATCGGGGTCAATCTCGGGTCTAAACACCCACGACCGACGGTCCGTCAACGCCAACCCTTTCGGACCCCGGAATTTCTTCTCAACTTCCACCAGAACCATCTCTCCTGCTGATCGGCTCTTCTTTGGCGTCGCGCTTAGAAGTTCTGTCGTCTCCTCAACCTCATCGCCAACACGGAGCGATACGTCACTCTCCCAGGTCATCTTCCCGCCCGCCCACATCCTCCGTGTGAAAGGGGCGGAGGCATTGAATGTAGTATCACTTCCATCAGCACCAAGTTCCGCCTCGGTGCCGTTAGGTGTGAAGTACACCAGGTGATATCCTGGGGGCACAGGCGTCCCCTGGACGACGAGGCTGGGTCGGTTCAGCGTAAATACTAATTTTTCCAGCTGATTTGCGTCGATGAGTTGGCGACGGATGATAGACTTGCCGGAAAAAGTTTCCAGTAAGTGAGACGCTGCCTCGCTTGCTTTGAGCTTGTGAAGTTTGGAAGACATTGTGAGATGGTCAAGGTTGCAATTGTATAAGTGATATGCGGGGCTCGGTGGTTGGAGGAGGGGAAATCTTAAGACGCCCATGTAATTACAATACCGTAACCTAACGGCACGGAGATAGAAGTTCGCGCTGACAGAGGTGATGCAAAATTCAATACTTTCTTTCACTTGCACATGATTCTTGATCTAATATGATTTAATTTCTAATTGCGTAGGCTTTGAGTTGGGCTCACACGACCACAACGGAGAAGACACCTCAATATCAATACAACCACTACCCATTGAACTTTCTTGGCTTTAAGCAAATCTTTGTCAAACTTGTAAACAAGCAGTAAAACTGGTACAATTGAGAATAAGTGTTATCCTGAAGCATTAACAGCAAGTCACTGGATGAACGTTATTGTCTTCAATATGCTGGTTAAGACGTTCCAAAGTGGGTGCTCCACTCTCGGCAGGCGGTCAACTTCCGGCATCCAGGTAATCGACTTCCGACCAATCATGTCGTCTTCATTATTATTCCGCCGCTTTTCCCCAGAAACTTTTTGTGACCCATCTCCGAGGCCGGCTTCGAAGAAGAGAATGAAGCTATCCCCAAACTAAACCTCGCACGCTTATTTCCATTCGACATTGTCGCTTTCTCAGTCCAGAGTTAACTTTCTGGCATGGTCTTTGCTCTCGTTTCCGAATTTCGTGCTTCATAATGGTCGCCTTTGTATGTCTCAGCCTTCATGGTTCCTCCCACCCGCAGTGACTATTTTGAGGACTTGCATTCCATGCCCGCCCTCCCCATCAACTCCTAAGATCGTAGACTGATGCTTCTACTCTAGAGAAGAGCAATCGCTCTCAATGCCGTCGCTGTTGCGCGGCTACAATCCCGAGCCTTGACAGCCCGCTCTCGATCCCTCGCCATCGCCACATCCCAGTACCGCGCCTACACATCTGAGACTCCCCGACGACAATACGCTTTCCATTCCCAGCTCGAGAATGCTCCCAACCCTTCGGCCTTCCAGTTCCAGCAGCCCCCTACTGTAGAGAACCCCCAGACCCTCGTCGAGAAGATCGCCCAGAACTACGCTGTTGGCCTTGCGCCAGGCAAGAAGATCAAGGCAGGAGACTACATAACACTATCGCCGCATCACTGTATGAGCCACGACAACACCTGGCCAATTGCAAAGAAGTTCCTCGAAATCGGTGCCTCCAAGGTCCATAACAATCGACAAGTTGTCTTCACACTGGACCACGATGTTCAGAACAAGTCAGAGTCGAACCTCAAGAAATACTCGCTCATCCACGAATTCGCCGAGAAGCATGGAGTCACACACTACCCCGCAGGCAGAGGTATCGGACATCAGATTATGGTCGAAGAAGGTTACGCCTGGCCAGGTACTGTTTCTGTGGCTAGTGATAGTCATAGTAACATGTATGGTGGAATCGGCTGTCTCGGTACTGCTGTAGTTCGTACGGATGCCGCCTCTATTTGGGCTACTGGACAAACCTGGTGGCAAGTCCCTCCTGTCGCCAAGGTTACTTTCACTGGTATTCTCCCCCCTGGTGTTACTGGAAAGGACGTTATCATTGCTCTTTGCGGTCTTTTCCGCGACGATCAAGTGCTGAACCACGCCGTCGAGTTTGCCGGCGGTGAGAGCCTCCCTATCGACGACCGCCTGACAATCTCAAACATGACTACGGAGTGGGGAGCGCTCGCTGGTGTCTTCCCCGTTGACGAGATGCTCCTCTCATGGTACCGTGGCAAGGCTACCACTAACGCCATGTTCGGCGGTTCCTCCAAGGACCGTATCAACCACAAGCGAATCGATGAGCTGGAGCAGAACATGTTGGTCGCCGACCCTGGTGCTACATACGCCAAAGAGCTCTACCTGAACCTATCTACTCTGTCACCAATTGTTGCCGGTCCCAACTCTGTCAAGATCGCTACTCCCCTGAAGAACCTCGAGGCCGAGGACATTCCCGTTAACAAGGCTTATCTCGTTTCCTGCACCAACTCCAGAGCCTCTGATATCGCCGCTGCTGCCCGTGTCTTCCGCGAGGCTGCTAAGGAGAACAAGGAGGCCAAGATTGCTTCTGGCGTCAAATTCTACATCGCTGCGGCTTCGATTCCCGAACAGGAGATTGCTGAGGAGGCTGGTGATTGGCAAGTCCTGCTTGATGCTGGTGCTGAGGCTCTTCCTGCTGGATGTGGTCCCTGTATCGGTCTTGTACGTATATCCCTTGAGCTGCCATCAATTTGCGCCACAGCAAACTAACCACAAATAGGGAACTGGTCTTCTTGAGCCTGGTGAGGTTGGTATCAGCGCCAGTAACCGTAACTTCAAGGTATGCACTCCTCCCATCCAAGGCATAGGCCATTTTTAACACATTAAAGGGTCGCATGGGTTCTACCTCTGCCAAGGCTTATCTCGCCAGTCCCGAGATTGTTGCTGCTAGTGCTCTCAAGGGCAAGATCGCTGGCCCTGGCTGGTACCAGAAGCCTGAAGGTGTTGAGAAGGTCATCATTGGTGAGGGAAGCGGTGACTTTGTTGCCGACAAAGCCCTGTCCATTGAGGATGCTCTTGACAAGCTTATTCGTGAAGCCGATGCTATGATTGCGGCTGCTGAGAACGGCGAGGGTGCTGCCGAGAAGGCCAGTCCCGCTGCTACCGAGGGAGAAGAGTCCCTAACTGAGATTCTCCCTGGCTTCCCCGAGAAGGTTGAGGGCGAGATTGTCTTCTGCGATAGCGATAACATCAACACCGATGGCATCTACCCCGGTATGTGAAGCTCCTCATGTGTTTGGGGATCAAACTAATTTCGATTTAGGCAAATACACATACCAGGACAACGTCTCCGTCGAGAAGATGGCTGAGGTGTGCATGGAGAACTACGACACAGAATTCGGCAAGGTCGCTAAGGCCGGCGATATCCTAGTCACCGGCTTCAACTTCGGCTGCGGAAGCTCACGTGAGCAAGCCGCCACCGCCATCCTAGCCAAGAAGATCCCTCTCGTCGTCTCCGGCAGCTTCGGCAACATCTTCAGCCGTAACAGTATCAACAACGCCCTCATGGGCGTCGAGGTTCCCCGGCTAGTTGAGCGTCTGCGGGAGACATACAAGGACGATTCCGAGAAGCTCCTGACTCGTCGCACTGGCTGGAAGTTCCTCTGGGATGTCCGCCGATCCAAGGTGGTCATCACCGAGAAGGATGGTTCATCGTGGGAGCAGAAGGTCGGGGAATTGCCTGCCAATGTGCAAGAAATCATTGCTCGTGGCGGTCTTGAAAAGTGGGTTAAGTCTCAGATTGAGGCTTAGGAACTTGTTATTGCTTTTGATGTATCATAGAGGTATTTAGACAAAATTTGTAAAATTTCATCTTGAATCATGTCAAGCATATATTTTTATGCTATTATATGCTCGTATTGAGAACTTGGTTCTTTGGAGATTAAATATTTAGAGATAACGATGGTTCGTCCTGGGAGTAGAAGGTTGGTGAGTTATCTATGAATGTGCAGGAGATCATTGCTCCTAGTGGTCTTGAGAAGTGGGTTGAGTCTTAAATCGAGGGTTAAGATGCATCTTTATATGTTCTTTTTGTATTTTATTTAGAAGACTTTTTGTACCCCTCAAAGCTTAGGCTTGGTAACAACTCCAACACACTTGATCTCAATCTTGGCGTTCATGGGTAAAGCCTGAACGGCAACGCAACTACCACGAGTTAGCAACCGGATACCACAATCCAATATCTGAGATAATGACTTACGTTCTGGCAGGCTTGAGATTACCCCAGTACTCAGCATACACCTCGTTCATCTTGGCGTAGTACTTCATATCAGAAAGGTAGATGTTGACTTCAACCACATCATTAAGGCTTGAGCCAGCCTCGTCGAGAATGGCACCGAGGTTGGAAATAATTTGACGCTATGAATTGCTCATTTAGTTGGATGTTCTTAGCGGGACAGTGTGCAATAACATACCGTGTCCGCCTCAATGTCGCCGTCAATTATCTTTCCGGTCTTTGGATCCATGGCGACCGCACCGGAGGTAAAGACGAAGCCATTGGCGATGATGGCCTGGTTCATCAGATGCTCTGGTACGGCAGGCGCATTCTTGGTGGAAACGGGTGTTCGAGACATTGTTTCGATTTGTAAGATCCTGATAATTGTTGATGTTATTGAGGTTGTTGCGTTGGTATGGTGAGCGAGATAGTAAGGAGGGGGGGTATTGGCGGGCGGAGCGTAGATTTGCCATCCGAGGGACCATCCATATCAGACTAGAGCCGATAACGGACCATCGCAACATCAATTCAAGATCAGTTGTTCCATACGTATTAGAAGAAGAAAATGGAAAGCTGAATAGTCAATAAGGGCAAACCACGACTACATCATGTGTACTTCAGCTGAATCTAAGATCTATACGTACTCGTTGTCTTCATCCGACCACACGCCGTTGGATCTCCGGACTGTAAGCTGTGGACAAAATAAGTTGCACACGTTGGGGTAATTCCCAGCGTCTTCACATCTCATCAGCATGCAATATCAGAAACCGACTCTCTAACCATCGAGTCACGGGAATCAGACAAACGACTGAGTATCTGAGAGACCAATCCATAGAAATATGTTCAGTACGACAGCACCCTGGGTGTATCGGTCAAAATGTCTCGACCAGCTTCACATTGTCTCAAGCACCTACGCCATCCTCTCCGTAACTCTCCAAAGGTCTCACTCCCTCTTAACCACAACCATGCCTTCTCAACAACAGCCACGAGACATCTCATGAGCATGGCAGGCTTCACAGAGAACCAGCTAATGGTGCGCAATGCCGTCGGCCAAATCTGCTCCGAGTTCCCCAACACATACTGGCAAGAACACGACCAAGAAGAAAAAGACCCAAAAGAGTTCCACGCCGCTCTCGCCAAAGATGGATGGCTTGGGATAGCCCTTCCCGAATCTCTTGGAGGTTCTGATCTGGGTATCTCCGAGGCGAAGATGATGATGCAGACTATCGCGGAATCGGGCGCTGGCATGGCGGGTGCGCAGTCTATACACGCCAACGTCTACGCGACACAGCCTCTTGCAAAGTTCGGCTCGAAAGAGCAGTTGGAAACTACGATTCCAAAGATCGTCTCTGGCGAATATCGGGTGTGTTTCGGTGTCACAGAGCCCAACGCTGGCCTTGATACACTTCGACTGGAAACAGTTGCAAAACGCAACCCAGATGGCTCTTATAGTGTCACTGGACAGAACATCTGGATCACCTGCGCACAAGTTGCCTCCAAGATGATCCTCCTTGCTCGAACTACCCCTATCGAACAGGTCAAGAAGCCCAGCGAAGGTCTTTCCCTCTTCTGCATCGACCTAGACCGCAGTAAACCAGGTCTCGAGATACGCAAGATAAAAAAGATGGGCGGCCAAGCCGTTAACGCCAACGAGGTATTCTTCGATAACTACCAGATCCCCTTTTTCTTCCCTTATCGGCGAGAAAGTCAAAGGCTTTAAGATGATTCTCCACGGCATGAACGCCGAACGTTGTCTCCTCGCCGGCGAAGCCCTCGGTCTTGGCTACGTAGCCCTTTCCAGAGTAAGCGAATACGCCCGCACGCGCGTAGTTTTTATATATCGCTCCATCTCGCAGTGTGGTTCCAGAAGGGAATTCAAGCCCTCTAGTAGTCAAGGATAGATAATATTATTAGTCTCGATGTAGTAAAAACAGTCCTGTATAATAGTTCTAATAATTAGGTAGAATGCTAAGCTGCGCTGAACTGGTTGTAAAAGTATAAATAGTCTTGAAGTAACTCTATGTAATTATTATATAGAGGGGCTGACTAAAAGCTGTTTTAATGCATGACACCTGGCTAGGAGTAGTCAAGTCATGCTCTGCTTGAATTAGATCCTCGACCGCTAATGCTGTATAACACACGTACTCATTAGATTACTTTTAATATAAACCTATAATCAGAATAGGAGACTAGGTCTGCAGTACTCAGGCGAGTTTTAAAAGAATATTAGGATAATACTATATAGAATTATCTTAAGTCTGTTACAGTTAATAGCGCAGTCTAAGAGTTGAAAGTAAATATAAAATTGCAGGACACTATTATAGCTATCCTAGTTAATAAAACCTAAAGAGATATAAATAATAAAGGCCCCTATATAGACCGAAAAATGATAATGGCTTATATTCAATATGGTTATCTAACCATATTAGCCACCGCAACTCTATTTTCTAAAGGTATAAAAAGCCCATATAAGAATTACCTGCTGTGGTTATAAGTCCCTCTCCAAACTTCAATCAACCCACCCAAGCTTACAAGAAGAAGATTGTGACTATATCATTCTTTATATGGATTACCATACAAGCGAGAGGACCCGTGAAAACAATGAATCTTCTCCGGATTGACAGCTCATCAACAAGTATGTAATATGTTCCGAGTGCTTGTCGAAACACTCTCAAGCTTCAGTTAGGAAACCCTATTAGTGTCGAGTGATGGTTCGGGTAATATACTGCTTTCAGGATAATGAATAGCACGATCCCATTCTTCCAACGACTCAAATGGACTTCTGAGCCAGGATCGTAATTCGTGCAGGAAGAGTCTGGTATTATCGCGTCCTACAAACTCTTGGATAAGCTTTTCAGCCTGGCCAGTACTGCCTTGTGTGTCTATTGATTTAAGAATCGCAATGATGTATTCGAGCAAATACTCGGCGGTGGTAGACCTGGACCGGTTGCTGGTACTATGACCGTGAGATCGACTCCTATCAGCAAATAAAAACTCAAAAACTCGCAACTCACGAGACAGCCACGTTCTAGCGCGAGATACGAGTTCTGGCTTACTCACTAAAGTATTGATCATATCAGCAGAGCTTGGTTGCTCAGATGAAATGCTCTCTATTATTGTTATGTTGAGTTTGCCTAATATTTTTTATCGGCCGAAGGAAAAACAAACTCAGGCAGACCAGAAAAAGGCTAAATTTCACCATCCCCTCGGCGATCACTTGACTTTTTTGAATGTCTATAATTCATGTGGGTACTCGGCGCCATGGTGCTTTGAAAATTTCATTCAGGCACGAGCTATAAAACGAGCAAAGGAAGTGAGGGAACAGCTTACCAAAATCATGCAACGGTACCGTCATCCAGTTGTATCTTGTGGCGACAAAACGGAACAGGTTCGACGAGCCCTGTGTGCAGGCTTCTTCCGCAACTCCGCCCGGAGAGACCCTGAAGCTGGATCCGGCGGCCCATGTCCAAGCGACGCCAGCAGGAACGGATACAACCATTGTACAACAAGTTTGCTGGCGAAGAGGACTGGCGGTTGTCAGCGTAGGGCAAGGGTGGTAGGGGTGGTGGTAGCGGGACTTGGGGATAGAGTCGTTTCCTACCATGCACGTTTGGCTTGCTTTTGATCACATAGTCGCTGTTATTCTGTCTCTATTCGCTCTGTTCAATTTCTCTTTCTCCTAGGTACGTTAATGATTTCTCCTGCCACGTCCACCATGGCGTTTGTTCATAGCCTACACTATCTACTCAATCTAGTCTATTCTTCTGCATTGTGACCGCGACGCCCACGCTTCTTGAACCACCAACCATCGTCCGTCTGAAGCCGAGGCCACATACACTCAAAGCACGTAGAACTATATGGAAGATCCGTCTCAGTCACAGTGAAAGGCACATCTTCAACATCCTTCACATCACAAGAATACTCAGGCGCTTTCTCCTTGATGCAACTGCGACCACAAGTCTCGCACTCAATAATCAAGCGACAGACAGGACACTGGCGCTGGTTAGCTCGATTCATATCGTCATCGAATTCCTTCTTGGGCCAGCATTCGTAGCACAGGATGTGGCCACAGGGGGCGATCAGGCACTGCTTTCCTTCGTCAGGGGGGCATGGGAGACCGGCGATACTTACCTGGTCCCAGCAGACGGGACAAATGGCTTTGATGGGGGGGTCGTTGGGAGAGGCGTGACCGAGGACGTGTTTGCGGATGTTGGGCCAGAAACATTCAGATGCATAGTTCAGAGCAGGAGCGGGAGGCACCTCCTAGAGTGCCTCGTCACGTCCATTCTGACCATCATCTCCCTCAGCTGTTTGGTCAGTAGGGTTTCCCTCTTGGGGAGTGTCGGCGCAGGCCGCATCAGAACCAACAGCAGACATTTCTTTTCTTGTTGAGGATATCAGGATATCTCAGATCGTAGCAAGTTGGTCGGCTAGTCAGTGTGTTTGAATGGCATTAAACGGGACTATCATCGGGATTATATAGCCCAGTAGTAGTTTGTTCTGTTGCTCGAATATCGGAGGGCACAGCATATTGTTCTAATCATTTTGTGGCACATGTTCATATTGACGTCTGGGACTGGTACATTGATAGCAGATAGTTGAACACGAGTAAGATGTACTCTTCGTCTACAATTCTCAAATCATCTGCGTATCGAGTGCATGAAGAGACTCATGTGGTTCGTGGCATAGGTTTAGAACAATCAACAGGAGAGTTTTGGAAGCGAATGACAAGTCGATATGAAGTTGTCAAATGATCCGGATAGGGGAACACCATCACTCTGCTATGAGACTACGACTTGTTCTACTTAAGTGTTTCCAATGTTCCGTGGTGGAATGTATGGTTGTTCTTATTTTTTGAGTATGTTGCTATTCTCTTGCTAAGCAGTGAATTTCATTACTTGGTGAAGCTTGAGGTAACTGGCATCTGTGAACATGAGCACCGCGATGAACAAAACAAATACTATCCAATTCACGCTTTCCACTCCACGGACTATGATGTTTACTGGTAAGTAAATTGAATTAAATTCTACAATGTTGATAAATTTCCTATCAAATACAAATCACGCCTATATCGTCATGGGAGAACGCTCGACAAATTTATGAGTATATCGCATGGCCTATGAAAGCAATGATCCTCTCGATGGTGCTCGGCTTTCAACATCATAGTCACACACATCCTATTAAGGTTTCATTGTCAGTAAGATGAAGGTATGAAAGATGAGAATAGTTCAACATACCTTTCGCTTCGTTCTGAAGTCCGTATACAACCGATTCCATATTATTCTTTCCGTGCAATCTTCAATTTCGCCCACTGTGCGAGTACAATTTGGCTGTGCCTCCAGAAGCTTTTCGTCGGGCATATACTTCCACGGCTTCGGCAATGGCCAATCCGAAAAGTGAATAAGCTTGGCCTCACTGTACGCAGCCGCAGGATCCCAAGTCTCAACGTCTGAGCCAAGATACTGAGTATGGTTGTCGTTGCGGAACTCTCCACTTAGGAGATCATACCGTCGATGAGGGAATATCAAAGCGCTGTCGTGATAGAGCTGGTTGACGATTTCCATGTCGTACACGCCATAGTTAGCTGTTTGGACTCGCTCCATGATGCGGGTGAATTCTGTCTCAGAAGGCTGGATGAGCATGACTTGGGAGGAGAGGACTTTGGCGGGGGAGATCCAATAGGCGCGGGGCATAGCCACTGGTGCAGGAGGGAGAAAGAAAAGTTCATCCATGGATTGTAGAAGAATGGAATCTGAATCAATAGATAAGACACGATCGTATTGTGTTTGGTTAAACGCCAGCAGTTTGGTGTAGGAGTCAGCCCAGGTAGCTAGTATTGATGTTAGTCCAATGATTGAGGCTGCCGATTTGAAATTCTTTTCACTTACGTTCTACCATCCAGCTTGTCTGGATAGTAATGGGTACAATCTTGACATTATACTCATCCCGCGCTTTGTTGATCAAATAAGCATCGCTCGAGTTCGCCATTTCTGGCTCCAGCATGCCAGCCGGGACCATCATAACCCGATCGGGGCGACTAGAGAAGCGATGCAAAGACTCGAAGAACATGAGTGAATTGCACAAATATTCACTGTTTGTTACATATTGTGTGTACGCGAAGCGAGACCAGTCGGGGTCGCTGGTTGTGTGAAAAGGCCATAGATGTTTTGATTGTGATGTGAATTCTTGACCTTGGAAGAGATAAAGAACGGAGAGAATAGCAAGCGCCGCGATCAACGCTAGGCGGTGGCGTTTGGTGGCCATCATAGGTGATTGAAGAAGTAAAGGAAATGGATGAATGTTTCGCTCTGCGGGAATAAACGAAGTAGAGAGTCGTAAAGGCAAAAAGACAACGTCAAAAAGGACCAAGTTGAAACCTGTAAATGAGTGAAAGGAAGGTAACGAACCCAAGAAAGAAAGAATGGTCTCTATAACCAAATCAAAAGTTTCGACAACATTAGATGTTTAAGACAGAAGAAAGAAGCGCGTGAGAAAGGGCAACTCTTAAACATACGAGGTGCTTTCTTATCCTCACGGGGTACACATAACCTATCCCACATTCCACCAATTAAATGGCCGCCACAGCCAAAAAAGGTAAGGTCAAAGGTTAGCCCCTGTAATATACCCTGTAACATGACCTATAAATATCTTGTATGCCTCTGTCGTAAACACCTTACACATTAGTATCTCTTAGCCACCCTATAAAAAATCTATTACAGACATAATCGCACTGAATTTACTAGATAGATTGTTAATTCTTAATTCATTCTTTAGAATAGCCAAGTTATAAGAAATTAAGTAGCTAATTGAGGTATTATATAATTATTTTACTACAGGGCATTTACAAGGGTGGCTACAGGGGGCTCTATATAAACCTTACCTTATTAGGTTAGAGTCACTAATACGCTGCTATAATTGGCTACTTTGGCTCGCTTATTAATTCAGCAGCGCCTCCACCCCGTAAGACTAAAAAAAGCACCCCGTACGTTTAAGAGTTACCGTGAGAAAGGGGTTCACGTTTGTTTCCAGGCGCTTAACGACAAGATCGACAAGCCAAGAAAAACGACAAGCGCTGCGATAGCCAATCATTAATGACCTTATCCCGGCCAAGTCTGTTTAATCAAAAGATGGACTGTCAGTGCTTGGAAGACCCACTTTGATTCAGTGGCCACTCAGCTAGCGGTATTAACCGCCTTGAGACGTTGTAATTATTCTGAGGCGTTTCAGATCATGTCGTTGAATGCTTGGGTTAACCGTATTTTTGGGATTGCTTTTGAGTTATTTGGTATCTGCATGATTTGAAATCTGATCTAGATGTGATATCCTGATCTTAAAGAATGAAAATACTTATCGACTTCCTTTAATCACCATCTGGGTTAAACATAGAATTTCAACAAGTCCAGCGTCATTCTTCTCAAAATTCTCACGATAATCTCGCTTCCGGACCTATCTTTATTAGCTTCATGCCGTTGGTTGAGCAAACATGCCAGCTCAGAATTGACTCCGACCAACAAAGTACATATACATACTCCTTTCCACAATAACCACATAACCGCAGCCCCGGATCGAATAGTAAAGTATATGCACATGCCCCGGTGCCATGGCTCAGGCCTCTTTTATGCATGTTGGTTGTTCTCTTACACGCCCAAGTGGGCCAAGGCAAACTGACCAGCTCGCGATAGGTTGCACCCAAAGGATCTTATTTCGATGTTGGTTGAGCCTTGCTGAACATGTTGATCTTGCTTTTCGTTTTCCTGTTCTTGTCGCCCACTTTCTTTTGAGTTTTTGTTTTCCTGTGACCCTTTCTTCATGTGCTGATCTACTGTTCCACTGCTCCCAATACGACCTTCTTTTGCTTTCCCTTTTTGTTGCTATCTTCAACTTATACCACTCGTTTTTGCTGCTCCCAAAGGCGGGTCATTGACCATGGCCTGGATTATCCTTACACTTATTACACTCATCCTCATCGCAACCGCCGAAAGAGTCCCTAGAGAGGTCAAATGGTCAGATGATACATACGGACCCGACGGTCCCTGGCGTGCTGTCGACGTCCAAATGGGATACAACGACAAATCCATCGCCCTATATCCCGGTGGTACATGGGAGACCTGGTTGATCAGCGACGACTACTGCGAGAGAGGGACCTGCTATGCTTCAAAGGCGGGAACTTACGACAAACGCACAGGTGATCGCAGTGGTATGAATCTGATGGTAGAATTGGAGAATTTTATGCACGGTGTTAATCTCGAGGGCGATACAAGTCTACGATACAAAGATGATATAATGATCGACGGCATCAACATTGTCAATGCGACCATCGCTCTTCTAGACGCCCAAAAGATCAAATATCCCGGTGGTCAGACCGTGCCTTTCTTCGCAGGCTGTCTGAGTCTAGGTGGCACACGCTCGGTCAACCAATCCTTTGAGCAACCCGATGGAAGGCCAGCTACCAACGTCAGCATGCCGCCGGGCTGGCTCTGGGAGAACCAGTACACGGCTTCAAATTCGTACGGCATGCACATCGGATCAGTGAAGCCTTCCATGTCCGGCTCTCTGTGGTTCGGTGGCTATGATCAGAACCGCGTCGTCGGGGAGATTCTCAGCTTGACTGGAAGTCCTAGAGACGAAGGCATCACGCTTTGGGATGTTGCTATTGAAGGTGTCGGGGAGTACTCTCCATTCACGAACAAATCCAAACATGACCTTCTTGCTAATGGGAACTCTTCCATTAGTAGTGGTCTTAAAGTCACGGTGGATGGTTGCTCCCCTTACCTCACCTTTCCTAAGTCTACTTGCGACAACATCGCCGAGAATCTCCCAGTCAACTTCGATCAGGACCTTGGTCTTTATCTCTGGGACACAAAATCAGAGAAGTACGAGGAACTCATCAATTCCGCAACCGCCTTGACATTCTCTTTCATCTCCGCCTCCAATACCGACCCCATCAAGATCCGCGTTTCATTCATGCACCTCAATCTCACCCTGTCGGAGCCCATTGTCGACAATCCTGTACCCTACTTCCCTTGCCATGTAAACGGCAATGGAAGATATACTCTCGGCCGAGCGTTTCTCCAAGACGCCTTCATCGGAGCAAACTGGCATCCTGATGCCAACACTTGGTGGTTAGCCCAAGCACCAGGCCCCAGAGTTCAAGCTACTTCAAATGTGGTTTCCATCAAAACCAAGGAAAAGACTATCATCAAGGGTGGAAACGATTGGAAAGCTTCGTGGCGAGGGATCTGGGATGATGAACAGCCACCATCGAGTACTCCAACAAAAGAGGCCAGTCCAGCTACCACCACACCCGAGAAAGACGAGGAAGAGCAGACGCCCGTCATGTCACTTCCCGCAAAGATCGGAATCGGCGTCGGCGCCGCTGCTGTCGTTATGGCACTAGGTGCGGGTGTTTTCTTCCTATGGCGCCGGCGCAAAAATCAAGCCAAGCAGCCACAAGCACCACAAACCGCGTCCATGGAGGATATATACAATAACTCATTCGTCAAGTGGCCGCCAAGCGATCTACCTCCCCAGGAGATGCACGTGCCAGCATACAAGTTACCGCCATATGAGATGCCTGCGCACGAAAGGCGGTTATACGAGATGTATGTTCATGAGACGCAGCAGAAGCGGCCACTTACTGAGAGATATGAACTGCCTTGATTCTGCACGATTTATGATATTATGTTTTTCATTTTCTTCTGATCGAAGGATGTATATTAGTATAGATAATGTATGACGCCAATAGTTAATTTGAATTGCCTGAAATCTGTTCTTTGACTGCGATTACCCGTTTTGGTTGCCGATGCTCGTCTATGGCAAGCCGGACCAACATAGCTTAGTTCAGTCAATCCAATTCATACACACAACTCTGACAACTGCTAGTACCGCTATTTTTCACCCCAGTGACCCCGGACGAGGGCGTTAATACATTTGTTCCACTCACGTTTCTTTGAGAACTATACTCTGTCTGTCAAGGCCCATTCCATTCTTTTCTTCTCCGGCAACGACGTCAACTGGCCCCGACGCCCGTTCACCAACGCGTACAGCATCCCAATATTGAACGCGACCGGACACAGATACACCAAGCACATCACCTATGTATGTAGTAAGTGACCAAGTTAAATAGTAAGAGGGGGATTATACTAGACTAAATATGTCTAGAGGGCTTATGTGACTATTAAGGAATATTTGGAAACATTTTCTAACTCTATATTAAGTTTATAAAATATCATTAAAAGATTTTTAATAATCCTATATGAATTATTATAATCAATCTAAGCAATGCAATTTTGTATAAGTTTATTCTAAATTATTATAATCGATCTAAACCTTGAGATATTTGAAGTTATGTAATTCAAGGCCCAGTCTTATACATTTCCACTCCCTGCAACCTGTAGCTTGAACCAGTCGCGATACGGAAGGTGTTTTCTTCGGGATCTTTTGTCGTACCAAGATATTATGGTTACAGTTACATTTGCCAATGTTGCAACAAAGTAACGTCCCCGCACTAGCTGTGGAGTCCAACCTCTCTTCTGTCCATGATCGACAAAGAGGAGAACCAAGGACTGCGATAAGATTTAACCTTATAATCATTTGAAGTTGCTTAAACTTACGGTTCTTGGTTTAACTGTTGCATGTACTCGATGTCATGATGACCAAATTGTGGTTGGCGACAGCCGCACTCCTCGCTGTTCCTTCCTTGGTTCAGGCTCAAGATCTTATCCCTCCGCTTCTTGAGTCAGCTGCATCATTTCAAGAAGAGACTTGGTCTGTCGAATCGAGCTCGAAGATAATATATATCGAAGAAGAATTTGCTTCCGTCTCTGATACTGATGGGTTGACTCTCATTCCACCAACCGCACACGATTTCGCTACCACATTTCGGGACGACCTCACGCAAGTAACTGGGCTCAACTGGACGCTGGAACAAGTTAACAAGCTTCCTACCAATACGACTGGCATTTCACTTGGTGCCTACACTGGAGAGGCTTCTGATTTGACCTATGAAAATGGAAAGTCGACTTCTGAAGGCTACGAACTCCAGATAAATTCCCGACGAGTTTTCATCGGTGGAAATGGCGCTCGCGGAATGTGGTGGGGGACCAGGACGTTACTCCAGCTTCTTCTCGCTGGCAACGGTACTGCCACCGGCACTGTCGGCAGAGATGCGCCGGCCTATGCGACGAGAGGGTATATGCTGGATGCTGGGCGAAAGTGGTATTCGAAGGGCTTCCTCAAAGAGATGTGCAGCTACGCGTCTTTCTTCAAGATGAATGAGTTCCATTATCATCTTAGCGATAATTATCCGCTTAACCGGGGCAAGAATGACACTTGGCAGGACGTGTACTCCCATTTCTCCTTGTTGCCAGAGGATAAGGATCTTCGTGGTATTCTTCACGGTCGTGAAAACGAAACCCTCTCAAAGGACGACTTCGCCGACTTGCAAAGCCACTGTGCTTCTCGTGGCGTTACAGTGATTCCAGAGATCGAGGCACCTGGTCACTCTCTTTATCTCACCAAATGGAAACCAGGGCTCGCCCTGGCCAAGAGAGATCTCCTCAATTTGACTCATCCGGATACTTTGCCCACTGTGCAGAGTATCTGGGCCGAATTTCTCCCGTGGTTCAAGACGAAGGAGGTTCACATTGGTGCTGATGAGTACGATGCTGAGCTAGCAGACGACTACATCACTTTCGTCAACAAAATGAGTCGCTTCATCAATTCCACTTCTGATAAAAGAAGCCGCATCTGGGGGACGCACGAGCCGTCCAAGAGAAATCAGATCATCGATAAGGACGTCGTTATCCAACACTGGCAATACGGCCAGTCAGATCCTGTGCAGCTCGTCAAAGATGGCTACGACGTGATTAACTCGGAGGATTGGTGGGCTTACACAAGTCTCAAGAATGACCACATGCCGATCTTGCCCGCGAGATATCCACAATTCTTCAATGAGAGCCGTGTGTTTAACTTTGCCAACAAGGATGAGTGGCAGTGGACTCCTACGGACTTTAACCCCGTCAACACTAGCTTGCAGCTCAAGAATGACGAGTCCCGACTCAGGGGTGCTACGCTGGCAGCGTGGAACGACAATGGGCCGGATGCTTCTACACAGTTGGAGGCGTACTATTCTATGCGTCGGGGCATCGCTATAGTGGGGGCACGAGCATGGAGTGGTAGTCGTGGACCTCAGTTACTCGAGGAGACAACTGATACCGGCATTGATTTCTACTCTCCTCGGGCTCCAGACCAGAACCTTGATCGAGCACTGCCAACAAAGAAGGGTAACGGTGTGTTGTTATCGTGGGCCCGCTCTAGCAGTGACGGAAAGAAAGTCAATCTAGGCCACGGCAGTAAAGGGATGAACTACAGCCTCACTCTATCCGTCAACGGACCGTTCACCCTTTCCGGCCCCGACAACTCTCTCGCCCTCGATAAAGACGGAAGTCTCGTATTCACTGCAGATGGATGGGAGTATCCTCTCCGCCAAGTCAGTAGCAAAGACGCTTTTGAGCTCGACCCGGGCCATCCAGGTCGCCTATGGGTCAACGCCAGCTCATCCACCCACAAGCCCGTGAAGATTTCAACGCCCAGCAATATTACCCTGGCCACTGACGTTCTCCACGGAACAGTCGTATTGGTCGACGGGGATGTGGTGGGAAGATTCGAAGTGTTCGTCTATGGCGGGAGGAACACGCTTTTCAGCTGGAGTCAGATGGCATTTGTCGCACCGCTCGAGAAACTTGAGGGGGGCGTAGAGCATCTTTCATTAAAAGGATCTGTCACATTTTCCAAGGCATATAAGGACGAGCCATCTGAAGTTCCAAAAGGGAATGGAGCTGCTGATTGTGCTGCGTCACATAGTCTAGTCACGGTAGGGTTAGTTGGGGCAAGTCTGTGGGCCGTGTGCTTTTGAACTTGTATATTCCTTAGAAGAAGAAGAGGATTTTCTTGATAGCCTCTGGATCATCCAAACACGGCTATCTGTCTAAGAGCACTTTCAATTGCAGTTGAGCTTCGCTCGAAAGACTTTCGTCACACATCACACTAGTCACCATCGACTGAACACTAGATAAGCCAAACCTCCTCAAGGACCATAGTTGCGAATAATCAGGACTATTAACAATCAAGCTTGGATTGCGTCTGCCAATGTGAAATATAGGAAGTCTATGACTAATTCTGGAGATCCTACATTAATAGAAATTCGAGAGCCTATGGATTGGCTAGCAGGTGTGGTTAGCCAGCGAGCAGTTCAGATGAGTCAAAGAGGCAGCCCACTTCAACTAAGGGAGCAAACAACAAATCGTCGATAACACCTATATCCCATTTTTCAGTGATAATACAAGCTATAGGCGCAGTTCCTGTACAAGATTCCGTTGTATCCTTCCCAAATACATCTGAATATCTTCAGGGTTCTCGTAGGCATCATTGAAACTATGCACCAGCCTGAACTTCCCCTGAAACGTGTAAAAGAACAGCATAGACATGCCTAGCACAATGTCCGCCCCAAACTTGAAGTCCCTGACTTTGACTCCCTCGTACCCACGGTTGATGAACCGCTCAACGACCCCTAGACTGCTAACAAGAGCATCCTTGGGCGGAGGAGCCTTCAGGAACTCTGGATTTGAGACAACATCTCGCATACCACGCTTAAAGTAGCCAGTCATCTCCAAAGCTCCCGGGTCGTGCTCGAAAGTCTTGTAGTATTTGTTGAATGACTCAACAAGATCCCAGTAAGAAGAAGGGAGGTCGACCTTATGCGGGTGGGGAGCGTAGTACACCGATGCTGCATATTCACTCGTGCTGTAGGGTGCGGGTAGGTATGGTCGAAGGTTAAACTGGTTCATCGAAGTATACCGGAATTGATTGGATTCAGGGTCTGCATGCTCCATCATCACACGTACATAAGCCGCGTGGACCGCAGACGTGACACTAATGCCTTTGGAATGACAAACCTTCACCAAAAGAGCGGTGGTGTCAGATGAGAACACGAGTTCCGCGTGCTGGCAATTTCCAGCAGGAGCTGTGCCAAGTTTTGAAACAGGGCCTATGGCAGGTTGATTACTTAGATAGTACCCAAGTAATTCCTCTGCCCTTTCTTTCGCACTGGTGGACTCTTCAGAGAATCCCAATACCTCTTCCAAGATTGGAGGAAGTCGGGTATGTTCATCGCCGAAGGTAATATTGTTCTCGGGGTGTGCAACCGCTTCAAGGAAGCTGTGGCAGATCATCTCCATGCCTGTGCCATCAAAAGTATAGTGATGTCCACGGAGGACGATTTCCGAGGACGCTGGGATATAGTAAAGTGTTGTTTGTTTGATTGGCTCGATAGACTGTTGCATCTCTTCGGCACTGCACGCATCGGATACGACAAAAGTGCCCGTGAGCCACTTCTCTAAGGACTCCTCGTTGGGAAGGGTATAAACTCTCTTCATATCCTCGATCGTCGTAGCGATTTGAGGTTGTTCGAAACGCAATTGCTTCCACGCGTTTCGAAGATCAGATATCACATCCAAAGAGTTAATCTCAAGCTTGAGGGAAGAAAAGAGTGTGTAGTGTTCTCTCCCATCACACATACTAGCAGACATGTTTGCGATTATGACAAAGTAGGCCTCTAGTCCATCGAGTGGACGTTCCCAGCGGGTGTCTGATACCTGTGTCCACGGCATTGTTGCGAGAAGTGTAAGGGGAAAAGGTAACACGGGAGACTATTTGACAGGATTTCATGAGAGAAATACGGAGAAAACGCTCACAGTTTTATAGACTTTCTCCCTTGCAGAGCCATGTCGTCAAACGGCATATCCCGCCACAGTATGAAGTTGACGCTATCCCCCAACAGTTTATATGGCGCGCTGAAGATTCATGTCTTAGCCATGATTGGTTAGACCATTACAACGTGTCAAGTTTTGGATCCCATATAGACATGACGACATGGTAATACAAGGAATTTTAACAAATTTTTTATCTTAGCTTATCTTCACGATTATACTAAACAACCTGAGACAGCCTAAATTTATCAATAAGAGTACAACGTATTTATTTCCCACAATCGCCCCCTTACCTAAGGAACGAAGGTCGAGGGGGGGAGGGGGTTAAGAATAAACCCCCTTCAATCCTGCTAAGGCCATCTCTAGCACTATCGCTTCGATTCTAACACAATAATTCTTTCATTTCCAGACATTGTCCCATTAATCTTTGCCCATTAAACTCTCTCTCACCGAGGCTAGGAATTGGTAAACCTTATCGCATGTTGCGCGCCTGGTGTAGTCAACGGCTAACATCTCGTGGCCAACAAAATCCAGAACCTCGTTGATGAACACACCTTGTGGACCAAGCTGATTAGCTATGTCCTTGTTTGTTTGAATACACTATTGTCCTGTGAGCTTGTTGCGAAGAACCTCGTATCGATTTGATCAGGAATGGGATAGGGGGAATACGTACGTCACTAACCGCCTTCTTCAGAAATCGACGTCCGAGTGCCCCAGAGAGATCGCGTTCAGAGAAGTCGATGCCGAAGAACCTGTCCATATGCCATGTACCTTTCGCACGGCCAATGTCATCCTCACCCAAGCGTCCACATTCGTACAGCCTATGTGCTTCGGGCCCTTGAATCGCCCAGGTCAGCATTTCGGTGTAGACGCAATCCAGAGCCCATACATCCGACCGTCTGGAAACGCCACATATATAGCCATTGTGCTCTGGGGATGCATAGGTTGGAGACACGGGGCCGTTACCCCTGAGGTGTGATCTAGAGGCTTTTGTATGGAACCTTGTCAAGCCAAAGTCGGACAGTACAAGCCTGCCGGCTGGATCACGATCGGTGAAGCGCAGGATATTGTCGGGCTTGACATCACCATGGATTCCATAGAAGTCCTCTTTTCCATCAATGCCACAGCGTGAAAGGTCGTTGTGAGCATCATGCATACCATGGAGTCCTTCTGCAAGTCCTGCCATTTGCAAGACAATCCATTCGTATAGCTGAGCTCCCGAAAACCCTAGCTAGTAGGGGTTCGTCTTCATGAGCTCAGAAGAGCTACCTTCCTGGGCCCATTTGAAGAGAAGACATGGTCTGTCTCCATGTTTAAAAGCAGTGCGTGGCTCAAGAATATGTGGCTCAAATGAAACTTTCTTCAAGGCGTACAGTTCCTGCTCGAATTCGAAATCTGTCGCATCGTCTGATTTCAGAATTTTGAGAGCGAACTCCTCATATTCATGCTCACTCTATGAGAGAGGTTAGATCATCGGAAACAACGGGAACCCAATCAAGGCTGTACTCACAGAAGCATGGTTGTTTTTGTGGATTCTTACTTTGTATACATCAGAAACCATACTCTTCCTTTTCGACTCCATGTAGGTCCATGGAGGGATAGCATGAGAATGGGAAGCGGGCCAGTCATCTTGTTTCACATTTCGCTGCGGTGAGATCCCAGTCAATCCTTTTCCTCCTTTTTTCATTCGTATCTGAAATCAACTGACACAATGCCAGACCTTCTTCTCAATGGACTTTTTCCAATGGCCTGGGTCTAGTGACTCAATTGTGACACCATATATCTGGGTCTATGCTATTGTTGCAGTTGGATTGACAGTTGTGACTGTTGGCGCTTTCATGGTGTTCAATGTGAGAAAGACACGACAACTTCAGTTGTGGGAACAAAGCGAAGTTTGATATTGGCAGACAGATTGTTAAAGATTATGGGGCTTAAATATATATCTTTATTCCAAATTTTTCGATTACAAAGAGCTGCGCTTCACTAACATTATTAACACTGCAAAGGGCTGATACAATAGTTACGATATTTTAAGTGGAAGATCATATCAGGCTTGACATGACAAAATAAAATACTATACATTTATACAAAGTCTCTAATAAAGCTTCTATCGCTGGGGTATATATATAGCTTTTCCCTTTTAGGTAACCCGCCCAGCTACAATGACAATCTTACAATCTACAACGCCTTTAAACCCTTGAGTCTGCATGCACGGAAGCCTTTGACATCCCATTACGATCTCCATACCAGGATCCTCCCTCAATACCGTCGTGCGTAACATTGTATGTCTTGGAAACCACAATATCCGCCAACTTGATGTTCTTCGAGGAGAGAATTGATTCCTGGCTACCTCTATCACTGGGCTTAGCCCCCTCGTTGATGCTCGGCGTGAGTTCGTAGGGTCCTGAGATATCTTGTGTCGTACCGCCGCCGCCACGGGTACCTCGAGATCGAGCTGTTGTGTGATAGGAAGAGCTGATCTCGCTGGCAGATTGTCCAGACCAGAAGGATTTCGAGAATAGGGGTCGAAGGACGGGGATGTTGACGGTGAGGATTCCAACGATGGTCTCGCGAACGCCCCATGAGTTGATTGTGATCGCGGAGGGGTTGTCGGCAAGGGTGAGGACGACACGGATGATGGCTGCTGCGATGACGAAGGCACCAGAGGAGAGGAGGAGTCCGATGACAATTTTCCTACGCTTGTTAGTGACGCAGTCGGATACGGGGGTAGATTGAGACCTACTTGCGGATTGGAACCTGAAGCTTCCAGAGAAGAGGCATAGGGATACATAGGATAAGGCCGTCAGTCCTACTGCAGTTAGAACGCCAAACAGGACTCATAGTTAAGTACTGTAACTTACAAAACATTGAGGACTGTTGTGACCAGGAAGTTCTGCATCTTGAAAGAGCATACCACTACAATGCTTGTTAGTTTCAAATCAAGTGCAAGGGTTGAGGTGACGAACATCCAGGATTAGGCACAACCCTATAATCAGTTAGTAAGGCTCATGCAATTGTGTACAAACTATCGCAACTTACTGCCAGTTCTTCTGTGTAGGGAAGCATCCAAAAGTGATCTAATTCACGGTCAGTCATGCTTTCCAAGCCGTAACTGTATCACGTACTGTGAGGAAGACAGCCACATAAGAGACCGCGCTCAAAATGGAAACAGTCTTGACGAAGACATTGTGCCAAGTGCCAATCGTCATTCGCGAAAAGAAACACAGCATGGTACCCTTGAGGGACCAAATCAGGGCCGTGTACGCATACCAAGCTGCGAGTTGTAGTTTGGATCCCTTCTCGTATTCGGAGATTTCATGTTGAGTCAATTCTGGAAGGGCCATCAGCTTTCTTTATTCTCTCTTTCGTGTTTCGGGGCGAACGTACTGTGTGACTGGGCTGCGACCCCAGCTTCGATGTTGGTACCTAGATGGTCTGGGATGATAAGTTGATGGTCATATCGGGTTATCGACAAGAGTAGGCTCACAAATCAGATGCACCGTGAATGCATCTACAGTATAGAATAACAAGACCAGGACGGAAAAGAAGTCATCGCCCTGCAGTCCGCGCAACCCTACTGTTTTGAAGCGTACAGCAAATCGGGTCAAGATGATACATGTGCCGACGACATAGAGGGCCCACACCTCAATAAGGAACTGCTGATATCAGTACACGGTCGATCCATCGGTTCGAATGACATACAGACGGCCTATGTTCGGAAACAGGCATTGTGTACACGACGGTGAAACAAAACAAAAAAGACCACAACTGGATGAATCACCGTTCTCTTTGGCAACAGGAAACAAGTCCGCATTTATCAAAAGCAAAACTCCTCAAGCCCTGTTTTCCAAGAGGATGCACTAACGCAAGCCTTCCTATCACTAGTGACTTAGCTCCGCTGCACCGGCGACATCGAACGCTGCTACGATGGGCTAGTCCTGGATGAGATAGGTCATAAAGTACTTTTTGTTTCACAAAGTCAATTGTGATGGTGGTGGCTCTGTCGCGCTGTGCAGGCGATGAGCCGTGAGTTGTCTTGCGCTGTAGATGAGACCATATTTCTGCATGTTTATAATGATTAGGCTTCGCCATGAAACGCACCTGGTTTTGCTATTCAAATCAATTCTCGTGTTCATGTTCACCACGTTCTCAGCCTCAAGGCTCGTGCTGTGCCGAAGGAGATCGGCTTATTTACGAGTCATTCGATCCCAGCGATTGCCGGGCCGGGATCTACATCTCCATCTCCACGGGTCACGGTAGAAATAAAAGCGGAGACGATCAAGATCGATTCAAAATGACGAGTCAATTTCGATTTAAATGAACCCGGACTCGAATCTTTTAACGGTTGAATCACCCAGACATGGTTCATTAACGACATATACCCAGTCTTCTTCGGAGGTTCTTCGAAGCTCAACCCGTGCTTTGGTTACTTGCATCCGTTAACTGTCACTGAACCCTTTCCTGCGCACGCTGACAGTCTCTAAACTCATCATTTGTCATGGCTGAACTTAAACAAATTACCTTACGTTTCATGATTAGCCAGCCATTTTGCCATCGCCGCCCCAGACTAACCGACTCGCGCAAATCTAGACCAAGCCATATCGTCGAGGCTACGTTTTTCTAATTCCCTTATCCAATAGGTCAACGATGTGGCTTCCCGCGGGTTTCTTTAGCGCACCGTCTTTCTTATAGACTAGCGCGGAAGGCGGTTCATGAGTTGGATCGGATTACGTATGAGGAAAAGCATACTGAGTCGCATAAATCTATTGAGAGAAACGGTCACCATGTAGTAGGTCTGAGTATCTTTAGTAACTCACACGTAGTATTGTTCCCTTTATATAAGGTGAGGAACAGGAGAAGATCCCAAGTCGATGAGCTATGAACATGTTCTCCATTATGACACAAAGCCAAGACACACGGACCTTTTAGATCTGCTGCAGGATGGAGTTTTAGGTAATATGGTAGTTCGCCGATGTGCCCCTGATCATATTCCCGATAATCGACGGGCCCCTGCGTTCTTTCAGGGGATCTGTGCATAGCGCAGCTAATTAGACTAATGACCCCTGGCTGGGAGTTGGAATCCTCAGTTAGAGTGATATTTTACTTCAATCAGCTTAGTAAACTATAATACCTCGTAAAGTATTTCTGTAATAATAGACAAATGATACAATTAAACTTAAATCAGAGCACTAATTTGCGAGTGAGATAGTATAGGAATCAGAAGGCAGTGAACAAACGTTCAGCAATAACATATGATATACCGTCTGAGCTCATTGACTGAAGGTAAAAGTAAAACAAAAAACTGACAACTATTGCACCGGGACTCCTGCGAGCCCACTGCACCAAAGCCATGCATTCTTATAGAACTAGACCAGGTTTGTGTCTGGGCCTAATATAAAACATGGAGACGATTGTTGCAATATTTACCATGTCCGTGTCCCAACCCTCAAACCAGACCTAAACAATGCACCCATAGACCCAGTCAGCCAGTCTAGATTCCACAGCGGTATCGGTGCCTCAGCCGTGGAACTATACTACAAATGACCAAGCTCTAATTCATAACGGGTTCCGCCACATGGAGAACTTGAACTATGTCTTGCCGATTTGGGAAATTTTATGCTAGCCTTTGCCGGAACTTTCCATTTATTAACCACGGGAACACTAATGTTGCAGATCGACTGGAAGTTCTCAAGAGCTATACCGGAAGTAACACTGGAAGGGAACAAATGAATAGGGAGAAGGACACATCCATTTGTCGCCTTATGTTATACAATGGGTCAAAGACACGAGGCCATATCCTTGCTAATTCCAGGTACCATCACGACCCCTACCTTCCCTGTTCTGTGCAGACAACCGCGGTTTTCTTTGCCATGCCTGCTGGACAATGATTGTATTATTTCCTGTTGTAGTCTCTCATACATTTTGCCGCTCGTCCCCGCCATCTTGAAGAAAGTCAGCGCCGCCTTGACGAGCCACTTGGGTTCAATCCTCATAAGTCTTTTGCTTGATAAAACCCGGAGCTACTAACCAAAGAATACCATCAAGTATGATAGAAGTCTGATAGTGTTGGTAGGAAGGATAACCTTTCGTCTCTCACCGGGCGCTGGCTTGAAGATGCGACTTTGTAAATCGGAGGGATAATAAGCTCAGGTACTTTAGGCCCTGGTGCCTTCATCCGTTTATGCAATACCTCGCAAGACGTATCAATCTCATATTATCCCGTAAAAAGCACTAGGATATCTCCAGAAGCTTCTGTGAGATGGAGGTATCATATTTTGAGTAGGACAGGTTGGCGCTCCTACCCCGGAACAAAGCCCATCAAGTCATCCGCTCCAATTTTCTGACTCTGGTTATAATAAATAATTAGAAAGCTTCAAGCAGATAAGTTGATGGGCACATAAATTCTGACACAGGTTGCTTTACAAGCTACCTCGCACATGAACAGCCTCCTTCGGCTCTGGATCCCAACAGTAAAAACGCCCTGTCGACCTCATATTCTCCAAATCAATAACAACAATCGACTCAACTGGCATGACTGTCTCAGTCCAGAACAACATGTACAAACTGTCTCCCAGTTTGAGCATCTGGCACTTCTCAGCATCTGCAATGCCCTCTTCCGTTCCGCTGAGACAATGCCAGGTCATGGTGCCCTTGTTGAGATAAACATGTTCATAAGCGTCTCGAGGAGTGTATCGATAAAGGATGTGCTTTCCGATGAGCTCATCGGTGACTGGGAATGGCTCGACACGCTCATCTCCAAATGTGACTGCGTTGATGAAAGACGTGGCAGTTCGTCGCTCACCGTTCTCATCCTTGAAGCTTGACACACCGGCAATAGCCTGTCCAGTGACGGTGTCGACGATCAGACTGACTACTTCATCGTAGGTGGGCTTGAAGAAGTCGACGAAGAAAATATCTGGTCGCACTTCATATGCCTTGTACTTGGCTGGGGCAGTGAGGCCTGCTCCTTCTCCCTCCAAAATCTTCCACGTAACAGTGTCCGCCCCAAAGTCATGAGAGATCTTCCAACCGTTGTTGTAGGTATGTTCGAAGCATTTACCCTGCAGCTTAGCGGATGCTGGCATGAGGTGCTCCCCAAAGCCGTCAGCCATTTCGTGGAGGGTAGGCCATTTCGTCACTGGCACAAAGTCTGGATTCTCTGAAGTAGCAGATGGAACCATGTTGATGAATAACAAAGGCTTGAGAGATGAAAAATGTGAAATACTGACACGAGACTTCTTTTAGGATGTTGCTGAAAGAATTCTTAGTCAAAGAAAGAAGCTTGTTTTGAAAAGCCTGTTAACTCAAAGAGAGAACCGCATATTTATAACAAATTGTGGAATAGCATGCTGAGCGGTCTTTTAGCTATATCTCCGACCTTCACTTCAATATCGGCTACTCGTTACTATCAAGTTCCGCAAATTCCGTGAAGCTGTTGATACAATAGTCCTATCAAAAACGGAGCTTCCCCGCATTATCATGAAGATGCTGGGGCGCCATCGATCCCGACCTTTCCACTTACAGAGAAAAAGTGCGAGGTCCTCCACCTGTTTCTGCCCTTGGCGTGCGGAGAAGCTGATTTGAAACTCTGTTCAAAGGTCTCGAAGGACTTCTTCTTGCCATCAGACCGGCAATCGAGATATCTCACATCGGAAAATAACACGCCTGGGTTGTGTTCGGACCTTGAAAGGCCGAAAGTCCTATGATATCGATTCATTGTCTTTCTCCAAGTCTCCGAGCTTTTCGTATTGCAACGTCATCCTCGTGCTTTTAAGATAAGTCAACAAAGGGTCATCCCTTGCTTGTGGTCACCTCCCCAGGCTCCCCTCCCCTGTCCTTGTTCCTTGCAAAATTGACTATTAGCTACTCCGTAGAGATCTCGTAGAATCACTGTCCCGCCAATCGGCCCCTCATATTACCCTTTGGGTGACCATAAGCAGGGGATGGCCATACGCTCTTTTGTTGACTTAGTATGCCCGCCAGTCTGGCAAGAGAGCAAGCATAGGACAATTGATTAAGAAACATAGTCAAATTTCTCTTCCTATCCTAGAATAGTTTCCAGTCCACCTTCTGTCATGACATCAATCCAGTGTACGCTCAAAACTGGACTTTTATAGTATGACACAGGATCAGGCACCGTCATGGCCGCTGAATCCATCCGCGCCCAGACCTCCTGAAGCATAGTAGCCACCCTGTTGATCGTCTGAAGTCTAAGAGACAAGTACGATTTGTGTAGTCTCTTAAGTGCAAATCTTCTCCAGCCTATAACTGACCCCTTAATACTGGCGTCTTCACTTGGACTGAATCCCAGTGCACTTCCTGCTGCTAAAAGTATAATTGTCTGAATGGCAATAGTTCTGGAATCCTCGGGAATGGTGTTCATAATGTTTAATACCTCCACTGCAAGTTCCAAGACATGGGTTGCCAGTAACCCATCTTGATTTTGATCATTCTGTAGGTCTCGTGTGAGGTCAGGGAAGGCCCGGTCAAGCTCAAGACGAGCCACCAGCTGATAGCACTTAGCTATCTTGGAGAGATGATCTGCTGGAGTCCTGTAGTCTCCAGTATCCTGTATCTGTATGGCAGATGGTATCCGACATTGGTCTATATCCAGACTTAGAGAGAAAGCCTGGGTGAGTAATTCAAGGTAATGACTTGATGCATCCAAATTGGGACCCATTAAGGAGTTGCATAAAGTCAGACGCCGTGTCTGCCGTACTAAAGTTATGCATTTGGCGAGATGGATTAATATATTCGCGCCGACTCCGGTCCATGGACAGGGATAGCAAAAGACAATACATGGCAGAGCGGAGAATGCGTTCAGGTATGACAGTTCGCCAATATCTTGATCAATCAAACAGAAGGCCATGACTTCCCAGTAGATCATTGATGAAGCTATGAGGCGGTGAATGCGATAAGAAGGAGCCTGGAGATTGGCAAGATCAAATTGGGCCATCCAGATACGGAATACTTGTCGAGCCCCGTAAAAATGGCACAAGCCGAGAGAAGAAGGATCATGCCAGCTCTGTAAGTTCAGATGTAAGCCTCATAAGATCACTGTTGAGGAAATACCTACAGAAGTCATGCCAACAAGAGTGATGCCCAAAATCAAGTCATCCTTTATCGTTGGCGTGGTTGAGGTGCGAGGGAGCCCTAAGCAGCCCTGGCTTTGAGTATCCAATCCATTTTGGGTAGCATGTATCTTGGCAAGTTCTTTTGATATATGTGAAATAGCTTCCGTCTGGAAGTTCAACGGTGTCGAAGACGTGTCTTGTTCTTGCTGGCTTAAATGAGCCGCTGATGCACTCAAGATGCTATTGAACACAATGGGGGAGTTTCGTATCAATTCCAGCAGATCCGACCGATAAGGATTGTTAGGTGAGTCAAAGGATGATAGGACCTGACATGCCGATGAGAAGTAGTGGCCCAAAAGCTTGGACGACTCTTCCTGCGGAGAGTACAGAGTAAGGGCACAGTCGGTGTTAGATGGAGCGTCAATTGGAGGCGAGTCCCCTGAGCGAGGGCCAGCATATGAATGGATGCCATAGTCAATCTCGTACTTGGTTGACCATTTAACCGGACGTTTATAGCCAGGGCATGGCAGGTCTGATTTGATGCAGCGAGCACAGGCGGGTTCTGCTTCATCGCATTTCAGCTTCTTCAGCGGCGTTTAGTAAGCCATTGATAGAGTTATCGAAGGTAAATGTGTTAGACGTACGCGTTTCTTACAAGTAATGCATCCGCCTATGAATTTATATAATATTAGCTTACGGAGGAAATATTCGGTCGACACTCAGTCAAACTCACTCCTCACTTTCTCTCGTCTTCGGAACGATGTCGATGAAATAGGAGGCTGATTCATGACGACTAATTGATGGCAAAGAAGAACAATAGTATTGTTGCATTATAAGTCAGTATCATGTATCATATTCCAGGGTTCCACATGCTTTGTATCATCACTAATAATGGATCCTAGTAGCTTGCCAGTGAGATAAGAACGTTGTCCAAAAACATGATAAGCGAACGGTCGGAACTCGGAAGTGGATTTCCGTTGATAAAAGTCATGTGGTTATCAATTGACATTGGCAACCTGGGATTGGCTGGTTCTTAGACACCACCAACTGAACTTTGTCAAGATGTTTGTTAGGCGAGATAACAGGATGTAGGCTGGTAGGCACGCTGTGCAACGCTACCGTGCAAAAATGCCGATAACGACCCGACTAGAAATACATAATCATAAAGATATGTAAAATGCATGATAATAAGAGTATTTTATAGATAATCTTAGGATACAATTATATAATATTATAAAGAATAAGAGAGTTTATCATAATTTGTATTATCTTAGACAAAGTATAGCAGAGAGGACGGTATCGGATCCACCAAGACAAACTAATGTACTGTTCCCTCCAGCACCTCGGCATCGGTCAATGGACCAATGTACCGCTTGCTGACTCTCAAAGGCCAGTAGACACAGCCAAATACAAGAGCACCTCCCAATACAACAGGTGCATAGTTCATGTTAACTGCAGTAATGGGTTGGAAGGGAGGGAAAAGAAGGAAGATGCAAGTATATAGGAGGTAGACGACCGCGAAAATGTTGATGGGTAGACCTGCTTTGCCGAGTCGCCAAGGACCCCAGAGCAAGGTGTCAGGTCGGAACAAGCGACGCCAGATCAACAAAATGATTGGGATCAGATATGAGACCTGCAGGCTAACTACAGCAAGGGAAAGAATGGCGTTGAAAGCTGTTGTCGAACCAATGTTGATGAGACTCAGCAGCATGAGGAGAAAGCTAACTACGATGATGGATATGGTAGGAATTTGTCGACGTTTGTCAACACTGGCAATCTTTTCAGAAAAGGGAAGACCTAGATGAAGTTAGTTACGTGTGATCAAAAAAAGGTCAGGCCGACTTACCTCCATCTCTAGCGAACGCCCACATGATTCGAGCCGCTGCTGTAAGGAGAGGAACTGTCGCCAGGATTGCCATAACAGTGATCATAGCAGTCATGGTGGTAGCAGCCGCTATGCTGCCGGTCATATGAAGGAAAATCTCAATAATTGGGAACCCGGTAGGAGTAGCCAAAGCCGCCGAAATATCCCCCATGAAGAAGAGAATTATAAGGAGGAAGGCAAATCCTAAGGGACCGTTGACCAAGAGACAGCCTACCATGGCCCTAGGTACGCCCATCTCAGCATTATTCATCTCTTCACTGAGATGAGTAGCACCATCGTAGCCGATTAGGACATAGCAAGAGCTGAGAAGTCCTATACTCCAGGCCACCGCGTTATTGCTCCATCCGGAGTTATTCTCGAAATGCGAAAAGACGAATTCGGCCGAGTGCTTGCTTGGTGATTTCACAGCTATGGTGACTATAATTGCAATGAAGAAGGTGACGTGCAGCACTAGGGTCAGTTTCTCGATGAGGGGCAGCTTGTTACTGCAAAAGATACAAATGCAAGCAGATCCGAGAAGGACGGCCCAGAAGAGCAGCGTGCCATGCCATCTTTGGAAGACGTAGGATTCGGGATAGTTGAGGACGAGAAGACCTTGGATCTGTGTTCCGGCGAGAAAGGGGGAGCTGCCAGCAGCAGAAATCCAACCCAGCGTTCTTCGTCTTGTCAGCCTATGCTTCACTGTGTTTAGGTTCGACCGTGACTCACGATATATATCCAGCGAACCAGCTAGTCACGGGTCGACTCGTTTTCGGGCTCAGCTTGGCGACGAAGTGATACTGTCCGCCAGCAGTAGGATAGCTGGGAATGGCTTTATTAGTGATTGCTCGGGATGAGGATGGAGTAGCTTACCTGGATGCCAGCTCGGCCAAAGAACTGGCAGAGCAGAGTGATCCAATAAAGGCCACAATGACGCCGTAAACAAGGGAGACTGGTCTGCCGCTTACGAGTCCAGCAGCGAGTGTACTTTGTATATAAGTCAATTTGGGTCGTATCACAATGGAAATGGATGCTGTACCTAGATAATGCTTCCCATGTTGCCATCAGATTGACGCATGTTGCGACCATGGCAGTAAGGGAGAAGTTTCTCTATCATCACCTGTCAGCACGTTCACTCCTCGAGACCAGTATCTCATACCTTGGTCTGTTGAACATAGCCATGGCATTCCAGATTTTGTTCATCCTGGTTTTGCGAACCAGGATGCTTCTCATTGTCTGCTGCAGTAGATGTCATATCGAGAGACATGTTGATTCTTGAATCGAAATCTACGAGAGGAAGAATACCAAGAGCAGATAGCCTTACATGCTCAGGACTTTATCTTTCTCTCGTCTATCATACTTCGGAACCCCTGGTCTGGGGTAACGGGAGATGCGGCAGGCATTAGACGTCTAGCGTGCTGCATTGGGGAAAAAAGTGCGCGTGGCGACGCTAGCTAGCATGATATTCGTTGTCTCCATCAGGGGACCTCAACAGTAGTAAAGCTTAATCCCCGCATTTTTCGATGAATGTTTTGTGGTTTACTGCATGGGACTGATAGCGACGTAATCAGATAGTAGATGTCCAGTTCCGAGATCTCAATCATTACCGAAACGTCTCCAACAGATACGGACATGGAAGGGTGGTAATTACAAAAGCTCGGGAGCAAATCGCAAGCGAGGTTTAGTAAGCTATACGTCGGGTTGGTTTGAAAAGTCATTTTTTGGACTCTAGAACTGCCACCTCGATGCTCGAAATGCATAACTGTTAGTATGTACAACCCTCAGGGGGACACAAGAAACAACACTCTAAAGATTACCCAGCTGAGGAAAATATGAATGTTATCGATGGTCTAATCTGATTTGTTGAAGAAACTCGTATTCAAATTTCCAAGGTCGAGAGTCATCACTGGACTAAATATGATAAAGTACTAAGGAAACTGTATCATTTAATATCATTTAATTATCATATATTTTATCTTTTATAAAACTTTTTAAAATCTAGCTAATCTCTATATCTATTTTGCGTATTTTATAATAAACTTATACACTAATAGCAATTTGGGTGAGAAACCAGGGTCCCATTATCTCTTATGTCCCACCAGAACTAATTGTCGTAGGTATTATGACCACGATTTCATGATGGATCATATTTTAGGAATAGGTGGTCGATTGCAACTTGGAATGCAGGAGTAAGGCTCGCATCACTCTCGCTTGTGACCTCAGGAATACTTTCCGTATCAGGATACTTACCAGCTGGCTCCTTCTATGCTACGAGACGCCGCGGCACGTGAGGTGCTCACTACAATGCCGCGGTTCCATAGACTGCCTCAGTAGAACTTCATTTTGACAACAACCTGTACCACAACTATCTTCTCAAGTGACCCCGGACATCACGATCGATACCCCATTTCTTTTTCGTCCCGAGAAGAGCACCCTCATGGCCTGAGAATCAGACACCCTCTTTTTCATGCAGCGCCCCTCGCCCTCTATCCTCCCCCACGGTACGAGGAGAGAATGCGGGAACCCATACAGTATTCCAAAGTTCCACGGAAGGGGACGCTCCCCTGTGCCCCCTTTTCTTTTTGTAAGTTCTCTTGTTACTATTTTGATCGTTAATAGGCGCTAACATGTTAATAGTTCGCTATACTACAATAAACACCGTTGGTATATCGAGCTTTGGGACTAGTATAATTGTCTAACTATATTTTAGATGGACAGAAGTTCCTCTTCCACCGGCTGGTATGTCACTGATACCATAGTGGAAGATATCTTACAGCTTCTAATCGTGATTCTTCAGGCCCTAGATGTCGATCGGCGCCCGGGTGCCCCGCCCAAGCCGAGGACTGGGTCTTTGCCCGGCCTCGAGATTTCCCGGGGTGCGTTTTGCGGGCGGCGGTCCCGGCCCGCATGGCCTTCCATACCTGGTTCTCAGAGTTGAGGCCCCGAAGAAGTCTCCCCCGTGCTTGGCACCATTTCGGTACCATTTTGGCCCTTCGGGTCATGGAAGAAGCTCGTCTTCGTGGGCAGCGACTCCTCGCAGAGATGCTTGCTACTGGGTCTTCCTCTTTCTCCTTCTCTCCTCCTCCTCCTTCTTCTTCTTCCTCTCTGTCTTCTTTTTCGGCGACCTCTAAGGCACCACTCTTTGCACCTTCCCCGGAGGACGTTATTTTGATTCGGTAGATTGAAGAGAGCGAAGCTTTAGAGGAGCATTCCCAAACTACTCGACAGGCCGAAGGAACTTTCAAGATATTTGGCATTAAGCCAGATTGGGCTCTCACTCGGCACTGTATCAAAAGTATGCTCTTCAATCAATGGACGCCATCCGAGACACTACCAATCAGACCGAGAACCTGATACGAGAGTTTAGAGGGCGTGACTAGACCAGTCCCCTTACACGGAAGTTGTACCAATCCATTTTCTCAACCACCACACGACGCGGCTGGAACATGTTAAACTCAAACACAGAGCTTTTCTTTCCAAGTTACCTATCGTCTGTCTTGGAAATAACTTCTTCATAGCCTTAGCTAAAGTTAGACAAAGTTACTCTAAATTTCGCTCTTTCTAATCACGCATGATCCAACTCTGCCTTCTAAGTTTGGCTGCGGCCCTTTTCCAAGGTATAAATATCTCCTACTTGTCCTTCCGACTCCTGTTCCGTCGCACAGAAATTCCTTCGTCTTCTTCGCCCAAAATGATTTTCTGGTACAACATTTGCGCTGAAATCAGGCACATGATCCTGGTTCAACTCGCCAGGGCGGTGCCTCACGAGAAAGGCGCCATGGCGGCATATGCTCGTGTCTCTAAAGAATGGCAGACGTTCTTCGAGCCGTATTCCTTTCGAAGTTTGAAGATACAGTCCACGGACCTAAAACGATTCCAGGAGATCTTTGCTGTGCATCGACGCAGGGCCTATCTGCAGCATCTTGGCTTGAAGACAACTATTCCTGAGCATAAGTTAGAGCTTTTGCGTTTGGTGCGTTGCACCGACATCGAAAACCTATTTGCCCAAATGACACTTCTTTATAAGCGAAGATCCGAATATGACACACATATGCCATGGATAGAGAAGCAAGAATACAGGAACAACGTGGAATTCGATAACGCACTGCGCTCGCTCTTCCACTGTTTAACTTACTGGACAGTGAGACAAGTTCATTTTCTCGGTATTAAGCTAGAGATTATCGCCGACTCCAAAAGCCACTGGCAAGAGGCTGCCACCGTGATCCAAGAGTTGTGCGAACCTATGGTTATTCATATACCAGATCGACTGGTTGTGAGCAGCTACTGTCAGGAGAAAACCTTGAGAGCCGCTGAGTTGGATTTCCACTTCTTACTCGGAGTGATGAACTGGGAGCTTCCCGTGGTTCAGGTTATCTCTGAAGTATCGATACCGAAAAGCAACATCCATCAATTGGAGCCTAACTCAGTCGTTCACATCCTGAACTCCCTTCCTCGCCTGAGGACTTTCATATGGGCGATCAGACCACACGTCAGCCGGAGAGATAAGCGCCGCTTCTACGAACAGTTTCAAGAGACTGTTCACATGTGGCCTAAATCGTTAACAAGAGTGGGACTTACACAATCTTCCTCTACGCGCTTGCAGAGAAGGGGGAACCCCGAGCTCATATCCCTGGTATCGACGTTGTCTACGCAGTTCAAAGATCTGGAGATTACATCCACCTACTCTGACACAAACGAGCTCCTATTCTGGGCGAAGGCAGCAAACGTATCTGTAAAGCCGGACAGCCGAATTTGATACGGCGGCAGTTGTGGGTGTGGGAATGTTACAACAGTTTTCTTTTACTTGTCTCGAATTTTCATACTTCGCCAGGCTTGATCAAGGTTACGCAGATAGGATCTCAATCAAGTTTAATAGACTGGATCGCCAAAAGTTGTTATTGAAAGAAGATAATTCGAGAAAAGGTATCTAAAACACAAAACGACCTCGCTCACCACTGATCACCCACGCCTAAGCACTAAGACCAAACGCCTTCTTGGCACGCTCAAAGTACTCAAGTCTCGGCTCCACCTCAGTCTCAACACACTCCTCGATGTAAAGCTTAAAGGCAGCATCGATATCTCCCTTGAAAGCCTGTCGGACATTATCCTTGCACTGCGTAGCGAGGAACCAAGCACCGCTGCCGAAGTTGTACTTGTCCACCGTGACCTTATCCAGCATATCATTCAGCACGTTATCCGACAGCCCCTCGACTGAGGTGATCCCCTCGAAGCCGCCGCTGAGCGCAGGGATGCTCTTGGCGTACAGAAGGTTGTAGCTCGCCATCTGCATGTTGGCGGTGCCCTGACCGGGTCTGCCGGGGGACTTGTTGCGCTTGTACTGGAAGTCAACCGACTCAAAGGCCATGAGGGCCAGAACAGCGGCCATCTCCTTGACGTTGTAGATGCCGTGCTCCTGGAAGCCGCTGATGAGGAAGGGAGCGGCTTGCTTGGCAGTGCGGCACTCTTTGTTTCCCGAAGCGCAGATCTTGGACTTGGGAGCGATTTGCTCGATGATGGGAGCGGCGTAGAGAGTGGCGCTGGCGATGTTGGCGATGCCAAGGATGAGAGACAGAGTAGTGAACTTCATGCTGACGAGTAGCGAGTTGAATGAGTGGTGTAGAGTGAGAAAAAGAATGTGTTTATGCAAATCCACCAGGGATTATCTTGTAAAAAGGAGTGTTAAGTAAAAGGAACGTGAGGTACCAGCCAGCGAACAGTCAATAACGAACAAGTGACGATGCTTCAACACAGTGAACAGAGATGCCAAGAAAACAGAACAAAGAAACAAATGGGAAATCTCGTCTTAAAATACAAAAATCTCACCCTGGTGTAGCATCAAATGATCACCAAAGCACACAGACCAATCACATTCCTGGATGAGGCGCAGACGACAGATGGTGAAACAGTGAAACACTTGAAACGAACTACCATGGCCCAATCAAGCTTAGCACGGACCAAACTTCGCGGGGACGAGGGCCAATTGATTGATCTGCAAGGGCTGGAGCTCGGGAGTCCGGCATCGTGAGCTGTGAGTTACAGGGGGTTTAGGGGGCTTCAGGCTGTTTGCGGTGGCGAAGGGAGAGTCCGTGTTAGTGCCCGTCTCCCTCTCTAAATCCTCCGTCTCACCAAATCCTTTCGTTCAGCACCAGCCACTCTCACGCATTAAACAAAGCAAAGGGTTATAATTAAAGTACCAGACTAATTACCTCCATGATATTATCCTTCGAGCCCTATCGTTTCGAATTCATAAAACCCAATAGCTTAATCATCCCAAGTAACCTTCATAGAGGTAGGGAACGGCCAGATGCTACCCCAGTCCTCCGTCATATACACGTAGAACCCGCCTGGTCTCGGCACCTTCTTCAGCTCGCCCTGCGCACCGGGCACCCTCCTGAGACCTTTCTTCCTGAACAGCGCCCTGAAGAGCTCCGTCAGTGCAACCTGGCTGATATCCCTTCCGAGACACGCATGCGGACCAACGCCGTAGTGGATGTATGTGTCCAGCGGCCGCCGCGGGTTGACCGTCTCCGGCTCCGGGAAGATGCTGGGGTCTTTGGCTGCGGATACGAAGGACACAAAGACCCGGTCGCCTGGCTTTACGGGCACAGATCGTCCGTCATCTTCTTGGATGGTGTCGGCGACTGCGGCTTCACGGTAGAGACCGAATGTGCCGGCCATGCGAATACCTTCCATGGCATAGCCCAGCAGGAGGGCATCTGTCTCGTCGCCCGTCTCTAGAGCTGCAATGCGATGGAGTTCAGGACGGTATTTCTCACCAGCGGGAGAAAGGTACCAATCCAATGTTTGCGCAAACTACAACCGTTAGCATCACGCACGCCACAACCTGGAATGTTGAACTTACCACCTGAGCCTGGTTCGGCACCATAGCTCCAGCCGTGGGCAGAATCTGACTCCACACGATGTCATACGTGCTCAGCCCAGCCTTCTTCAGCCCCTTGGCCATGTTCTCCCCGTACGCAGCCAGCGGATCATGGGTCTTGTCAGGCTTGGCAGTGAACAGGCCCTTGACGCCGACACTGGTGGCCAACTTGACGTTCATCTCGACAATCTTGCCCAGCGCCTGCGCAACCTCCCTCGCGCCCTGTCGCAGAGGAAACGACTTTGCGGGATCGATGTCGAAGAAGATGCACACAAAGATAACCGCCAGGATCATGTAGAGCTCCTGCTCGGAGAAGATACCCTTGGGGTTCTCCTCCGTCTTGAGGGGGAGGTTGAACATGCGCGATACGAAATGCGTGTGCGCAACATTGCCCACGTCACGGACGACATCGACCTGCGTCTTCCCCGCAAGCTTGTACGACTTGCGCGCCAGCAGCTTCTCCGCCGTTGTCGCGTAGAACGATTTGACGGCGTTGCGCCAGGTGTCGTTGTACAGCAGCCTACCCATGCACTTCCTCTGCTGCGCGTGCAGCTCCGTGTCGCCCGAGAGCATGAAGCGCCCGCCGCCCTCGCCCATGAGGTGCTTGAGGCCCTCCTCCCAGCAGACGCGGTACTTGGTCTGGTCCTCGAGGATGTACTTTGCCGCTCTGTAGCCGACGATGTTGATGCGCGTGGCTGTGGGTGAGGGACGGCCAAAGTCGAAGCGGTCTACGCGCTTGATGTCCGTGAGGATCTTGTGGTTCTCTGTGGGTATGACCATTGGGTAGTGTGCGTAGACAGAGTTGCCCTTGAAGTGTTGCGGGAAAGCGCGCAGGAAGAGCTTGTAGAAAACGCAGCCGTGGTTGATCTTGAGATCGTAGTCAACCTCCTTGTAGCCCCAGTTCGTCAAGTGACGCGGGTTGTAATCGGTAGTGTAGTACCTATCACCACGGACGAGAGCCACGGCATCAGAGAGAACGACTCGGGAGATGGTGTACGTAGGAGCGATGCCCACACCCGGAGACATGGGCGTCTTGGCCTCCTCTGCGACGATACCGGGGTACAGCTCAACGTAGTCAGGATGCTGGTAGAGGTTCTTCAAAGACTCGGCAATCTCAGGATCAGAGTTGATCTCCTCGAAAGTATCGTAGGCTTTGAGACCGAAATGTTTACGGAACTCATTGAGACCAGCGAGATTCCACTTGCGGCCACGCAAGACACCTAGCATTTCGATAGGCTTCATGATACGCGGGACGTTGCGTCCACCAAAAGCACCACCAGGCTGTTCAATAGCTGTTGCAAGAGCCTCGACAAGCTCATCATCGTTGAACTTGCCATCAGGGCCTCTCTTGAAACCACCGAAAGTTCTCTCAGAGGGCTCATCAGCGACTGACGCCTCAAAAGCCTTGAGAGCCCTCATCATAGTCTGCAGATTCATAGGCCCGTAGTTCTCGCCCAGGAGCTCAGTGTAGAAATCCTGGACCCATTTCTCGTCCATCTCAGAGAGACACGAGTGCCAGCGGTAGCAAAGGTTGAACTCTGCCGAGACGGCGTTTCCAGTTCCGCTCTCGGAGAGATCCTTAGTGCCTACCGACACACCCATCTCCTGACGAGGATCAAGAGTCCACGTAGTATCAGCGCGGTTAAGGCCAATGATATTGCGCACGTAATCAATCAGCGTGATATTGATATACAAGCCCGAAGTGACAAGACGTGCTGTCTCAAAGAGCTCTGTATCGCGCTTCTTCCACGCCGCCTCTGCTGCCTCGGGATCGAGATTCTCAGCAGGCTTGGTGAAGTGACCGCCTTCGTTGATGTCGGCCAGGTTGGTCGCGATATGGTTGTGGAAGCGGTTGAACATGATGAGAAGAATGGGTACACCGGGGGGGTTGCCGATGAGGCGCTTGTCAGCGAAGCAATCGGGCTTGAGCTGGCCGTCCTTGAATGTTCTGATGGAGTCGCGGGCTTTCTCGGTCGAGCCGTACAGAGGAGCGAGGTCGAGATACGAGGATGAGTCGTTCTGGTTGGGATCTTTTGTGTTTGTCCAGAAGAGATCTGCATGGACTGTTAGCGACTACTCGCTGCCGCAAAGAAGGGTGTGGCATACCGTGGATGATAATGGTAGCCCAGTACCAAAGAATACTCGAGACGTTATTCGGGTTCTTCTTGAACCCATCTCTCGCAAACAGGGACTCGAAGATAGCTTCCGGGTCTGGCTGCGCACCCAGGGACATACCCTTCGGTCTGACCGTCCTCGAGTACGGCGTCCTCGCAGCACCAAGCTGAGGAAGCATCGGGTTCTACACAGTCAGTCAAACACTCTTGCTATCGGTCGAGAATGTTAACTCACATTGTTAGACCCATCTGGCTGTCGGAAGCGGAACTTGTCGCCCATGTACAGCATAGGCGGATGGTCAATTGAGTTCCACAGTTGAGCGATGAAGCTATTGGTGAGAGCCTCTTGGACCTTTGAGTGGTCACTCAAATTGGCAACGAGTTGGATCGTCCTCTCCATGAGCATGGTCTTGTCGTCCTGTTGCATCTCACCCTTGACCTTGCTGCGAACAATCTCAAACAACGTCTTCAAATCTGCCATCGTCAGTATCTCTCCAACCCCTACACAACCACCTGCCACTCACCTTTTCCTCGCAGACGACGAACATCCTGCTTAAGACCTGGTCTTGTGTCAATGACACGATACGACCCATCGCCCATCTCCCTGGGAAGCGGTCTCTTGGAAAGCACGCGCAGCTTCTTGAAACTCTTCACGATGCCCTCTTTCTTCTCCTCTGGCTGAGCCTGAGTCTTGGACTGTGCCTGAGGAGCAGCGGCGTGCTTCCCGTTACCGTTACTATGGCCATTGCTGTAGACATTCGTGCCGTTCTTTTCCTGAAGGGACGCCATTGCGAAGGTAGGTATCTAGAAAAGGAACAATACACAGAGAACTGTTCAGACAGTTGTGACGGGCGTGTGCCCGTCTTTATCACTCCATGCTCTGCAAAGGCATGTGAGACACAGGCGACATCCCAATTTCCCTTCTGCAAAGAACCTCACACATGTACACACCGCGATAGAGAAAGAAAGTCCATGGTTGGACAGCTGCAGAAAGCGGTGGGACAGCCTGTGATCTGCGGAGTGATATGCGCGGACTCGGACAGGACAGATGGTGTATTGGAAACTCAAGCCAAGGCTTGACATGATTGGCGTCGGTGACATTCAGGCCAAGACGCCACTGGGGAAAAGGGTCAATGGTCTGAGTTGCATTAATAAGACGATGGCACTGTTTAGTAGATAACTGTTGAGGATCTGCGCTGCTACGCTTTTCACATGTCTGAGATCTTGTCTTGGGCGCGAGATATTGGCGTTTGATGCTGCGAAGCAGATTGAGTTGCCTTGCCTGGCAATGGCATCCCTCGCAGATTATGAACACATACTCAACACTGATACAGTGGCTATCCAATCCTCCCATCAACAGCTTCTCATCTCCAAACTCCCAACGGCGAGAATTCGATAACGGTCCGGGCCTCCAGACCCTTGGCTCCCACACGGTATCATCCTCACGCTAAAATCCTCCCGTCCCCAAGGGCAGCCCTAACTGCGACCCGCCTTTTTCAGCTCTCCCCCCTCCTCTGACGATCTCCCTCAACTGAGACATTCAATCGTGAATGGTCAGAGCTGAAAAGCCTTGTTTGGTATAGGGCGCATGCACAAGCTCTGCCGTGTGTAGGGGGGGAAGAAAGAGACAATGACGTGGTGTGTCCTGGATGGATGGAGGGAGGTAGGTGTGTCGGTTAACTCAATCGTCTCTGTTTTTTGGTGTAAATATTGTTGCTGTTGGGAGAAACAATTGATAAACAACGGCTTATATCTCCATCATAACATCGATAGTTTCTCTATCTTGACAACACTCATAACAATCACACTCTCCCTCTCTTTATAGCTACTCATACGTAGATTCCCTCTCTACGGCGTAAGATCCAATCCACTCACCCGGTCACACCCAAGGGATAGGGAATACCTATCTCAGCTGAGGAGATCCCTGCACGCAGCTCTTTTTGGGTTCACCACTATCGATCGCCCCAGACCCAAAGGAGAAAAGAGACGACTTTCCACTGCCGACACCTCCCCCAATCCCAATGACCAATCTCGGCTTTTGAACACTTGCTCCACAGCGGGACAGAAGATCAGCACGTCAAAGAGAGAGAAAAAGAAAAGAAGCTCCACTGACAACAAACCGAGGGAGCACTGCACATGTACCGTTTTGGTCCTACTGTCAGACCGTGTACTCTGTCTGATGTTGTGCAAACACACTGCATAGTATGCTTCCGAATACTCTCTAAATACACTGCTACAGAACCATTCGTATTTGTCATGTTTACTAATCTCTTGAATCGACTGCTGCCACTTAAACTCCAGCGCTATGCATGCCCATCCATCCCATGGCTTTGACTGTATCCATCCCGCTTGCTCTATTTGGTCCGCAGATCGTGTACATAAAAGTCCAGCTTATCGCTCTCATACACATGACCCTTGGGTTGCCCCGCTCCTCGATAGATGTTGTCAATTGAGTGCTGGTGGAACGTGTCCTGATGTCTACAGTTCAGGATGTGATCCAATCCCGGAGGATGAGTTAATCGAAAGATGCCGTATCTGACTGTATTAGTTTCAATCATAACGATCAACCGGGTTTGACTTACGAAGGCTGGAATTTTGGTGCGCAGACAATAGCTATACTCTCGGGCATCATGACCTGGTACCCGGCATGTGTGTGCAGATCTCGCGAACTCATGAAACATGTCTGCGTCGGGTGTGTATGGATCCATCCAAGAAGCAACAAGTCCTCCTTCATACAGTAATCAAACATGCTCTCCTCATTCTCCGTCTCACACGTATCCGACGTGCATTTCTGATCGGGGATCAAGAGACACCGGACAAAAAGCGCATTGTTGATGGGTGTACCACACAGCATACCGCACATCTCAAGCCCCCGACGTGTGTTATCAGCAGCGATATCGAGGAATTTCTGCCGGAGGTTTTTCGGGAGGAAGAGGGATCGTATCGGATCGCCATTCTCGAGGTATGCGCCTGGTTTAAAGGTGAGACGTTCCTTTTTAGGAAGAGTCGGTGGGACAACATCGCCAGATGGACTGAGCGCCTCTTTTCGAGGGATTTCAGGACGGTCATTCGCATATTGCGGCGATGGGGAAGGAATAAGAGGTGCGTATCCTGGGAGAGGCACCTTTTGCGGAAGACTTGGTGGTTGTGTCTGTGGTAGCGACGGGCTCTGTAGGGGTTCTTTAGGTGGTAAAGCAACAGGCTCTTTTGGTGGTCTGCTAGGCTGTATTGATGGGGTCGTCGCTATGTTGCTTCTTTCGTAGTCAACAGGTCGAGGTCTGGAGATGGAGGGGTAGTTGTAGGTGTGCGATGTAGGTCGGAAATCATCGTCGGTACGTCTTTCTTGCGCCGAATCGAGGGCCTGCCTCGTCGCCTCCATCTGCCGTCGAAGATCATCATCGTCTCCAGCACGCGCACCGTCCCATTGATCCCACCTTCCACCTCTTCTTCGTGACATGATATCGTCATCAGTGATCCCAGCCTGTCTCGTAACCCTCCTTGCGGTGTCTCTTCGTATCAGCTCTTTCTGCGCCAGGTCCACCGCCAAGTCTTGGTGATCGCTAGCATCCAGAATCTTTGCATTGCCAGTCAAGCTTGGGTCGCGCGCCGCGAACTGTTCGTATTGAGACGAGGGTTCTGGCGTCTGGGTACCCGCCTGGGGCGACAGCGCCATTCGTTCCCACTCCTTGACAGCATTCTCAATCTCGGGCTTGAGCTGCTCGAGGTCCTGAATAACACGCTTGATACGTTTCGACAACGCCAGATAAGCTTTCTTGTTCTCGGGGTCTTTGATTTGAGGGTGTGTCGGCATATACTGGAGAACAAGGGTCGAGTGCCGATACAGCATCATATAAGCTCGACCGAAATCGCCGTCGGAGACTGCAAAAGAGGCCTGGACAATGTCAGGTAAGATACGACACAAAGAAAACAAGACTTGACAAACCTCTTGGTATAGCGTCTCAGCCGCACGTATCCAGTGCTTGAAAGGAATGTTTGTAAGGAACTTGAAGCTCTCCGCCTGAGCCACCAACTCCTTGATGGTCTGGGGCCGAGAGGGCCGCATGGCTATCTGTGAATCCATGATAGCGGAAGTGGAACAGAGAAACGTTTGGAGATGACTGTCGTAGAGTCGTCAAAGAATATTATATCCGGCACATGGTCGTCAAGTAAAAGCGCCGCGTGGCTCGTGAACAGCAACTATAAAGAGCTGCCTGGAATCGGGAATGAAGATGGAATCAAGTCGATGGGTCCTGTGACGACGCGCCTTGCGGTGTCGGTACCTTGATTGCCCCTCCATGCCCAATCGCGGGGAATTATTTTATCCAGTGTGAGATGACGAAAGTGAGTATATGCATTTAAAGAGGGTTCTTGATCACAGCCTCACTTTTGGCTTCAGCCACATCAGGCATCGAAGCAACCGCCACACTTTTCGCTATCATGGAGTAATGGCGTGTTTTGTTTATGAGAATCGTACAATTACAACACTCACCTGCAATGCACTCCCCACGCTGTCTCACCGAGCTGGGGGCTTCCTTGAAATTTGTTTGAGCATTGGTGTCGAAAAGGAGCAAATCTGGTCTGTTCCGATTTATTCCGTGGTCTATTAACAGTGCCGGGATTTCTCGCCTACGAAATATACCCAGCATCCATGGTTCAAACTCGGGGAAACCGGATCTCGACCCCTGGTGAAAATGGTATTTCCAGAACAGGAAACAAGTCAAGATGGGATAAAAGAGGCGGCGGCACTTCAAGATTCATCTGGATAAGAAAGTCCGGCTTGGTAATGAGATCTGATCATAAAGGTCATGATGCAAATGTCAGGAGGATTCGTCTCCTCCAACCCCCCAAAGTACACCTCATTCATCATGATCATGATCGCTTCGCCGCTACCTTGTCATGTCGGTCAACCCCACGGTGAAAAAGCCAATGGTCCCATCGGCCATCGGCCCATCTATCCACGCCCATGACACCCAAGGTAAGGGAGCATTGACCACGGTGTGGCCAAAAGGGCCTTTGTTATGAGGCTGCCAGGATATATGCCGTACGCTCAACAGGTTCAGCATCTCCTGAGTCAATTTTTTCCAAGGGGCTTCAGAAGTTTAAAAACCGGCTTCCCCCTAGGTCTTGGTCTCGAATAGAAGTTATCGTTCTGTATTTAAAGACTCACACATCACGTCAAGTTCATCATACTTAAGCATACTTCGTCTAATCTCATCTTACCTCACTTCACTTACACACTTCAAAATGGAAGCTCTCAAGAACACCTCTACTGTCTCTGCTGTCGAAGTCAACCCCTTCGATATCAAGGCTGCGCGAACATGTATGTGGTCGTTAAAGACATCTCCATGCAATAGACTAACATGCACAGCTGCTGTAAACGCCGCCATCAACGTCTTCACAATTGACCAAGGGCACGTCACGATCCCCAACGACCTCTGCCCTCTCGATGCACTCTCCAGCATCCTCCGCAACATCTCATCTGTCTTTGAGCTCGACGTCTGCCCCGAGCTCAACCTTACATGCCGCGACATCCTCCACCGCATCCTCCAATCCATCTTTGACACAAACACTCAATTGGCTCTCGAGCAAGAGACATCCGAGATCTTTGCCCATCTGAGCTCCAAGCAACAAGCCCGCATCCTCGCCCAGGCCATCGCCGCTTTCACCGTCGTCTTCCAGCGTCTGGCCCAAACTGGCGAGAAGGTCAACTATGGCGTCCTGAACCGCGAAGCGCAGCTCTTCGCCGAGAGCGACCAGCGGGCTTTGATGCAGGGTCTCATCGAGGGTGACAATGTATTTGAGGAATGTCGCAAGAAGAGTGACATCGCCGAGGCCATCCTCGCTGCTATTGACGCTGACGAGGATGCTGCGATACCTCAGCCAGTGGCTGCCGACGACAAGCACGACTTTGTCTTCTCACCAAGCGCAGCTCTGGAACACAAGAGCATGGGCGTGCCTTGGGGCTTCAGCATCATGGCCATCAACTAGATCTTATCACGAATCACGACTGGCGTTTCAGGGGCAATGGAACATTAAGGATACTCCCCTATTGGCTTTATTTAGCGCGGCGCTCCAAATAGTGCCAGATGTGTCTATGCATTATCATCATCCATATTTTGTAAAATATAACTCAACTCATGATCTATTTTTCTTTTCACTTCTCTCTCCCCTTTTGTGACATTACTGAGATGCCTCCTTGCCCTTGCCTTGAGCTTGTGCCTGAGCATTTGACTGAATCTGGATAATTTCAGACTTCTTCTTCTCCAACTTTTCCTGGGTTTCTTGAATCTGACTCTCTAGTCGTATGCTGGATTGAGATGTTAGGTTCTGGCAGACGAAAGTTCAAGCTTGGGGGGGTATGTCACTCACATTTCACTGCCGATAAAGTCGAGACGACCCTTGACTGTGTTCTCGGCCTCGAACTTATCCTGCTTCAGCAACACGGGACCGGAGAGCTTGTAGATAGTCTCGCCATCTTGTAGCCGGTCAAACTCCTGAGTCCGGGTTAGAAGATGAAGTTAGGTGCTCGTTGACAAGACTGACCTGTTGCACACCAACATTCTCCTGCTTCTGGCCCTCAAGCTTTTGTCGTGATGCAACTGCATTCTGAAGTTCTGTGTGGCGCATGTCAGTATTATTTCTCTAGCTCACTCAGCTTGACAAAGACATATACATACCGCCTTGAAGCTTCTGGAAGTCCTCAGACAGAGCCTGAAGTCGCGCTTGAGCGTCCGACATTGTGTTTGAGACTCAGATATTGCTCTTGTAAAATGCGGTAAGATATCTCTAAGCAGGTACAAATATTCCTGCCTATTTTTGATTCGCCTCTTTCGTGTACCTTTTCCCTTTTGCTGTCGCCTAAACAGCCAAGGTCATATCGAGGTCCGATACAGTAAAGTTGTGCAGCCCCTCTCTGCCCCGCTATAAGAATGGCGCTCATCCAAGGCAAGCAATGGAGATGTTTCCCCGCCAATCGCCAATCCCAGCCTGTACTGCACTGCACCAGTTGCCTTGCTTCATCGACTTGTACCCCATCCACCATCTTGATCGCGACTCCAGCCTTTTGAGCTGCCTTTTGATACTCGACCTCTGCCTTTGCTTGCCCTTGTTCCCTCTGGGGGATTTGCATCAAGCCCGACTAATCGTCTCCTCTGACGACCGATCTCGTCCTCAAAAACCCCCTCCCCCACGTTTACCTCGGTGCCTCCAGGGCCAACGTCACCATGTCGACCAACTTTCGCGACCGCGCCATCGCGGAGGTGCAGAAGGCGATCACCGCCGACCACAACAAGGAGTATCAAAAGGCCTTCGACCTCTACATGTCTTCCATGGAGCTCTGGGTCAAGGCGCTCAAGTGGGAGAAGAACAAGGCTCTTAAGGTCACCATGCAGGAGAAGATGGCCACCTACCTCGACCGCGCCGAGAAGCTCAAGCAATTCCTAGCTGCCGAGAACGACACCAACGGAAACGGAAACGGCGGCGGCAAAGCTGCGATGGGCTCTAACGGAGGCTCAACTGGCAAGGGCAAGCCTGCTGCGAATGAGGACGACGATAGCAAGAAGTTGCGCAATGCTCTATCTGGTGCCATTCTTCAGGAAAGGCCCAATGTGCGGTGGGAGGACATCGCCGGTCTCGAGGCCGCCAAGGAGACGCTGAAGGAGGCCGTTGTGTTGCCCATCAAGTTCCCTAGTTTGTTCCAGGGCAAGCGACAGGCATGGAAGGGTATTCTGCTGTACGGTCCTCCAGGAACGGGTAAAAGTTACCTCGCCAAGGCTGTAGCCACAGAAGCAAACAGCACCTTCTTCAGTATCAGCAGTTCCGACTTGGTCAGCAAATGGATGGGTGAAAGTGAAAGGTGAGCTTCCCCGCAGTGACGATGCTGCTGTTATCTAACCCGACTCTGCGCAGATTGGTCAAGCTTCTGTTCTCTATGGCGCGCGAAAACAAGCCCTCGGTTATCTTCATCGATGAAATTGATGCGCTCTGCGGTCCCCGAGGTGAAGGCGAATCAGAGGCTTCACGTCGTATAAAGACCGAAATCCTGGTTCAGATGGATGGTGTTGGCAACGACAGCAAAGGCATCTTGGTTCTTGGCGCTACCAATATCCCTTGGCAACTCGATGCTGCCATTCGACGCCGTTTCCAGCGACGTGTGCATATTGGTCTTCCCGACATGAATGGTCGTGCGCGCATGTTTAGGTTGGCCATCGGTGATACCGAAACTGGTTTGCAGGCGAGCGACTACAATGTCCTGGCACAAAAGTCAGAAGGCATGTCTGGTAGTGATATTGCCAACGTGGTTCAATCCGCTCTCATGCGACCGGTCCGCAAGATTCTACAAGCTACACACTTCAAGCCCGTGAGTATCGTCTTAGGTCTAACATTCGCCCACAGCTAACAAACTCCAGGTTATGAAAGATGGCAAGCGCATGTTGACGCCCTGCTCCCCCGGTGACCCAGAAAAGATCGAGATGACATATGACGACGTCACATCAGACGAGCTCATGGCGCCAGATGTGCAGCTGAAGGACTTCGAGATGGCTCTCGATGACTCGCATCCGACCGTATCCAAGGATGATATCGCAAGGCAGATCGAGTGGACCAACGAGTTTGGTAGCGAGGGTGCATGATGAAAACATGGGTTTTATAGTCAATTATCACAGACACATAAAGCGAGGCAGGGGGAGGCAGCGAGTTATTACAGAATTGTCTCTTACAGCATGGCGGCGTCTCGTGGAGTTTTATTTATCTTGTAGCTTGGGCATCTGGTGCGGAAATGAAATGTTGGGTTCTCGAAGACAGGTCAAGGGATTAAGTGCGCGCCAATGATTGGGAAGTAGATTCTAAGGGCACGAGTATTTGCATGTGGTTATATGAGGTCACCAACGGCCATGTTGGTGTTTAAGCTTCAACAGGGGTTCGGGAACATGGGTATAGGGTAGTTAACAATTAATGTTAGATGGTGCCTACGAAAACAGTATAGGTTTATTAGGTAACCAGACAACCTACAGGATAACCTAAAGCTACCTAAACAAGTAGAAAAGGAAGTAATTAATAAATTAAAGGGAATTACAAATAAATAAAAAATTCCTTCCTATTAATTATCTTAGACTTATTATTAATTATATTCCTTACCTTTCTTACTAATCCCTACTATATCTTTTTCTATAACTTACCGCCCTATCTCTAGCTAATAGGTTATAAACCTAGCTTTTATATAATTAATATAATAATGTAATTACTAGTTTTTAAAGCTATTTACTAATTCTTATTTTATAATAATATTAATTATAATCTAAGGTTATTACTATATCTTTTTTAATAAATAAGGAAAAGTCCTCTAGCCTAAGCGGTAATAATAATAAAGGAAAGAATATTAATAACATTCCTATTAACTTAAATAAATAGAAAATTAAAAATATATATAATCTTAAGGATCTAAAACTTTACTTATTATATAAATAGTTCTTAAAAGGATATAAATAATAGCTAGCTTAAAAGTAATATATTACTGTCTTTATTATTATAGCTAGTATATAAAAAGGTATTAACCTTTTATAATAAGGAAAAAATTACTTTTTTACCTAAATATAAACTATAGTTATAAATCCTATAATTAACTTCTTATTATTATTTATAAATAGAAATAATACTTAAAAAGTACTTACTAAATAATTTAATAGTATTACTATATAAAATAAGGTTAATATTTAGTTTAATTCTCTTATCTTAAAACTTAAAAAGGTTAAAAATATAATAGATTATATTAATAAGTTTTACCTTTTTATATTAAAATATATTACTACCAGAGGAAATATTCTTACTATACTACTTTAAGAAATATTTATTTTAAATATAAAAAATATATATAATAACTAGGTTACTTATATATAGTTTATATAAAAGATAACTATATTAAATATATTAATAACTACCCTTTAAGATAATATTATTAATAAGTTAAACTAACTTTAATAAAAAAAAAAAAATTAATAAACCTAATAAAAAAAATAATAATAATAATACCTTAATAAGTATTTAATTTAGTAATAATATATAATAATTATAATAATAATAATCTTAATAACCTTAATAAAAATAATACTAAAAGAAAGACTTTTTAAAATATATTTATTATTTATATAAATAGAAAGGCTATATTAAGTATTAATACCTAAAGAAAAATAAAGGTAATTTTAATAGAAAGTTAATAAATTACCTTTATAATAAAAATAAGTCTTATTATAATTATATTACCTTAACCGGTAATAATAATAATACCTAATAAAAAAATATCTTTACTTATTAATTAAGAAAAGATATAATTAATACTATTATAGCAGTTTATAACCGCCTAGTATAGCTAAAGATAAAGGCTATAAAGATTATTTTAAAATCGGTTAATAATATTAAGGTATATAATTAAATTATACTTATTAAAAAGGAAGATAATAGTAAATTATATAATACCTTACTTTAAGATAAAGCTATTTTTAATACTAATTTAAACTATATAACTAGCGATTTATAATACTATAACTTTATAATTTATAGTTATTCTATAGAATTAATATTATATTATAAAAAAGACTACTAGCTATAAGATTTAAAGAATAATCTTTATATTATTAATAATAAAAAGTAATATTATAATAATAAATATACTAAACTTAATAAGACTATCCTAATTATAACTAGAGGAGAGGTTATATACCTTACTATAGTTAAAAATATATCTATTACTATCTATAATAAGAATTTAAATACTATAGTTTCCCTTATATATATTATTTTAATTAAAGAATTTCCTCTTAATATCTTTAATAATAAAAGATTATACCTTAATAAAGAATATATTAATAAAAATGATATCTATAATAAAGATAGTAAAGTCCTTATTACTATTAATATAAAATCTTACGGTTTTATACTTTAAGTTATTAAGGAAGTTATTAAAAGTTATATATAAAAAAAAGCAATACTAACGACCTATAAAGTATAGTAAATTAAATTATAATATAAAAGATTTATTTATAATAACTATAAAATAGTTAATTAAATACTAAAAATAATAACTAAAGGTATTATTTTTATATAACTAGTTAAATTATCCTATAATCCTTATAAACTTACTAAAAGTATAAAATATACTTTAAAAAAACTAAAAAAGAGATTACTAAAGTCTCTATAATTAATATACTTTAATCTATATAAGTTTAAATTACTATTACTAAAGGGCTATTATATTATACTTTTAGTAAGTAATAATAAGTCTAGATAGAAAAAGATTTAATTACTTTACTATAAAGGAAAAATTTTAACTATAATTAAGTTATTTAAGGATAAGTAAATAAAGATAATAAAAAGAATAATACCTAAAGAGCTATAATTTAATAAAGAATTTATTTTATTAATTTCTATATTAAATATAAATATATAACCGCCGGTATATATATTATTATAAGTCTTCCTTATAGCTATAAATAGAATAGCCTTATTAAATAATTACACTATATAATACTAAAAAAAGCTTATATTATAATAATTAAAGCTAATATCCCTCCTAAGCTTTAAGGGGAAATACTCCTTATAACTATATATATACTTAATATTATAATATTAATAATATTAAACTAGAAAATACTATATAAAGTCCTTTATAATAACTATATTTTTAGTAATAATTAATTAGATATTTTATATTTATATATACTTAGCTATAAGGTCTTTATTTATATTAAACCAGAAAAAAAGGTAAAGTTAGAGAAGACTATTACCTACGGTTAAGAAGGCATCCTTATTAAATACTAAGGTAACTACCTCTATAGGATTTATAACCTAAAAAAAAAGGAAGTAATTATAACTTTATATATTATATTCTATAAAAAAGTACCCCTTCCTATTAACTATAATATTATTAAATTATAACCTCCCGGTATATTTAAACTAAAAAACTTACCTAAAGAATTTAAGATCTAAGAGATTAACTATAAACCGGAAAATAAAGTTATTATAATATATATATAAAAACGCGTCAATTTAATAAATATAACCATAGCTTTTATATAAAATAATAGCCCTCTTTAAAGAGAAAGATATTATATTAAAATTAAGTTATTATTTAATAATAACTATATTAACTTTATATTTAAATCCTTTATTCCTTAAGGAAAGAAATTAATTATAATAAAATAGGTATTAAAGTATAAAAAGAATAAAAAAGGAAATATTAAATAATAAAAAGGTAGGATTATTATATATAGATTTAAATAATATAAAGGTATTAATTATATCGAGACCTTTATATTAACTATAAAATCTACCTCTTAGAGAATAATCCTTACTTTCTTTATATAATATAACTAAAAGATTACTTAAGTTAATATTATTACTACTTATTTATAAAAAGACCTAAATAAAAAGATTTATATAAAGTTATTTAACCTTTTTAATAATTTTTTTTATAATCTTTACTTTTATTATTATATAAAGAAATATAACTATATTAATAACTATATTATCCTCTTTAGCTAAGTAATTTATAGCCTAAAATAAAGTAACTATTAATAGTAAAAAAAGTTATATAAAGAAATAAAAAAATTAATATAAAGTAATTAAAGTTTAATATTACTATATATCTAGATTAAGTATATAAGATTATTACCTTATTATATATTAATAACCTCCTTATAAATATACCTAATAATAAAATAACTATTACTTATTATAATAAACTAAGTAATAATCTTAAAATTAAAAGAATAGGTTTTCCTTAATTATTTTTTAATATTATTTTTTAGGAGAATAATAATAGTATTATACTATATTAAGATAAATATATAAAGGGAATCCTTAATATATTTAATATAATATACTATAACTTAATAAGTATATTAATAAAGCCAGGTAGTTATTAAAAAATAATACTTAAGAAGATAGTAATAACCTTATTATAAATAAAGGAAAGATATACCTTATTAATTAGTAAAATTAATTATCTAGTTATATAAACTTAATTAGATTTAGTATTTACTAATAGCCTATAGGTAAGATTCTTATTTAACCTAATAGAGATATAATTTATCTATATAAAATAACTTCTATATTATATATAAAAAAGCCACTCTCTTAGTATTAAATATACTAGATCCTTACTAAAGGTATAAAAGAAATATAATAACCCCTATAGCCTATATACCTACTATAATTCTAACTATACTATAAATCTTAATACTTTTAAGTCGGTTATAAGATATATATTTATTATAAACGGCAGTATTATTTCTTAATTAAGTAAGAGGTAATTTACTATAGTTAAATTAATAGTTAAAGTAGAATATTATACCTTATTAATAATTATAAATAAAGCCATCTAGATTTATACTTTTTTAAAAGAACTTAATAAGCCCCTTATAAATTCTATAGTAATTTATAATAATAATAAAAATATAAAAAAACTTATATATAATTTAAAATACTATAATAAAATAAAGTATATTAAAATATATTATTACTTTATATAAAAAATAATTAATAATAACCTTATTAAGGTAATATATATACTTAATATAGGTAATATAGTAAATAGCTTTATAAAGTTACTAATTAAAGTAAAATACTAAAAATTTATAAAACTTATTAAAATAAGTAATCTATAATACCTTTATATTAAGAAAAGGAAGTCCCTTAGTTAATAGAGAAGTATTAAATAATACCTACAAAAATAATATAGGTTTATTAGGTAATTAAATAACCTATAGGATAACCTAAAGCTACCTAAATAAATAAAAAAGGAAGTAATTAATAAATTAAAGGGAATTACCTATAAATAGAGAATTCCTTCCTATTAGTTATTTTAAACTTATTATTAATTATATTTCCTGCCTTTCTTACTAATCCCTACCGTGTCTTCTTCTATAACTTACCGCCCTGCCTCTGGCCAATAATTAATAGAACTTAAAAACGAAGACTATTCACGACCGCTATGTAATTTATAATAGCTTGTTAAACGAGTGAGGTAAAATTAAGATGGAAGCTTAAATTGTGCCGCTGATGACAGAGATAATACACAAATGAACTCAATTCTGGTTTATCGTTTCAACAGTTTTCGGGGCTTCATGATCACACTTCAATGACTGGGTTACCAACAAGGTTGGGAGTGCCCCACCATCAATTAGTCCCCACCAACCAATCTCACCAATCTTATCTTATCCATCTAATCTCTTGGCGGTCAATCATGGCAAAACACTTTATTCATGATCGCTTCCAGTCCATCCCACCAAGCACCCTTCGTACATATTCCACCTCCCACTCCAACTCCATGTTCATCGCTCGACGAAATGTGCGGAAACCCCTTGCGTGGCCGCTCCGAAGCGTCCAGATACGCCATGCAACGAATAAAATCACAAATAGCCAACTCGAGGCCAGCAACGAGATATCAGAGAGGCTAAAGGACACAGGCAATTGGGTCTGGGGTCGAGGGAGGACTCCGAAGAAGTCCAGTGCTTCGGGTGATAAGAACCGCGCGAATATTACTAGCGAGAAACTCTGTGGTATGTTTCTCTTTGCCTGACACACCAATCTTGCGCTCATCAAGTGTTTAGATGATATCGCCAACTACATCGGCCCCTCGCTCGAGCGCCATCGTGGCTGCGATCTCGTCGATATTAACCCCGGCGTGGGCCTCTGGAGCAAAACACTCCACGAATTAGTCCAGCCCCGACAACACATCCTCATGGAACCCGACATCGAGCTCTACAAACCCTTCCTCGGAGACTTCATCAACAAACCCAATGTCAAAGTCATTCCCAAACCCGGCATTCTCTGGAAAGACCTCAACGCCATGCTCGAATCTCTCCCCAACCAAACCATACGTGACCCCGCCGCTGAACCCGAGCGCAACGACACTCTCCTCGTCAACGTCAACCTCGCCTATTTCCCGCCAAAGAAGTACCAAATGTTCGAGTGCGTCAGCACCATGGTTCTCTACCAGCTCATGTCCAGCATCCACACTGCCTCTCTCTTCCAGCAATACGGTCTCGTGCGCATGCTCATCTGGGTCTCAGACGATGGTAAGCGCAGGCTTATGCCCCGAAGTGCTATTCGTCGGAAACGCAGCGCCTTCGAAGCCGAACTCGCCTGCGAATGGATCCACGAGATCGCCGGCCACGACGTCGAGGTCGAAGACCGCTACGAGCTTCGTGATGAGTGGATCAACATGGAATCCGGCTATCAATGTCTCGAGCGTATGGAAAAAGCTGGTCTTACAATGCCTAAAGGTCGCGAGACGATTGTCTACAAAAATCTTACCGCCAATCGAGAACACGCCGGTCAACTCCTTGCAGGCGTCTACCCCCCCATGCACAACCGACCCTTCCGCCAAGAACTCGAAGAGCTCGAGAGTGCCTTCGCCAAATCTGAAGACGCGATTGCGCCAACTCGTCTCAAGTCTCTACGCTTCCGCGATAAGTACGACGTTGGAGACTCACAGCTATTTCTCGAACTTCTCCAGGAACGCGAGGCTATCACAAAGCTCCACCGTGACTCCCCTGCCGAGTTCCCTGCCGCCCAGGCTGCTTTCAACGCACGACTCGAGAATGTGAAGAAGAATACACGCAAGGAGTGGCACATGGTACGCGACAACTACCACCTCTTCCGGCAGAAGAAGCCCACTCTCTTTTGGGATCGTCGCCCCTTCGAGCCCCTCGCTGCGCGCGCCGATGAGTTCTATCCACAGGCACCCTTCGCACTCCTCGACTTCCAACCCAAGGCAATGAGCAAGTACGTCCGCCAGCACGGCGCAGAGTCGACGAACGGCACCATCTCCGACACCATGCTGCGATACTGGTGGCAGCACATGCTCACCCCTGTCGACAAAGCCATGGACGGCCTGTGGCCCGGCTTCGGCGACCTTGCACCTCTCGTTTCCTCAATCCACGATCCAGCCAGAGGAGGAACACCGCTGTCCGGCCATGGCGGTTTGTCCTCAAGATGTATAACGGAGGAGCAATGGGCGGAAATCATCAAGACGTACCTTGAGTGGCCATTTGCGCCTGCGTATTCGACGCTTGTGGGACGTTTGATGGACGACTATGATGGTTCACCAGATGATGATGAATCCAGAAGTGGAGCCATGGGGGCTGCATAAACGGCAAGACATTGTATGACTACGAATTGGACTAGGAGCATAGAACGGCGTTTCAAGGCATCTGCATCAACAACCACACTGTACCATCACCAAAAGAACAATTAGAAATGTATATCATGTTAATATTGATACAACAAAATGAACTGTTAAGTCCGCCAAGTATGTCTTTTTACTTGACACCTGGGGCTATGCCATTTTGACTCTATATGTACCTTGCTTTGAAACCCGCCTAGATGCCCGCATAAACCCACCCCTCACAAGTCACGATGGTCGAAGTCCGTAGACAAAACGACATGCATCATCCAGATAGTTAAAAAGTTCGTCACGCCGAAAAAGTAAACACAAGACAAAATAAAAGAACGCCATCGCCTTCCAAGCAAATCAAGGCCAACTCCATGCAGAATGGATACAATCGCAACAAACAATCGATCATTTAGAGCTTGAAGGACTTCCACGTCTTCTCGATGGAAGGATCTTTGATGGCGTCGTCGACCCAGCCCATCTTGTCGCGATCATCGGCAATGACTCGGCCGTACTCGAGGAGGAGTCTTAGGACGTATATCTGCATGTCTTCCTTGCGAAGCACCTTATTCGCCCACGATTTGCCCTCGAGAGCGATTCTCTTCGCTGCCTTGTCGTTGCCGCTCACATCTGCGTACCCACGGAAGTACTCCATGATTCCATAAAAGTCCTGGAATCGGTTGTCCATGGGGACGAAGTGAACCCATGGGACCAAGCGGCTATCATGCCACTCCCGGAAGAGGGTGGCTTTGATGGGTAGTGAAGTCGAGTTAAGGAAGCCCAGGTATCGACCCGAGAAGGAGTTCCCGTCGATATCGGGAACGTACTTGTAGTCGAACTGCTCGTGCATATCCATGCCATCCACCTTGGCGAAGTAATGATCCGTGTACCAGCATCTGCCGTCTTCCTCACTAGGAGAGCACATGAGATCGACAAAACCAGCGTCCGACCATTCGCCAATCCAATCTCCGAGTCGTCCCTGAGCCTGCGCTTGGAGATGATACTTCTCCGATGGAAGGACAAAGTTCTCTGGCTTCTCTTTGCCTGATTCAGCTGCAGACACCTTTGTCGAGTTGAGCATCGACACGAAGCGATGACGATGGAATCCACGCCAATTCTCGGCCTTGTTCTTTCCCCCTGTTGCAACACCTCGCCAGACCACAGTGCTGCCTTTATTCTCCCACTCAACATCGTTGTCCTCGCCACCGGTGAATCGATCTTCGGCTTCCCAGTAAATAGGGGGAGGGAGGAGAATCTCGTTATTGATAGCTAGTTTGGAACCGCCAAACATAGGAAACAGGACTTTGGTGGATGACACAGAGATCGGGTTAATCAGGAGACCATTGAGACCTTGCAGATCCGGCTGATGACAGATGCTGGCCGAGTGGGTGAAGTTGGACACGTAGCCCGCGAAAGAGTGCTCGTCGGCGTTCGAAATATCGATATCGGGAGGGTTGTTGAAGGTTTCCATTAACGGAGCTTGTCGTGCTGGACTATCAGGAGGACATCCTCGACGAGCAATGGGCCAGTAAGGACCTATGGATTGTTAGCATACTTCGTCGTGTACGGAGCTTGGTGAATGATCGTACTGGTCTTCTCCCATCGCTTAAAAGGAATCCTAGTATTCCTGTCATGTCGTCCAGCTGTGGGCAGCTTCTGAAACTCCGAGACCACCTCCTTTGCAGGCCAGAGACTGCGGGATTCTGCTCCCTTGTTCATATAGCCATTGATGTCCTCCCAAGGCACCACTAAACGGGGCTCGTCCATGGCATTCAAGGGCATATCCAAATCAGGGACCATGTGTTCGATCGAGCGAATCATGTCGAGCCAGATCAGGGTCCAGAACCAGTCGCTTGTAGAGTTAGCCTTGCCGTTTCGAATGTGAATCGACATCTCGAAGCTGTACGCCTCCTTGCGAATGATGGGCTGGGGAACGCCCCAGAACGGATCGATATCGTGGTAAACCTGGTCCCAGAACTCCTCGACGACAATGGCGTTGTTCTGCTTGGCGAATTCGAACCACTTGTCGAAACCCGGAGGGGGGTGACGTCCACGGCGCTTGCGGTAGGCTTGCGCAGCCTCTTCGAGAGTATGCGACTCCTGGGAAAGGAGGTCCTTGTATCTCTTTCCACCATCGTGTATGAGCTTGTCAATCGGGTGAGCACCTTGTACAGGCTTATCTTTTACTATCTTCACGGTGGGTAATTAGCAAGGGGCAGTCGAAGCTAGGGGTCGTATCGTACGTACAGGTTGTTGCGCTGCTTTGGGCGGAGGTATAGGCTCCGAGTTATCAGCAGCTGGTTGTTCCGACTTTTCTAGAGGTAAAATTGAAGGCGAAGAGACACGATTGGTAAATGTCCAGAGTCCAAAGAGAACGAGGGCGGCGAAAGCGCCAAAGCGAATGAAGGAGGAACTGCGCCGTGTCCTGAAGCCGGGCGCAAGCATCTTGGGCATATCGTCGGGGGTATTATTATTTTATTTAGAGGTAGTGGTAGCCGACGAAGGCGCAACGCAAGAGAGATCTGACGCCAGCGACAGAAACAAATGCGCAGCCAAGTTTTCGTGGTGTCGAATCGAGGGCGAGATGACGAATTGGAGTAGAGTCGATCGCGGGGCACAAGGGTCGAATATAAAACTGTGTCGACTCGCGAAGAGGAAAGTGGAAAAAAAGACGTCGAGAGGATTAATGAAGTCGCTTCCTTCACCGCATGATTAATCGTCCTTCAATCCGACGGTCGCAGGCAATGTTGATGCCAAGCTGTTGTGGTTTTCGCTGTTCTGCTGTCCTGTACTTTCTTGACGGGAGAAACGTGGGGAGAGTGGATTTTAGATTTTGTTAGGAGTAGAGAGAATGGACAGACAAGGATGTCAAAGATAAAGGGGCCCGGCTTCTGAACAGAAGGATCTAGCCACGCGAGAGGAGAGACAAATAACAGGCGAATGAAGAGAAGAAAAGTGAGGTGCCTGTCTAGGATATGGGAAGAGATTTTGAGAAGGAGGGAAAACGCACGAAACATGAATCGCTGGAATGAGGGAGAGGATGAAAAGAAGGAGCTTGTGAACCAAGATTTGCTGGCCCGGAATCTAGGCCAAGCAAGTACTGCAGGACAGCTCCAGCTTTAGACTAGCCCAACCTAAAATGTGGGATCACCAATTTAGCTGCCGGACGATACTTGTGTCTACACTGTATATTGGCCGAGACTCGAAGTATCCTCTCAGGGGCTGGACGGGCGATTTTGGAGATGCGCCTTGACCAGGAAAGGTCCCTGGTGGATATCAATCGGGGGGCTCTACTAGGGGTTCTGTATTTTTTCCTTGCTGCAGGGCCCAGGGGAGATTTCGATTCTGTAGCCTTTAACCACAGATTAAACTTGTGGCAATCAAGGGGTCGATCAGACGCTTTACACGCGTCAAGTTGATTGTGTTTGCACCGTCGCACTGTATTTTTGTACATCGCTTTTTATATCACAAGACGATTTGATCAACGTCGTAGAGAGAGCAAACATGTCTCGGGCAAGAGTACGTGGACGGCCAATCCGATCTCTTGTGCATGTCGTTGTCACTCTCACGCAACGGCTAGAGTAAGACAAAGATCAAAGTTTGAAGGCAGGCAGAGCGATAAGGGTACAGTGTCCTCTTTGGAGCGGACGTCTAGGTCTGCGACAGTGTTTCATTGGAATATCCATGCGCGTGGAGGGGACGCGTGTCAGAGTGGTTTCTGGTTGCATGGGCCGGGCTTCAAGCTCACAGCCTTGAATTGACGCCAATTCATCAACTTGACATCATTCGTAGAATTGCTTGTTTCAAGGCTGACAGTTACAACTTCACCACTTCAAGTCATTGGTTTGAGGTGTAGCTTGATCCAACGTCCTTCTCAATAAGTAGAAAGTAACTATTTTTGATCTGACGGGACCACTGTCCTTTCAAGATTGCGACAAATACCTCCACGTTCTAATTAACGAATGCTACAATCCAATGAATGTCCCACAGAAACACCCTGGAGTCTGCGTTAGCCACCGTCGACCGACTCAATCCATGCCATTAGCTAACAAAACCACAAACCCAAGAGTCTATCTCCAGTGATTTACCGTTTCTCTTTTAAGAAAATGTTTCAATAAGCCAAGACGGATAGAATGTTTCTCCCGCATAACGCTTAGCCACAAGCCAGAAATAAACCACACAACCCTCCCTGCGGCGCAGATAGATAACTTACAGTAGCACTGAGTTTATTCCGGACCGCCCCTGAGTGGTGTGGCTGCTAGGCCCGCTGCTAACGCGGGCGCGATCTTTCCTAAACCATGGATGTTCGAATGAGATCCTCGTCGTGGGAGTGGGTATCGAATTTCCAAGCCGCTCTTTACTTGTCTCTATATTTGGTCAAGGCATGGAACAAGATGTGTTCTGGCCTGTAGTCGGAGTATTGGAATGCGTTCTTGATCGCTTTGTTGTCGTGGAGTCGTCGGGGTTCTTCACAACCTCAACCCCCAAACGTATACACAACCCACAACATAACGAGATCTATAAACAGAGACATAGATACACTAGACTCACAAAATCCCTGCACGTTTGAAAGACTGTCTAGAAGCTGACAGCTTGGCACAAACGAGGCTGAAAAGATGTTTGTACCCGGGACGGTTAGTGATGTCTACGGCTCGCACGGCAGCCAGCAATTCGATTCATTCCTTTGCAAACAATAGACTTTAATATCCTTGAGATCTGATGCTAAGCTTTTGTTGTGGAGAACCCGTCCGAAACAAAGGTGAGTCTAATCCGCGGACATGGAGTAATACGAGCTGTCATGGGCAATTGGGGGTTTCTAGTCAGCTGATAAGCTGATCGCTGCCACTGACTCAGCTGAGACGTTGGCGATTGCTTGTATGCCAGTCAGTAGAGAGTAGTAATCGATGAAGTCAATCTTCATTCCAAGAGGCCCAAGATAGACAATTCAGTATGGCGGTCACGGTTAGCGAGTTGGTGTAGATATGACACCCAGCCTTTCAACCTGATTCGTCTATCCGACAAACTGACCAGGCATGAGGGAAACATTACGAGTTATTCGCATCCTCATGACCTCGGACGTTGTCCTACCCCAATTATCGCAACCGTCTGCTTATCCGGGTTTGTCGCTCACTCTGTCCAACGTAAAACGAGCTGCCAACTCGCCGAAAACTGCCAAAACACAATCGCTTTGTGACCTGCCACATCCGTCTCGAGATCCGCGGTCGTCAAACATAAGGTCACGTATATATCGCCAAGCCTAGGCATTGCGGTTTTTCTACCCCTTCGAGTCGTGCGACTTGCGATGCGTTATTTCGAGTGGTAGGGATTTATTGGAATTTATTTTGAAGAATGTCGAGTTTGTGAGTGAATGCTCCTGGTGGGGCTAGACTTGCGGCTCCGGAGCTTCCCCAGTCCACAGGAAATAAACCGGCTAACAAAACGGTTGTGAATGTCAATGATTTACGGATACTTCCCACGTTTTACCTACGCAACGTGGGGATATGGACAGTATTCGAAGATTCCACGAGTTGTCAAGGTCCTCCTTGTCGGCGTAAAATCGGTGAGGATAGAGGATCGTTCAAGCCAAGGTTTTGCAAAGGCCCATTAAACGGGTCCATCAGTAAGAAGATAACGAAGGGCGGTTGTTGCGGGCGTCATGCGTGGGCGAAAGGACAAAGGCATAAGTCAGAGGCTGCAAGAAACTAGTAACTTAGGGGTAAGAAGCGAGAGGTTGCAGAGACAGCTAGTAACTTAGGGGAAGGCAGACCCGCGACTCTTATGCCCGTTGGCTCCGAGGCTCCTCCGTCCAAAATACAGCTAGTAACTTAGGGGTAAGGAGTGCCGGGCATCACCCACGGCATGACCTGGCTTGCCTGGGAACGACGAGAGATGGATGCTTGCCATTACCTAACATTACCTAACAGCGAAGATGGTTATCTGCGGTTGAAACCGGTCATCCCACGTTCAGAGTTGCGCCGGCGGGCGTGAGAAAAAGAGAGAGACAAGAGAACGGTGAAGACCTTTATACTGTGTAAGATATGAATAAAGTGAAGCTACGGATACTTCCACGTGCAACTTCACCAGGCGAAAAACATAGGACGGTTGACAGCCGGCACTTGACTCGAAGTGGAGGGACAGGCTGTGCTGGGCCCTGGAAAAGGGACAATTGAATTGGATGCCGCAGCTGCAGCGAGCGGGAGAAAGCAAAAAAAAGATGGAGAAATATGCGTAACAGAAACGCAGAAACCACCTTTACCCAGACCCAGATCAGCGGGACCGCGCTATCTCTGGCAGCCTCCAGCCAACAGAAACGCAGAAATCAACCCCCTCCAAGCCCAAACTGGGGTGGGCTTGTCGGATGACCACACCTCCAAGACGCAAAAACGCCCTTGACAAAGAGCAACTCTAAAAGCACATTTCACCTTTTTTGCGTGTGTCTCTCTCTGACTGTGAGTTTCGTATGTAACAGATACCCCCGCGCATACGCACCCGCACACGCTATTACCTTATCCATATTCCGCTTCCAGGCCTCGTGTTGTTTGGGGGTGAGGGTGAGAGCCAGTGTCTGTGCCGTCGGCCGATTGCAGCCTATCGAGAAGGTAGAAAGGTCCAAGGTGGGAACAGAGAGAGGCCGAGAAGAAGGATGGCGGTGCCATTGACGTCCCGAATACAAATGGAGGCTTCCTCGCTGACTCTTTGTTGGGCTTGTTCTTCACTTCTCTCTTCTTTATCTCCTCTCACAACCTCATAAACACCATTGCCTCTCATCTCATTGCTACATCTTATCTCTTATCGTAGCTTCTACGTCATCCCTAGCCTATCCCCCACTTTCCGCCGCTTACACTCAAAACCGCCAATATGAACACTGGCCTCGTTCACAGCCGCTTCCTCTCCAAGCCCGATGAGGTCGGCGTCGTCGCCGTTGGCTTCTCCGGTGGTCAGCCCAAGGCCGGTGTGGACATTGGTCCCGCCGCTCTCATCCAGTCCGGTCTCCTCACTGAGATCCGCGATGAGCTCGGCTACAAGCTGTTCGGCGACGAGTCCGTCCAGCAGTTCGAGGACCTCGTCCCTGAGTCAGACCCCGACTACCGCGGCATGAAGAAGGCCCGCCATGCGTCTGCCGTTACTCGCAAGATCGCTTCTCACACCTACGAGCACTCTCGCGAGGGCCGCATGACTCTCACCCTTGGCGGTGACCACAGCATTGCCATTGGTACGATTGCCGGAACAGCCAAGGCTACCCGCGAGCGCCTCAACCGCGAGATCGCTGTTATCTGGGTTGATGCGCATACCGACATCAACACACCTGAGAGCAGCGACAGTGGTAACATCCACGGCATGCCTGTTGCTTTCTTGACTGGTTTGGCCAAGGACGACAACGAGGAGTACTTTGGCTGGCTCGAGGATGATATGCGTCTGAGCATCAAGAAGCTGGTGTACATCGGTCTCCGCTCCGTTGACATTGGCGAGAAGAAGATCCTACGTGAGCATGGCATCAAGGCTTTCAGCATGCACGATGTTGACCGGTAAGATTGATCTGCATCTCACTCAACTTTATTCTTTACTAACCTTTTACTCATAGTCACGGTATTGGCCGCGTCGTCGAGATGGCCCTCGCTTACATTGGCAACGACACTCCCATCCACCTTTCCTTCGACGTCGATGCCCTCGACCCCATGTGGGCTCCTAGCACCGGCACACCCGTCCGCGGCGGCCTGACTCTCCGCGAGGGTGACTTCATCTGCGAAAGCGTGCACGAGACCGGCAACCTCATCGCCATCGACTTGGTCGAGGTGAACCCCCAGCTGGCCGACGGAAAGCAGGCAGAGCAGAACACAATCCACGCTGGCTGCTCGCTGGTGCGGTGCGCTCTGGGCGAGACACTGCTATAGGCTCAAATCAGGTTGGGAGTTTTCTTTGTGTAGGGCGAATGCATCGATAGGGAGTACTGTCTGTGTTTGCGGATGACTGAATGATATCCTTGAGTTGAAATGAATGATTGGGTTGGTACATATCATATACAAGCGGGACTACGAGATCGCTCTCGAAATAAAATGTCACTTTCTTTCCTCGGGAATTATAGTACTTGATGGTTGTTTCATGTGAAGGTGACGGATTTCTACCGGTTGTGGTAGTTAATTAGCGCAAGCTTCAATTATCAGAGAACATTCGGTAATGCAAATGAATTCTTGACAATCCTACAAAATAACTGCCAATTGTTCCATCTCCTGACCGATCATCTCATTAAACAAACCATCTCGAAGGCTGGGACTGGGTCCTTTACTTTTCGACGTGTCCCTATGTATCCATTCAGAAGCCTTTCCAGCGTCACCATCCACCATCCCCTGTCCCCAGCCACGCGCAGCGACCACCAACCTCCTCGCGAAAGCCTCACCAAGTCCCGCATTGGGTCTTTAATTTCTCTCTGTGCATCAATTGGACAGATTCCTTTACCATCAGATTCATCCCCTGTCTGTTGACTTTGTCCGATTCCAATCTTCTTTGCTTTTTCTTTATCCTCGATCGCCAGATAATTCTCAAATACCCAGCAATCCAACGACGATTGAACTGTGACATACTATTGTCTATGATCATCTGTGCCTGATTAACACCCTACCTAATACTTGGCTCAGCTGCGATATTAGAGACCTCAATATTCTTCCCTTGGCATCTCGACCCGACGTCACATCCTCCACCAATACAGCGAAAAACTCCACCCCCGAATCTGCCGACGCGGGATTAAAAAAATCACTCTTCTTTCTCGGCAAAGCGACTTCGATAACGCGTGAGATATCAACGCAGACTGCTATTGAGGCATCCGATCTTCGAACCGCAAGGCACGCCAGATTTACTGGTCGATATACGCGCCGCGATCGGCGGGGCTGCTTAGCAACGTGGCAGTCAATTAGGAGCGACAGACGCGTGTTTGTTTGGGTGCCAGAAGTGGTTCAAATCTCGGCGATTTCGAGGAAACAAACCGATTGTTCGTTTGACTTAACTATTCACGTTTGGAGGATCTTCAACACCGAATCTTCAACATGGTTGCCAAATCAACACTTACCGGCTTGACCGGCACGACGGGAACGTCAGCAATGACAGGAACAACAGGATGGACGGGAACGAGCTACAACAGGTCGTCAATGACCTACGATGGTCCTCCGCCCTCGACATATGTGCGAACGTACAACTGGCCGCCTCTGCAGCTGAACTTCTGGATCTTTGTGATCCTTCTCGCTTCCTCTAGCATCATCGGCGTGTTTGCGACCTTCATCCAGGTCCAGAACCAGCTCGAGCTCGGCATTCCTTGGTAAGTTCACAAGTCATCGCTTCCAAGACAATGGCTAACAGATGCAGGTACTTCCCCTACTTTGTCACCGTCGCCTCGCTCTCGATCCTCTTCATCGTCGGTATCTTCTGGCTCATTTCCCAGCGACGACTTCTCCCTGCGATAGTTATGGTCGGCGGCTTTATGTTCTTTGTGCTATGGCTTACGGGACTCGTCGTCGTTGCGATGCAGCTGTTTGGACCTGACGGGTCTATCCAAAGCGTGTGTGATGTCCAGGTCTTTGGGAGGAATCCCAAGGGCACCAGTGTTGCAACGATGGCGTGGCTTCAGCAGCGAAACATCTGTACGTTCCCCTCCTACTACTTATAGCCCAACTGCTAATAAATCGATAGGTCAATCTTGGCAACTGGTTTTCGCGATGGCACTCATCGGCACTCTCTTTTTCGTCTGGGTCATGATTATGGCGTTCCAGGTCTTTGTCAACTCATAACGAGCCAGCACACGATTCAACATTACTATGAAGGAACAAGAATTGCATTTTAATAACGAATTAACGATGCATGGCAGATGAAAAGCCACGGAGTTGAGTGATTTAATACGAGATGCATTGGTTTGCACGGGAAGGAGTTTGTTTTCATTGTAGGATTGAGCAGAAGGGAACGGAACAGTGTGGTGCATTTACAGAGACGAAATCACAAGTTTGAGTAGTATAAACCGGAACTGGTAATTGTCTGGGTAATAAAAGGTAATAGTTATGCATATCAATCGGATTTGGTTACTATCATGATGGTCGGCTGCCTCTGAACTTTCCAGCCTTTGGTGAGGGAAAAGAAGATCTAGAACCTCATAGTCATCAGCGCCTTGCTTGATTCTCCTTAGCTTCATCATACACATGCTCACAAGCATTCAATCTGTAGCGAGTCCACCTCTGGAAGCGCAGTCCTTTCAGCTACCTTTGCGCGGCGGTGTCGCTAGCTCAGGCCATTCAGCTGGACAGGATTAAGACAAGCCCCACATAAGCTCCAAGGTGGAAGGACATCGCGATAAGCATCGAGTGCGCTTCCAGACAAGATTTGGAAACTTCACATGTTGAAACAATCATGATGGAAGCCCAGAGGCCGCTTCTTCCGAGATCTCACCAGGGCACACTGTGCATCCTTGATATCCGGCAGTTTGTACCGTGTAAACTGGGCATTTCAGGGTCTCGGTGACGTAGAAGCTAAAGCTTGTGCACCCCTGCACAGTATAGTGGGAGGATCTATTGGTGATGACGAAAGAGGGGGAATGATGGGCAGCGCCGCGTGGGAAACGACAGGAATCAAGATGCGATCTGCGGGTTATTTCTCCATCCGATGACTTGAACCAAGCTTGAAAGGGTTTCACTATTGTTAGATCCGGCTCAGACAAAGGTATAAGAAGGACGAGTGCTGCTGCTCCCAGTCTCCCCCTCCATCATCATCACATCAACTACTCTACACACAACCACTTTACAAACCACCACTTCCCCCCCACAAATATCATAATGGATTTCATCAAGAAGGCTGTGAGCGGTGGTAGCTCCGATGCTTCCAAGACCGGCGGCAGCACCTCCACCACCAACAACAACCAGGACTACGGTGACAAGGGTAAGATCTTCCCATAGAGCCATATCATGTTCACATACTGACCCTCACTTCAGCTGCCTCTTTCCTCAACGACAAGGCCGGCTTCAACATCTCCAAGGACAACCAGGAGAAGGCCACTGACTTTGCCCGCAGCCAGTACGAGAAGTCATCCGGGTAAGTGGCGTCCCCAAGTGGCGTATGTAGAGCTGTGGCTGACAACGATGCAGATCCAAGATTGACCCCAAGTACTCCAACTAAGAAGAATCTTTAATTATATAATGATCATTGAAACTCAAAGCGAGTATGAATTAATAAAACATAATTTCTAAATAATTATCAGGAGCTTAAATGCTTGTGACATTATGCTTGGCATGTGAATGAGTCGGTCGCACAGATATGTGAATACCATCTGCCTACCCACAAATTGAATGGATGTAAAGCTCTGGTTCACTGTGATAAGAATGTCCTCCTCGATTAGCGATGTCAGACTTTATCTCAGCCCAACCCTGGTTTCAATGTTGCGCCATTCAGTGTCAGACGGCGCTTCAATGGCTGTTTCAGTTGTGAGCTCTGATTCTGAATGGCACATTGGCTCTCAGCATGATTATCACGATAGTTCAGTTCGACAGCTACGTTAATACTGGTAGTAAATGCATTTGATTCAATGTCAATGCTATTGCTCAATTATTGGACTTTGTTAAAGACTAGCATATGCTTATGTGCTGGCAATGGTTGTCCCCAGCAACGACCACATGGACGAGCCCCGCTATTTCCCCTCCAGCCGCCGCTAAATGGACAGGCCACCGATACGAGGTCTCCTATTGGTAGGCTCTTGATACCGTCCAACGGCACCCAGCAGTAATGGTCAATTTAGCGCACTCGGGTCCCGTCAGGTTTTCACTTTAGGGAGGAGTTTTGGGGGTTAATCAACGCCCAGTGGCCCAAGACCCAGGAATAACATTCAAACACCCCATACCCGGCCATTTCCTCCCTTAGATCGAAAATCCCCCAATTGACATCAACCAAAACTCAATCACAGCTGCAGCTGCTTTCGCATCGCGGCCGTCGCAATGCATCATGGCCAACGATGAGCAAGACCGCGACCGAAGCCCAAGGGCTCAGGCTTCAAGCCCCAGCAATAGCATCACTATCAACGACGGTTCGCGTCCTCAGACAGCCCATCGCGTCTCACACGGACATGACGAGCACGAGGCCACCGAGACATCAGACATGACTGACGATACAGTCGCCGACACGTCGCAAGCGTATGCACAGACAACAAATTCGGCCACAGAATCAGTGGCATCTCCACACGACATCGCCATCACAGTCGATGATACGCATGCGAGATCCCAGACTAGGACAAACCCGCAGAGCAACCCCCCGGCCTCAACAAGCCACGACGACTCCATGCTGCTGCACCGCCCTGGACATACTGCCCCTGAGACCAGCTACTTCGACCCTATCTCTGTCGATCTCACCCGTGCTCACGACGATTCATTAACCGAGGAGGACGTTAGACGCCACTTGGGAGACGTGGAGTCTAGTTTTCTGCCCGCCTTATCGCCCATTCCTACCGCATCCACGAACCTGGCTGGAGGTGTCGACGACACGTTCCAGTTCGACTCTCCCATAAAAAAGCCTGCCCCTCAGCCAGCGCAACAACAGCAACAGCAGCAGGAACAGTACCAGCATCAGCCGGAGGACGACCAAGATGTAACTGGAACCATAGATACTTCCAACTTTGAGGCCTTCTCTTCATCGCCCACCGCCGCCGCTACTAGGAGGACCATATCGCGCGCTGTGAGCATGGCAAGCCAGTCTGGGGAGAATCACAGCACAAGCTACGACGAAAGCGAGAACCAGGATACCGAACAGGAAAGCTCACAAGTGTCTAGCGCTGGCGATAACGAAGCCCCTTTATCGAGAACTCATTCCCTGACCGATAAGGTTGATGCTGGCAGCACCCCCGGACAAGCACTGCGAAGTCGACGACCCAAATACTTGCGCAGTCGCTTTGGAAGCCAACGCTCATCCACGTCTTCGTTTGCAACAAACCCTGATTCCCACGAGGGAAGTGACATGACTGTTGGCCTCGGTACTGATTACGCTCTTCAGTCCGGAGGTGCAGTTCCTGCGATGGGTCTAATGCGGAACCCAAGCAACCCAATGCTACGGACCATCAGCATAGGGAGTATGGGCAGCGTTGGATCGGTATTTGGCGCTGAGGATTACACCGACAGTTCATTACCGCAACTCGAGCCGCTACCCGAAGTCGATAGTCCCGAACGGCCGCGACCACACGATTTGCTTTCTACGCCAAAGCCATCTAAGGAAGGGTTCACTACGGCGCCTACGGATACTGTTATTGCGCGACACGTTAGAAACGTCCAGGTACCGGAGTCTCTGGCCAAAGAGTACAAGTACAAAGGCGGTCTGGAAACCCCCCGTCAACCTTCATCAATCGCCATGGGGTCGGTGACTACAGCCCGATCCGGAAAGAACCTGACCCTCAAAGAGCAGAGTAGTACGATTGAGAGGCTGTCCAAGGAGAATTTTGATCTGAAGCTCAAAGTTATGTTCTTGAGCGATCGTCTGGATAAGCTATCAGAAGAGGGTATCAAGGAGATGATTTCAGAAAATGTTGACCTCAAGACTGGCCTTGCGGTACTGCAGCGCGACAATAAGGTTCTACGAAGAAGGGTTAAAGAATTGGAGAAACAGGTCAGAGACGAAGGGGAGCGACCAAGTACCTCGTACAGTGGTACATCATCGACAGACCAAACGGCCCGAATGGGAGAAGAGGAGCGGGAAGAAGAGCTCATCTTCTTGCGGGAACGGGTTGAAGAGTATGCGGAGGAGATTGAGCGACTGCGGTCGGAAAGTTTAACCAAGGAGAATGAGAGACGGAAGTTTGCGGACGTCGTTAGGTCGCTGGGTGAACGAACGAGCGAAAACATGGAGAGACAAGAAGAAGCCGATGTCTGGAAGGATCTCCTCGAACAGGAGACCGCGCGTAGAGAACAGGCCGACGACGAAAACAAGCGACTACGAGAGGAGGTGTTCAGACTGAAGCAGGACGTGTCCTCTCTTAATGGTGGACAGGGAGGTTTGCATCATACCACAAACATCTACAACATCACCAAAAAGCACCGTGATGGTAACCTGTCACCAACCCGGCCTGTCTCTCATATGTCGAACGATATGGAAAGCTCGAATGGCAACTTCAGCTCGGCTACGACCCTTGTTGATGAGCTTCGCCGAGAGAGTGAGCAGCTGCGCCATGAAAATGCTGAGCTAAGGCGCGAGGTTGGTGCGCAAACATCTATGCTGACTTCGAGGAACCGCGAAAAGGAGCGCCTCTACCAGGAGATTGAGGATCTCAAGATGGCTCAGCGACGAGGTCGGCCCGCCCCTTCAACTATCGACAGCCTTCTCGACCGATCGGCTTCACAGGTTGGTGGTCACGATAGACCTCAATCGCGCGGTAGCATGCGAACGCGGACTCAAATCGAGGATGAGGTCGAGCGAGAGGAGATTGAGAACAAGATGGCCGATATGCGCGACAAGATCAGCGAAGTCAAGCTGCAGAATCAAGAGTTGCAGCGCGAGCTTGAGATCTGCATGGAGGACTTTGAGACTGCTATTGACGGCAAGCGACAGGCTGAAGAGGCGGCGATAACTCTCCAGGAGGACCTCAACAACGCCATGAACGATCTTGTGGCCCTACAATCCGAACGCGACGAAGCTCTCCGCGAACAAAGCGAGATGGAGAACGAGTTTGAATCGCTGAGGAAGGAGGCGCAGGAGGAGATTGATGCGTTGGAGTCAGAGGCCGATCAACAAGCCGAAGAGATGCAACGAGTGCAAGCAGACCTTCAGGACCGCTCAGAAAACTTTGACGCCTTACAGGAAGAGATGCGCAAGATGAGTGAGGCCTTGATACGACTTGAAGACGACCAGGAGAACAAGTTGCGCCGTATCCAGCAGCTTGAGCAGGAGCTTGATTCATCCAACAAGGAGCTTGAGGATCTAGAGCAGAAACTCATGGAAGCCAACGACAAGAACCAGCGTCTATCTGTGCAACAAGAGTCATCTCAAGGGGAGATTGCATTCCTACGGGAAGAGCAAGAGGGCGATAAGATCCGGATTGGAGACCTTGAGGCTGCCATGGCCAACGCCGAGCAGAGCATACGTGATGAAAAGGAACGAGTCAAGGAGTTGGAGAACCGTCTCCAACAGGAGCGTCACCAGCGCGAGATCGTGGCAGACCAAGAGAAGGAGGAGGTGCAGCAGTTCGTCAATGAGCTCAACAGGGAGGCTTCGGCTGCCAAGGATGAGGCGCGTCGTCTGCGTAAGAACCTGACGTCGAGAGAGGTTGAGGCGACGGAGTGGAAGGAGAGGCTGATGGAGCTCGAGAATAACCTTCGTGAGGCTCTGGGTGACCTCAACGGTACTCGTTCTTCTCTCCTCAAGGTATGTTGTCTCGCTGTCGTGGGAGTATACTTGCTAACGTTCTACAGTCTATTGCCAAGTTACAACGTGAGCTCGAAAACACAATTCGAGACCTTGATGCAAGCAAAGCAGCCCTGGTGGAGAAGGATCGTATTATTAAGATGCGTGATTCTTTGCTTGAATCTCATGCTCTCGAGAGTCGCAAGCTTGCTGAGCTGCTCGAAAAGGAGCGCCTCGCCCACAGAAACACAAAGTCACAGTACGAGACTTTCCAGAAATCACACCAGCATCTTACTCGCACCGCCAGCAGTCAGGATATCCGTATTGCTGAGCTGGAGACGAACAAGAGCTCGGATCGCAGAAAGATTGCAGTGCTCGAGCAAACAGCACGAGATCAATTGCAGGAGCGCAACGAGTTGCTCCTTCAACTGTGGCACAAGCTTAGCCACTTGTGTGGTAGAGAATGGGTTCACGGTAACTCACTTATTGATCGCCAGGTTCTGCCATCGATCGAGGTGATTGCAAACAGACTGCCCAGCTTCACTAAGAACCTCATGGCTGCGGTCAAGGCTATCGAGAACATGGTCGGATCGTTTGAAGTGCGGATCAAGTCAGTGGAGCGCGATCTGCACCGTGAGTACCAGAGTCTCGAGAGCAATCTTGAGACACGTACCAAGAAACTGGATCGCCTGGAGACGATGGTTAGAAACTCTATTGCTACCGGCACAATGAGCCATGATGCTCGGTACAACCGTCTAGAAGAGGCGTACCGCCAACTCAAGGTTGAGAACACCACACTGCGCACCGCTAACGACGTGCGAGCGCGCGCAGCCCATTCAGCAAGAGACAGCTCTGACGCTCTCGTCCCGCACTCACCGTCACCATCCGTCCCGCGCGGCCCAGGTGATCAGAATCGTGACCGCACAAGTCGTTCCAGATCACGCTCGACCATGACAAGGGCGCACACCACAAACGCCATCCCAGGGTCTTCCGCCGGCGGTGTCGGCCTAAGGGACATGGCATCCCTCAGCGAGGAAAACGCCAGCGGGGCCAACGACAACAGGTGGCTCTTCCGCCTGCGCGACATGGAGTACAAGCTCAAGATGGAGCGCGAAGGGCGGAACCAGGACCGGCACTCGGCGAGGCAGAGACTGGGAGGCTTGGAGATGGAGAATAGGGATTTAAAAGAGCGTATGAAGAGGGCTTTGGGGGACATCGATTGAAAGCATTAGGAGTTGGGGAGGAATGAATGAACGGATGGTTGATAGGGCAATGAACTCATCAAATAGGAGCTAGGGTGTTTTGTGGATTATTTATTTGTTCTATTTTATTTTATGTTATTCTTTGGTGGTTTGTATAATACAGGTATTGTATGACGGGCGTGTGTGGAGATAGCATGGCGGATTGAGGGGAATGAACATACTTGGGTATTTATTTGTTTGAATGCGGGTCTTCACTGGCGTGATATGTGATTTGATGCTATAAGATTTGGTATTTTGGTGGTGTTGATGTTCACTGTCAATGGTGGTGATCTTGATGATGGTTGTGGGTAATAAAAGGCCGGGCTACCGGGTAGTACTGTGTTTAAGATATTTTACACTGTATTGCTTCTGAGACGTCGTGTATACAAACTTGTTTGCTGTCATAGAGGAAACTCATACTCAGAAAAAAGAGAAAGCGAAAGGCTCAGGAATAACTAGGAGTTAAGTAAATATAGTATTAGAGATGAAACAAGTGTAGCATAGAAACCTGTCTTATCTAGTTTGCGCACTAATATGGTTCTATGATAGAACGGTACATCTCTCGCTCATTTCGGTCCCACTCTACACAGCGAGAAGACATCATGGCACTGTATTTTCAAGTCTTCTTTAGAATGTCTTATCAGACGGCCCGCAAAAGGAAAAAAAACATGGATTGCAGATATGATTGACAGAAATAATTCGCCTGTCCTAGTCCACCGACGACAGCAGAGTGTTCAAACATTTTTGTCGTTGCACATCTTCATGTCAGATTAATCACGATTATTTTGCTACCCACCTACTCATCTTCAATCAACCCGTCTCATCTCACAAACTCTGCTCTGTGGTAACACAAGCCACACCTTTCCACAACAAGTATCCCCCTCACGAAAATCTCCGCCGTCTTATTCATCACGGACTTGCCGGATTAGGAAACGCCGCGTCTCCTCACCACGGGATATAAGACATCACTCCACGGCACTCCGTCGTCAGCTTTTGTGTATTGTTATCTTCACTGCTCCGGTCGCCTTTACCTATTATATCACTTTTAATCAGTGTCGCAATTATATTCACAATGCTGCGTGCTAGAACACACGGCGCAAGCCCAACCTTGAAGCGCTGTATGACATCAGCCTCCAAGAAAGAAGGCAACATCTCAGACGCTTTCGCATCCCTCTCGGGCACGAAAAAAGAACCTCTTCCTGATCGCTTCCGCGAGAGGAAATTAGAGATTGTCCAAGGCCGAGAAAAAAAGATCAAGCAGAGCTGGAAAGCACTGCTCAGAGAATTAAAGAGGGAGAATGGCATCATTGGGAAGAGAGGCCCGAGGGCCGTGCCGCAGATTGACTATGAGGACTTACAAGCCAATGGGAAGGTGTTAAGGAAGTTGAAGGATGATATCAAGAAGACGGGTGTTGTTGTCGTTAGGGGCGTTATCCCTGAGGACGAGGCGAGGGCGTATAAAGATGTGGTGGAGGAGTATGTTAGGAAGAATCCTTCTACAAAAGGTAACAAACATCACTCTTTAACATCTGAAGCACTTCACTGACAATATCAGCGTTCCCTCCCCATGATCCTCAAGTCTACGAACTCTACTGGTCTCTCCCCCAACTCCAAGCCCGCTCCCACCCAAACTTCCTCCGCGTCCAGCACTACCTCATGTCCCTCCTATGGAACAAGTCCAACCCCGACAGTGTCATCTCCCTCGACCACCCCTTCAGCTACGCCGACCGTCTCCGCATCCGTCAGCCCGGCGATGCATCTTTCGCTCTGGGCCCCCACATCGACGGTGGCAGCGTTGAGCGCTGGGAGAAAGAAGGCTACGGCCGCGGAGGCGTGTACGATAGCATCCTCGAGGGGAGGTATGAAGAGTATGATCCTTGGGACGCGAGCGGTCGTGTCAACGCTGTGAATAACCGCTACGATGGACTGGGCGCTTGTTCAATGTTTAGAATGTGGCAGGGATGGATGAGCATGAGCCATACTCTGCCTGGTGAGGGAACACTGCTGGTCAATCCGCTCGTGAAGTTGTCCATGGCGTATGTGCTGCTCAGGCCGTTCTTCCAGGCAAAGAAGTTTTCCAGGGGAAGGGAGTACCTGGATGAAAAGAACTGGGAGTTCATGGGGGAGAATATGGATAGTGAACTGCAGGGTGCGACGTTGGGCAAGGGTCAGGAGCTGACAGATGAGCTGCACCCGCATTTGGAGCTGAAGAAGTCCATGGTACACGTGCCTGAGATTCGACCTGGCGATTTCGTAGCTTGGCACTGCGACAGTAAGTCCCTCTTTTTCTCTGGTCCAAGAAAGATGCACGCTAACAACCCCAGCAATCCACGCCGTTGACAAAGTCCACAACGGAACCACCGACTCAAGCGTGCTCTACATCCCCGTATGTCCCGTGACGGAGCAGAACGCAGAGTACATGGCCCGGCAGCGCGCAGCCTTCCAGCGGGGCACGCCGGGGCCGGACTTCCCCGGCGGCGCGGGGGAGTCGGAGCATGTGGGTCGGCCTACGGAGGACGTCCTGGACGGGCCGGGCAAGAGGGCCATGGGGCTGGAGGGGTTAGCGGTGGAGGGGTCGACGGGAGGGGCGAAGGAGGCGGTGGAGAAGGCGAATGCGCTCCTGGGCTTTTGAAGAATTGTGTTTGTAAGCATTTTCTTTCCTTTTTGTGTTAGTTCCGTGCTCCGTCCGTCTTTGGCCCGTGGTTTGTAAGCTGGTGGACTTTGGTGTTGGTGTTTCATCGCCCAACGCGGTAATGCTCTGTATCATATCGGCAGTTGAAGCATATTCCGCAACTGACACGTCAACATTCCGTTACAAACCTCTCTCCTGACACAGAATCACTTTCACCCGTGAACCCGTCCGCTGCGGATGTCGGCGTTGGAACCGACGACCCGTAGTCCAATTAACACACCTAGTGCCAGTTGTTTCGGACGGGGTTGGATCCACGTAGCGATGGGCCGACCCCTCATTAGTAATCGATCAGGAACCATCTAGCAAGTTCAGTCGATCGTATTGAAGTCCTAGAAGCGGTGAAGCGGTTTGTGGAGAAAGTGAACGTGGGAGAAGAGGACAGACGTGGGATAATGGGGCAGAAATAAAGGGATATATATATACCTGTAGGTTATCGCCGCGGAATCCTCGGACAGATCAATCTCATCACGCAATCATTCACTATACCCAATCCATACCACACTTATCACATCACCAAACTCAATTCGCCCATCATGAGCTACTCCCTCTACGACGCCGCCATTCTCCACAGCAAGGATGCTCTGAACTCCCTCTCCAGCATCCTCAAGAAGGCCGAGTCCCACGCCAACGCCGCCTCTTTCACCACCGCCAAGCTGGCCGAGGACATGCTGGACCTGAGCTTCCAGGTGCACTTCACGACCGACGTAGCACAGAAGATCGCCGCGCGCCTCACCGGCAGCGAGCCCCTCACACTCTCCCGCGAGGACTGCAACTCCTTCGAGAGCTACCAGGCGCGCATCGCGCAGGTGCTCGAGGTGCTGAACAAGGTGGACAGGGAGGTCGTTGAGAAGCGCATCGACGAGATCGTCACCATTGGCCTCGGTCCTGGAAAGTCGGCTGACATGAAGTGCCGCGACTTTGCTCAGGGATACGCCATTCCCAATGTTTTCTTCCACTTGACTACTGCTTATGCGATCTTGAGAAAGGAGGGTGTTGACCTGGGCAAGATGGACTTCCTTACTCCTTTCGTGGGACAGTACCTTTCTTAGATCAAGGGCTGGATTTAATAATTGAATAAAAGCATGTTTGACGCTTCATGAATTAACTTATCTGTCGATTAAATGTGACTGTAAACCTGATACATGTGAAATTAATACTCAATGTTCACTCTCGTTCTATGTGCCATGATACGTTCACAACACCAATGGAGGTTCCAAGGTTGTCATAATCATGAGTGTTAGTTCAAGTCTAGGGTAGTCCCAAACCAGGGTCTTTGTCATCCTTCGCCACCCCTCTATCAATTACACGCCCTCAAACTCTAAGCTTCAAATCCAACATCAGCATCATCACCACCGTTAGAATGGCCGCGCACTGGTGGCTACTCCGCGCAATCCAATCCTTCGAAGTACGCTCCCTTCACACCAAATCCTCAAACTAAACTAACAGCCCGTAGGACCACATCGTCGCATCCGTACGAAAATCCCAACCCTCCCGAACGCCTCCATCGCTAACAACGCCCAGATCCTCCGACGACCCGGTTTCCACCGCGCAGTGGGACGCATACACAAGACGATAAACGAGAAGCAATATGGACGAAATCCACACGAGCCGTTAGCACCCGGCGAAGCGACCGGTATATTTCCCCCAGTCCGAGGTGATTGAGTGTGGCAGATGGCTGACTGAAGCACAGCGGATCCTAACTCTGGCGATCGAAACGAGCGCTTCGCAAGGCATTTTATCGAAGAGTTGAAGAACCAGTTCAGAGGGAAGCCGACGGACTTGCCGAGCGATAGACCGAAGAAGTGAAGCAGAGGTGGAAGTTTTTAATGATGTTATGATACCCTGGATACTCCACTCTCGACCACGATCGATTGGAGGTTTTTCGATAAGCTTTGGGCTTTACTTTTGCAATTGGGAGAGTCGGTACAGCGTTGAGAGGGAAGTTTTGGTGTTGGATTCAAGAGCCACTGGGCTGAATATTGGCTTTACGGTTGTACGATAAGCATTGAATAAGGAAGTATGGATATCAGCGGTGTTTCGCTGTACGACAAATGTCACCGTCCGATTTGTCTGTCTCTCAATTTGGAGTTTGAAGCTATAGAATCGTGCACAGCGACTGAGTTGATGCACCTTAATGTACGACCCGGACAAGCCGAGAAGATGTGTCATTCCATCCTCCTCAGAGGAGCCGTGAACTGCATCGTTCCCTTGAGCTGTACGTCCGAGTAGTGACGGTATCAGCATCGGTTTTGGCACCATCGTAGCAGAATCCTGCAACAATCTGCCCTTGCAACTTCGCCAGTTGCCTCCTATACTGACACTAATAAATATCTGTACTTGTGTCAGCTATGCAAACATCTCTGGGATTGTGGACGCACCTTGCATTACACATTACATTATCGATACCTCCACGACGCCGTTTACTCTTCTTGGGTATCATAACCACGTTTCCCATGCGCATATTTCTAGTTCAACGCCAATCCCTTTCCATCATACTGAGTTGTTCTTGCAACAGGAGCAGTCGCTTCGGAGTTGGGTTCGTTCCAAGCACCTCATCCGTCTGCCTATAAATTACAGGGGAGACAACACGCCACAAAGTTTATGTTGACGCCAACTAGGCCAGATAACTGCCCCCATCTCTCCAAGCTCATTTTGTGAAGCTTCAAGCGGCCTAGACGTCGCGTCGGGTGCTGGACCAAGGCGTCGTCCGACTCATGCTGAAGGAGAGCGGCTGTTTCGATGCTGTTGGCTTTGGCTGAAGATGTGTTCCACATTATGGCGTTGATAGAAACGAGATATCGTTCTCAGAGGTAGTGGCCATTTATAACCAGACTTTCTGTTTGCCTCTTTGCTGACCGTGAGCACTGCTGTCATCTCACCAACAACCACCACCTTAGTGGTCAGAAGACCGTCATACAGCATGGACTCAAAATAGCCGCGACTCACGATATCGAGAAAGCGAGCTTTAGCTCCAAGGGTAATACCAAGACAGGATCTAACGTGCGACTCCAACCAATCACATATTACCCTTCGCAGGATCGGCAAAGCTGACGAGGATTATGAGGTGTCTGGTTGTGAATGGCTCACGACAACGTCGCGTATTGCCCCCAATCTACCCAATTCATGGGAAGACCAATGTCGAGATTCGCCTCGAGAGCGTCCTCCACGGCGCCCAGATTGAAGCTGGGATCGATGGCGCCAAAGACATCCGCCCCGGAGATGGCGTCGATGAGCGAAAAGTCAACGGGTTGCTCCACGCTAGGCACAGAGTTGATCATGGTGGGATTGGCTACTGCGCCACAAAACTCAGGCGGTCGAGAGACGGACTGGGAGAGCGAAGAGGGGACGGAGTTTGGTGTTCCCTCATGCGGAGGCGGTGTCGCCTCTCTCGTGAGAGTGTTAGCAGCACGTTCCATCTCCTTCAACACCCGTTCCCCCAGCCCAGCCACGACATTAGCGCTCCAGAAACAATCACCAAACTTGCGCAGCATCTCGCAATTGCGTCGAAACGCGTGCATGGCCCGGCTCCGGAACATGGGCAGCCGGCTGTGTCTCATCTTGCGATACTCGACACTCAGGGCCAGACACACAGCGTAGGGGACGAAGGGCATGGGGCTTAGGTGGTCGCGAAGAACAGCGCAGGCGATTCTCTCGGCGGCGAGGGAGCGACGGGCGTTGGCGGAGGGGGGTGGGAGGGTTGATGCTGCTGTGAGAGTGCCGGGGCGCGGGAGGCGGCATGATAGGATGATGACGGCGTGGTAGAAGGTTTCGATGGTTGCTGGGATTTGTTAGGATTGGTTGGGAATTAAGGGTGGCAACTGACCGATTAGTGAGCCAGGGACTTTGAGGGCATCGGCGTTGACAATCATGGCTTCGAGGACTGGGAGGTCGATGTAGGCTATCTTGTCCAGACCGGATGCCTCAGCGCTAGGTCCCGGGCGATACAGTTCAATGACTTGATCCAACCACTGTATCACAGACAAGAAGAGCCTAAAACAAGGCGGGCGCTTCTTAATACAGCCGTCAAGATTAGCACCAATGTCCCTCTCATGCATCAAGCAGGGTCTTCCGTAAGCAGCAGCAGTTATCCGATCAACCGCCCAGACAGCACAGAACAACGTCTCCAGTTCCTCGCAATTCGGCGCATCGTACCTAAGGAGGTGAAGACCGAGGGTTTGGATGTGGTGGATTGCTCGTCCGCCGAGTTGCGCGGGGAGATCTGCTTCTTCGGAGCTGCTGGGTTGAGTGTACAGGGCGAGAATGATGAGCGCTCTGATGTGAAGGACGCGATCTGTGATAATACTTGTTTCGAGGATGGCGCGCACGGCGGACGATAGCGATTGCATAAAGTCTTGACATTCTAATACCTCGTCACCGCGGTTTTGCAATCGGAGATATCGCGCCATGGAGGGATCGGTGGAAGCGGCCAGACAGACTAGCTGTCGAAGCACGATAGTCACAGGCTCATCGGCAGGAAGGTCCAGAGCTGGCTCAGGAATGACGGGGAGGATAGGATGGATCTTGTCGAGGTACAAGCGGCGCAACTTGCGAAAATCTTGTTCTGGAGGAAGACATGAGAGACAATGCTCTTTTACAAAGGGAAGCAGGAATTGATCCATGATAGGCGGAGGTCGCGAGGTGATGAACTGAGATGCCTGACCAGGACCACCATTGGACGACAGCCAAATCCCCACATCGCCTTTCTGAGAAGTTTCGCGGACTGAAGCTGAGCCTGTTGCTTCCATGAACATGCCCTCTGGGTTGAGATCGCCGACGAAGCGGGAGGAGGACTGCGTTTTGGGCGTGCTGGTGGATTCTCGTAATGTAGGCGAGGGGAAAGTGAGATCACGAGATTGAGGAGATGGACGCGCCGTTCCGCTGTGATCTGGGAGAGCTGTTCTCGGTGTAGAGAGAGGAATCGATCTTTTGAGTGGTTAGGATTGGTGATGCGGTGATCGACGGACAACTCACGCTGACTGGGGGTTTGAATCATCTTGCGGTTCCTCTGAGCCCGTCACAGGCGGCGAGACTGTACTTTCATCCACAGCATCCTCGGCGTGAACACACCTCCTCTACATACTCTCAGCATCCATTTAATGATCGCCAGACACAGTGGACTCACCTTCTTCTTGCGACATGAAGCACAAGCATGCTGGACCTGCTTGCGCTTCACGGGGAGGCCGCCACGTGAAGGATCGGAGGCGACGAATTTGACATGTTTTGACGGTGTGGGCATTGTTCTCATGGCCATTTTTTGTGTTCATGCCATGAGTGAGGCGGGTGGAGAATGTCAATGCAGCAGTGAGTGAGCGAGACAGTGTGTGAGTGAGAGTAGGAGTGAGAAGTGAGTAATCGGATTGGATGGACTTTCAAGGTGAAGGACGCGCGGTGGGGTCGGTGAGCGATGGTGGGGGATTAGTCAGCTCGGTAAGAGGGAAGTTGTCAACACCAAGAGAGAGGATCGTGAGAATTAATTTGAGAATTGGCTTTTGGGGATATTGCCCAGTGGAAGATGCGCGATAAGAAAAATAGCATTACGGATGAGCGTGTAATTATGACATATATTATTGAGATGCTCACGGGTTTGTATGTGAGGCTCTGTACAGATATAAGCAAAGGCATATTGTGGTCAAATGAGAGTGCTCGTAGAATTACAGAAATAGCTTCGAATGCCCCTGTCAGGCTAGACGTGTATCGGCAATTAGACGGGTAAGCCAGGGTCTTGCTGATGACCCAAAGTCTCGGGTGTACGGAGTACAACCGAGAGACATGACGAGTGTGCAAGAACACTGCAATGTGAGCGATTGCATTTAAAGACAGTATGACATGAATATAACGCTCTACGGATATAGAATGTCGCATCTAACAAATATGATCAACAATGATCATCACAAGACTCCCCTCGGTTGCCCCTTCAATATCGCCAATCCCAATGAGTGGACCCGTCCAAACAAACACCACCGCCGTGAATTCTGCAAGCCATCAACACGGTCTTTTACACCAAAAACAAGCCCCAAATTCACGGTCTCTATTAACTCGACCCCACCATTTCTCATTGGCTGTTTTGCAAGACCCTGCATCGCGAAGAAATGGTTGGCCCTTGAGTATCGACAGCATACGCGCTACATCAGAATAGGAAAAGAGTAAACAGTGTGCCAGGGTCTGCCTGGAGGTCGCCTTCAACACGTCCTGGTGCAAGGGATGGGATGTTTACTTGGGGAGGTGTTGTCATGGAAAGCTGTGTTTTTTTAAATGCTACACTTTCGCTGCCTTTTTGTTTTGGTTGGTCGTTACTGTTTTTATCTATCTTTAATCTTGGGAAGTTCTCTGTCTAATACTGAGTATTTGTGGTGGACATCATCAATTGAATCATCATGGAAGACATCAACCTCCCAATCGCATTAAGACGTGCGCGTCGCTGCAGCATAAAAGCAGAGCCCATGCCGGACCTACCATCATCTCCTGCAATGCCTACCAAGACGCCCAAAAGAGGCACAAAAAGAAGAGTCCGCTTCTCAGACCCTTTCCCTGCTTCTTCAGGCCTGACCCCAATGGTCGGGCGCATTTCCGTCGCAACACCTAAGCGCCGTCGCCATTCATCTGCGCCTATAGAAACAACGCCAAACACAATCCGCTCCAGCCCTGCACTTCCCCAGAGCGGCGAGGTCGCTCTTCTGCCCCTTCGACAGGTCCTCGATGGCCGTGTCAAGCGGCGCATTCGGCGCAATGGACTCAGTGAGGAGATGAACACCATCCAGCAGGAGAAGCGACGACGGTCTGTTGAGGCCAAGGCTGAGATTGAGAAGCTTAGATGTGAACTGAAGGCGCGTGATCGCGAGATCTATGAGCTGCAGAATGCCACTGTCGTTATGGACACCGATCGCATCTGGGATCTTGAGAAGCAGATCCAGGATCTTCAGGATGAGCTAAGCAAGAGATCTGGGCGCGGCATGGATCAGAGCAGAGGGTATAACTGGACCCTAGCTGCGCGGGACAAGATCTCGGCTGAGTTTATGGACATGACACCAGACGAGGATGAGTTTGGAGAGGAGACGATGGCGCATTTTGTCACAAGCACTCCATCTAGAGCGAGGACATCTTTCATGACACCCCCTGCGACGAGTCCAACTATCCCCGGGACACCACACTATGATCTTCCTGTCATGATGACGGATGATGTTGGCGTCCAAGCTTGTTTCCCTGATCCCAATCAACAGCGATTGGAAGAAGAGGTTTCGTCTCTGCAATTCGAGGTCACCAAATTGACCGATACCCTTGAGTCGTACAGGGCTCTCAGCGGCCGTCTAACCGATAAGCTCTCCGACTTTACACCTACTACCGAGACCGCATTCTCACATGAAGGTCTCGAGTCACAAATTAACGCCATGCTCCAGACAATGTCCGACAGAGCATGCGCCCTCCAGCAACTCACTTCCTCCATTACCAAACTCGGCTTCACAGGCACCGACGCCAGCGAAATGGTCACCTCTCTGGCCTCCGGCTTCCGCGCCGCCCGTCTGGAGCTGGAGTATCTCACCCCCGGCGAGATCACCCTCCCGCTCTCATCCCACGGCGCAGAAGTCCTCGATCTCATGCTAACGCGACTGCGCCACATGGCCAAGCGAGCCAAGGAGGACGAGGATGCCATCGACGAGTATCACGAGATTGAGCAATCTCTCCGCAAACAGCTCGATGCTCGCGTCACTGTCATGGACGGTCTCAAGGGAGAGATGTGCAAGGCCGAGAAACTCATGAGCGACAAGATGGCGAGGATACGTGAGCTCGAGGTAGCAAACCAGCGTCTCAAGGGCGCAGTGGACGGGTACCTGCGCGACATCTCAGAGCTGGAGAACCTCGTCGAGCGAATGGAGCGCGATGCGCACGACGCAGAAGACGAGTACAGCGTGCAACTTGAAGTCAAGCGCAAGGTCCTCACGCGGAAAGAAGATACCATCGCCGAGCTGGAGACCAAGCTGGCGGGAGCTCTGCAGCGCTCCGCGGATCTTCAGAAGCAGATGCAAGACGTGCAGGAGTCCAAGCTGCACGACATCGCAGAGCTGAACAAGCGCCACGGCGCCGCCCTCGCAGCAGGCGATGCAAGCGTCGCCAAGTACCGCAGGGAGATCGACAGAGTGAACGCATCGCTGCGCTCCGCGCACTCAACGATCTGCAGTCTGCGTGTCGAGAACGGCGGGTTGAAGAGCCAGATGGAGGAGGAGCGCACGCAAGCCAAGGCGGTCATCGATTCGATGAAGGAGGAGCTGCAGCGCGTGGTGCAGATGAGCCAAGAGTTCCTAACGCCGAGGAGCAAAGCGTCGACAGCTGCAGAAGAGTCTGAGGCATCATCTTCCAAGCCGGTTGTTCGTCGCGGGTATCTCTCTGCTGGGTCTGCACGACGGTCAAGTAAGAAGCGACCGAGTCGGGGTCGAGATAGCGGAATGGGATTGTTGGATGAAGATGAAGAGGAGTTCTTCTAGGGACATCAACCCTGGAAAATAGCATACAAACTTTCACTTAGCATCATTTTCTTTGTCTAGCATATTTCTATTTAATTCACCTTCATTCAAGATCTTCTCGTGGAAAGTTGCCTCTTTTGGTGAACATTTTTATCTCCCCCAGTTCCCGACTCGATAGCCGAGATCCGACTCCCCACCCCCGTATTTCCAGCCAATCTAATCAAATCAATCTCTGCACCGGCATAGCCGTCCGAGTTCGGCCGCGCAAAACCGCCATCCCTATCTAATTTCGCAATTTCGACTCATCTCACTTCACTTTCACAACATCCCCTAATAAAGCACACATATTCATATAAGACACACATTCATAATGACAATACTACTCCTCCGCAGCGCCTTCACACGGCAAACATCACGTTTCCCTCAGATCCAACGCCGTCTGCAATCCTCGCCGCGAAAAACAGAGGAGGCAGTCCCCGTGCCAAGCACCGTTGCGCCATTACCTCTCTGGCAGAGACTAGGACCTCTGACAACCGCTGCGCGAGCATATGCGCGGGCGCAGTCCAAGAGGCCTTATAGGACGCAGGTTGCGACCGCGGTGGTCATTTACATAGCTGCGGATTTAAGTGCGCAGTATGTTAGTGATAACGAGTATGACCCTGCGCGGACGTTGAGGAATGCGGTTATTGGTGGATTGGCTGCTATACCGAACTACAAATGGTGAGTATTTCTTTTTCTGATGAGAGATGTGGCTGATAGGTTTAGGTTTTTGTTTCTGTCGCATAACTTCAACTACTCATCGCGCATCCTCTCCATCGCCACCAAAGTCGCCGTGGGCCAAGCATGCTTCACACCAATCTTCAACACATACTTCTTCAGCGCCCAGGCCCTTCTCTCCGGCGAGAGCATCTCTGGGACAATCGAGCGCGTAAAAGATACTGTCCCAACCAGCATCGTGAACTCGTGCAAGCTATGGCCCATGGTGACGGCCTTCAGTTTCACGTTCCTGCCCATCGACTGGCGACCTCTGTTCCACGGCGTGGTGGCGGTGGGATGGCAGACTTACCTGAGCTTTCTGAATAGACAGGCTGAGATGAAGGAGAGGCTTAGGCATGGGGAGAAGCATGTTGAGGTTAAAGAGAAAAAGATGAGGTTTGCTGTGACGCAGGCTGCTTGAAAAGCGTTTCTTTTGCTTTGGTTGCATTGGTGCATTGTTATAGATTTCTTTGAGTATAATAGAATTAGACATAGATGGAGTTTTGGTAGAATGGGTTCCACTTTCAAACCGGATGCAATTGAGTCAATATATTACCAGTTCCTGTTTGCTACCTCCGTAGCAGAAATTGAAATCTCCATTGCAATGCGGACAAAAAGGGATAGAGTTGTAACTTCTTGTAATAGCCCAGAAGCCACCTGTCATATGTAGAGAAATACATATTTGAAGACACAGGAACTTTGGAATCGGTCTGAGTAGAACAAAGTTCGTAAAGGTAAGTGCTGGGCATCATGACGACTGTAAACTTTTCACTAAAAGGATTAATTTAGAGCTTACTTCACTTATTTCAACCGATATTGCCCTTGTGAAAAGTTCCCTCGTAATCTCATAAGTCGTTGTGAGAGACCGTCATGGCTAAGCCAAACAAATGCATTGGACCTGAACACTTCACTTTGGCTCGGAGATCCGAGATACTTCTGCCAATCTTTGTCCGTTATCCCCAACTTCATGCATGTTTACCGTGCCGATGCATTCACTTTGTAGGAGGATCGGCATGAAACTTATTTTCTCCGATAACACAAGACGATGGCTTTCTGTCTTGAGGCTGCGTCATTTGCAAACCATACCTCCAGTATAATAAACTTGATCATTAATTCAGGAATTTTCGATATGGCTAACTGTATTGGCATATAATTAATGTCTTGGAAGTTGGATCACGTAAGGAGGGGAACTACGATGGTGACAACTGTAAAAAGATCCACGCCTGGACAGTTACAATTAAACATCACAAGTTCATTATGCCAATTTCAGACTCGGGGACTTTTAGTCGAATAAACTTCGAAGTTGAAATTATTCGTTCAATATAGAATAAGAACTAGGGGATTAGCAACCTAATAACTGGGTACCAGTAGTGTCCCGTTCATCTAATCCTCCTCTTGTTCATTAACAACCACAACACCATCCAACTTCTTAATCTTCTCGAGGCACTCCTTAGTCACGGGACTTATAGACCTAGTTAGAACATGTTAAACAACGGATGATTGTAGACTTACGGGGCTATGCCCATTGGAGGCAAAGACATGGTTTCAGGCCAGAATTCCTGTCTGGTGTCCTGTTTAATAAGCCTAGAGAAACTCTGGATCAGAACAAGATATTGGTGATGGATGGGGGGTCAGGTACTCTTTGAGCTTTTGATCAACTGCCTGCCACTCTTCAACGCCCTTGAATCTGTATTGGAATCTCTGTAGACTTCATTAGCTTTAGCGTGCGACAGGATATTTCAATGGGCAAATACAATTTTAGACATGATGGTAATGGTAAGAGTAAATCTTGTGAAATAGTGATTGAATAAAGATGTGAGATGGAGTTGGCTGAAATTCAATAGTCCAGATAAGTGGGATCCTTTTCATCTTTTTATATTTGCCCATTCTATGTTGTTCACAACTCCCATCCCCACAACAATAATGGTGGCTGGCTCAAGTTTTGTCTTACTTTCAGCTTTTGTCGATCTTGCACTCATCTGCTTCTTGATGACATCAACGATATGTTACTTTACAGACGACGCACTCTAGTTGCGGGAGCTTCCCATTCCTTCTTAGTAGCTCACCGGTCGGCCGATGCATGATTTTGTCTCACTTTCCCTTAAAATCGACCGATAAGCGACTCTCGCGTCAGCAACGATCCAATGGCAGGACCCGGACGGCTCGTTTTACGACCAATGCAAACCGGGGAGCAACTTTTGAAAGACCGGCTGCAGGATGTGAGCAGAGCCCTTAAACAGGCGGTGAAACTTTTGAGACTTGCTAGATATGCATAGAATCACCAATTCGGCTGAACTTTGTATCCAAAAACCATGATGTGAATCGGAAGATCATTATTACTGCTCCATTCGGTTCCTGATTTGGTAGTGGCACTGAGACAACCACGTATGCCGATGCAAGAAGACTGTAGAAGGTAAACACATAGGTTGACATTGTCACGTAGCGGTCTGCCATGTAGTACTACGACATGACCTAGACGGAAAGTAGTATGAGCAGTTTCCTGTTCGGAGTACCTTGGGTGAGAACATGTCCAGAGTGAGACAGTTTATGATGTGCATCTCCGAGAATGAGGCCCAGTCATCATAGCAACCGATACCTAGTCGCCCTTAACTATCCCGAAGTAAGATACCCCGAGTCATGCTACTTAAACCTATTGTAAACTATGATCATCCTGCAGTTGATCATGAAGAGCATTTGAGAGATGTTCAGAACCATTCTTGTAGAAGAACATGTCAGGATGCCTCTTGTTTAGATTAACTTCAACCACTGTTCCATCGTTTGGGGACTGGTGCTACTTCGACATACTCAAGGTTGAAGCGAGGCAGAGAGCCACAAAAACAGCATATGCACGTACAGGATATCCTGTGACGACCTCATGAGTCTTAAAAATGGGTCCGAAAATACCATCTTAAGGATATACCTGAAAGAGAATAATCCAAGGTCTTATCACCGCTACTCCACATGGCTGTATTCGTTAGTGCTTTCCAAGTTGAAGGACTTGCGGCCGATCTCCAGAGTTTTCCCCCAAAGTTGCCCCTGATGAGCCCATTGCGATTTGACAAGATCTATAACGCCAACTGGAACAAGAGGAAACTAGCCAATTTCAGTGATTGTTGTGTTTGGATCGTTGGATCTGGCTGTTGTTAGCAAATATGCCGCTGCTCCGCCACATTTGTGCAAGATCTGCGTGGTCCCTCGCACGTAATAGAAGTCGAACAGCAGTTGGTCTGCGGGAATAATAGCTAGATAGGGAATCAGTAACAGACCTCAAAAACATGCTGTATTTTCATATAGAAACAACGGACCTTGCTGAAATGTTCAATAGGCACTAGCCAGATGCTCTGCAGTACCACGTTGCTGAGAAATTGCTAAGTGATCTTTGTGTGAATAAGTCAAAACCGTATATTCGCCTGCCTCGGCTGCTCTTATCATTGTCTATACCAAAGACCGCTTACCCAAGGCCACGCCCCAGGAGCGGGCCAAGACCCTGTACATATGGCACGGTAACGTAAGTACTTGATGTCTAGTTAATCTGATAACGACCTATCTGACCCATTGGCATTCTTGTAGGGATCCCAGTGTTTTTCCAGCTTGACCGAGTACAAAGTTCTTAACCAGCCTGCCGTCCATGAAGCCATGTTGCGTTTATATTCCGTTTTGTCTCGGTTGCTGGCCGATGGCGGTGCCGCATGGGCCAAGACATAACATGTTGAAGACAAAGCAAAGAAGCTATAGGATGCTGCCGAGCAAATCATCATATATAATGCTGGTTCATTCCCTGTTACCAGGGAAAAAGATCCAACAACTTCTAACCACATTCTTGCAGCTACATCACCTACAGAAATGTTTCAAGATGTTCTATCTCTTTGACCCTGACAGCTAATGCTTCAGGATCTTTACGAGGACGGCACAGACAACACAGCCGTCAACTTGGCCATCCAACCATGCACATTTTCTGGGACATAGCGCAACTTGAACTCACAGCCTCAGTTCCAAAAGTTCCTGGTGTGATGATTCTGTCCACTAAGAGACTGGACTACCCCGGTGGAACAGTGGCTGGGAAAGGTGCTTGGCTCAAGTCAAACGACATGTCCAAGGATAGCAGCCAACCCTACTAGCGTGACTAAGGTATAATCTTCCATGTCTTCATATCATTCCCGCGATAGAGGCTGACATGATTAGTTGCCAAAGAGGAGGCACGCAACACACTGTTCAGATAAGAGCGGGGCATGCTCGTCGAGCAAAAGGTCAAGCATATGGGGAACTAGGTCATAAAGCTGTAACTGGGAATCGCAATGCTACCTCCGGCATCATCGATATTGTCCTGGAAGTGACGTTTCAACCTATAACATCCACCTCGTCAAAGTCGGCAAATATGTCGATCTTGGGACTCATAAACCCTGATGCATGCCATGGCCTGCACCTTGAGATTGCCGACGTCCTACAGGATAAGTGCCGAGAAGGTGGCCAAAGTCGTCTATCGCCACAAGAATAGAAGCCTATCTCTGAAATAATTGCATTTTAACTTCCCTCTTGAGACAAGTCGCTAGGTAAACCCCACTTTAGTACTCCCCGCATTTCTTCAACCGTCTTATGTATAAATGCTGCCAAACGACATTTACAAAGAGAACATTGTCTTTTCATCACCACCCTATTTCCCAATACATAATTCTAAGCCTGTTGTATAACCAATATTGAAAATCCTTCACTCCTTAGTCACAATGCAAGACCTAGCTGGAAAACAGGCGACAGCAACATGGGTAGTGGTTGGTGCTTCTCGAGGCATTGGCCTTGAGTTTGTCAAACAGCTGCTCGAGGCCGGACACCATGTGATTGGCACAGCCCGCAATCCAGGCGCTGGCGAATTACCGAAAGTTGCTGAAGCTCAAGATGATCCCAAGAGGTGCATAGTAGAGCAGTGTGATGTTTCCAGTAGTGAGAGTATCGATGTAAGTTCATCATTTCTTTCTCTTCGCCATTGCCATTAACTTGCTATTGCAGAACTTTGCGGCCACAATGAAGGTAATGGTGGAGAGTGGTATCAAACTCGATGGCATCATCTTGAATGCCGGCGTCCTCCAATACCCGAATCGAGCAACCGAACTGTAGGTTCCCATGACTAGGCCCTCTGTAGAGGGTGCCATCACAGCTGCTAACATGACGCTCCTAGAACATACGAAGATTTCTCATTTCATTTGACAACCAACGTCATCGGACCCATTATATGCGCGCAGAAACTCATAAACTTGGATCCAGAGCACCCTCCCCCAAAAGTAGTTTTCATCTCATCCGACTCAGGATCGACCACCAATTTCCTCGGCCATGAAGATGGCTTTGCAGCATACGCAGCGAGCAAGGCTGCTCTGAACCAAACACTGAGACATATGGCGTTGGAGTTGAAAAGACGCGGCGGCAAATGGTCTGAGATATGTGTTCTGGCTCTTCACCCGGGCGAGGTCCACACGTGAGCCTTTCTTCTCCTTATGAAAGTTAGCATTTACTGACAAGTAATAGGGATATGAACTCAGGCTCGGTTGACTGGGATGTGGGAACTCTACTGGAGCCGAACGAGAGCGTCAAAGGTATGCTTCAGGTCATTGGGGACAAGAACCACGATGACAGTGGCTCGTTTTGGTGTTGGGATGGCAGGGTAAGTCTTTTAAAATGTCCTGAGTTTGAGTTGATACTGATAAAGCATAGAATTATCCCTGGTAAACCATCAAGAATGGTGTGTTGGTGAATCTCTAAGATACTGGCTCTTGTTCAATAAGGAGAACATCCACCCTTTGTCTCCACATGTCAATTTCATCTAGTCCACGATGTCTTGTTTGATTCTCTTCAATCTTGGCAAATCTTGGAGTATCCGTAGATTTTCCAGGTCAGGGATCCATAGAAACAACTCAAGCCGTGTATTGGCGGTGAAATTAGCGATCTGAGACGTTCTCTTCCTTTTTAGGTCAAATCACAACGTATCTTCGACAAAACCGCTTACTTAAAGTATGCAGTACATAATATTGAATCACTTTGCAAAACGTGACACTGGTATAGAGTAAAGAAGATCCTTGTTCTTTTCTGGATTAGGGAATGTTCTCTGGCATTTAACAAGCAAGTGACCCCACCAACAATGTGTGCTTAGAGCGGAGGAGCTTTCAATCGTCTGCCGTGTGAAAGCAACCCATGCCATCTCACAAATGTCACTGATCTTTGGCTCATTTACTTTTGGTCAAACTGGGTTGCTTGCCACGTAGCCATGGATGCAGCAGGCCAACCAGGTGGGGTACATTGAAGAAACTCCTGCGCCTCCTTGGCCCCCCAGTTTGTTGGTCCAAGGATAGACAAAGTGGAAAAAGCAGGGATGATGCTCAAGCGACCAACAACGGGTATACGCCAGCTGATCAACATTCGACCTATCTGAATCTGCCTTGCTGGTCGTGCCTAATTTGAGGCCCTACAGATCGCGACTTAAAATGAGGCTGGACCCCGTCATTCAATGTTCCATCCTCCTCCCTTTACTCAATCATATCTTGGAAGACGAGACTCAAGATGGCGAAACCTCAAAATAAGCAATACAACTGTGAAGTATGCTCCGTTTCTGTTAAGAACTCTATCAACCTGGCAAAGCACTGCATCAAAACCGGACACCAAGTCGACCAGTGCTGCAAACCATGCGTCAGGCGGTTCGGCAGCAAAGAAGCGCTGTCGCAGCACAAGCTTGACAAACACGGAAAAACTCGCAAAGTCGTGTCAGCGCATCCCCAAAGACAACCAAACAACAACACCACTGAGATTCCTGCGGCTGCCAAACCATACTCTTTCCAGGATCAAAGCTATGCCCGTTTGGTGTCTCCCGATGCGAACCTCGTTCACCATTTTCTGACTTTGGACTGCCATCCCAATGAGCGCCTCAAACGGGAGGGCTACATCTTACCCGACGACCTGAACAGAGGGTTTAACATAACCCAGAAGAACGCAAACATTATAAGGCAAAGCATCGCTACACCGGCCCCGAATGCGCTTTTTCCTAAGAGAAAGGCCGTTGCCCTCGATTGTGAGATGGCAGGTGTTCGAGGTGGGGCCAGTGAACTGGTATCGACATGCATCGTGGACTTCTTCTCTGGGGAGATTCTGTTGAACTCCCTTGTGAAGCCTCGACAGCAGATACCTGATTGGAGAACTCAAATCCATGGTATTGGACCTGCCAAGATGTCCATAGCCGTGGCGCGGAAGGAGGCATTAGACGGGTGGGAAACCGCCCGCGAAGAGCTATTCAACCTCGCCAATGCAGATACAGTCATTGTAGGGCAGTCTCTCCACCACGATCTGAAAGTCTTACGAGTAGTACACGCCCGAGTTCTCGATACCGCTATCCTGACTTCCGATGCCGCAGCTAATCCGGGTGTACATTCCGCCAGAACATGGGGCCTACAATCACTGTGCGCGGATCTCCTAGGCCTGCGTATCCGTCATGCGACGATGAAGCACGACGTAGTAGAGGACACTATGGCGACCCGAGAGGTTGCGCTTTGGTGTATATCCTATCCCGAAAAGCTACAGGCTTGGGCGGAACGGGCACGGGCGACAGCAGCGGCTCAGAAGTTCAAACGGCCAAATAACAGGCGGAAGAAAACGAAAAAGACAAAGCCATTGCCGATTACTCGCAATGAGGACCAAAATGGGTATCACTTCATGGACCCATACGGCTACGATGATGATGATGATGAGATTCTTCGTTGGGAGGACGTGGTGGACTGGGACACTTGGCCAAAATCGCCTCCGTATTCCGATTGAGGAGGGTAGAGAGTATTTATGTTTTCTATTAGATATTTATTATTCCTTGTATGTCTGACCAGCCCTTAATACCCAACGAGATCTACAGTTGGTGTGGTTTCAACAGACCAATGGCTTTTACAGCAAGTTAGTACGTCAAGAGCCGATGAGATAGTCAGAATGATGACCAATTTGTGTAATAATTTTGTGCTTGGCTTGTAATTTACTCAAATTTTTACATGGAGTTGCTTTCGATACGCATCCAAGTCAACAATAGACCAAACCCAGTGCATCCGTCCCTCATCAAACCAGTACATGACATGCTCATGAAACTTCACACTATCCCCTGTAGCATCCGCGTCGGCCCAGCGCTTAACCGGGACTCCCGTAAACTCCAACCGAGCAGCTACCCTCCCCGAGTCACTATCGACTATCAGATCCTGTATCTCAAAGTACAAGCCCTGGATCGCACTCTGACTCTCCTGGATCAGGGCGATATACTCCGCAACGGTCTTTTCCACGGCGTTATGCGACACTACTGGCTTGCAAAAGGTCTCAAAGTTGGCTTCCATTGTTTGATCATTGATGCTCTTGATGTAGGCGCGGTACAGAGCGTCAAGGTCAATGGACGTGGGTTTCGCTTCCTGTAGCAGTGGAGACGTTGCCGTTACTGAAGTTTGCTTGGCCCTTCGAGCGTCGTTGTCTCTCAGTCTTTTGAGGTTCGATAAACGGCCGTTGACAAACCAGGCCAGGATGATTTCTTGGTACTGGGATTCCTCAGTCGAAGAGGCTGTTTCGCTCTTGATGATCCTGGCAGCAATGGCCTGGGCGTTGGTGTCTACAACATAACTGTCGAGTTTCGATGAAATGCCACTCTGGGCATGGGATCTTGAGTCGGCAATGAATTCACTGCGTTGCTGAGAGTCGCCGTTGATTAAAACAGTTGGCTGGACAAGAGATTTCAGAATGGTCCATTCTCCTTCATTTTGGGTGATGATTATCTTTTCCAGAACGGTGATAAGTTCAGTGCGCGACAGCAGTGTATTCATAGTGAGGAAGAAGGCGCGAGCCTGTGAATAGGTTTAAAAATGGAATTAATATTTACAGAATTGTATCAGAAGAAATGAATAATATGACGAAGAGTGGAATGCGGAAGATTGCTTGTTTTTGTATCTGTAAGAATGACAATCACGCCCTTGACAAATCCTTAGATACATCCCGTTACATAAGCTTCTCAGCAGCCAATCTAAAGCATTTATCATGTTAATAGAGCTCAGGCAGGTAGCCTACCTCGTATTGCAGGCATACTTAATCATGAACATTTAATTACGATATTGTACGAATATAATATATGGGATTTGTAGTCGGGTTACTTTTCCAGTCAGGTAATTTGTTAAATAAGTTAAGTCTGGATCAATCCACTTTATATGATTGAGAAATACCTATCAATCCCAGAATGCCGTCCCACCATATGTGTTTCCAACATTCACTCTTGAAGTCTCTCCTCCGATAATCTCATCGACATGGTTAGTAGTATTATCATGAAACCCCTCTGAGTGCAAAAGCGTTTCTTTTGGAAACGTGTAGCCAACATTGGCTCTTCCTGTCGTATTTATGCGTCCCACAGTATTCTTCCCAGTCATTTCTCGAAGCTTCGACTTAGTAGCGGCTTCCAAGACAGGATCCAAGGCTTGAGACACATCCTGGATCATCTTCAATTCCTGCTGATCGTTGACTTCATTGATTTCCATCTCGACCAACTGTGTGATAGCCTGGGGTGGAGCAGGAAACACCTTCTCCAATTCGTTTAAGAAGTCGAAGATGTCGTCAATTACTTTCCCCATGTATCTCTTATCATAGATCGCCCAATACGCCTTTTTGATCAAGCTTACACGACTCTGCCGTTGTATGGTAAGTCTCCGGAAACAATTGTGCAGACGCTGGGAAACTGCTTCGAGATCCGCTTCAGTACATATTGCCGTGCTTTGTTGTTCTGTTGATGCTTGCTTATACCGAAGCGAGGTTCTATGTGCTGCGCCGAATCTTTCAACTATCTCTCTGAGCATATTCATTGCCAACTCCACTGTTGGATCTGTCGATGCGTCGCCGAGGAATCGTGAGTCGTTATTGATGTCGATGGCTGCACCCCATCTCGATAGTCGGCATTTGGCAACATCGAGCCGGAGTTGGTATCTGGAGAAGTCCTCGCCGAAACTCTTGGCAAGTTGGATATAGTCGAAACAATCTATACAGTTGTTAAACAGGGCTGCGATGCTGATAGCGCCGGCAACGGCGCCAAAGACTTCGGTCATAGTTATCAATGTAGGTCAATGGATTAACTAAGATGGCTCAAATGAGCGATTTTCGAGCGGTAATTGATAGAGCGCCACTCGACCAGTACAAGGGTGTGGCCCTTACAGGGGTAAGATATCTTGGAATAACGTACTTGATTGGGTGGGATGAAACTGTTGGTTGTTGGTCATCTTTGTCACAGTTGGAGATAGCCTAGTTTCCTCTTCTCCCCCCCTCTCGACGCAGCCGACATCTTCTTTCACTGCAAACACCCTTTCTCTTGTCTCCATACATATTATGATCGTCACGATAAGACTTCAAGGCCACGATGCAGAGTGCCACCGCGAATTCTGTGCAGTCTTTGAGCGCAACTGACGCCTCGAGGGTACATGTCGGCAACACCTATAGTACGACACAGAACTACTACAAGGGAACTGACCAAGATGAGACCAAGCAACTCTTGAAAGCACTACGCTCCACTGATCCGCGTCTGGATAAGCTCAGAATCCAGGGAACTAACGGTGGCCTGTTGAAGGAATCATACATGTGGATTCTGGAAACACCAGAGTTTCTCGCTTGGCGCAATGAAGACCATGAAAGTCGACTTCTTTGGGTCAAGGGCGACCCCGGAAAAGGAAAGACGATGCTTCTATGCGGCATTATAGACGAGCTCCTGCCCTCTACAAGACTAGAGAACCCGGAAAGTCAGGTCTCGTTATCTTATTTCTTCTGCCAAGCCACACACCCTGAGCTCAGGAACTCGACAGCTGTGCTACAAGGCTTGATATACCTATTAGTCATGCAACAACCATGTCTTGCATCTCATTTACAAGACTGGCAAGGACACAACACCGCGCATCGGAACTCTTGGTTTGAAACAGAGATCTTATTCCGCAAGATAGTGGCCGACCCAGCCCTTCGGGAAGCATACCTAATCGTGGATGCATTAGATGAATGCCTTGAAGACCTTGATTATCTTCTCGAGGTAATTTCATGTTCAATACCACATGTTAAATGGATTGTCAGCAGTCGTATCCGCGTTGAAATCGAAGAACATTTTCAAACGTTATCAATACTCGGACTTTCTCTAGAGCTCCATGAAGGATCTGTCTCACAAGCTATCAGCTACTTCATCGACTATCGCACTCGTGAATTAGTTAAGAAAAAACGTCTCAAAAGCAATATAGCCGAACAAGTCCACCGTCACCTAACACAGCACGCTCACGGTACTTTCTTATGGGTGGCGTTGGTATGTCGAGAACTAGAGAAGTGCCGAGCTTGGGAGATCAGCAAGGAATTATCACAACTTCCCGAAAATCTCACTAAGCTTTACGCAAGAATGATGGACCAAATCCGCACGTCCAAGAGTTATGAAACCTATATCAGACTTTTAGCTGTGGCTTCAACTGTTTTTCGCCCAATTACCTTTCCTGAGGTAATAGCTATGGAAGAACAGCTGAACTTGGACGAAGAGACACTTCCTGATGTTATATGGGAATGTGGTTCATTTCTGACGTGGAAAGAACAGACAATTGTTTTCGTCCATCAATCCGCTAAGGACTTCTTGCTCAAAGAGTCGAGCTTATTCCAGTTTGGCCTTGTGCATCACCATTACGACCTCTTTAGGAAGTCTATTAGTGTTCTCAAATGTCTCCATAAGGACATGTATGATATGATCTATCCTGGAGTCTCCTTAGACTCAGCAATCCGCAATCGCCCTAAGCCTGATCCCCTGGACAGTTTGGTATATGCAGCTGTGTTCTGGGCTGATCATGTACGAGTGGCGCATCAACTCTCTATTCAAGACGGGACCGAGGAAAAAATGCCTTTTGTTGACACTATTCATACATTCATTTCCGAGAAGTTTTTATTCTGGTTAGAGGTACTTAGTCTTTCTCAGAACCTATCAGCAGCGGGGAAAGCTTTGTCATTTCTCAAAGACCTCCCAACCGTAAGTTCATTTTCTAAACCATATGTCTGACTATTTCTGATCGTCGATCTTTAGCAAGTCCTTTCTCAACCAGCCGTTATAGCGCTTATCGAAGATTCCCTTCGATTCCTGCTCCTTTTTAACACTGTCATCGAAAGCTATCCACTACAGATATACACCTCCGGTTTGCTCTTCAGCCCAAAGAAAAGCCTTATTCGCAATCTATTCGAACAGCATACGCCTAAGTTTATTTCAAGGAGCCCTCGAGTGGACGATACTTGGAGTCCGGTCTTGAGTGTTTTTGAAACTCCTCCAGAAACCAAGATTAGCACCCTGAGCTTTTCTCCTACCAGTGAAATGCTGGCTATGACCACGTCTGACTCTCAGTTGTTGATATGGAATGTCAACGGCGGCTATATGCAGAAAAGATCGAAGTACCATAATGCAACGTTGTTGACAACATCGCCGGATCTGCGATGGTTAGCGGTGATCACCATGCGCTATTCTAGTGATGCACAAAAGCATGTGCAAGACGCACTTGAGGTTCGCGAGCTGGATTCCAACGATACACTTTGGATTAGAAAACTCGACAACCGACAGGCTATGGCTATGGAGATTTCCCCTGATAGTCGGTGGCTGGCAGTGTGCTACAAAAATGAATTACACGTCTATGATCGTGACGGTGGCACGCCTCAGTCATGGCTTTTGCAACTTGACCTGGATACAGAACCTTCGGGCATTACACCCTGGCGCATGGAATTTTCCCCGGATTGTGCTATGTTGTTACTCTTATACTGTGACTATGACTACCGTATTGTAGTTTCCGACCTGCGCACGGGCATCCAGTATAAATGCTCTGACTTGGAACGTGAGTATCATGGGATGGACGAGAGCATAAACAACGCAAAGTTTGTCCCAAACACCCACCTGGTCATGATTTGCGGTAGCGAGATATGCACCTACCTATGGGACTTCTTAACGGGCGAATGCAATGAGCGGCCCATTGAATATGATGGCGTCGATTGCCTCGCCTACTCGCACGCTGAATCCTGGATGGCTGCAGCATTCCGCAACAAAGTGACGCTGTTGTGTCGCGATCAGCGAACTCTACTGCGAGAGCTTGAGCTACCAGATAACACTTGGGTTGGAGCAATTCAGGTTTCTTACGATGACAAGAAAATTGCAGTCTGTTCAAGAACGACAATTTGGCTCTTGGATGTACAAATCATTGTGGGTGCCAAACCATCTTCCGATGAAGAAGAGGATGGATTTCCTCATATCCTAAACGACGGAGTTTCTATCGCTTACTACGACCTTTTCAACAAGATCGAAATAAAGAACCCGATAGAAGGAACTATCACCACATTGGACATACGAAGCAATGTTTGTGAGAATGTCGATCTTATTGCACTCTCACCCGAAGGTCGGGTTTTAGCTTACAGTGACCGATCATCAATTTACATTCAAGACTTTGACAGAGATCACTTAGGGTATAGCTTCGAAGTTAATGCCAAAGCTAAACACATAGTGATATCTCCCGATATCAGTGGTGAAGGTCAATGGATTGCCGTCTGCACGCCCTTTGGGGTAGTTGTGTGGGATGTCGACCCGGGACAGTTTCATCGATTGATTGAGTTTCCTGACAATTCGGGGAGACATCCTGCTAGAGCATTCTTTACCGGAACCCAGCTGGCAGTTTCATGGTGTTTTCATCCGTTGCAACACCCTGACAATCTTTTGGATGAGACATTGGTCCTTTATGACATCAAAACTGGCCAACAGCTCGCCCAGCTTAAGCTGCCGTGTTCTTGGCTTTTGTTTGATTCGCCAGGTGGAAACTTTTCCATGTCGCCCAACGGCAAGTGGACGGTGTCGTATATCTTCAGATGTAGACGATTGCTTCTCTCGGATGTGGAAGCAGGCATCCAGTATGCTGTGCTAGACATTGATGCGAAGCGGTTCTCCTTCATCGATAACTCAACGCTGTGGACGGACCAGGGAGTGTTTTCCCTGGACTGTGTCTTGGACGATTTGGCTATTGAGTCACGGCGTGGTAGAACACAAATAGTAGAGATGGATAACCGAGTCACTCAGGAGCTACCTTTGATCATTCCTACCTTTGATAAATACGGGCGCGATGCTTTTTGCGAGTGGATAACCCTCGACACTTATCCGCTGATATGGCTACCCCGACAATACCGGCCAAATACTGTCACTCATTTGGCCCAAATGGCAATTGGGCACCATCACGTTACTATAGATTCTAGTGGGGGAACATATTCTATAGTATTTACAAACGACACAGGAGACTACCTACGGAAAGCGATGGGTAATCTAGTTATATGAGATATTGAGTTATAGAAAACCTACCATTATAAAACACACATAGGTCCCAAGGCAGCCAGTAGGCTAGACTAGGCTACAGGCCCTGGGCTATTCTATCTATAGGCCATGACAGTCCACCACCAGCTTATCCCCCTGTACGTCCCATGCCGTCTGTGCCGGCGACGCTGGGCTTTTCTCTCGCGGGAACAAGTTCGTCTTTCAAAGTTTTCTATTGCGAGTGCGCCTAGCCTTGGAACGTGGACAGAAGGCGAGAAATCATACCACGGAGGTGGAGTCAGATCCTCTCTCCACTTCTCTTCGTCATAATCGAGCCGGTCTGCAACAATCTTGTCAATGTTCGGGATGATTCTAGGGTGGAAGTTAGATCGCAGAAATAAGGTCTGGTTGACAAGATGCTCGATACCCACTGTAGGGGTTTTCCACCCGAACCAGTTTAGTCGTAGCTTTCCTGGTCCACGCGGGTAGACCCTCTCAAGTGCCTGCTGCGTAGCGAGTTTCTCAAGCACATTACGTTTGAAAATGTCGGAACACAGATCAATGGCATTTTCGCCTTCGAATGTGAGCGTGAATGAGCCGGCAGGCATCCCAGCATCGACTAAGCACACTGCCTCATTGAGCCAATCTTTAACTTCGCGGAATACCCCCTTAATCGCAGTTTCGAAAGCCTGCTCGCCTAAATCATGTGATGCGTACCTTTCAAGATATGAAACACTATGATGACGGACGAGATACGTCCTTTGGAATATGTTGTCCAGCATGCCGACTTGTAGATCGATCTTCAATCGTACATTCTCCTTGCAGAAAGGAATCAACCCTAATGCGTGGCTAGATGGGCGGCCCACAGCAATACGGTCCTCGCGAATTGCCACATTCCGGATAAAAAGCCGTTTGTTGAGGGGTAGGTGTTTGAGGAAACGAATGGCAACCGAGGTAGCCGAGAAGCAATATTTAACACGGTATTCGTATTGCGCTCTTTCACCAAGGTGCCAATCGTGCAGACCTTGCCAAATTTGACCATCGTGATTTCTGTAACCACAGTCGTCGAGGTCAGACATTCTAGGAATATCCCAGGGCCCAAAATGCTGGTCAAGGAGAGCAGAAAGTCCGCCACGCACATCAAGTTCTCGCAACTTATCCTCGATGGCTTTGCTAAGCTCAGGTTCTGGATCTTTAGCGAGAAGTCGTAGCATGAAATTTACTGCGCGGCAAAGAGCTGAGTTTGATGGGCGATCATTGTGAAATGATATCGGGCAACACATAAGAGACATGCTGATGCCCCAGTAATGAGAATCCCGAAGGTCTGAAAAGCCTATATCGGCCCCAAACTGTCCTACGGCGTGTTCAAGGACTGGAAGAAACCAAGGGAAGTAGGCTTCAATTTGGGAGGTAATTTCGGGGGTAAGGAAACGACCAAGATAGATGGCAAGGCAATGACGCTGCTTCATCTGACAGTCGAGGAGATAGTCAAAGCGACCAGCCCACGGGCGCCATTCTGGGTGATAGACCGTCGAGAAGGTGATGGAGTTGTATTTGAACGGAAGTTCTCTTGTCTCGGATGCGATGAGGCTGCATGTGGACATGAGGGCCAGATCCAAAGGCTGGCCATCTGCGTCAGCGAGTTTGCCCGACCCGGGCTGGAATACGTAGCCACCATGGAGAGCGAAGTACTCTTTATAAATGTGGTGTCGCAGCTTGCACGGGAGACTTAAGAAAGGACGAGGCGTCATCGTTGGGTAGGAGAAGTTGAGTGAGCGTTGAAAACAGATGGTCGGGCTTCTAGGGCTAGATCTGGCGTTTTGTCAGTCTCAAAGCACCATACAACGTGTGTTATGGCTACTTGTCAATTTTGGACGAACTGCCAAATCCGCCTGCAACATCAAGGATAATGATGCTTCAACTATAGACGTGTCAAGTCAGGTTGAAGATGGAAGATGACCTTCCAATGCATGAGCGTGGATGATGCAAGATGTCCATAGATGTAGATGGAGGGGCAGAAGGGAGGGCACAGTGGGCTACAGTGGGGTCTTTATAGTAATTAGGCGCTACGACAACACATAAAGAGAGTTTCACAGTAGTAGGCAGCACTCAAGCCATAGAAGACAAGTATTCATCACGTAATGGATATAGAAGCTGGCAGGAGCATGTGCGTATTGAGGTGACTTCAGTGAGGTGCATCTTCTTTGTATTTAATAGAATATATACCTTTAAAAAGGTAATAATTGGGTTGCCCCACAGATAATACAATGGATTTTAACACAATAAGAGGCAATATACACAATGCCAGATAACACAATAACCAGTCCATTAAAGTTCACAACAATATCATTCAAACAGTCAATTGCCCGATTAACAGCAGCTGACATCCTCAACAAACCTTGTTCAAGATGAACAGCTGGCTTCAACCCGCAATGTATAAATTTGCCTAGAGGATGCGTTAGTAACAAGCCTCAAGGCCAGGGAGAATCGACAGGCACTTACAGTTTCCCTCCGCTCTTGGCAGACCAAATTCTTCCTATACCATCAAATTTCGAATCGATCACAACCACATCATCAACCGACCACTGCGACTGGATCAAGAACCTGTCAGCAGAGCTTGAGAAAATATATAGCAAGGACATAGCCACCTACAAATGCGTCGCTGGGCTTCCGAATCGAAGTCATTGGCAAGTACACAACCTACTTAGCGGTTAACATCAACAAGCAAAAGGAAGTCGAGATCATAATACATTAAACTTACCCAGTATCCGATCACCAACACTTTCTTGAATTCGATCAGCGATAATGATATCGAAAGATTGAACAGGGAATTCCTCAAGGAAACCCTGCTTTTCAAGACACACTGCAATCAGCTTCCACCAATCGACAAGCTACAGCCACTACAACGAGTGTCTAAATTAGGAGATTAGTAATTGATACTCCGGTTCGGTAACAATCCAGACTCACATCTCGCCATCTTTGGCTGTCAGCTGTTACGGCGACTCATCCGCGACCGGCCTTCTCGGGAGGCATCATATAACTACCACTCTCCCAGGGTTATTTGAGCCGGATGCGAGACAGTAGGACTCTGTCCCTAGCATTCTGATATTCAAAGGAGTGTCCTGCAGTGTCACCACGTCAGGTGGACTTTTCTGCTGTTTGATCCAGTCCATCAAGTATCGCAATCGGTGTGCGGATCTCCTGATATTGACTTGCACAATCTTAAGGTTGTTCTGTCATTTGCGGCCCTGTTTCGACTTCGGTTCAGCCTTTCTTGACAGGACCGTGGCGATATAGAAGGTGATATACTCACTCTCCCTAAGCTTGCGTAGGTTCATGATCGACACCGAAGCCAGGTCAGGCATAGAATATAGAAGGGCTCGTATATCTACGGGCCCGAGGAGAGCCATGAGCATTTTAAAAGCCTGTAAACAGCAATATAATCCTGGCTCACCACAGCGGTATCAAACAGCAGACCACAAGGGGTATCATCAGGGAGACTCAAAATGTACGTAGCCTAGAACTAACATTACATATAAGGAGGAGCTGCGGAGCACTAAATGTACACATGTGTGGCCTGAGTTTGTGGGACAAGGCATATTAGTACATAGGCACTCAATTCAGCATGTGGCGACAGTGCATTACCGCCACAACAACACGAGCGCAGATCGAGGTGTGATATATAAAACACCAACGCCCTGAGACGTGTAGCTATGCTTAAAGGAAACTTGTATTCAACAGGTAGCTTCGTTGACTGAAAGATGCGGAGTGAGTCCCTGACGTCACGCGCCCAATCATATCGCTTTTCTTGTACGCGCCATCGGGGCACCTTGCTATAATTTTTACTTAGGTATGATTGAATCAAAAGGCTAATAATGCTGAGATACACCTTGGGACACTCAAGAGGTAAGATATATATCATACTAGTACATGGACGGTTTGGATATTGTATTGTGAGGCGAGAGAAAATGTATAAGAATGAAAATCGACGCATTCTGTTAATGTTCTCAATCGCACTACCAGCCCCGGATGCGACAGAGAACCCACATTTGGAGTGATCAGCGGTGGCATTGTAGCAGCTTTACTATCCGTACAAAATGAGAGCTTAGCGCGCCGATGCCAAAGCTTTAGTTTACCACCTACACCATATGTAACAGAATCTTATACGGAAAAGGCATAGTAAGATATGCAGATTGGTGTTATACTATTTATTATAATAGGAATCCATATTGTAATTACTTGTAAAGAGGTGTTAGTTTTCTATCTTTTGAATTTCTTATGCTGCTATCTCTTTACTTGCTTTAATAGATACAAATGAGGTCGGGGCGGAAATCCTAGCTGTAAAAGTGCAGATACTTGGCTCAATACCTAGACTAAGAGAAAGGTTTAGCACCCTCTTGTCGGCAGTAGTACTTCTTGTTATACTTTAACATAATAGCTACCAAGGTAGTAGGTATCTCATTGGCATATAATCTAGTAGGGGAGAAAGTACTTCTTGTACATATTACGGCGGACAAAGAAATGTGCAGGTACGTCCACAACAAGCATTCTTTGTCCTCAAAGATAGACGACGATAGCAGATCTGGAAGTGACTCGTCAATCTTAAGATGGATGCCTGCTTAATATTATATTTCTCTATCATTTTATTCCGTTAAGCACCATTGACTTCAAGCTGTCTAATAATATTAATTTCCCCGTCTCTAGTAAATGTAGTAGTAATATCACGGATAAAACTAGCTGCTAAATTCGTAATGGCCTGGTAATAAGGCAGTGAGTATACAAGAACCTATCATTCTCCGTCATTCGACTGATAAGAATTCGGGATACGCGAGCCTGCATATACCCAAAAGGCGTAAATCAGCATGCAACCAGAGAAATTTTGCCACTAATGGGAGTATAAGTTACGGTCCGGAGGGCGGTTAAGGCTTAAAGGCTGTGTAAAAATTGCTTCGCCACCAGGAGCCTGTTGCCCCAGGGACTGGAAGCCTGCGCCCCCAGCTTCAGGCTTGATTGGATCAAAGCACCATTTTGAAAATGCTCGCATAACAGAAACCCAAACAAAATTCGAAGAAAACAATAATAAAGGCAAGCCTCGCTACAAATAAAGACATAATCATTTTGCAAACACGTCTGGTTCCCTTATATCACTACTCCATACTACTGCATTTCCATCGGAACCCAAGCTGTTTTCTCTAGCGAAGCCTCACTCTGCAGACTGTCAATCTGCTGGTCATCTTGCCGGTGGCGTTTGGATCAGCCACGTAGTTCACATCCGCTCAATCACCCGCGAAGCTTTGATTTGCCGGCGTTCCCTAACAAGCCAGGCGGTGTGCAAGGTAGCCAGCAAGGCGCTTTTCTCAGAAGGTGTTTCTGCCTGGGCTCACGACCATAGTCAGCCCAGCACTCTCTCTGCCCAATGCCCGATACCCAATACCTTAGGTAGTCAAGGCTGAGTTTTGGGTATCTCTACCCCCTTTTTGGAAGGTATCCTGTCTGCCTATTTATGATGGGTAGTGCTCTTTTGTCTCTGCTAGCGAAGCCATTTGAAGTTGACCTTCACACACGTGGAAAGCCTTGCAGTCATGACATCGTCTCCAAACACATCTCAGGATAGCAGTGGCCTTCTAGGGGCTGTGGAAGCCTTCAATTCGACCTTGACAGCGGAGCACCAGTTGTATTTCTTGCCCACAGAGTTCAGCCAACTACAAGAATCGGTGAAACACATCACCGTGATTGCCAACGGCAAAATTCAGGATTCCAAGGTTTTCAATCTTCTGGCAAAACTTGACCATGCTCTTGACCCATATTTCAAGGTGGTTGGGATTTTTGTTTCTGCCAAGCCCGAGGTTGCGGCGTTTGTATGGGGTGCCATACGTCTTATCTTACAAGTCAGTCCACCATGTCTTCTTCAGAATTCGTTTGCATTGATTGATATAAATGAGTCATTGACAAAGGACGATTTAGCTGGCATCCAACTTCAGCACATTTTTCGAAAAGCTCACCTTGCTCCTTGAACAACTTGCTGTGTCCTTCAGCCAATACGGGGAAATCCACAAACATTGTGCCACCATTGACCGTCTGAAGCATTCAAAAATCCCCAGCATACTCGAGAGGATATACAAGGATGTGTTTGAAATATTTCAAAGCTGTACGCAGATCTTTGTCAAACGTGATGGAAGTACGTCATCGTCATACGGAACACTTTGGTAGTGATAATCTGACATCATTCTTTTAGGACCCAAGAAGGCCGTCATCATCACAGGACATTTGTTGTGGAAGTCTTTTCACACCCGCTTTCAAGACCAACTATCGAGCCTGTCGGATCATCGCAAGGAGTTTATCGAGGAACTTGCTGTGAGCCAGATGTGCTTTTCGATGAGTGATGCAGTTCGTAACGACGCCTTTGGAGATATGGTCACCCACTTTACTGAGCTTAGCACGGAAGAAATGGAGAGTGCAAGAAAGGAACGAGACCTTTCACAAAAGGAAAGGGAGATCCGAGCTATGGATACCCGTCAGCTAAATGAAGGAGCAAGCCGCCTAGAACTGTCCTTGCTGGAAGTACAAGAAGCTTTGCGGAATTTGGAAACTGATCGCATGAGTAAGTGATATCTTGCCAATATTGATTTAGTTATCCTCTAATTACTGGCCCAGATGGTGTTGGGAGAAAGGTTGGTGAATGGCTTTCTCCTCCAAGGTTCACGGATGCGTTCGATCAAGCTCAACGCGCGCGCCAACATTCCACGGCGTCATGGATCTTCCGAGAAGACAAATATCAATCTTGGCTAGGGGCTGAAATGTCTACATTTCAACCAGCTAATATCTTTGGTCCCAATGTACTATGAATACATGGTTCGTCGCTGATCAAAGTCGTGGTCGTAAATTCTGACTTGTGCTTAACAGGAAACCCCGGATCAGGGAAAACTGTATTAGCTGCTTCGATCGTCGAAAACCTCCAGAGTCAACTAAGAACTTGTCGCACTGAAACCTATTACTACTTCTTCGACCACAGATCCCCGGCCGATACCAACGCTGTTTCAGCCTATAGATCCCTCCTATCGCAGATTGTGTCTTTTAATCAGCAAGACAAAGGACTTCTGGACCAGTTTTCTTTCGCGGTAAACAATTCTTGGCAGATAAGAGGTCAGCTGGAGGCTGGCAAAACAGCTTTGATGGATCTCCTTTCTTTATCACTCAGCCGTGACTCCATTCTAGTTCTGGATGGGATTGACGAATGCGAGGATAAGGATGAATTCATTACTTTCCTACTTGATGTTTGGAAGGGAAATATGCCGCACATCATTTTTCTGAGTCGCGTCAATGTCACAAGCCTCAAACGATACGTTCCGGAAACACACCAGCTGCAGATTTCCAAAAACAAGGTTTCAGAGGACATTCGGGTATTCAGCACCCTCAAATTGGAGTCACTGTTTAGTAGCGGAATTCTGTCGTCAAGCAGCTTCTCACGAAAATCTGACATGGTGGACCGAATGGTCTGTGGGTCAAATGGTATGTTCCTCTGGGCGCGTCTCATGATCAACTTTCTAGAATCACCGTATCTCGACGAGCTCGAGAAAATGAGTGTGTTTGAACAGATAAACACACCAGAAGGTCTAGAAGTGATGTATAGTCGGATTGTCCGGCTTATATTGGCTTCTAGTCAAAGGGCTAGCCGTCTGGCTTCTAACATACTCTTACGACTGATACACGCGCCTGTACCGGTCTCATCCCGTCATATCTGGCAGAGCCTGGTCGTGGATGGCTTGAGATCAACCCCAGAAGACTTGGAGCATCTTCAAGAGTTCGAAGATTCAATAATTATGGTCTGTGGAGGACTCATTGAGCGTACCACAATTCACGCTCCCCTGCCTGTCTTCCAAGATGAGCCTTCTCTACGTCTGATACATCTTTCTGTCAGCGAAGTTCTCATCTCATTCCATACAATTCCATCTCTTATCGGTTGGAGCGAAGCGGATCTGCCCCTACTAGCTGATCAGGCGATAGGGAGTTTAGATTGTGCAACTACGTGCCTCAAGTAATTGTTGTATCACACACCACGACAACCTTTGTCTGGTGGATTAGGAACAAGCATTGACGGACTGAGCTTGTACAAATTCTTTTGTTTCTGTGATTACGCAGCCGTCAGCTGGTTACTTCACCTTGAAGACTTCATCCGCGCAGCGTCAGCCACAATATCTCTATTTCAAGGAACGTGGTCCTTCGCATTCCAACAGGCACTGCACAACTTCTGGTCACAATTCAACACCTTCTTAAATACCCCTGCCACTATATCTGTTTGGCTGGAAGCATTTTACACTTATCCTTACCAGGATTCCCTTGCTCACCCACTTCTGTCCCCTCTTGATGGCCTGGCAACTTGGGCTAAACAAGCTATTTCTCTTGGCATTAGAGTCCCTTTCGACTCGAAGTTTGCCACAAACATTGAATTGTTCAGAGACGAAGTATATAAAGCCGTGAGTGTATGGGGCATGTCGCTACGTGCTATGCCTTGTACTGTATGGGACGAGATGACCGGATTTATGGACAGCAATCACTTTTTCTGGTCTTCCCACAGCACACGACTAACATACCAACAGCCAACGGCGCCTCTACTGCCCACGCCTACACAAGAACCCGCAGCTCTGATGTCCAGAACCTCTGGTTCTGGTGAGTTGAAAGCTACTCTTTGTATCTGGGGTAACGCGTGAGTTAGATACTTCGAAGCTAGATTCCAAGGCGAAGCGATGTTAACTAAAAGGATAGGCTTTACCATGACTCGAGTCTAAAGGCCAGAGTTTGGCAGAGTCGAACAGGTGTCGACCTGGCCGACTTATGCTCTGGCTGGATGGCGACCTATGAGGTGTGGAAGATTCAGCCTGAGACGAGCCGATTGGCACGAGGAGAAGTTTCCATCCGTCCCGAGGAGCTACGCAATCCAATAAAAAACTATTTGAACGTTAGTGGAGTTTCGATAGCCGACCTTCCCATGGCGATAAATTCCAAGCTCGACACCTTTGTTATCTTGGGAACCTTGTACTCCCTCAACCCAACAATGCACAAATCTGAACCAAATTACAAGTCGTGCCCCTTGCCCAAACAGCTGGCTGACACGGATTCCGACCGGTGGACTCCACTGAGCGGACGATTTCCGTGGCCAGACACTCACTCAGTTACATTCTCCGTTAGCACCCAACATTTCGTTCTTTTAGAGAGCAATGCGACTGACCAACAAAGTCTCACAATTTGCCAATATGCATACTCGCAGCATCTCGATGTACAAATTCTTAACTTGGTGAATATTGCACCAGGTATGAGGAGAATTGAAAAGATTATCTTCCACCCAACTCATCATCTCATCGCCTTTTGTGTATTTTCAAGTCTGAGGACATCGGGATGGCAAAACGCTACATTTTTGTGGGCATATACAAGAGGTATGATTGTCAATTGCTGGGAGTTTTATATAGTAGACCTGACATTCTCTAGATGTGCTGAAACTATTCCCTTTAGCCCACGGTCACCCTTCTGAAGCGGTTGGATTTTCTTCCTGTGGCCAATTTTTTGTCGCTCGTCAAAAATACTCTACGCAAAGCCCCCAAGTTTTACGAATTCCACCAGACCTTCTTGAGCATACCAGAGTTGTATCATCAGAAACGACTCCGAGAAGCTCATCCGTTGTCGCTGGGCTAGAAAGTAATGAGGTTGCATTTTCCACCTTGCATCAATCAGCCGCTACGGAGGTTTGGAAAGTGGATGATGACGGAAAGGTCTCATCCTTTGGGGTTCAGGCATCGGAGACAGGAATCTATGTCACTGCACAGTCTAACCAAGGTACGCAGGTATCAAACTTGGTCACGTTACCGATATGGCAGGGAGCGGGCGAGACAGCTCAACGAGTCATAGTTCCACAGTTTGAAGGCGACAGCTTGAAGATAAGCGTTGATGTCGATACCCAAACGCTAAGTCCAGGCTCGACATATCAGTTAGCGAAGGCCGGTGGCAACATCAAACCTGCAGTCATCTACAGGAATCCCCAATTCGTTGCCTTGAGTAATATGGAGAACAATGTTGGGAAGGAATTGGCATGGCCTAGTGCGCAAGAAACTGATACTATGGGCAGAGAGTTCTGAACTCTATTCGCACGGAAGTTGCTGCGTAAAAGTAATAATTAACCGACGAAACTTATCAAAACGTTGCCGTTGTGAAATTTTACCTTGGTCCCATGTCGCTACATTCTGTGAAGGACAGCAGTGCTCCGAACTAGCCTTCTATGGTCCAGTGTGAGTGGTTTTGAGAAACGGGTATGTAGAGTTAAGCTTCATTTTAAGTTATGATATATTGAGCCGTAAAAGAACAAAGATTAAGCAACACAGACTATGAAATAGACAAAATTTTAATTAGTTAATATATATTACTTACTAATTACTCAAGTACTATCTTTACTTCTTCTATTTTATCTATCATTAAATTAATAAACTGAGGCCAAAAAGGCATGAAAGTTTCTTAAATATACCATACCTAATTGACCTCCTATATTTATAACTATAGAGTAAGCTACTCCATTTAATCTATAAGCGGACAGGACAAAGCTCAGTAGTATATATAGTATGGTATATATTGCGCTCGACGAGAAATAGAAGCTTTATATAGGTACTCTATACTAGAGTTTGGGTAAAATTATATTGCAAACCAAACACGTACACATTAGCTACAGTTGCTAGTAGAATATATTAGCACTTTAATGTTCACTGAGTCCCTATAGTTCTCCGGTTTATATACAAAGGCTGAGTTCTAGCGAGTAAGCATAGTTGTAGTTCGCTCCACCCTCAAGTGTAAAAAATAAACCTCAATTTCTTTTCCGTCCTGTTATATCAAACACCTACACTTAATTGTTAAATAGCGACTATAGGCGACAAGACGGTTAAGCCAGGCACTTATTAACAACTCGAGTTGAATACAAGCCGCCCTTAAGACCAGGATCCTGTTAAGACCGTGTAGATAACTCAATGCATGTAGCACTTAAAAAGAATGAATTCAAGGCTACTTCAGACTTAGTTACCGAGTTCAGAAAATACATAACAGATTTCATATAATCACCCACGAGAAGATTACACTAGATTATCACCCGCTCTGCTAACATTAGATCTAATCGCTCTGACCAATCTCAAGCTCCTAAAAACCAAGCCTTAAAGTTGATCCGGGTCGGTCTACCCACCCTTCCTTATCTTTCTTATCTGGAGGTACCCCACATTCGCAGTCCTTATCCCTGCCTCAAGCTAAAGATTCAAGATACCGCGTTCACCTCGCTTCCGACATGAAGAAATCCATAGCCTGCGGCGCCTGTCGCTCGTCAAAGCGAAAAGTAATATCCCCGCCCAAGGCCCAATTCTTGTCTCTGACTTGTCGATAGTGCATACACTCAGGTGGCCCGCCCTGCACGCGATGTCGCGACCGCGGCGACGAGTGTATCTTCCCGCCAAAAGGAACGTCCTTCATCTTCCGCCGGAGCCGGTTGGAGCGTCATGCCGCTGAGCGAGACCGTGACATGAGTGATGCTCCGTCTGGCTCCGATATGGCCGAGGCGGCGAGGGCGAGGAGTTTAGCTACGACGGACCCGTTTGGGTTCTTGACTGATGAGGTAAAAAACAGTTATCTACGCTGCTCATACAAATGGTCGTTCCATCATATTCCTAATTTACTCATTGCCATCCGCGAGAGGAGGCTAGACCCTCTTCTTGTCTGGGCTATGCTGGCCATCACTGTGAGGTACAGCATTACCACCATTCATCTCAGATCTCACTCATAACACCGGTACAGGTTCTCGCAGGCAGCTCCGCCAGGATACTCAACGCAGGTCGAAGCAAGCAACACATTTGCTGCCCACGCTCGATCACTGGTTTTATCCCTCGTCGACCAGCCCAGCGTGCACAGGGCCCAGGTCCTGCTCATGCTCACGGGTCACTCTTGGGGAGCAGGTGAGGGAAGACGGGCCTGGGTTTATCTCGGAATGGCTGTGCGCATGGCCCAAGTCCTCGGCCTATTTGAAGAGCCGCCACCTGCGACAAATCGGGAGGATTTCATCGACGCCGAGGAGAGACGACGTACCGCGTGGACCTGTTTCCTCATGGACAGTCTACTCAGTGGAGGGAAGGGGCGCGACAGGATGCTTTCGGCAGATAACATGCGTATCCAACTCCCCTGCGAGTCGGACTGTTTTAGCTTCGGCCAGATTGTGCTCTGTGAGAGGTTGGACGGCTCGTTTCCAGACCCATCAGCAATGGGAATTCGCGTCCGAGGCAGTTTAGGCATCGTCGCCAACAGCATGCGCGTCGCTGATGTCTGGGGTGCTGTGGCTAAATGGGCGTGCACACGTCACGATAGCAACGTGCCGCCCTGGCAGCCACAGTCAGAGTTCCAAATGCTACTATCCCGCCTTGAAGTCTGGAAGAATTCCTTACCTGAGCGGTTACGCTACGAGCTCTTCTTCCTCCGAGCACATAGCGTTTCCAACCAAGGCCAGGCCTACTGCTACATGCATTGCATCTACTTCATGAGCGTCATCTTTCTCTACCGATCATACCTCCCAGAAGTTGAAATGCAAAGGGCTAGAGTGGGAGACAAAGATTGGGATCAGTGGTCTACTTGGTCTAGTAAAGAGCTTGTGCAGGTAGCTGAGCAGGTTTGCGATATGCTGCAGGAGATTCGTGCTTTTGGTCTTTACTTTCTTCGGGGCTTGGTACCATGGATTGGCTTCACCATTTATACTGCTGTGGGGACCATGCTCTACTTTTATCACTTCCCCAGTCTTGGGGACACCAACTTACATGTCGAGAAGCGAAGGGAGCATATCGTGGAGGGCCTTTTGTTCCTCAAAGACATGCGACAAGCTTGGCCGATGGCCGACACTTGGGTGAGCACTGCCGCATTAGCCACGCAAGCAATAAGAAAGTACTGACTTGGCCGCAGCGTGAAAAGATAAAGGCAATGCAGATCTTTTACAGCAATATCAAAACAGACGGCGATTTGGCAGTCACGCCGAGTGAGCGAAGAGAGATGCGCAACGCCATTATCGACTACGGCGCTCTCCAGCCCGACCCAGTACGCCAACCTGATGCCCAGAGCACCGACGAACAGGTAACCAGCCCTTGAAACTCACCTCAACTGGACTTCCACTGACCATCTACAGAGCGCAACAGACGGTGAAAATGACCAAGCGTCAGCAACAAACATGGACTTTACCGATCCACTATTCATCGCCCCAGCTGATATCGACCTATTCGACACAGACTTTGCATTCGGCAGCAACATGTACGCTACCTTTGCTGATGCTACGCAAGGTTTCTGGGAGAGTTTCCCTGGAAGCATGGATATTCAAGGGGAGATGTCAGACCACTAAAAGCAAATACCAAGCCGGAAAATACTGTACTTGTTCTGTCTGACGGGTGACAGCGGGAAAGGATCGGCATTTGCACCCCCTGATTCGTGTCCAGGATAAGACCATGCCCCGCGCTTCTCCACGATGGCATTCAGGCTAAATACACCAACCATGTTAACCAGCAGCCAGAGAACCAGCTATATAATCTTCTTCACTCATCCAACCACTGTCAAAAATTACAAGAAATATCCCCTGTCTCTGTATCACGTCTCAAAATGCCCCAGGTCAGAAATCCAATCCTTCCGGGCTTCAATCCGGACCCGTCCATCGTCCGTGTTGGTGATGACTACTACATCGCTACATCCACTTTTGAGTGGTTTCCCGGTGTTCAGATCCACCACTCCAAGGATCTGGCCAATTGGACTTTAGCTGTCCGTCCTCTCACTCGTAAGAGTCAGATTGACATGCGCGGCGAGCCAGATAGTTGCGGTGTTTGGGCTCCCTGTTTGACTCATGATGGTGAACGCTTCTGGCTGGTGTATACCGATGTCAAGCGCAAGGACGGCTCTTTCAAGGATGCGCATAACTACATCATACATGCTCCTGCTATCGAGGGACCCTGGTCTGATCCCGTCTATGCCAACTCTTCAGGCTTTGATCCCTCGCTTTTCCACGATGACGATGGTCGTAAGTGGTTCAACAACATGACCTGGGACCACCGAGCTCGCCCTCACCTCTTCTCCGGCATTTTTCTACAAGAATTTGATCCCAAAGCTGGCAAACTTGTCGGCCCACGAAAGAACATTTTTGCAGGAACAGACCTAGCTTATGTCGAAGGCTCGCATCTCTACAAGCGCAACGGATGGTACTACCTCTCCACAGCTGAAGGAGGCACAGGCTACACCCACGCCATGACCCTCGCGCGCTCTCGCAACATCTGGGGTCCATACGAAGTGCATCCCCAGAAGCACGTCATCACCTCAAAGGACGCACCGCACGCTGCCCTCCAGAGAGCTGGCCATGCGGATATTGTAGACACGCCCGATGGCAGGACGTACATCGTGCATCTTACAGGACGACCTGTTACCCAGAAACGACGCTCGCCACTAGGACGTGAGACAGCTATCCAAGAGGCGTACTGGGGCGACGACGACTGGCTGTATATCAAGAACGGCCCTGTTCCAAGCTTATACGTCGACCTCCCTGCGGCCCGCGATGACACAGCATACTGGGAAGAGAAGCGATACACTTTCCAAGACACCCTCCACAGCGACTTCCAGTGGCTTCGAACTCCCGAACCTGAGCGTATCTTCAACATCAAAGACAACCAGCTCAGCCTCATTGGCCGCGAATCCATCGGATCATGGTTCGAGCAAGCGCTCGTCGCCCGACGCCAAACACACTTCTCCTACGACGCCGAAACAGTCATTGACTTTTCCCCCGAAGACGAGCGCCAATTCGCCGGCCTAACAGCGTACTACTGCCGCTTCAACTTCTTCTACCTCACCGTAACCGCCCACTCTGACGGGCAGCGTGAGCTGCTGATCCTTAGCTCGGAAGAATCCTTCCCGCACAGCAAACTCGAGCGACCCTTCCCGGAAGCCATCAAGATCCCCAAAGAGGGCAAAGTGCGTCTCGCGTTGACTATCCGCGGCGCCGCTCTGCAGTTCTTCTACGCCCTCGAGGGACAAGAGTTGAGCAAAATCGGACCGGTGTTTGACGCGACCATCTTGTCTGATGAGTGCGGTGGACATCCCAAGGATGGAAGCTTCACTGGTGCGTTTGTGGGGATGGCGTGCTCTGATGTTAACGGGTTGGCGAAGGAGGCCAAGTTTGATTATTTTGTGTATCGGCCTGTGCATCATGAGTCAGATCGATATGATATTTAACAGTGGTTGGAAATTTTATACTGAAGAAATAGTGACTAAATGAAAGGCTCTGCTGTGTTATCTCATGCAAATAGTGAACTAGCAATTAAGTTGGACAACCACGACATTCTTTGTGAACACAGGCTGGTGATCGGAAGATGACACATGAGCAGGGGTGAATACGCCAAGGCGAGAACTAGGGTCTGTCGCAGATGAGCTTATTTCAACCTCAAGACAACCAAAAGAACGGAGCATCTATAGAAAGAATATGTTTTCCCTTATGCACGTGCTCACTCCAGGCTATTTAAAGCTCCTCCCATGGAATCCAGGCAATATTTGCTGTCCCTCCAGCTCATCATACGTAATTCCTCTCTTCTGCGACTGCTGCCACGTCTGCTTCAAGCGGGTAAACTCCCCCATGGTAGGAATCGCATGGCCGCCGGCCTCAAACTCATTCTTGGTGTACCCTTCACGCTTGAGAACGGGAGAGTCAATGGTGCCAAGCGCGAGGTCATTCACTGCGCGAGAAAAGTAAAGAAGACCTAGACGATCTACGTGACGCTGGTCTTTTGGAGGGACCGATACCTAGTCGCATGTTAGTGTTGATAAAGGGTGTACGGGAGGTTTGACGTACGCGATGGACTGTAGATTTGATATAGCCCCCTGTCAAAAAGCTCAGAGCATCGCAGGCATTAACCGTAAGACTACCATCCAACGGTCTGGCCCACTTCCAGCTCCCTGTCTCATTATCTTTGATCTGCAATCCTGCGACAGGCTGTCGAAACAACAAAGTATACGATCCAAGATCGGTATGACCCCGAGACCACAGGCCATCCTCTAGCTTCTCGATCTCCTCGGGGGAGAACTTGCCGTATTTCATGTAGCGGAGGTGCGATTCGTTATGGGTACCCCATTTGTGTAGGTTGACGAGGGAGTCCTCTGGAATCTCGAGGGCTAGGGCGGTGAGGTGGTAGAGGGGGTCTAGAACCTTTTCGTGCAGGTCCTTGTTCTATTAGTTGTGTTTGCTGTATGTGAATGGGCTAGGTACCTTTGCGAATGAAGTAATCTCTTCGATATGACTCTTGAGTAATTGAGGCACTGGCTGAGTGATCTTCCCGTTATCAGCTGATGGGTGTTGGCATTTTATGCCCTCTTGATTAGATTGGGGATGTCTTACTAGCCATATTCCAAACTTCTGTCTTCTCCTTGACACCACCGGACAGAACACGCCTTCCACCGGGACGATAGCCGTTATACTCCCCCGCATCAAGATCGGGCATGTATTTCAGCTTCTCCTCAATCGGGAGGTCATAAAAGGCGTTTCCCAGCGCAAACTGCCTATCGATCGCGGATTGTGCAATGTCGAAATTGGTGACGTAAAAGAATCCCTTGCTTCGGATTGCATTTATAAGGACGTTGGCAAGTTCTGCATTTCCCTCTTTTGTGCCGTACTTGGATAAGTCAATATTGGCCACTACGTCGAGTTAGCGGGTGCTGTATTACCAAACGGTTCTAGGCTGTTGGAGTTTCTAGACGGGGGTTGGAACTTGCAGTCTGCCCAGTCGAGATGTTCCTTCGTCTCAGGGACATAGCTATACGGAGGAATTTCAGAAGTAGCGGAAGGCATTTTTACTTGTAGTGTAATGAGATACAGGACGTGTAATGAAAACAAGTTGATTAAGAGTGAATTTCCAAATTTGAGGGGACAAGTCTGGATGATAAAGATGCGCGACATTCGGTATGCTGACAATTCCCCTCATGTTCCCGCCAAATAAGTTCGATTTCGTGATCGAGTTCCCCGCATAAGAATTTGGGTACGCGATCATGTTTGGTTGGATGGATGCAGTTGAGTGTGATTGATAGATTGCCCATTCTGGGGAACTATGGCGTGACCGGCCATACGAGAAAGGATCTGCTGCCATTGTAAGCCCTTAGCTTATTAACGCACCTCAAAACTGACAAGAAGGGCTCTCTTGGAACTAAGACTTATATAGGTAAGGATATAGATCCTTAACCTCTGCAGTCGAGATGTCCAAGTTGAAGGTTACTACGTCAAATCCATAGCAGAGGAATGGGATTAAGACTTGAATGTTAACGGATGGGACGCCATTGTCAAAAACGAGCATATTTGGGAAACATGGGACAGTTCGGAGTTTACGCTTCCATTCATGTTTTATCGAGGAGACTGTCAAGCTCTTTCAAATGAAGGTATCCTTTCATTCGACCAGCTCCCATATTATCTGTTAAGATCATGCGCATCAACGCAAGCGCCATGGCTTGGTTCGTAACTATTTACACCAAATTTGACTTGTTTTCCTCCACCCAAGCTCTGAAATCTTGCATATTGGGGTTATGGTTGTGGCACTCTTGCACATTTCCACCATAACCTTCATCCTTGAACCACTTGAACATATCACCCACAGACCCCTTCAATACAAACTTAACAGCGCTCGCAATTGGACACGCTGCTAGAGCCATATGTTGGCCGGTGACTTGGAAATAAATAGCATCCGCTTCAGGCTGCGTCAGCTCATCGCCTGCGAGCGTTAAGGCTGTATTCTTGTATGTGTCGGGATGAAGCAGACTCTGGGCCGCAAACCAGCCGATGTCTCTAGTCGATACCATCTGAAGCTTCTTACTACCCATCTGCTCCCACATACGGGCAAAACCTTTGCCGTGTATGTCGGTACTGATGTTTTCGAAAAATGTCACCGGTCGGAGAATAGTGTATGTCATCTTCTGGGGGCTATTGCGTGCCCGTTGTTGAAGATGTTTCTCAATGGCGTGCTTTGCAGCAAAGTTTTTGACGTAGGTGGGATTGTTCGGAGATCGCACAGGGCCACCGCGATCTCCAGAAGAGTAAACGAAGTGTTGGACACCGTGCATAACAGCGGCATCGACGACTGTTTTGCCTTGTTGTTCTTCCAAATCTGAGTTGATTTGAACGCTGTAGATGCCCCATACCGGGCCGGCTTTCTGAAAGATGTGGTCTACATCGGCCATGTCACCCTCGATAACGGATATGTTGGGGTTGGCGGCGAGTTTCTCAGCCCTGCGACTCGTCACGTCGCGTGTAACTGCGATGATATGAAGAGAAGAAAGTTGCGCAGACGATAGGATGCTTTGAATGACAGCACCGCCTTGCTTGCCAGTAGCGCCAAATATCAACAGAGTCTTCTGAGGAGTAGACGTCGACATTTCTGCTTTTCTTCCGAAATAATCTGAGTTCGAATTTAAAGGATGATATCAGGAATAAAACGTGTGCCAAATGGAAGAGCTGTCTGAGAGTTAATGATAGAGTGTTGTGACAATGTCCTGAGAGGACCGTAGTTATATATAGCCCTTGGCTGAATTGTCTTTCCGAACGGCAACACCAAGAACGACGTTGCTGGGATGTAAGTATGGACTAGTCAGAAAGAACGAATCCTATTGGTCGTACGTGACTATCCAACAAAGCGAATGCGAAAATGCGGATGCGAGGCGAGGGGCTAGCTTAAAGAGGAATAGATCAATATCTTCAAACACCCCTCGAAGCTGGTAAGCGAATGCGAACGGAGTTGTCTATCCGCCAAATTGTCTAATCGGAGGAATTGAAGACAACAATACTAAAATACGGTTCAATTGGCCTTTCCGCCGGATGAAAATTTCCACCGCATGAGTATCATGCGTTAAGCAAAACTCATAGCAACATTTATTGCATCTACTCCCAGCCACAAAAGGGTTTCAATCAATGGCAGTGACCAGAATCACCAGTGACAGATCGAATCAGCAGAGTGGTCAGGATGTTAGTAAATACTCAGCGGTAAGAATGAAAATATTCTTGCATACTGGATAAGTTAACGGGAGTAACTCAAAATAGCATTTACATCAAGTAATGCCATATCGATTCAGATAGAGCCGCATGTTGGCTGTATATCTAGAAGATATATTAAAACCTTTAGTGAAATTCCACCTTTTTTCTTAGTCTATTAGCGAATTCACTATGATTGGATTTCAGCGTCGGTGATAATTATAGCTATCACCTGTCGGCGCGGAATCGGCAGTAGAGAAGCTTGCTATACCCATAATTAGAAAGCGAGCTTAACTCGAATCAGCTGAATCGATATGAGTCTGCCAGTATTATAGGCTCGAGCCTGAGAAAGAAATTGGAAACCCAGAGGGCGCGTTAGAGGAGGAGGAAGGCGAACCTTACAACGACTCTCTCATTAGCGTTCAGAATGATTGTTATACCCTTTATGGAGTTTATACTTAACCACGTTCTATCCCAGGGGTGGAACGAAACTCGTAGGATGAACTGTATTGAGTCTAATTCCATTAGAAGTGTCTTTCACCTCATGGCCATTAATTCGATCGCATAGTCGAGAGGTGGCTATGGTAACTGTATGATACAGCTTGAAGGCTGGATCCTATCCCAGGTCTAGATCCCATTCACGATCGCGCTATTGAACAATACTTTTGCCTATGAGATAACTTCCCAATCAGAGAATACAAAGATATAACTGAATAGTCTAATCGCTTCGACTGCACTAAGCAATAACTCATAACTGTATTAGCTAGGAACGTTCTGGCTAGGTCGATCGTTTCAACCTCATTTTTTTCGCAGTCATAGTCTGATCACCCAAGCAACTCAAAGGAAAGATCAAAGCTTAGAATCTGCCAACGTTTAACCCTTTCTGGTGAGGCAAATTGTTTGTCGCGAGGTTTCTGCGAAGGGGGCCATGCTTCAAGCGCTATCGTTCACGTATTGACAGCGCTCTGATGTCCCGTCAGAATATCCATCATGTTTAATATATCCTTCCCCTGTGACCTCAACTGACTGGCAAACTCGACCGCGGTGGCGCCGCTGCTATCAGCGACATTGGGGTCGGCACCGTGCTGTAGTAAGATTTTGACCACGTTAACGTGGCCAGATTTGACAACGCCATGGCTAGCCCTGATGGCGGCGTGGAGGGGCGATGCGTGAATCGAGTCAAGATGGGCACCATGATCCAGGAGACGGCGGAGCATAGGCTCGTTACCGAACCGGGCGGCGGTAGTCAGTGCACCCGAGTCCTCCAAATGAGCACCGTATTGTAGGAGCAGATCGATCACGGCTGGGTCGTTATAGAACGCCGATACTATCGCAAGCGGAAAGGTGGCACATTCTGGGTCCTGGTTGGGGTCGGCACCAGCCTCGAGTAGGAATTTCAGGTACTCAAACGTCTGGCGACTAGTGCATGCCACGATAAGAGGCGTGCCACGCTTATCGAATTGCATATTGATCACTCGGGGATCTTGGGCGAGTAAGGCCTTGAAGATAGGGATAGAACCTGTGTAGACCGCAGCTCTGATGACCTCCTCTTCTAGAGAACTAGAAGGATACTGTTCCAATAGGAAAGTAATAATGTTGAGGTGAGAGCCTTTCGCAGCTGCCGTTAAAAGGTGCTGAATAGTGTCTTCTGATGGTGGCTCTTGGATGGTCGTAAATAGGGTGCACATCTGGTCAACATCTCCAGCCGCAGCTAAAGTGATAAGCGAATTTTCAACTGTGGGTGTCATCTGTACGAGTTTAGTCTGTAGGTGGTTTCGTTATTAGTAAAGTAGCAGGTATGGTTGTGAATTGGCGGATGTTATCTTATAGACTGATCAGTAGATGCTATCTCGTTGCCTAATTGGCGAGGTGGTTTGGCATTCTTATTGGCAGATGCGGCTCCGTGATTGGCCGATCGTGCGCCACTGAATGTTATCGGCGTTCCCGGTACACATCGGCCTTACTATTTAAGAAAAGAAAAGAACAATTGTTAAGACACGAGACCTTGATCTATGTCTTGGAATATGATGTAGGATCACTTTAGAATGCGCTCGATACCGTGACGTAAAATTACCAATCACATCGCGATCCTCCCCTGTAAAATTAAATGAAATCAACTAGAAAGCTTTAAAAAACGTAGTAATTTGTACGGCCTACTACGAAATACTTCTTACAAAATAGCCATAGATAAATAAGCATTCAGACTCTGTATCAGAACGGCTTTGGCGGTATTCCGCTCCTACTTGGCCATTGTTTATGAAACTTGAAGTAGGGTTAAGGTTAAAGATTGTAATCTCAAGGGCAGCATGAGGGCTGTCAGGTAGGTAGACTTAGCAAAATGAAGGATATTCTCTCCGGATTTTCCTTGAACTTTGGTTCTTAATTTCCACAGGGAAGACTTGTTGGTCTGTGGAATTTGCAGTCCAACCCTTACTTCAAGGGTGACAAAAGTCTCTGAGTCGACTGCCACTTTGTCTGTGGTGCTGGAAAGTGGCGGGCTGAAACGATACCTCGCTGCAAAAACGCCACTCAACAATAGACCAACAGAGACATTAACATCATGTTACCGGCCAACAGTTTAAGGCCACCATTTCTAGACTCGAGACATCTTTCATTACCTCTAGACATAAAAGCATATAAGTTTCCCCTTAATCACCTCTGACGCCTCTCCTAAAATTTCAGTTTGGAAGCCCACAAACTTCGCATCTTTGGCGGTATTCCGGAATCATGAAGTCCCACATCTTGATAGCCACTCTCCTAGGAGCAGTTGGTACTTTCTCAGCGATTGATCAAGCTTCGATGGAGATAGACTCTTGGTGCATTACGTACCTCTCTACCTACCTTGCTCCCGTTTCCAACCAAGCTAGCGTATTAACATCGACCGAGCGAGAGGCTCTGGAACCAATTGCACAAGAGTCTAGAAAACTCCCATTGGTACCATCCGTACGGCCTACATTTGGAAGAAACACCTCAGTGCCAACAACTTGGTCAACTTTGAGTACGAGACCTTTGTAGACATTCCCCACGCCGGATTGAATTAACAGTGTAATAGGCGACGACGGTCAAGGTGCCTTGACTTTGGATACCTCATTCGTTTCTGTGCAATCCACTGGCACTTCTCCTGTTTCTCCGATCAGCGCTGAAACTTCGGATCTGAATGTTGAGCCAACCGGAGTACTCACCAACGAACTCGCTACCTCTTCAGCATCGATACAGGATTTAGGCACTACGGCTAGTACAGATACTTTCCCTACTTCGAGCAGCATCAACCAACCTGCTGGACGATCTATTATCTTCCGAGTCTCCATCCCCGACAATGAGAGACGCGGTCTGCATAAGAGAGCTACTGGGGGTTTTGTTGGCATTGATAACCCTGATGTCTGTACATTTGCTGCTGTCTTCACTCTCGCCGAAGGCAAGCTCTTCGATGGAGGTGTGCCAGTTTACTATTCGGGTGAAGATTACAAGGATTTAGCTGGACAAGACAATCCTTCTGGGGACTCTATCACGACAACATTCACAACGTCTGGTAGGAACCTTGTGTTTAGGAACTCAGGTCTTCCCAATGGTGATGCCGGTTTCTGCCAAGTCTCTAATGGTCAAGTCTACATCACTTTCACTACGGGACCCCCGGGGTGTGTGCCAGTTAATTTGGCTGTTTACGACGGTAAGCATACTCTACATGTATTCGAAGATGCATGCTGATTCAAGTTACAGTTGAGCAATGTCAAGATGGTCGACTTATCGGTGATGCTGACTTGACATCAACTTCTTCCGAGACAGTCACCTCTCAGACAGTGGTGCCTCAAGCTATCAGTTCTGAAAGCGTCACCAGTATCGAGGGCACATCAGCAGTAGAGGAAACCCAACCCATTGAATCCGAATCGGAGGGCACTCTTATGCCAACCAATACAGCTCAATCCGAGTCTCAACGCCTTCCTATCCCAAGCAGCACAGTTCAATCCGAATCATTTGGGCCAGTTTCACAAACGGCTGAATCAATTGATCCAACTTCGCAGACCTTCGCATCAGCGGACCCGGGCTCTCAAACATCTGAATCCGGGACATCTGTAATGGCTTCTTCCGGTGGGACTGATGTATCTGCCAAAAAAAGCTCTTTCATTACCGCTATACCCGCTGCGGAAACCGCTACTACGCAATCTTCCATTATTCTTTCAATATCCGATGACTCTAGCACCGAGGAGGCGTCTTCATCTACTGAAAAAGAAGATTCGACTTCGCTTGCCAGCATATCAACCGACCTGGCTGGCTTATCTACCATTCCTAGCGTGGAGACAACAATTCCGAGCACACTGGACATGAAGTCGGAGACTACCAGCAGTATCGAGATGTCTTCTATAGATACAACTACTGCCATTGAGCCCGAGACAACTACCAGTGAGCTCGAAACCACGATCAGTGAGCCCGAAGCACCTACCACAGACGTTACTACAGACGCCGACGTTACAATTAACACCGATACCACGACCACTGAAGACCAATCAACTGCCGAAATCCCGGCAGTCACTGAAGACACTACTACTGCTGCTCCAGTCCCCACATTCGTGAACCTTGCTTGCAGTGAGGTTAGCAGCCCATATGAAGATCCCAGTGGTGTCTCTTTCGAGATCTTGTGCAATAATCAGCCACGTGGTTATGCCCCTTTGGACAACATTCAGGTAGACAGCTTTACAGCATGTGTAAGGTTCTGTGCTGAGGACACCCGATGTGTTGGCTCGTTCTATTTGAAGAATGTACGAGTGTGTGGCACTTTCTCAGACAGTTTCGCTGGTTATGAGGCGACACCTGACATCGATGTTGCACTTCGTATACCAGAGGACGTCAATCAGATTACCACCACCGGCGACACTGCAACCACCGAGGATCCAAAAGCTACTACAGATGCCACTACCGCTGCTATCCCAATGACTACTGCTGCAGATCCAGTTCCCCCATTCGTGGAAGCTACCTGTAATGAGGTTAGCAGCCCATACGACGACCCTATCGGCGTCTCTTTCGAGGTTTCATGCGATACCGCAACATACGGCATAAATCTGATCGATGCCCCCTTTGGAACTGTATTCACAGCGTGCGTGAGGTACTGCGCTCTGGACGACCGATGTGTTGTCATGTACTTCGATAGGCCAGCAAGCCTGTGTCTTCTCTTTTCGGACTATGCTGGATCTTTTCCTGACCCTCAATTTGATGGTGCAATTCTTATATCAGGGGGCGGGAATCAAGTAACTACAGATGACCAAACAACAATCGAGAACCCAGTAACCATTGCAGAGGCCGTTGCAGGTACCACTGCAGACAACATCGCAGACAGGATTGCAGATACCACGGCAGATAACATCGGAGGCAGGGTGGCCGCAGCTGTCTCTACGATTGCTGATGCAGCCACAACTCTCTGAGTTGGTATTGGCAGCCAACATGATGACCATATCGGTACCTCTCCCAAGCTTGAGTGCAACATTGCAGTATCCGGAAGTGTTCCCCGCGAGTTCATTACGACAGATATCTTTAAAGCATCTGAGTTTCTGCGCTCGGAACGACGGATGTGAGGCTGTGGATTTCGATTATGAGCAGAGCCTGTGTTTTATCTATGGTACAGCTTCAAGGTCCCTTTCCGGGCGGTAATAATAAACATGACGCTGCATTCTGTGTCTAACAGCAAGGAGAGCGCTAGGACCAGTGGTCACTATCAACAAGGTTCGCTAGGTGGATTATATATGGGAAAAGTAGTCCTTCTTAATAGGGCCTAGATTGATAAGTAGTTCGCTTTAGTTTACATTCTTCTGTATCACATATTAATACATTCGCATTTTCTTTCACCATCTCAGATCTCAATAGCAGATATAGTGTTCTAGCTATATGAAATAGCTAGCACGATTTGGAGACCCGGGCTTACTTAGACTGATATATTATTAAAAGAGGAAGTCTGAGGTAATAATGGCTTTGCCTATACTGCCCAGTACTGAGGTAGATTTAGAGCTATTACTTGAGGTTATTACTTTTCCGAATTATTTAGACTCTTACTTTGGGCTACCACTCAGCCCTTGAAACGACCAGAAAGTTGATTAGTGAGGTTCTGTTTCTCCATTTACTCACATGATTGAAATGGGATATAACATGGCTTTACTAGGAATCCTTCCATCCTCATTGATCGAAAAGCTGTGCTCATCTCCCCGCTTTTCGTCAGAGACTTTGAACATTTGGAGAAACACACCCTCAACCAAACTCAGCCTTGTTTTATATCATGTCTTCAGCTACTTCTCCACTACGCAACAAGTCATGGAGGCGCGACTCTTATCTCATATCCACAGACCCCAGTACTATACCACTCGCAAGGGTCGTCGCCATCTTTGCCTCTGATGAATTCTACTGGGCCAAGCCGCTTCCCGAAGATGCGATGAGGGACATGCTCGAAAGCTGCCTCTTCTTCGCTCTGTACGATACCAAACAATCGTCAATCACCTCAGATACGCAAGAGGCCAGCGATGAACCCCGCAAGCTTGTCGGCATAGCCCGCGGTATCACAGACTACACGACCTTTCTCTACCTTACCGATGTCTGGGTCGACCCAGCATACCGCGGCCAAGGTCTCGGAAAGTGGCTCATGGAATGTGTACGCGAGGTAACCGATTCGATGCCTCATCTGCGAAAAATAATGCTTGCTACTGGTGACTGGGAAAGGACTGTTCCGTTCTATGAGACAATTATGGATATGAAGGTGACGGAGGGTCAGCGGGGAGAGACCAGAGCGATTATGGAGCGAAGAGGACGAGGACATCCGAAGTTTGGGCAGTAAATACAGAAGTCGCTCCATTTATCTATAATTCTGCCTATTAATGAATTAATAAATTGAAATAGCGACATGAAGCGCGGCTATGTCTTGACCGAAGACAGCCGAAAGTGCGGGGTTAGCGTACAATGCCAATTTCACCATCACGAATCAAGCACAGATTGTCTAACTATATGTTTGCATGGACTCCCACCTATCAATTGACAATATCATTTACTTCATCCAAAACTCCATAATCAACCATGCATCTCCCCAAACTCCCCCCAAGCGCAACCTACATCCGTCTATCCAACCCCTCCAAACGCAACGCCCTCAGTCTCCCCATCCTCCAAGACCTCAAAACCCAACTCACCAAAGCACTCACATCACCAACCACAGGCCAACTACGTCTTCTGCCACCGTTCAAAGACAACATCCTCAAAGATCTAGAGAAAGCCGTGCGCGGCAAAGACACGGCCAGTGATGCGTGGAAGAAGTACGGATGGCTTGTGAATGCCTCGGAGTGGAAGAGAGAGCGCGCTGGTTTGCCTGATGTGCTTGTTCTTCGGAGCGAGGGCCCGGTGTTTTCGTCTGGGCATGATCTGAAGGAACTTGCTCAGCTTAGCCATGACGATGTCAAACTGCTCTTTAGTCTCTGTGCAGAGGTTATGGGTTTGATCAGACGCAGTCCTGCCCTTGTTGTCTGTCCCATTCAAGGTCTCGCTACGGCTGCAGGTTTCCAACTTGCCATGACGACGGATTACCCGATTGCTCTGCCCGACACCAAATTCTCATTACCCGGTGCTAAAATCGGTTTACCGTGCACCAGTCCATCCACCGCTATATCGCGCCGTTTACCACCCGGGGCAACACACAGACTCCTCGCGACTGCAGAGCCCATCACAGCATCAGAATACCCCGGCGCAGTTGACGTGGTAAAGGTCTCGCAAAATGACAAACCCGAAGATGTCTTCGAGGATCGTGTGGCAGTTGTGATTAACCAATTAGCGTCTATGTCTCCACAACAGCAAGCTGTTGGGAAATGGGCCTACTGGACTCAACTTGGTATCGGAGCGTTGAATAGTGAAGAGGGTGGTGATGGGTATGAGACGGCGGCGCGTTGGGCGGGAAGGGTCATGGCTTTGCATGCGAGGAGTGAGGATGCTAAAGAGGGTATTGCTGCATTCTTGGAAAAGCGTAAACCTGATTGGACAAGTAAGTCGAAGTTGTAGGGCGAAAGTCTGTCTCCTCATTGGAACATGCTTTACAACCATAATAGTCTTCCCATGGTACGGGCACTTTCAATAACAGAAAATGGAGTCTTTCAATGTGTTCTTATTAACATATCTTAAACATTAAGCTACAGACACCACATCTATGCCACAATCTCCAGGCGTCTCTTGTTCCATTGATGTGTCAGAGCCTTGGCCTTGGGCTGCCTCTTGACCTCATCATACAGACGCGCAGTAAGATACTTGTAGATCCAGACCGACGCACCATTGTACACAATGCTGTGGTCACTATCAGTAAATGCAAACATCTTCATCTTCTCAGGCGACACCCCAGACCCAACCAGAAGATCAATCAGAGCAGCAGCGTGTTGGTAATGGACGTTGTCATCACCTGTACCGTGGAGGATGCTGAATCCACCGTCGATGTTCTTGAAACCGTTGACGTTGTGCACGGCTGTCTCGAGATAACCTTCGCGGTTATCCTTGAGGGTCTTCATGTAACGCTCGGTGTACATGGAATCGTAGAAGCGCCAGTCCGACACAGGTGCTGTGATGAGGCCGAAACTGAATACTCCAGAGTCGGCCTCGACGGTCTTGGCTGTGAGGTATCCGCCGTAAGACCAACCCCACATGCCGATCTTCTCAGGGTTGACGTAGTCGAACCTCTCGATGAACTGCTCGGCAGCCCAGATCTGATCCAGAGGCTCAAGTTTTCCGAGCTGCGAGGCCACAAGAGACCGGTACTTTCGGCCGCGCATGGCAGTACCGCGGTTATCGACGGTGTAGACAATGTACTGAAGCTCAGGGTCGGAAGAGATGTATGCCTTCCAGCCCAGGGACTGGAAAGACTTGGCCACACGCTGAGAGTTGGGGCCGCCGTAGGGAGTGAACAGAACAGGGTATTTCTTGCTGGGGTTAAAGTTGACGGGGAGCTGCTGCATAACATTCAGGGTGTAGCCGTCTGGGTGCTCCAGCTCAAAGTAGGTAATGTTGGGCAGGCTGTACTGGGTGATGTTCTTGTAGAACTGCTTGTTATCAACCAGAGTGCGCACAGGCTTGCTGGTCGAGTTGACGGCGTAAAGCTCCTGGTAGGGAACATCAGGGCCCTGGTAGTGCAGGATGTAGTAGCCGCCGTTGGACGAGAACGAGGCACCCCACGTAGCAGGGACGGACTCGTCCACGAGAGGAGTGAGCTTCTTCGTCTCCCATGAAACCTTGTAGACGTGTCGCTCGGTGGAGTGCGCCTTCGAGGCCTGGAAGTAGACAAGCTTCTTGGCGGTGTCGATGTGCAGGATGGTGGACACCTCCCACTCGCCTGAAGTAAGCTGGATGGCCTTTCCGCCCTGGACGGGGTAGAGGTAGATGTGGTTCCAGCCGTCTTCGTCAGAGACATCAACGTAGTAGGTCTCATCGCTCTTGGAGTTCAAAGCTCCAACGAATGAGATGGACAGAGTATGCTCGAGCCATCCATCGCTGCCGTCGCGCTCGCGAACAACCTTTGAGTCAAGAGTCTCAGGATCGACGACAACATGAGCATCGTGGTCTTGGACACGGTTGAAGGCGCGGTAGATAAGAGCGGTGTGGTTCTTGGTAACCCATGCAACCTCGCCAATGATGAGCTCCTCAGGCTCAAAGGCGTCGACGGGGACGGGCTTGTACTCGCGCTCCGAAACATCAAGGATGTTGAGTTCCACGGTGGGGTTCTTGGATCCGACCTTGGGGTATCTGAGGTCCAACTCCCGAGGGTACGTAGGTGCCAGCTTCTGGTTGTCCATGTAGTAAGGAATGGTGAAAGTGCCAACGCCTGTCTCGTTGAAGCTCAAAAAGGCGAGGAACTTGGCGTCGGGGGACCACCACAGAGTGGAGCGAGTGCCGAAGATCTCCTCCTCGTAGACCCAATCGGGAACACCGTGAAACATATCAGGACTTCCATCGGTGGTGATCTGGTCGATCTTTCCTTCGCCGTCGCGGATGAAGAGGTTGTGGTCGCGAACAAAGGCCACGGCATCTCCAGTGGGTGCAAACTGCGCAAACTGGATATCGCCAACCTGGTCCTTGACCAGAGGCTCACTCTCGCCAGACTCAACATCGAGGATGAAGTAATCAGCAAAGTACGAGTAACGATACTGCTTGGTGTAGTTTGAAGCAATCAGAACCCTCTTCGCATCGCCGCTGATGGAGTACTCGTGCATATCCTTGGGGAGTTTATCAGCGGTGACAAACTTTGTCGTCTTCTGTGAGACGATATCCTCGAGGACGAGATCACCCTCGGGGCTGAGAACAATGTAGTTTCCATCAGCGCCGGCAGAAGACCAGTCCACGCTGAGAGTAGACGGCCTCAATTTGGCGCTCGGACTTGTCTCATTGAAGGTGAGAAGACGATCGCCCTCGCCGACAGGTTGATGAGGCTGGCGCGGCGGATCGACGGCTAGACCCAGAGGGGCAAAGGCCAAAAGCGCAGCCAAAACGACAGACGCAGCCATTTCTACCGAGGTCTTTTTCAATCAAAGAGTGAAGATGAAGAAAAAAGAAACCTTAGAGAAAAAGAAAGAAGGAAAGGAAAAAATAGCCACGTCGGACGGAACCTTTTTAAACTTTCCACGGGAGCTGCCTTTTAAGCTTATACCAGGATGTTTCGATGCACGATCGACAGAGCACCAAGTGCGCCTTCCCGCAGCGGTTTAGATGGCCGGGATAGAAGAAGCCATGACCTGCCGCTTTGGGCGCATTTTGACAAAGTTCCCCCGTGTGATGTTGCGTTGGTAACCTTTTGCCAAGACCGACAAGGCTTGGAAAGACGACAAAAGTTCGTCGCGATAAGGAGATTGAATTTCGCAAGGGAGTCTGTTTGTTTATTGGTGATACGAATGGATTGTGTTGGTTGTTATTGGAAGGGGATTTTGATTTGCGCCAATTGGAAGTGTAATATCTGAGATGCTACCCCTCATGGATGTCGATATCGTCATTAATTGTGGGCACGTGAGATGTTTGTTACGCAGGGTATTTTGTGCCTATGCATAAGCCTTGTACTTAATAGTCGGCTCATGTGCTTGCATAGAATTAGCCTCCAATCTATCCAAAGATACTAACAATTTATGCAATTCTATGCATACTTGAATTATAGAAATGGATAACCTACATAAGTTGAATAATTAATTAATATATCTTCACAGAGTAGTAGATTATACATAGTAATGTAAACCAAGGAGGCAGTGCAGTTGGAAGCGGACAGTCCTATTATTACGTTGTAAACCGGAAAGGTGGGGGAGTTTTGAAATCAGATATTAGAGTGATAGCAAATAATGAAGAGCCAGCCCGGATATACAGTAGAATAGCAGTAGGTTAGTAGCCAGAACTGTAAGCAGTGCTTTTATCTCCATCTCAGTATTTAGTATAAGTTCAATAGTGCAGCCGTATGTCTTTTCGAAAATTAATAGAAGGAAGGTATTACTATCTTAGTGGATCCGCCATAATAGTATTCAAAATTGCTCTAATAACCTTATTTCTTCTAACACACATCCTCTCCAATACCGTCGGCAATAACTGTATTGAGGTTATCAAAGGTGTGCTTCAAGTTTGCGACACTGTCGTTATAAGTTTTATTCCACCCTCAATAACCATTAGGGCAGACCTCTACGACACCCATCCAATTGTCCTCACGAGTACAACACTAACCCCCTCCCCCCCCCCTCCCCTTTTTGCAAGCCCTGGCAAGCTTATATAACGAACAAAAATCATGCCGCACTCCGGAGAGGAAGCGATTTATCTATCAAAAGCATACATAATATCCAACTGCGAGTCAAGGCGACCAAGAGAACTACGAGAATTTCACATTTCATACATACTGTCATAAGGATGACTCTTACCCAGAGCATTGATATTGCTTGCTTATCATATCCCTTATCAGTCTTGGCCTCATCCTATTTTTCTAGTAGCCCCCTGGTAGTCATAATTGAATCGTAATGATTCTACTGCTGCCCACACAATCCCTTGTGTCAATAAACATAAACATTCTTCTCTTCAATCTCTAGTTCTACTTGAGCACTGTTCTTAACTAGCAAGCTAGCTCAATCACTAAACATAGCGCTTCCACAGCGATCACCTCTGCTTCTGCTACGGGAACTTTCTAGGCATGCCGGGCTACGCCAATTCTTCCTTCGCCGGTTATTTGGCCCCGTACTTACTCCACAAAGCCACAGAAATTTAAGAATAAAAGCTTCATTAACGATTGTACTGGCAAAGAACAATCCACTAAGGTCTCCAACAAACAACACTGCCCATGGCAGGACTCTCAGCTTAGGTACCTTAGGACAGCTTACTTACAAGTGACTTTATCAGGGCTACACCAAAGCCCACCAGGTTTAACCTCATATGATTATCTCCCTTGAATATTGATTGCTTAAGAAATAAAACGGCACAGATTATAGGACCAGCTCGTTCTGCAGGGTAAATTTCATACCAAGCTTAACAGCTTGAGTGAGCGAAATCAAGTTGTCATCTGGGCTGAGAACGGGCATCGAATTATCAATGAAGCCTGAGTTAGGGGTCAACTGTGCACAATAGCGACGATGAATTTGTTGTCCCTGAGACCATTGATTTGCCCTTAATCGCTGGTCCACTTTAACCGGGAGTAACTCTTTTGGTCCACATTTGATAGTTCTAACGTGAGCGACGCAAGACAATACCATATTAACTAATTAAATACAGGAAGACCTGCAGATACCGCTATGTATATACATACTAGCTAACTGCAGCTGCTATTGACTTGCCTGAATTTAATGCGGTTATAAAGGGGGGTTTCTACTGACTTGAGCCACCCACTTTACCGACTTAACCACTTAGAGATGCAATTAGCTAGTCTTATATCATTAGCGGTAGCTATAGGGCGTATTGTGTTTACTCAGTTAATACGGTAGCCCAATTCCTTAGGGGGGCAGATTTTGACCAAACTATTGGGTATTCCCAAATTAACACGATAATACATTGAAAGGTACTGTGGTCTAGTTGGTCATGACATCTCGTTAACACCGAGAAGGTCCCCGGTTCGAGCCCGGGCAGAACCTCATTTTTGCCCTCTCTACAGGAAGCCATCGCTTCGTAGAGAATAATCCTTTTGTTTCTTTCTATTTTCCTTCCGCTGCCGGGTCACTTGCCTTTGCATAGAAAGCACTAGAGAGTACATAATAATATCGGATAGTTGTAATGCGGCTGGCTAAAATCAAATCACTTTTAAGCAAATGGTGAGGATGATGCTATTATGTTCGAGGAGGAAAACCTTCTTAAGCCACGTTATACCTACCCTTATTCCAGAGCTCTCGCACTGATATGCTGCATTTGACATGTGTAAGTAACAGATCTCGACCTGATAGATGTTCTTGCGAGTCCTAACTAGTCATGCGCTACCAGTTGACGGCATCCGAGTCACTTCGATTCCAAGTGATGCTGGCTAATATCGCTATTTGGCTATACCGCTACGGTTTTTAATTATTATATTCAATTTTCTAAAATATCATTTCTTCCTATTTTGACGCTGACGCTCTTTCAGCAGCTGGTGATTGAAACAAGTGACGTGGGTAAGTTCTGGTAGCAAATGGAGCTGGGTGACGAGGCATACTGTCAGAGCTAACAACTCACTCCGCAAAGACAATGATGCGAAGGGCACAGACGATTCTATTTCGCAATCATAGATATTGGTGGCAGCCAGACATGAAGCGACCGTGGATCGTCGTCCCAACGCAAAGGTGAGTGCGAGGCTGGGCATAGTGATACCCCTCGTTAGGCTCAGCTTGAAAGAGTGTAGCTGTTGTCAGTATTGCTCACATCAGTCAAGCCACTAGCCGCACAAGTCTTGGATTCGGAAGGTGTCTCAGAACTTCCAATTCCCAAGTTGCTTTTAAGAGTGTCGTTTGTCTTACGAGGGTGGCGCCAGCCTTTAATGCATGTGGAAGTGCGGGGGTTGTAGCCAGCGTCCGTAAGGCTCTCCCTTTGATTGCACACCGCCTGCATAGTCACGAGGTGAGGGGGTTACCTAAATCTTAACAGTGGCTTGGAAATTACTCTCAGACTGTGTCTTAGTTGGATTCTCTGATAGCACCTCCGACATGATAAGTCTAAATATAGTGCTGGGGGCTCATCTAAGACGCCCGACTTCAATTCCGGTGACTATAACCGTCCCGTTGTTTAAAGATATGAAGTGAAATAAACGGATTAAAGTGTTGATAAGGAAAGGAACAATGGAACAGATTTCCCAACAGTGGTGTCTATAAGACATTAGGTGCGTGACCAATAGTCCTATGTTGCACAGGATAGTTAAACATATACTAAACCTGCGACATAATAAACCACTAAATAAGAACATCAAGCGGTGAGATTATTGTTACAGCCCCAACCAATTACGATTAGCCATAATACACCCACTAATCCAGGCCCTACCCCGACAGTATATAGAAAGGTTTACCATTTATTAAATCTAAGCTAGGATAGATATGAATAGTAGAAACCTAAAGCTACTCTATATGTCCTTGTTAGTTATTTATTACATAATATTTCTTAACTGATAATTATATAAACTTATGTGTACTAGACCTTGAGTGAACACGTTTGTAAAAGAAGCATTGGCCGTTTTTGTATTTTCTCTTTATGATTTAGTGTTATATGTGCCCTGATAGCTACTAAATGCACCTTAAGCTCGGCAGGACTTTGAAGCTATTGTTGATAGGCTAGGAGGTAATGGAGACGCCTTTAAATGACATGCAGATCAAACCTCCGAACTTTAGTATTAAAACAGATGGCCTTGAGTGTGTAGTAAAGTGTCTATTAATATAGATGAAGTACTCGGTCGGAATTTTATAGCGACCGAGGGCCGTAGTTGAATGCATGAATTATTGGCTTTGCCCTAGTTAAAAATCACCCCACTTCCAGCATCAATTGTTGATACGATAAAAAGTATTTCCTGTAAGTGACTTTACAATCCCTAGGTCCACTTGTCTGGCATCGTTCACTGGCCCCAAACGCCTGAAGGGCCAGCCACCTCATTTCCATGTGAATTTTCTTCATCTCCAACCGAAGGGGTCACTAGCGGCTGCTCTTCATCATGATCATCGTGGTATTCCGGTCGACCGTGACAATGTGTGCATTGATGAGGAGTGCTGGGCACCAGGTCGCCAATTAGTTCCCGGAGGATGCCCTTCATCTTATGCGTTCTCAGTAACACAAGTAGTGCCAAGTAAAAGTGAAGGAACATATTGAACATCAATGGTGTGGACGAATAAGCCACTAGGAAAGTCTGCCCAGTTTCTTGCCATCGGTTACACGTCCATGTGAAAATGAGTGTGATGAGAGACAAGATAGCTAACAAAATATCTGCGATGAGACAGTTCAATGGCTCAGTGATAGGTGTGGCGAAGGTGGATTTCAGATGTGCGCCTTGGCGGTGCAGGCGTCTCACGGTCAAACCGAAGATGGCCGAGCAGGTAAGAAGAATAAGTGTAAAGAAGCCAGTAGGCCGAACCATGAGGATGAAGCGGATAAAATTGAGGGGCAGGCCAACAATCGCCGAGTATACCAGGAAGTCCCTGGTCGAATGGTTGACCGCTGCTGAGTTGATAGCGAACATGTTGGATCGTATGCTTATTGATTGATTGTGTGGTTTAATAGTTATTTGGTTGATAATGAGAAGAGGAAAAGTTGGCCTGGTGGAAGGGTGAAAAGGTCACTTATAGCTTGAAAGATTGGTTGCCTAGCGATATATATAATTAGAGTGATGTATGTTCCTCGCTGTTGTCAATCATGCGCTGCGTAATCATTGCACAAAGAAACTCCCGCACTCGGGATTGGCCATCCACTGTAATTCTTGGAATAACAGGAAGGATCTGCATAAATTAGGCGGTTGGAATCCTCCAAGGCAACAGCGTAAGCACTACCGTAGCAGGTTTGCATAACTCTTCCATACATAGCGGCCTTTTTTAATCGGACTGCTTTTGGGGGCTGAAAATGGAGCGAATTAAGTCATTGCAACGATATTCTAGGCGAATCGCTAATTTCTAGGTAGTATGATTGGATATGGATCGAAAACTACTTTCTTTGTTAATGCTCATTCTGCCTCACAGACTCAGGGTTGTGATTATGGTAGTTATAAGCGACCCGGTGTTGGTCAGAATCTGCCTCGTCATTGATCGGCATCGCCTGCGCCTGCGCCTGCGCCTACCCCAAGCCACGTCCATACAAACCTCACACTATTCTAGCCCGATCGAAGAGCCATAAATGAGGTTATTTTAGTAATACTGAGACATTACCAGATGTAAATTATAACATTATCTTAAACCGCCACTATATGATTCCTGCTATAGCACTTAATAAAGGACATTACCTTTTCCAAAAGTACCTAGTCGTTATATAAATACCTTGCGAGAGAGTGAAGGATTTCTGTAAGAGGTTTTGGATAATAGTTCGGCTTATGCCCTTGCGATTTATCTCGACTAGTAGCGTCTCTACACGGATTCGTGTAATTGACTTGCATGGAATTAAATTAACCTTTGATCTATCTGAGAACCCCACCAGCTCATACAACTATGTGTATACTTTTACGAAAATGGCTACCCTAAACAGCTTGAGTAATTAAGTTGTAGGTCTTTGCTAATATCAAAAATAATATAAATATAGGCAAGGAGGCATTGCAGTCCGAAGTGAACAGTACCATCATTACCTCGTTGACTAGAAAGGTGGGGAGTAATAGCAAATAATGGAGAGCCATCCCGAAAACACAGCAGAATAACAACATATCAATCACCCGAGCACTAGCAGACGTAATACTGGATAAGGCTCGGCTTGGCCGGCTTACAATGCTTTCACAAGAGAAGCGAAACAACGTGATTGCCAACATCATCCTAATGACTCATTAGCTCAACATGAAGATACCAATCTGACTCGTTGTTCCTTTTTCTCCGCCTCTTTCAATCACGCAAAGTCTTGGCACGATAAGACAAAGATAACGATCAGCAGGCACGCATGCGGAGAATTCTCGAGATCTCCTAAAAATGACGCAACTCCTCCTTTTCAATACTCCTCGAGCTGCAGCACAACGGAAATAGAAATGTTTTCGTTGTTTAAAACCGGAAGAGACATTCCGGACCCCTGAGCGGAATTGTGCGCCTCGAACTCGCTTACCTACAGGCTATGCGATGCGTAGAAACTAGAAAGATTAATCTTCAGGGGTCACCACGTGAAGGTATTCTGGCCGTGGCTGCATTCTGGACCATTGCAACGGGCGCGCAGCCACGGAGTAGCATCCAGATCTGAACCACATGGCCGGGACAGTGCTTTGATGATTGGAGCAAGGATGCAAATGACCTTGCAGGGCGCTGCCGTTATCATCAGCATTAAGGTAGGACGTATTGAGGAAGGTGACAGCAGACAAGCGTAGAGTGACAGACGCGATGGCTGTTTCTCATTTTCAGCCACAGTCCGAGCGTGCTGTTGAAGCCCCTTTTAGTGATTCACTTAGGTGACGATAAAAAAAAACTCTTATCCGCGTACACTTAAAGATTACGAGGCACCATTTCCGACCAGTCGTCATGATTCACAGCATGGAATAAAACGCAGTGGATACAACCCCCATTTCATCTTCAGCCTTCTGGATCCTCTCTGCTCCGACCTCGCAATGTCAAATTTCATTCCGCTATCCGATCACACAATCTCTGGATTTCACATGGGTAGCTATGACCCTTCCCCACTATCTACGTTCTAAAACGGAACCTCGCCTACAAGTCCAGATGACAAGTGGCTCTGTGGCTTGCCTGTAACGCCGGATCTAACGACTGATCTCGTAATAGCGCCCCTCTAGCTCGCTACCAAAGCTCGCTCTGACATGCGGTAGTCTCTGATTCGCAGCGCCATCATTGGCAGCAAATGCGCTGTCGAGACAAACTAGCAAACTCAAATGTAACCCTCCCTGTATCATCGCCGTGAGCTCCGATTATGCCCCCGGCTTGGACAGTGATGGGCTGATGCAGGGTCCCATTTCCCACGTGTGAAGCTGATGAGATGTGGTTCCTTTTCCACAACCGAGCTCCGATCTTGCTGGCTTTATCTGCAGCCGTTCTGCACCCCTGAGTGACGCTGCAGATCCTGTCTTTCTTTGTCTTTTTAACTTTTAACCTTGCTTCCATGCCCTGGGTTCTGCGCGCATTGCTTTTTTCAACTGGGTGAAGACCCTTTCCAATCCTTGGTACCTGGGAATTACTAGCCATCATGCCTTCACTTGATGCTGAGATGTGGGCGTGGTACGGCTTGACTGTCGTTGTCGTGCTGTCGCGGATGTGAGTTCAATCGGTCACATTTACGATTGGTTACTGACTATTCCAAGGACATCTCGTCGGATGCTGTTGGGATCATTCAAGAATATGCTGGCAGATGACTATCTCATGGCTCTCACTATGGTTTGTTCTCCTTACACACCCTCTTGACTTCAACAATACTGATTCTATAGATTACATACACGGCTCTATTGGCAATTGTCAGCGTCCTCTCACGAACACCCACCAACCTCATCAACCCCGACGACCACATCGTGCTTACACCGGAGGACATCAAGGAGCGAGAATACGGCTCGAAACTCGTCCTCGTAACCGAACACATGCAGATGATCACACTCTGGGGTGTCAAAGGTTGCCTCTTGTTCATGTACAGCCGACTTACGTAAGTGATTGTTCACCACTAAGCTTGGCCGTGACTAACTGTCCCACAGACTGAGTTTGAAGCAAAACGTCTTCGTCAAGATCGTCGCCTGGTATGTAATTGTTGGGTTTGTCGTCATGGAGCTTTTATGGTTCACTGCATGGTGTCGGCCCTTCCACAACTACTGGCAGGTTCCACCAGATGACTGTAAGTTACACAAACATTCACTGTCACTGTCCTGCAACAGTGTAACTAACCGACATCAGTGAATTGCTCTGCTGAAACCAACCACATGATCACAAACGCTGTTATCAACATCTCTTCGGACATCATGATCATCATCCTCCCAATGCCTGTCTTTCTTCAATCCCAGCTACCACTTAAGAGGAAGGTTATTCTCTGTGGCGTTTTTGCACTTGGAATCTTCACTGTAAGCCTCATAGCCCACTAATTTCACCAGCTATCAGACACAAGCATGCTGACTCCAAGACACCAGATCCTGGCTGCAACCATGAGCAAAATCTACAGTCTCGGCGATCCTTTCGGTACACAATGGTCCTACTGGTACATCCGAGAAGTCTCAACCGCTGTCATCGCCGCCAACCTCCCTCTCACATGGACTCTCCTCCAACGCGTCTTCAGACTCGGCTCCTTCTCCGCCCGATACGGCAAATCATCCAACCAGCGCACTGGCGAAGGAACATCCCGATTCAGATCAGCCTATGGCAACCTCAGCAGCATGGACCGACGACCAAAGAGGACCACCTTTGTCGAGCCTGGGATGAGTTTCTCCGAGAGCCAGGAGGAGATCAACGGCAAGGATATTCCGTTGAAGATCTATCAGAAGAATGAGGTTACTATTAATATTACTACGGAGGAGGCGACACCTGATGGTCATCGTGCACCGTCACCACCGGGCCAAACTGGGCTTGTGAGGGTCGATCTTAGTCCTGATGGGAATGAGGTTGCTACGAACCGCGAAAGAGCGGCGAATGAGATGGAGCTTGGTGTTGTTACTAAGGTCTATCATGGAGTGTAATGTGCGGATACCAGAAGTCAACTTCGGATAGACATACATTTTTTAATGTCCCTAATAGAATTGAGTTCATTTAACCATATGTTAATGCACTTCTGAGATGCAAAGAAGGCTGAATGGATAAAAGCGGCTGGCGGCCACTACTTGATTAATTCATACGTTTTAGTTGATCTTTGCTGTAAAGTTTGTCTTCGAAGAGTGCCTGTTAACTGCTGCTACAGTATATCGGCTCGGAAAACTTAATAGCAGTTCTAAGTATTCTCCACTGTTGCTTTAATCGGTTATTACTTATGGGATAAATACAGAGCTTAATATATACATTCCTTTATTAATCTCATAGCTAAAATCACTAGCATAGTGTTCATAACTATTAACAAATATATTCAGGTACATATTCAGGTACTCTAATACCCTTACTCTAATAAAGATACTTAGGTTATATTGGAGAATAGAAAATATCCTTAAGTTCTATGTTCATTCAAAATAGTGATAGTTAAATAGTCATAGATAAATCAGAAGTACATACTAAACATTCGATAACTGGTTACTATTTTAAGTATAACCCTAGTGTGATTCTGTATAGGTAGAGACTAAGTTCTTATAGTAAATAAAATACTATTCTTTATCTAAGGTATTAACCTGATTGATATTGGCGGGAACGAGAATGATATTGCTTTCCAAGGGCAAAAATTATGTCTTAGGGGCCCATCTGCATTGAATCCGACGGCATTATTCCGATTCAAACTGTTGGGCCACATATTCCATGCAATAATGATGATGTCCTGGTAGGTAGGGTGCTCGAACATTTCATATGTATGACACGGGAATAACGATACAGTGCTTGATACTATAGTGGTATAGGTAAGGTCGACTCGGTTAGTAAGTCAATGCAACCTCAGACACCAGTACATACTTCCGAGGTTTGATTTTCGTAGAGCGAAATATAGTTTACAATGAAAATAAATGTCAGCATAAGTATGAGACGCGAGATAGGCATTTTGTGTTATCTTCCGTACATTGTAAGCCACCTAAGATAAACTTCAATAGTAGGCTGAAATCTCACCCTTGTTTCTCTTAGCGTTTTCTTCTGTCTGTCTCGTGACAGCCCCCACGTGACCACAACTCTCAGCCTCATTCCAATACCCAGAACGTCTTACTTCCACCGCCTTTCATCTAACATCTTGTTTCAAGCCCATCATGGCGAGCAAGGATATGCGCCCAACGAACCCCAAATGTTCGCCAGAATCAATACCTGCCACTGGGCTCAGTGTGATCTATGAACCAGACACTGACTATCCCATCGCTGAGTAAGCCACACGATATTGGTATACGTGCCGATTTACGGCTAAACAAACAAACAGTATCATCATGGTCCATGGGCTGAAGGGCCATCCTTACAAGACATGGAGATATACCCCTTCATCAAAAACTGCAGACAAGCAGCCTCCACCTACTCGGCAAAGTGCAAAATCGCAGCCTTCTAAGCGACTTCAACTCAGGCGTAGCATTATGAGCTGGAAGAAAGAGCCATCCACGAAGGGAAGTAATGACAGCGAACCCACTCTCTCCGTCGTTGGAACTGTCCTTGGCCCGACGGCCCCAAATGAATACATCTTTTGGCCTGTTGATTTACTGCCAGAAGTATGCGAAAACGCCCGCATTTTGACTTTTGGCTATGACACAAAAGTGACAAAGTACACTTCAGGACCAACCAACATGAACTCTATTCTATCCCACGGAAAGGACTTATTGTTTTCTTTGGGAAGGCAAGTAGTTCCAGGCCGGCCTCTGATCTTTATAGCCCACAGCCTTGGTGGTATTCTTGTTAAAGAGGTACACCTGCTATAGACTAGTATTAGCACCAAGACTAACTATTCTCCAGATGCTCGCACTTTCATCAACGTCAGAAACAAGCGCACAAGGAGTTGTCGAGTGGACAAAAGCCATCATCTTCCTTGGCACGCCACACCGTGGGAGCCCAGAATTCTCAAAAATCGGCGAGCGGGCTCGGTCTATTCTGAGTAGCTTACGTTTCCAAACAGCAGCGGCAATATTAGACACACTACGCCAGGGCAATACCGACTTACAACGTGCTCACGAATCCTTCACTCGGCTCTGGCAACGTTACAACTTTCGAGTCAAGACATTTCAAGAAGGATTTGGCCTTACTGGTATCAATATTTGGGTTCTGGGCAGTAAGGTGGTTCCTCACGACTCATCACTGATCGGGGATCCAAGAGAACACTCGGAGACCTTACAGGCTAACCACATGGAAATGTGTCGCTTTAGCAGCGCTAGCGATCCGAATTATCTGAAGGTCGCTGGTGAAATCAATGATATCTATATGGCGATAAGCAAGTCTGCTCAAGAAAACCGTACTTTGGAAGACCAGGCCGAACCTCAAAAGATGGTGGATATATTGCTTCACAAACTTCACTTCGATAGGATGGATCGGCGAAAAAACCTCATTTCTCTGCCCATGCTTAACACTGGCCGATGGCTGTCTGCCAACTCAACCTATCGCGAATGGCGTTTAGACCATCATGTTAGTCACCCTATTCTCTTAATAAAGGGTAAGCCGGGGGCGGGAAAGTCAACATTGATGAAAGAGGCTGTGCAGCACACACAATCGGTTTGGAAAGGGGACAGTCTCTGCGCCAGTTTCTTTGTCGATGGCACAGGTCACGATATGGAACATTCCACGGATGGGGTCTTTCGATCTTTACTTTTCCAACTTCTTCCGCACACCAAGGTATCAACTTCGGATCCATCGTCCACAGAAGCTAGGAGCTTGAAACAGGCCATTCAAGAGGCCGCATGGTCATCTGAGGAACTAAGTTTGCCAGAACTACAGACTTTGCTCATCAGAACACTTGAAGCTCTAGTATTGAACCACACGCCAATATACATCTTTGTGGATGCTCTTGATGAACTACAGGAAGAAGGACAGAGGAAGCAAATCGACTTTTGGAGCGACATGGTTCACTCATCCAAATTGCAGAAGTTGAGGGTATGCCTATCTTGTAGACACTTCCCTGTTGTCACAGTCGCCGACACCTTGGAGCTAGTATTGGAAAACCATAATAGCAAAGATATTGCTTACTACATCCAACAGCGATTGAGGTCACGTATGAATGTGCGTGACACGACTTGGAGAGATGAAATCCTACAGAAGATACAATCTCGATCAGCTGGGGTTTTTCTCTGGGTTGTACTAGTGGTTGACAGAATACTGGCAAAGTACGACTATGGTTTCAATTTGAGAAACCTTTTACGTGCTATCGAGGATACACCAACAGGACTTCGAGAGCTATATATCGAGATTCTCTGCTCATTGGGAGTGTATGAGAAACAGGTGGCGTTGGGGATCTTCCAATGGATCATCGCTGCAGCCAGACCGCTCCGACTTGATGAATGGTACCATGTACTCGCCTTTGTTAAGTATCCCATGCCAACCTCACTCCGTGGCTGGCGACGATCAGATACCTATACTGAAAACGACAAACAGCTTGAAAGGGAGATCAGATCACTATCCAGAGGCTTACTGGAAGTAAGTAACAGCCAGTGTAGTGACACTAACGACGCATCCTCTGTGGATGCTGGTGCGGGATCCCTCGACCAAGAACACGGATCGGCGCGAATCATACGGTTGACTCATCCGTCAGTATATGACTTTTTTGTCCACCACTCAGGGTTTGAATGCTTAGGCTACTATGGGCAAAACCCTGTTGAAGACTGCCACGTTACCATTGCAAGTACATGCCTCGCCTATATAAACGTCCCAGAACTGGATGAGTTTATCCTTGCTCGACAACGCGTCGAGGTGGCGACCTTAACGACGTTATCACTATATTCAGTTATTTCCGAACAATCTTTACATTCAAGTCACTCTCAACGAAACACAGACTTCGGAAAGAATTTAAAAATGCTTCACACAATGCTACCTACGGACCCCTGCCAATTGGTGAAGTCATGGCTGAAGGACCGTGGTTTGCCAGCTTGCCCCAACTACAACCTGGATGAGTCTGACTCTTCAATCTCTTCTGCCCCTGAGATGTTGCAACGTCCACGCATTGACGAATACCCCGCGTTGCTCTTGTATATTGTCAATGAGTTAAACTTTCACCTTCAAATTGCGAAGAAGAGCACAAACGCGGACCGGACTTTCGCTACGTTTGAGAAAAGTAAAACTCGATGGGACGCACTTCAGTTGGGACAACGCACGGAGTTCTCAAACATAGATGCATACAACAAGTCATCTGCACTCCTACCGTTAGTACCCTCTGCCTAGATATCGTGACAATCTTTTGTTAATCTATCCCGCAGAATTCTTGACCAAGGCCCAAGAAGGCCAAGAAGTATCGCCAGCTTTGCCTCTGCGAGTAGCTTTAGTCACCGCAGTGTAGGCTCACAAATGTCAATTGGGGACATGATGGAAATACTGGATCGGCCACTTAGCCTAGAAGAATTTTGAAGCTCATTAGTCCATCTGTCAGAGCCAAAGATGCCACTTGATGTACATGAACGTTGTTAGTTGAAGAAGGGGCAAAGTGACCCTCCTTTCACCCCTTTATAGGGGTGTGCCTACTGACTAAGAGATTTCCAAGACCGGATTCTGCATACCCAAAAGGGATAGTTCAATAGTTCCTCAGGGGTGCCTTTAGCCCCTTGCCTATGCCCTTGTCCGGCATGAAGTACCTCTTCAAAGACCGAAGGTTGCATGGCATTCCACCCTGACACCATCATTTCATGTAGATCATGCACACTGTCTGTTGGTCAGTATATCCTACGCCTACCCCTCCCGACCATTGAATGATTTCAGTTATACCGCTGAACAAAAGAAAGTGCCAAGCTTGTTCAGCACTCACACAGACTTAGCAAAAATCTTCATGTTGGAATTATCTGATCTACCGATACGGGCTGACAAACTGCAGCCTAGTTCATAAAACTTAAAGAAGCCTCCACAATGATATGGCACTATAGGATTGAATTAATGCTAAGTGGTTTAACATCGCCACTAAGGGTGGTTTGCAGAGAACGGTGCCTTCTTGGAAACCCTAGTCAAGCCTACACGTTCACAAACTACATAACTCCAGGTTTGACGATCACATCTTGCCTGAAAAATGTTCAATTAAACTAGTGGAGAACCCACGATACCCTAGGAGCACGAACCATACATAGCTTCTTTACACAACATTTGTGGCAAGTGAGTTACTTCGTAAGCATGAATAGGCAGAGGGTTTGATTCAGGGAAGAACGTGGGAGTGTATGCATTGAGCTCGTGGAATAAAAATGATTGCTATGTTGCTTAGGGATACGTATATCTCGCAAGCCCTGCGTGTAACCCAAGATGAATGAAAGTATGTCGAATTTGGGTTTAATTATATGGGGCGTGATCCGCTGCTTGTGGAGAACTGAGAGTAATACAACATCCCTGGAATGAAGAGCAAATAACGCAACTTTCGGTCTGGAAGGAGGGCCTTGGAGATCGGGATGGGAATTTGAAGATTGCTCTGGAATAGACGGAAGAAGCGGTGATCATTCTACGGGACCAAGTGTTTCTTTTAAACTAGGTATTAATTACAGCTTCAGGAGGATTCTGTCCTTGAAAAACCCCTTACAGGTACCTCTAGATTTAGGCAATTACAGGTGGTGCTTCCTAGATGTCGTTTTGTGAAGGTCATGTAAATAGAAATGCAAGCTGCTAGATCCAGCTTGGACCGGCTATTGTGTATACAGTATAACTAGTTGCGCGGTACTAATGTACCGACGGGGTCATTTAAAAGCGCAAAACCAATTTACTGTTCTCAAGCGAGGTTATATAGGATGAAAAGGATCTGAGATGACTTTTTTGCTAATAGTTCGTGCCCATTTGAGACAAAAATAATTATGTATGAATGATGGTGCCAAGCGGCAGGACTCTAAGGGTCAGATACGCAAGGTCAGTCAAAATCTCACCCTACACGGATACCCGCATGCCAAGACTCACTTTCCCGGATCTAGTAAGGATTTTCGGTATGTTTAATAGCATAAGCCATCCGGATCGAATAAATCGTCATTTTAATCCGTATACCACCCTCATATAATATATCGAGCTAGTCAACGCCAGCGGAATGACTCGAAATAGTAGTAATCTGCAGAGAGATAGCAGAAAATCACATCTATTTTGAAAGTAACTTCTAGCTACTTTCAAAATGCATCTACATACATATTATTATCGTATATTCATTAAAAGGATTGGCGCTGGCCGCCGGTTATACTAATAATGAGGTTTTAGGTACATAACACGGCCGCCGCTAATTTAGTAAGCATAGAAGTCCTTTACTAGAAACACATGCATTTTGACGGATCTTGCGTATCTGGCCCTAAGCCTTCTTCTTTTTCTCAGACCAGTGCTGACCATAATGAGGCAACTCATCATGACTGGTTCCCGGCGTACCTCCAATCATGTTAAGCCGCCCTCGTGCTTGAGAATGCCTTGTTGGTCACGCCAAAGGATGTATAGTATCTTCTAATAAATGTGAATGTCTTTATCCTACTGTAATACAAACCGTCAAGGCTAAGAGATAAAGAAGCTGTGATTTCCTTACATTATTTGTTACTACCATAGAAGTAGAAGGCTGATTTCGGATAATTGGTACCGACCTATGCCAAGCTTTGTTTTTCACCGATTGTGTAGTCTTGTGGACTCTATGAGTTAATATTTCCAGGACTTCAATATGCCTTCGACCTTTTCATGCGACCTGTTCTGCCCGAGGCATACACTGGTTGCACAAGGCGGACTTTCACTTTTGAGGCCCCTTTTATACCCTGCATCTGGAATTCCGGTCTCCTTCACTTTTTCCATTGCTGTGTTAGCATATCTCTCACCTTCGTAGTTTCATCGGCGTATGCGAACATCAAATGTCGGCCCCACGGTTCGGGTTTTCCGCCGGTGACTTTATCAGCGCCGTGAAGCTCACAAATGATGTCAGCAATGCCCTCAAAGATGTTGGTGGTGCTGCAGAGAACTACCTCGAGGTTCCCACGGAGCTAGAACTACTGGGGGATATCCTATCAGAGCTACAGAAAGGACGAGATGGAGCAGTCGTGGAACAAAGCAACAATCCTTTTGTTAAACATGCGAAGACTCAAGTGAAGCTCAAATCTTAAGTTCTTTTCTATTTATGTGATTATATCCAAGTAATCTTGACATCGTTGCAGGCGTTCTATCACCTTGAGAAACATCTCCTGCCTCCAACGCTCTGTGGTGGTGGTTCGATTACCACCTAAGCACCAACCAACTGCCTCAGCAAAGTCAGAACCAGCTTCTTCTAGTACCTGGCTCTGCCAGCTCCGTGCTGCCAAAAGATCAAATGCAGCTGTTTCTTTCGCATTACCCCCTTCAGGCCATTCCTTCCTACAAGGATGGCTTTTCAATGTCTTTCCAAAACACAGTTCCAGGAGTAAAATCCCCAATTGGTCTAAATCATTGTTGACTTGGCTAGAAATAATGTTCGGCTCCGTAGCTTTCCCTTTGTTTTCGAGCTTCTTTTGCACATACGGCTTGGTGAGTGGAAATAGAGTCAAGTCCCCTGAGCCGTTCGCGTCGCTTTTAAAGAAGACGTTGTATTTCGTGAACGGAGTAGGGAGCCACATAGAGTCATGTAGTTGGAGAAAGGATGATGCCAATGTTAATGCAAGGCCATAGCGTTGTTTTCTTGTGGGTCGGAGTTGGATGTCGCCTGTGAGAATCTGATCTAAAGTAATCGTTGAGGGGGAGGTAGATGCGATGTGGTGTGACAATTTAGAGACATAAAACCTTTGAAAGTCGTCTCTAAGAAACCCACAATAACTTCCTTCCTCACTTGAAAGAGCCATACAAAGGGTTGAAATTTCTTGAGTGATGCCAAAACTTGCATTTGGTTGCTCAGGTACTAACATAATTGATGGCGTTTTTCTATACTATATAAGTCTTGACGAAGTCTGGATATGATCTTAGGATGACGTACCTTGTTACTTGTGTCGTTGTCGACAAGGTAGAGGACTTTAGCGCTGACCTCATTGGATTCAATTGTCTGTGATTTGGTTGTCGAACAGAGGTTTTCTCGAGGAATTTGGCCGTGTCCTGTAACTGGGTGGTGATTATTTCGTTACTTTCTGTGATCTTTGTCTTGAAGATCTCCCATTTAGAGTAGTCGGACGTAACGAAATCAATCCAAAATTCTGTTCCGTCACCTGTTCGGTGCTGCAGTAGCAGTTCGGCGCTGTGGGTAGGTCGGCAATTACAACTCGAGGATGAGGCCAGGGCCCTTAATAGCCTGACAGCGTACTTCCAGAAGTTGCAAATGGCAGCGGTATCAGATAGTTTCTGATGTGATGTTTTTTTCTGCTCTGTCAAGCGGGCCTCCTCATCGTTGGAACTCAATAGCCTCTCCAACTTCTCAATACAGTCTCTCATGTCGTCCAGAAGGCGTTTCCGAGCGGGTTCTGCATTGGTGAAGCCAGCTTTATAAAGTAGAAATTCTCGATTCTCCTTGCTGAGCGTGGCAAGAACCCGTTCTTTTAGCGACAAAGTCTTTTATATCCACGTTAGGCTGTCTTCTTTGTGTTTGATCGAGAAAACTTACCGCGTGATTTGCTTTGTCTTTTGCGGCCTCGCCCACAATCGTCAGTTGTCGGTTCAAATCAACAATGATTTCCTTTATGTTGATCATATAATCCAAGAATAGCGTATAGCTGTGTTTTAAACGTCGTTGGAGATGGTTATCAAGCTCACGCTGGCTCCACTCTGGGCCTCCTGGGTCTGCCAGAAGTACTTCAATCTTGTCATCGCTAACCACAAGAGGCAGTAGAAGCCGTCTGAGGTTCGCGTTGAACATTAGTTGGTTAAACTTTAGTTCATCCCGATATTTCTTGTGTTCAGACTTGAATGCGTAAAACAGTTTCAACTTCCTTGCAACAGTGCCGTACTGCTCGAATCCTGCATTCAGGGTCGAAATAGCAATGGGAAACGCACCTAAGATAACCCCCGCAAGCTCGAAGCCAGACATATTACTAAACGATGCAAAATGCGAGTCTGGTTGATTTAGTTGAAAATGGCGAGAATTGAGCGGGAGGGGTTGCGCAGATATGGATACGAAGTAGTTGCGAGGCCATCTCAGCCTCATATGCAGGCCCAGCCAATAAACCCGGGGTGATACGTGGCAAGTGCGGGGTTTGAAACTACTGATTATTCAGCTCAAGGTCCTACTTTCAATACATAATTTCCAGGAACCACCTTCAAGTTTTATGTAGTCTGCAGCGATACACAAACACAATACATATCTCACAGCCATAGGAGATGGATGTCGAGGAGAACATCAACAAGAAGACTTGCTCCGTAAAGGTGCAATTTCAAAATCTTGTCAATGATGCAGAACAAGATGATCAAATGGAGAGCCATGATGTCTTGCGTACCACTGTCGCAGACCTCCTGACGAGGTATGTTTTGTGGGCAGGAAATCTGGGCGCGTTGCGAACGCCATCATCTAAGCTATCATTGGATTATCGTCTTTCGGATTCCTCAGACGTACGGCATGAGATTATGGTACAGCTACAAGATATTGCCGAAGCCTTAGCAGACTGTGAGCATAGCCTCACTTACGACGATCCACTAATAGCTTATCAAATTCGTAGTGTCCGATGTGGTGCGTGACACCCATAACGATCGAGAAAACCTGGAGCAAGATATTTCTGATGAATACTCCATGATACTCCTGGTTATCTCAGGTTGTATTAGTTCACTGTTCAAAATTGGTATTCTGGTACGAAAGTCGACCACACGAGATCGTTTCGAACGGGCCCTTCAAGAATCAGACTTGGAATTCCCTCCACGATTTGATATCCAACATGTACACGAGAAACATCCAAAAACCAGCCTTAGAGGGCTTGCTGTTCGTCTAGGGTCCGCGATCACTAAAAGGAGACAGTTTATCATGTATTGTCGAGATCACAGGCTCCGCCTTGGTGAAGAGAGTGCACTTGAGGATAAAAAGACGGCACATGAGGAGCGTAGTTCGAGCAAAGCAACCACATTTATCCCTAACGAGGAACTAGCAGACATCCAAATGGAAGAGGACGATGTAGCCTCGTTTGCATCAGCTTCTACTATTACGGATTCTGATCACGCTCTTCAACTGCCATCACTGGCCAGTCTATCGCCCGATGGCCAGCCTTTCGAGTGCCCTATATGCTTCACGCTCCAGACCTTCCAAAGAGACAAGTCGTGGAGGTGAGTATTCATATATTCCGTCCCCTAACTCCTTAGTTTGCTAACATCAGAAAAAGGAGACATGCATACCGCGATTTAAAAGCCTATGTGTGCACACTGGGGGACAGCAAGTGTGATGATCTTTTGTTTCAAGATCGCGAATCATGGTTTAACCATGAGATGAAGACGCACAGGGCAACATATACCTGTCCACTGTGCGACCGCGCGAAAGCAGTGTCCAAGACTGACCTTCAAGCGCATCTTACAGTGCACGGTAGCTTTGACAGTCATCAGTTAGAGGCTCTTGCAGAGGGCGGCCTCGATAGAGCCAACAAGATCCCCGCAAGCGACTGCCCTTTCTGTCAGGGTTGGGCGGAGCAACTTCAATCGAGATCACTATGCAGAAATCTGGATGAAAGGTCACCCCTTGTCAGTTTGTCTAGATTCAGGAGGCATGTCGCTACGCATCAAGAGCAACTAGCCCTCTTTGCGCTGCCGCAGTCGAATAAAGAAGATGAGATTGAAGATGGGATCGAAGATGAGGTCGAAAATCAAGATACTGTCCATCATTCAAGCTCCGAGAGTAATTCACAAATGTATTCTATAGACCTGCAGGGTCACATTGCCGAAGTTGAGCGAGTACTAAAATCAGAAGAGATCGACATTGAACAACTTGGTGAAGCGGTAAGTGCATCCTGATTGTAAATTTTTGATAAGCCTCCCCTCCAGCGCTGGGCTTTTGTAATAGTGCATTTCTGACAGCTATCAGCCTCTAAATGAATCCTCTGCTGTTAACCAAGAAACAGTAGATACTCACTCGATGGTAGACAGCTCTCCACGACCCACAGGAGGAGAGCTCGCCCACAAGTGGATATGCTGTAACTGTGGTGAAGGGTGGTGGAATGTTTATACGGATATTTTATGTCCAACATGTTCGATTCAGCGGTGTGGTACTTGCACGTTTAGTTAAGCATACTATGCTGAAAGTTGAGATTTCATATGAATGGATTTATTAGTAGCAACTATATCAGAAAACTGGATGGATAAACTAATGAATAGCGATAGCACAAGTGAAAATCCATGGTATTGCTAATTATCTTTTACATTGACCTGTTTACCCCCAACACAATTTCCAGGGTAAGTCCGAATCTCGTCCGGAGTCGGCTCCGAGCATAAAAGCCTGAGCCGGCGGGAACTCGGGATAGCCCGACGCCCCGCTATTAGCGATCCGATCCCTGGCGGGCACTACAGGGGAATTTCTAATCTCTTCCGTTTTCGACAACGGGAGGGGCTGAGCTTAATTTCATCCCTGCAACTGGCCACGTTTGGAGATTTTTTGAGTGTCAGCCAAGGGGGGCGTGTGCAGCTGTGTTGAGTTGCGTGTGTTGAGAGACAGAGTGTGAGTGTCTGTGAGTAATGGGGCATTTCCGGCAATCCTACGGATAGACAGGGATACACACCCATGCCCTTGCCAAACCACGTCAGTGTGTCAAAAGGTCGCATTGCATTGCACGTCAGCTAATCCTTACCAATCGGCCGGCAGTTTTCGTGAAGGCCTTGTGCGCGCGGTCCCGCGGTCCCGCGGTGTGAAGGGCTTATTGATCGGCAATGGCTAAGACATACCGAATACGCCCCTTGTGGATCTTAGGACACCATCTGCGTGGCGTGTTATTTGTCGATTCGTTTATGCTTGTCAGATCTTTATTTGTGGCCTGTGGCCTATCAAGGGACATACGAGAGCATGTACCTGGGCGTATTGTGCTGCATGAGGCGGAATACGGAATACGGAGGCAACCACACAGACTCGCTTCCAAGGCTGGTGTAACTGTAACACGGACGGTTGAGAGATGAGATGATGTTGGTCTGAGGTCACACACAGGTGGATGCCATGTTTTGAGGCGTGCCAATGTGCCGCTTGTGAGCGGGACGGCTTGACGGGACAGTTGCACTGGGACCGTGATGCCAAAGCTTGTTTTGCGCTGCAGAGTAACCTGTGCACTGTCATCGGCCCTACGAGGCGAGCATTGCAACCTAACCGAACCTCAACGCATCCCGTTTTTGACGCAAGGCTCAGGTGAAGGGTCCAGCAGAGTCTTGATGAAAATATTGAGCTACATGCTAAGTAAAGGTGCAGAGGTAAACTACTGCAGTGCATTGACCTCGTACGAAGAAGAATATGGATACCCAGGACACTATAAAAGTCAAAACTATTATTTACGCTCTGCATGTAAAGATGTAATAAATGTGAAACTGACTAGACTATAATGTCCTCCTAGCCAACTCATCCTTGTTCAAAACCTCACCGCGTTCAATCAACACAATCAAACTCTGATGCACGCTCACATTCAACCCCGTCCCCAAAAAACTCGCCATATCCACAACCCAGCCGTTGAAATCTCTTATCTCCGTCTTCCTGCCGGCCTCGACATCCTGAAGCATCGAGCTGCGATGTTCGTATATCTTGCGGCCAAAGGCGAACAACTTCGCTCTCAAGGTAGGCTGGGAAAACCGCTCTGTCAACTTGGTCCGTACGGCGACAAGGCTTGAGTCGCTGCTTGGTTCGGTCTGGTGGAGGTGCTCAGCGTAAGAAGCGACGATGTCGACACTCGCGTCATGGTTTATAAGACCCTGGATCACGGCGCTGGCCTGCCATAGCAACCTGTCCAGCACGCGCGTGAGGGGGTCTGTGGGATCATGGGTTGTGAACAGCTGTCCTGTTTTGCAGCGTAGCAACGCTGTGAGGGGGTTGATGGCGGCGTTGGTGACAAGCTTCTCCAGCTGGATAAGCCAGAGCTCGCCAGAGGAAACTTGCTTTGTGTTTAGGAAGGGTGTAGTAGCGATGTATCTTGTGAAGAAGTCGTTCAGGGGCTTCTTGTGTGGCATCGGATGGGATGGCCAGAGGACAGGTCCAATGGATGCGTCTGCAGGAGCTGCGTGAATGCTCAGGAATGGCCCTGCTGATGCAACGCCGTGGTTCACGACACATGATGAAAAGGTAGGAGCGTCACCAGGCGGGTATCGACCGGCGACGTATAACGGCCCATGAGGAGGCCACAGCTTGCATACTCCGTTCTGCGCAAAGACGACAGAACTACACTTGCCCAAATACCGACGAAGACGATCTGCTTCGGCCAGTCCAGCGGATGCCTTTGTGGATATGAAGACGTTGCGCAGCTTCTTTCCGTCTGCCACCTCTCTCACAGGACCATACTGTGGTCTAGTCTCTGTCCACCACTCGACAGTAAAGCGCTTGCTTTTGATGACCTTGCCACGGCCCGGGTCTATAAGGCCCACGCCTTCACAGCCTGCCCATTGCGAGAGGAGTTCCTTTCTGTGCACGACGAGAGTGATGGGGAGGGGATTTGGGCGGCGGACCATGTGGCTTGCGTAGAGCCTACCTATGTTGCCGGGCCCGACGATGAAGATGCGCTGCTCAGAGCTTGCTGTGGAGTTGGGGGTTGGATGTGAACACTCTGCATGGTGGATGTTGTTGGCAGAGCCTCCGAGCTTGGAGGAGCCTCCTGGGCGAATGTTGGCTGAGGACCAGGCAAATAGTTTGGGGGGTATTCTGGAGTCAGGTAGGAGAGCTGTTAGCCAGCTGGGGTGGACTTGTGAGGCCATGGACTTTTCCATCTTGTTCTTGGTTTTGTCCTTGGTTTTGTTTTTGATTTTGGGATACTTGTTGATGAAAGAGAAAGCTGCTAAGACATATTGAGATTCTGCAAGTTCAGTGGGGGCATCACAAACTAATGAGTATCACGGTCGGAGTCGTATCAGGTGAGAACAACGTGCAAAAGGTTTCTTTGATTACGACGAGGGGTTGCTAAGACACGACATGACGTGATATTCACCACAACAAGATGTTATGTTGATTGCCAAGTCAAGACATGATTTTAGAAAGAATCCTTCATTGTGTCAGTGTCAAGCCACGTTCCTAATTAGGAATACAAAAACCATGCCCGTTCAACTTGACTTCCACTTAGGTCTTGGGTCTTGGCCGATTGGGGCCCTCATCTAAGCGCTTATATTCCTCCTACGGCCATTCCGGATCGGCAATGTGCCTCTCCCCGGGGGGGTCACCCCGGTCTGTTTAGCGCTGACTAACTCCGCAACCCCACTGTAGCAAACCCCAAAGGTCCCTAGACCTGCTATGGAGGTGCCATTCCCCTCGGCCGGGGGCTGCAGATCCCGCTCACTCCCGAGATTAGTCGCACTGCGCCTTCTACGCCGTCCCCTTGTCCCCTTGTCTTGGCCTCAGTAGGCCCCCCATGGAAAAGCGAAAACATGGATGGTTTATTTAGGCTCAACATAAAACATGTTTCCGCCAATGCCCTACAAGTATCATGGATCGTGGGTGGTATTCCCGCAAACATGCAATGTTATGTCCCGAAAGGGAGCGTGTGAGGGTACATTGAAAAACAACAAGAACCTTCTGCCGCATTAAGGGGGGGACACGTCAGCGGGGATAAGCCCATTTGCTTACAGTTATACTTTCTCGAAGAACAAGAGCCGGCCGAGTGTGTCAGATCTTTGTTGCCCGGGGGTTGGCCTCGATTGGATCATTGCAGATCGGTAGATAGAGAGGCGGGCTGGATGTGAGTCAATTGCCGGCTGCCACTTACATCGCAGCATCTTGACACATTCTGTAAGATGTGGTGAGATTGATGGGACGGGACGACTGTTGTTTAGTGTATAATCACGCAATTTGGATCAATTGACGTATGTCGATTGATTACATGCAGAACATGGTATATTGATCCGCAACAGAAGCACCTCAACGCTTTTGTGACCTGTATCGTTGCCTAAGTTGAAGTGCGGAATTATCGAAGCACGGCATTCAATCCTACGGAGATAACCACGGCCTCTCCGCTAATCTTACGACTCTGGCATCCCCAAGAAAAAGGATTCTGAGTGTGAGTGGAGGGTTGATCCCCCACTCCCTTTATCTTACGACTGTAACGTCCTAGGACTTCGGATTATTACTCATAGCTCAAAATGCTTCCTTGACGTGTGCCCGCGTCAAGGATCATGCCAAGGACCAGGGTCGGTGGCCGCCACCCCACCCAAACCTTGACGACGTCTAAGACAAGCAGGTCGTCACTGTGAGAGAAGCTGGCCTCATCTGCCTGTTCTCTCAGTAAGAACGCTAGGCAAATGAGGGAAGTCTGCCGCTGGCTAAACGCGGAGTGTTTTTTTTAAACTTGTGTGACCAAATCCTTCGAAGGAACAGACCAAGATTGTCGATCATGACGGCTCGATCTGTTACCGTTAATACCTGCAGAGTACCATCTGCACGCTAAACTAAAGCACACCATCCCATGTAGAGCACATGTCACGGCCGGCAATTCAGATATCATAAGAACAGACTAGTTCATGCAGCGTCAGCGCCTGCAGAGTCGTATGCATGAGATCCTGCTCAGACAGCGAATACAACATCGCCCGCTTAGATCAAAACCCGCTTACGACGAGCCGAAATGGGCAGTTTCCATCGCTGCGGAGGTGTTAGATAGAACGTAGCATTGCATAGACCTTTTGTTCGGGGACGTGCTTTGGCTTGGCTTTCAAATAAACTTCGCTGATCTCGTACCCGACGTCAAGGATCGCAACGGAAACGCGTGGACCATGCTATCGACATGTCACGTCGCTTAGCGTAAGGAGAAGGTGCCTAGAGAGTTTACAAGGCTGAGGCAGCGGTCAACTCCCCACGGCGTGTCTACATGGTGATGTCTGAGGTAGATGTCATGTTCCTATTCGTCAACTGAGGGATTTCCAAGTCTGCACTTGCATATAGGATTCCGGGGAAATGGGTTATCGCTTGTCGTATAGACGTGGACAACCTGCTCATTCGGCATTGTTAGCCGTTTTGTTATCCTACGCCGCCACTCTGACGCGGGGGTCCTTGTCGTAAGAAAGAAGCGTTGCAGATGAGATGTTCTTTCTTACCGAACCGGAGCAAAGTAAGCTTTCCAAAGCAAGGCGGTGGCCAGCAAAGAATGATAGTACTCAAAGGAGAAACATGCTCGTGAGAGCGGTGCACGACAGAGAACCAGGGTAATGTTTCGTCTCCACATGGACCCGAAAAGATACGAATCCTTCAATGAGGATCCGAATTGGCTAATCAGATGGCTCGTTGAGAAACATCCCCAGAGCCGTGGTTGTGGTGCTGCTGGCTGCACCATGTGGTGAGGTGGTGATACAGCACGTATAAAGATGCACATGACCGGCGGTGAGCACGGTCTTTGGTGTTTAGTAGCAAAGAGCTATTCAGATTATTCATTTTATCTATACATAACAGCTTGAAAGAGCTATTGGAACTAGCGACATTTTCTCAAAGTTCACTATCTATCTTATATCACTGCCGTCCACGGCTTCGACAGTATATCAACTGTCACCTCGCAATTCTCAGTCTTCAATATCATATCTTATTCATACGTTAGCCATGTCACTCCACACCCCAAGTGACGGCCAACAAGACCCGGCGTTAGCCTCCAAAGCCCTCTGCGAGCAAGTCTCACGATCCCTCGGCCTCGGCCAGGACAAGATCGAGAACATCTTTCCTGGGACACCCTTCCAGCGGGACGTCATAGACTGCGCCACAGACGACAAGCAGCGTGCTGTGGGCCACGCTGTCTTTGAAATCCCCAAAGATGTAGACGCGGCCCGCCTGGCCGCTGCGTGGAAGGAGACCGTGCTTCACACTCCCTCCCTGCGGACTTGCACGTTTACGTCCAAAGCCGGAGATGTGTTCCAGGTGGTCCTGAGAGATAGCTTTGTCTTCTCGTGGATGTCTGGGCCATCTGTGGATCTTAAGGAGGCGGTTGTGCAAGACGAGGCTGCTGCTGCTTTGGCTGGCCCGCGCTGTAACCGCTTCGTTCTCCTCGAAGACCCTGATACAAAGGAGCGTCAGCTCATCTGGACGTTCAGCCATGCTCTCGTTGATAGTACCTTCCAGGAACGTATCCTTCGACGAGTCCTCAAAGCTTATAAGGATGCCAATGACGAACATCCCCGTCAGATCGAGACACCAGATTCCTCCCAGGCTACGCCCGAGGAGGATCTACAGCCCAACCCATCCAAGATGCTCAAGATCCCTCAAGCCGCGGATATGGAACGTGCTGTTGAGTTTTGGAAGGATCATCTAAGTGGCTTGAATGCTTCTGCCTTCCCGCATTTGTCGTCTCATTTGTCTATGCCGCATCCAGATGCAAAGGCAGAGCATAGAGTATCCTACTCGTCTTCAGCACAGCAAAAAACGTCCAGTGCTACTATTTGCCGAACTGCACTGGCAATTCTGTTATCTCGTTATACACACTCTCCTGAAGCACTCTTTGGCGTTGTCACTGAGCAAACTCCCATGCTGGAGGAGCAACTCATGCTCGATGGCCCAACACGTACAGTCGTACCAATCCGCGTATCCTGTGCTTCTGAACAGTCAGTGTCTGATATCATGAGCACTATTGAATCCTACGATCAGACCATGCGGCAGTTCGCACACGCTGGTCTTCGCAACATCGCCAGCGCCGGAGACGATGAATCCGCCGCCTGCGGCTTCCAGACCGTCCTTCTGGTCTCCGATGGAGACGCCCATCCAGCTTCTACTTGGGAGATCCTCAAGAAGACTGAGGAACCTGAGGGTTTCATCCCCTGCACGAACCGTGCTCTGCTCTTAAGTTGCCAGACGACCAGCTCCGGAGCACACTTATCCGCCAGATACGACCAGAGTGTTATCAACGCTGATCAAATGGCCCGACTCCTGCGCCAACTAGGCCATCTGATCCAAAACCTACAAACCTCCACAGATCTACCCGTGGAAAAGGTGGACATGATGACGCAAGAAGACTGGTCAGAGATCGAGAGATGGAACTCAGACTCCATCGACGCACGAGACACGCTTATCCACAGAGAGATGCTGAAGTGGACTTCCCAGTCGCCTAACAAAGCTGCCGTCGCCGCGTGGGATGGAGAGTGGACATATGCTGAGCTGGACGATGTATCTTCTCGCCTAGCTCAGTACATCAACTCTACTGACCTGGGCAAGGAGCACGTGATAGTACCCATCTACTTTGAGAAATCGAAATGGGTCGTTGCTTCGATGCTGGCTGTGCTCAAGGCTGGCCATGCATTTACTCTCATTGACCCCAGTGATCCACCGGCTCGAACAGCCCAGGTCGTGCAGCAAACTTCTGCAACGGTTGCTCTTACTTCCAAGCTCCACCGCGAGACTGTTCAATCTACTGTTGGGCGCTGCATCGTTGTCGACGATGACTTTGTCCAATCCCTTCCCCAGTCCAGTGAACTTTCAGCATCTGTAAAGGCAAATGATCTAGCCTATGTTATCTTCACCTCCGGCAGCACAGGCGATCCAAAGGGAATCATGATCGAGCACCGCGCGTTCTCATCCTGCGCCATCAAGTTCGGTCCCGCGCTGGGCATTACCTCCAACACACGCGCTCTGCAGTTCGGTTCCCATGCCTTTGGCGCGTGTATTCTCGAGATCATGACGACGCTCATCCACGGCGGCTGTGTCTGTATCCCCTCTGACGACGACCGCATGAACAACGTCCCTGAGTTCATCAACCGGACTAACGTCAACTGGGTCATGGCAACACCTTCGTACATGGGGACGTTCCAGCCAGAGGTTGTTCCTGGTTTGAAGACTTTGGTGCTAGTGGGTGAGCAAATGTCTGCTTCTGTGAATGAGGTCTGGGCTCCTCGTGTTCAGCTCCTCAACGGTTACGGACAGAGTGAGAGTTCTTCTATCTGCTGTGTAGCCAAGATCAGCCCTGGTTCGTCTGAGCCAAATAACATCGGCCACGCAGTGGGCGCACACTCCTGGATCGTTGATCCGGAGGATCCAAACCGCTTGGCACCCATCGGCGCAATTGGTGAGCTGGTCATCGAGAGTGTGGGTATCGCACGCGATTACATCGTTGCGCCGCCACAGGATAAGTCTCCTTTCATCAAGACTGCTCCTACGTGGTATCCGTCCAAGCAACTCCCAGATGGTTTCAAGATCTACAGAGCAGGAGATCTTGCATGCTACGCATCTGATGGCAGTATCGTGTGTCTTGGCCGCATGGACTCCCAGGTCAAGATCAGAGGACAGCGTGTCGAGCTGGGTGCAGTGGAGACTCACCTTCGACAACAGATGCCTGACGATATGACCATCGTGGTTGAAGCTGTCAAGTTCTCTGATGCGTCAAGCACCACCGTTTTGACAGCCTTTTTGATCGATGCAGCTGAGAAGAACACTCATATCTTGGACCAACGCGCTACGAGGGAGATCAATGCCAAGATGGAGCAAGTTCTTCCTCGCCATTCCATCCCCGCGTCCTACATCTCTATGAGCGATCTCCCCCAAACTGCCACTGGTAAAGTCGATCGTCGAAGACTTCGCATCATGGGCAGCAAGATACTGAGCCGAAAGACTCATTCCACCCCGTCTCAGCAAACGCAGACTACCATCTCATCTGGAACCGACACAGAGACCAAGCTGGAGAGCATCTGGATCACTAGCTTGGACCTCGAGCCCGGTTCTGCAAACATGTCAGCTACATTCTTCGAGATGGGCGGAAACTCCATCATCGCAATCAAGATGGTCAACATGGCGCGCTCCAATGGCATAGAGCTCAAGGTGTCAGACATCTACCAGAACCCCACGCTAGATGGTCTCAAGGCTGTTGTCATTGGAAGTTCGCTGCCATACAGTCTTATTCCCAAGGTGACCCGCGAAGGCTCCGTTAGTGAGCAGTCTTATGCGCAGAACAGAATGTGGTTCCTGGATCAGTTGTCCGAGGGGGCTTCGTGGTATCTCATCCCCTACGCTGTGCGCATGCGAGGTCCCGTGGATGTTGATGCGTTAACGCGTGCTTTACTCGCACTTGAACAGCGTCATGAGACACTGCGAACTACATTTGAGAACCAAGATGGTGTTGGAGTTCAGATCATTCATGACAGACTCTCCAAAGAGCTGCAAGTCATCGATGCTCTGGACGGTGACGAGGGTGGTATCAAGACACTCTACAAAGTAGAGACCACCACATTCGACATCACATCCGAAGCAGGCTGGAGCTCAACCCTCATCCGCCTCGGCAAAGACGACCACATTCTCTCCATAGTCATGCACCATATCATCTCCGACGGCTGGTCCATCGACGTTCTCCGCCGCGAACTCATCCAACTCTACGCCGCCGCTCTGCAGGGCAAAGATCCCTCCTTCGCACTAACCCCCCTACCCATCCAGTACAGCGACTTTGCCGTGTGGCAGAAGCAGGATGCCCAAGCAGCTGAACACGAGAAACAGCTCCAGTACTGGAAGAAGCAACTCGCGGATAGTTCACCCGCCAAAATCCCTACCGACTTCCCCCGTCCAGATCTCCTGTCCGGTGACGCAGGCGTTGTGCCCGTGACCATCGACGGCGAGCTGTATCAGAAGCTCCGAGCCTTCTGCAACAAACACAACAGCACTTCATTCTCCGTCCTCCTCGCTGCTTTCCGCGCGGCGCATTACCGTCTCACAGCTGTTGACGACGCGGTGATCGGTATCCCCATTGCGAACCGTAACCGCTGGGAGCTGGAGAATATGATTGGTTTCTTCGTCAACACGCAGTGTATGCGCATTGCCGTTGACGAGACGGATACCTTTGAGAGTCTGGTGCGCCAGGTTAGATCTACGACTACAGCTGCGTTTGCGCACGAGGATGTCCCCTTTGAGCGTGTCGTTTCGGCGCTTCAGCCTGGCCATAGAGATCTTTCCCGAACACCGCTGGCCCAGATAATGTTTGCTGTTCACTCGCAAAAGGATCTTGGACGCTTCGAGCTGGAGGGCATCCAGTCCGAGCCCATCGCCAGCAAGGCCTACACCAGATTTGACGTCGAGTTCCATCTGTTCCAACAGGCCGACGGACTGAAGGGCAGCTGCAACTTTGCCACAGATCTCTTCAAGCCCGAAACTATCCAGAATGTCGTCAGCGTGTTTTTCCAGATTCTGCGCCATGGCCTTGACCAGCCTGAGACGTGTATCTCGGTTCTTCCACTGACTGATGGAGTCGAGGAACTCCGCAAGCTGGATCTGCTGGAGATCAAGAGGACTAACTACCCTCGTGATTCGAGCGTGGTAGATGTCTTCCGCGAACAAGCTGCCGCCAACCCAGAGGTTATCGCTGTCACTGACTCATCTTCTCGTCTGACTTACGCAGAGCTGGACCATAAGTCTGAGCTGCTCTCACGATGGCTTCGACGACGCAACTTGGCGCCAGAGACGCTGGTCAGTGTTCTTGCTCCCCGGTCTTGCGAGACTATCGTTGCCTATGTTGGTATCCTCAAGGCGAACCTGGCGTATCTTCCTCTTGACGTGAGGTCCCCAGTGGCTCGTATGAAGGACATCTTGTCAAGCGTGTCCGGAAACACCATAGTTCTTATGGGCACTGGGGTAGAGGATCCCGGGTTTGGCCTACCGCAACTAGAGCTCGTACGCATCACCGACACTTTCGATGAGACCATCGAGGACGTGCAAGACTCTCCCCAACCATCTCCTACAAGCCTCGCCTACGTCGTCTTCACATCCGGTTCGACTGGTAAACCCAAGGGCGTCATGATCGAGCACCGGGCCATTGTGCGTCTCGTCAAGAGCGACAACTTCCCCGGCTTCCCCTCCCCCGCTCGCATGTCAAACGTCTTCAACCCCGCCTTCGACGGAGCCATCTGGGAGATCAACTGGATGCTCCTGAATGGCGGAACAGTCGTCTGCATCGACTACCTGACCACTCTGGACGGCAAAGAGCTCGCTGCCGTGTTTGCCAAAGAGCGCGTCAACGCCGCCTTCCTGGCGCCTGCGATGCTCAAGCTTTACCTCGTTGATGCGCGCGAGGCTTTGAAGAACCTTGACTTCCTTGTTGTTGGAGGTGAGAAGTTCGATACCAGGGAGGCCAAGGAGGCCGTGCCGCTTGTGAGAGGTACCATTGCCAATATCTATGGTCCTACTGAGGCTGGAATGATCAGCACGTGCTATAATATCCCCAAGGATGAGGCTTACACCAATGGCGTTCCCATTGGTGGAAGTATCTACAACTCTGGTGCCTACGTCATGGATCCCAACCAGCAACTTGTAGGCCTTGGCGTCATGGGAGAGCTTGTTGTTACTGGAGACGGTGTTGGTCGAGGCTACACTAACCCCGAGCTCAACAAGAACCGCTTTATCGACATCCCCATCGAGGGCAAGACTTTCAAGGCTTACCGTACTGGTGACCGAATGCGAGCACGAGTAGGAGATGGTCTCCTTGAGTTCTTCGGCCGCATGGACAACCAGTTCAAGATCCGCGGTAACCGTATCGAAGCAGGGGAAGTTGAGTCTGCCATGCTCAGCCTCAAGAATGTCCTTAACGCCGCCATTGTCCTCCGCGGGGGCGGAGAAGATGACGGGCCACTCGAGATGGTCGGATTCATCGTCGCGGACGACAAAAATGACACCACGGAAGAGGAAGAGACGGGCAACCAGGTTGAGGGCTGGCAGGACCATTTCGAGAGCGGCATGTACTCCGATATTAGCACCGCCGTGGACCAGTCCGCCATCGGAAACGATTTCAAAGGCTGGACGTCTATGTACGATGGTAAGGATATCAACAAGGGCGAGATGCAGGAGTGGTTGGACGACGCTATTCACACCCTGCATAACGGCCAGATCCCTCATGATGTTCTCGAGATCGGTACCGGTAGTGGTATGATCTTGTTCAACCTCAACCCAGGCCTCAACAGCTACGTCGGTCTCGATCCATCCAAGTCAGCAGTTGAGTTCGTCAACAGAGCCGTCGAGTTCTCTCCCAAGTTCGCAGGAAAAGCAAAGGTCCACGTCGGCATGGCCACAGACGTCAACAAACTAGGCGAGCTACACCCCGATCTCGTGGTCTTCAACTCGGTTGTTCAATACTTCCCCACACCCGAGTATCTCGCCGAGGTCATCGACGGCCTCATCGCCATTCCCAGTGTTAAGCGCATCTTCCTCGGCGATATCAGATCGTATGCTACCAACAGACACTTCCTCGCCGCACGCGCAATCCACACACTCGGCACCAACAACAACGCCACCAAGGACAGGGTGCGCCAGAAGATCCAGGAGCTGGAAGATCGAGAGGAGGAGTTCCTTGTTGAGCCTGCCTTCTTCACCACTCTGAAGGAGCGACGTCCGGATGTTGTCAAGCACGTCGAGATCATCCCCAAGAACATGAAGGCCACCAACGAACTCAGCGCGTACCGCTACACCGCTGTCGTGCATCTGCGGGATGAAACGGACGAGCCTGTGCATCATATTGAGAAGGATAGTTGGATTGACTTTGAGGCGAAGCAAATGGATAAGAAGGCTCTTCTTGACCACCTGCGCCTCTCCAAGGATGCCATGAGTGTGGCTGTTAGCAACATCACCTACGCCCATACTTCCTTTGAACGACGCATCGTTGAGTCTCTCGACGAAGACAGCAAGGATGACACCAAGGGTACACTCGATGGTGCAGCATGGCTCTCAGCAGTTCGCTCCGAAGCCGAAAGCCGCGCCTCACTCACCGTCCCCGATATCCTGGAGATCGCCAAAGAGGCTGGTTTCCGAGTCGAAGTCAGCGCCGCTCGCCAGTGGTCCCAGAACGGTGCTTTAGACGCAGTCTTCCACCACTTCCCACCCTCCAGCACCGACCGCACTCTAATCCAGTTCCCTACGGACAATGACACTAGATCATCGCTCACTCTCGCCAACCGCCCTCTCCAGAAGCTGCAGCGCCGTCGTGCCGCTCTGCAAGTCCGCGAGAAGCTCCAGACGCTGGTCCCGTCTTATATGGTCCCTCCCAACATCGTAGTGCTAGACACGATGCCTCTCAATACCAACGGCAAGATCGACAGAAAGGAGCTTACGCGTAGAGCACGAACACTGCCGAAGCAGCAGACTGCGGCGCCTGTGCCGGACTTCCCTATCTCCGATATCGAGATCACGCTGTGTGAGGAGGCAACTGAGGTCTTTGGAATGAAGGTCGAAATCAGCGATCACTTCTTCCAGCTCGGCGGTCACTCTCTCCTCGCTACGAAACTTATTTCTCGCATCCAGCACCGTCTCCATGTGCGGGTTACTGTGAAGGACGTATTCGACAGCCCTGTCTTTGCCGATCTGGCAGTCATCATCCGTCAAGGACTTGCTATACAGAACCCTGTTGCTGAAGGACAGGACAAGCAAGGCTGGTCCTCACGGGTTGCCCCTCGTACAGAAGTCGAGAAGATGTTGTGCGAGGAGTTCGCAGCTGGTCTTGGTGTCCCGGTTGGTATCACTGACAACTTCTTCGATCTCGGTGGTCACTCGCTCATGGCTACTAAGCTAGCTGTGCGAATTGGCCGTCGCCTTGATACCGCCATCACAGTCAAGGACATCTTCGACTACCCTGTGCTTTTCCAATTGGCGAAGAAGTTGGAGTCTTCGCATTCCAAGAGCTACGAGGAGTCTGGCGACGATATCCAGATGGCCGATTACACTGCATTCCAGCTCCTCGATCTGGAAGACCCCCAAGACTTTGTTCAGTCCCAGATTCGGCCTCAACTGGACTCCTGCTACGGCACCATCCAGGATGTCTACCCGTCTACGCAGATGCAAAAGGCCTTCCTCTTCGATCCCACGACCGGCGAGCCCCGAGGTCTTGTGCCTTTCTATATCGACTTCCCCAGCAATGCAGATGCCGAGACCCTCACCAAGGCTATCGGAGCTCTAGTTGACAAGCTCGATATGTTCAGAACTGTCTTCCTGGAGGCCGCAGGCGATCTGTACCAAGTTGTCGTTGAGCACCTCAACCTGCCTATTGAGACCATCGAGACCGAGAAGAACGTCAACACTGCGACCGGTGACTACCTGGATGTCCATGGAAAGGACCCTGTCCGTCTAGGCCACCCATGCATCCAATTTGCCATTCTGAAGACTACCTCCTCTGTCCGTGTTCTCCTGCGAATGTCACACGCTTTGTACGACGGTTTGAGTTTTGAGTACATCGTCCGTGGTCTCCACGTTCTCTACAGCGGTAGAAACCTCCCCCCACCAACACAGTTTGCGCGATACATGCAGTATGCTGCACACAGTCGTGAAGAAGGTTATCCCTTCTGGCGCGAGGTTCTGCAGAACGCGCCCATGACAGTTCTACACGACACCAATAACGGTATGTCTGAGCAAGAGATGCCAGCCTCCAAGGCGGTACACCTGTCAGAGGTCGTCAACGTTCCAGCGCAAGCTATTCGAAACAGTACCAACACCCAAGCGACCGTCTTCAACACCGCCTGTGCCCTTGTCCTAGCCAAGGAATCCGGCTCACAGGATGTCGTCTTCGGCCGTATTGTCTCTGGTCGACAAGGTCTACCAGTCGTCTGGCAGGACATCATCGGCCCCTGCACAAACGCCGTGCCCGTCCACGCACGCGTCGACGATGGAAACCCCCAACGCATCATCCGCGACCTACGCGACCAATACCTCCGCACTCTGCCCTTCGAATCGCTTGGCTTCGAGGAAATCAAGCGTAACTGCACGGACTGGCCCGAAGAATTGACCAACTTCTCTGTCTGCGTGACGTACCACAACTTCGAGTACCACCCCGAGAGCGAAGTTGACAACCAAAAGGTTGAGATGGGAGTTTTGGCAAAGTATGTTGAGTTGAGTGAAAACGAGCCGCTGTACGATCTTGCTATTGCGGGAGAGGTTGAGGCGGATGGAGTTAACCTGAAGGTCACTGTTGTTGCAAAGGCAAGGCTTTACAATGAGGCGAGGATTAGACATGTGCTTGAGGAAGTTTGCAAAACTTTCAATGGTTTGAACGAGGCTTTGTAGGCGTCATGAACGGAATGGCAGGAGGTGTGATTGGTTTGTTTGTAGGAGTATGAGGTAGTTTTGTTTGTAGTGTAATTCAAGGCGTTATATAAAACATCTCAGACATACTATTTCTTGATTAGTCCTCATAACTAATGGCCCTGTGTAAAGTTTTACACAACTTAAGGCTTGTATTTTATACTCCGAAACCTCTTCTTGAAATTGTTTTATTCATTATCACGGATAATGCGACTGTTAACATGGTAATTCAAAACTATATTTCACGTTAGGGTTAAAGTCAGCTACATTAGTATTGTCGGCGTCGCTAGGGATAATAAGCCTAAGTGAGAATGTAAGATATATAATTATATTGACTGGAATCCCCTGAGGGGATAAATATCTGTAAGACTTATTCCCATTCTATACTGCTACTACACTAACTGTCAATAATGTTATTATTTAAATAGAGCCCACCCTATACCAATAATATTAAATCGGTAATAAAGTGTGCGATGGCCTATCTAAGATTCTATTATAGTTAACTGCAGAGACCGATTGGCCTAGCTGTATGTACATTTTCAAGAATGTTACTACTTGTATCCTGGCGTGGGGGCTGGACAGCGTGTAAACCAGAGGGGAGGTGTTGAAACGGTGAATAAGTAAGAACTCTCCCCCTAAATAGGTTACTATTAGAAGCTTCTTAATAAAGAGAAAAGATAGGAAAGATATTAATAAGTCTATAATATTAAAAGATAATACTAACTCAGGATAAATTCTTTAATCTTTTTAATATTAAGCTTTACTAATAAGGGAAGTAATAAGTTTAAGTAATATAGTTAATAAGTATATATACTAGATAAGTATATATATTACTTTTTCTATACTTCTTTTATTATATATATAATAAGATTCCTATAATCTATTTAATTAATTAAAATTACTTATTATACTTTTCTATAGATAACTCTAGAACTACCTAATAGGTCTTTATATTATACCCGGTCTCGCTATATATACCATAGCACTAAATACCCGGTCTAATTAACCTATTACGACCCTAGTCAGACACGTTACATGCCCCCCTATAAACTACACCAATTATAAGACTATATTATAGACCGACCTTACAGGCATTTCAGTCTATAAAACACTAATAGAACCGATAATTAATATCGCCCGGTCTATATAAAACTAACCTTATACTTATTTCGGTCTAATATCTACACTTTAATATATAAAATATATTTATTAATACTTTTATAGATATTAACTTACTAACTATTAATATAACTTCTTTACCTTAATATACCTAACCCACTCTATTAACTATTAAAAGATATAACTTCTTTACTATTACTTAAAATATATCTTATAATCCTATAAATATATACCTAAGTATAGCTTAATATATCCCTTTAGAAACCTAACCGTTATATATTAATAGCTTTTATTTAATATTATACTATATAATCTAAGTAATATTATAATAGCCGCCTCTATTACCCCAGTTTAGTAATAGAATATTATTAATAATAATAAAACTCTTACTAACTAAGGTCCGACCCTTATTAAGGAAATAAATACTAATAAAAACTCTTTAAAAAGCTTTAATAATATAAAGATAATATAACTACATAAATAAGTTATTAATATAGCTACTAAAATAGATAACTTACGTAAAATACTTTAATAAGCCCTTAACCTTTAGACCTAATAGGCATATAATAATTAGAATAGTCTATAGGAAATATATAACCTTATTAATATAATAACTTATAGAAAGGAAACTAAAGAGGTTCTTAAACTAAACCTACCTAAAATATTTAATAAAATACCTAATAAACTACCTATATTTACCACCTAATATTAAACCTTTATAAATTACTATTTAATATAGTTTTATAAATATATTAATAAGGTAAAGTATATAATTAGATACCTTAAGGGTATTACTATATAATAGTTCTAACCTATTATAGAAAAATAGACTAATAAGGTAAATATTAAAGACTTAGAATTAAAAGCTTATATACTCTTTATTAACTACCAAGCCTTTAAAAAAGCATTATAATAAGCCTTTAGAACTATTAATAAAAAAAGATATACTAAATAAAAAATTAAGGTAATTTAATAGATTAGGTTAGTATTAAAGCTAGGAGTAGAGTTTTTATAGCTTACCTTTAAGTTATTATAAAACTAAGATATCTTAATATTACTATTCTTTAATATACTTAAGGAATTAATATAAATAAAACTATATAAAGAAAATTACCTAAAAACCTTAATAAAATATATTAATATAGCAATTAGAATCGATAATTACTAGTTTACCTAACGAATTTATAACTCCTACTATAATAAGCTATAATAAAATACTTAACCTAAGTATAATATAAACTAAAGATATTAATAAGATAATAATATATCCTATAGAATAGTATTAAGACTAATAGTTATTATAATAATTAAATAAGATAAATCTAAGATTACCTACTAGAACTATAATAAGAAAGGATATTTTAATATAAAATATAAGAACCCTATTAAAACTAATTAAAAATATAAGCCAGTATTAAAAAGAAGAAATAACTAAATAACTAAATAAAAAGAAAACTAAGAACCCTAAATAGCAATTAGAAGTATATATTAAATCGCTATAACTAGATCTAGATATAATAAATTAGACTTTTAAGTAACCTATAATTCTAAAGTAGGAAAAATTAAATACCTTAAAGACTACTACCTAAGTAAAAACGAAGTTATTATTAAATACTACCTAAAATAAAAAGGAAAGAAATATACCTTACTTAATTACTAAGTAATCTAAGTAAACTATATAAAAGCTTAATAAAAGTAAAAAGAATATATATAGTTATAGAAAAATAAAAAGGCTAAATTAAAGGCCGCTTAGACCTTAATCCCTAAGGGACTATTAATATAACCTAATAGTTTAACTATTATAATAATATAAAAGGGAAAAAAGGTTAACCCTAACCTAGAATTAATACTTACACCTAAAGAAATTAGCCAAGGGGTTAATAAATTACTTAATATTACCTTTACGTAATTACTAATATTATAACCTAATAGAACTATCTAAATATTAATATAAATATTATAAAATAAAAATACCTTTAAGCCTAGTAAGGTATTAAAAACCCTAGAATAATTAGAAATACCAGTTAAATAGGATAACTAAAGAAATATTATTATAATATAAACTAACTAAGAATTAAAACTATACTTAATAATTAACCACCTCTTAATATATACTGCCAGGAAGAGATTAAACTAATACTATAAAGATTTTAGCTATATTTCTACCTAATAAATAGAAATAAAATACCAAGGTAAGCCACTAAAGAAAGATAAAAACCTATAAAAAGCTATATATATCCTATAATATAATAAATTCAGAAATTAATACTAAAATAGAAAAAATAAAAAATATATAAAACTTATAAAAAAATATATAGAAATATTATAAAATAATAATATTTATATCTAAGCTATTATTAATAAATAGTAAGAAAATTTAATAATACTATTATAATAAGTAATAATATTTATAAACTAAAGATAGTACCTAAGTTACCCTTTATATAAATAATTATTATAGATTTTATATATAGCTTATTACTATATATTATATTAATAATATAAAATTAGTAATAATTACTTTTTAAAATAAATACCTAAATATATAACTTAAAAACTATATATTATTATTAATATACTAGGTTATTAAGTATATTATAAATACCTTAAAATATAAATAGTTTAATTTTAAGCCTATATAAAAATAAGGGAAAAAACCTTAAACTATATAAAATAGCGACGAAATATTACCTTATAAAGATAATATATTATTATATCCCTAGTAGGGATTAGTAAATAAAAACTATAAATACTAAATAATAAATAACTTATTATATAATAAAAGTATAACTTAAGTAAAGACCTTAATAAAAAACCTATTCTAGACCTAAAAATACTATAATAATAAGAATAGGTAGATCTATTAGTTAAATAATAAGTGGTAGATTACTAGGAATAACTTTAGTAATAATATAAATATTTAGAAAATAAAAACTATTACGATAGTAAATACAGCCTAGATTACCTAAGTATTATAGAAAAAGGCCGATATTATTTATAATAAAGCTATAGATAAGTAAAAAGTAAAGAAATATTTTTAAAATAACCTAGACCGGTTAATTAACTTATTTAGAATTAAAAGTTAAAATTAAAAAAAAATAGCTAATTACTTTTATTAACTATAAAGCTAACTATAATTATATTAACCTTAGTATAGTTAATAAGTTAAAATTACTATAAAGATATAAAAAACATTTTTATTTAGTATTTAATTTAAAAGGTAAGTATTTTAAGTATAATAGTAAATAAATTAACTAAGAGATTAATTACTTAAAGGTATTTATTAATAGATATAATTAAGGTATTAATTTTAATATACTTCCGAGCCTAGGATATAACCTAGTCTTAAGATTACTATAATTATAATATTATAACCTATATATTAACTAAAAGACTGGCTAGGCTAACTATAAAGTTAACCCCTTTAATAATAAACTTAGTAATTTAAATAATAAATAGAGATCTTAAGCTTTAATTAAAGACTATAATAAAAATAAGTATAATAAAAATTACTTACCCCTAAAGGGAATATAATATAAATATAATAAGGGTAAGAAAAAATTTATATAATAAATAATTATAAAAATTAGGTATTAATACTATAAAATAGAAAAATAATTATAAAATATAAAAACTTAATAGAAAAAAGAAAAGGATAATAAACTTAAGAATATATTACTAAAATACTATATCTATAAAAAACTATTTAAGGAAAAACTAGAAATAAAAGTATTATAATATAGCTATTAAGACTATAAAATATAACTTAAATTAAATAACCTATTACTTTAAAAGATTTATAACCTTAATTAAAAGAAGTTATATACCTTAAGGGAATATCTTAATATAGAATTAGCTAAGGG